GTCGCTTGAAAAAACTCAACAGCAATCAAGGCTACTCTTTCTAATCCCGGGGATGCAAGGCAGTCTATCAGCACCGCCTAGCGGCATTCACAGTACCCCGGTGAGCTCCAAGCGCGATATTTGGGAGTAATTGGCCATTTGTCGTTAGCGATCGCCTTGCGCGGACCGCACAACTCGCCAATAGAGTGGGAAGAGCAATCCATGGCCACTTTGGCCAAGCTGCTGCTTCCGACTGTTAACAGCAGGGCCGCATTAGCGAATCCGCTTTGGTCATCAACTAGCCTGTGATGCATTCTCTCCTCCTCTCGGGTGCGTCTGGCCCGAAGTCGACCCCAAAGGTTGCAAGAGGATACTGGATCAGCAATTTAGTGTACGTTCATCCGAACTCATGGCCAATACAGCAATTTGCCACTCGAAATCCAGCTGCCTGCTGCCTTGAAATCGGCCGAGCTGCAGTTAAGAATGCACACCTTCAGGGCATCGAGTCGCACTTCCCTAAGCCAGTGGGCTATTTCATCGCCATCCACATAAAACGTCAGCTATTTCACTGCTTGAGCGCACACCCTTTCACCCCGTCCTTTACCCCTCCGGTTTTGCATCACTAGTTTGCTGTGTTGGTCAAGTTGTAAGCGTCAACCTTTCGGCCAGACGGCATGTGGATCTGCCGCCGGAACCTCCAGCGTGCAGACCCGTCCCGTTCAACAATCTGACCCCCGAATTCTTGGCCGGTAACTCGGTGTAAAACGATCAAGAGCGAAAGACTGTTCGGCTTTACCAGTACGGCCTACAGAGATGGACTGGTAGTAACAATAACCCTCTCCGACCGTCCACGTTAGTGGCACGCCGAACTACTATCAGTCACACGCCCAAGTTACCAAAAAATCGCGCCCGTTTTATTAGCCTGTTTTCAAAAAGTTCAACTCCACTCGTATGTTTGGGTTGTTGACACCGATCTTTGTCCCACTTGCTGGGTCGGCAGAGGGTTGGCTGGACTGAGCACGGAATTTGGAAGATTTAGTACAACTACGCCTTGCTTGCATCTAGGCTCTTACGGAAACTCGGGTCGGTATCACCACTATGCACCACCTTGACTATTACAATCACCAGCATGCTCACGGGAGGTAAAGATGGCCTTCTAATAAGTTGTGGTGCTAGGCCACCCGACAACCAGCTAGGCCCAGGCTGAAAACGAGGGACGGCAAAGACGACATCCGCTAAGACGAAACAATAGTTGACCAGCCACCAATATGTCCCAGTATAGCTGCATTTCACCATCAGTTTGCAGGAGCCCAATTCGGGGGTGGGGGAGGACAGATTTGTTGGCGTTTCAATGGCCCATTCGTTTGCCTCCTCGTGACTGAGGGGATTGGAGACTGGATGTTTGCGCCGCTGCCCGCGAAGAGAAATTGCGATTCTTGCATTCTCCACAGCAAACTATATCTACTGATTTCTTTACGGGGCAAGTTTCGGGCCTAGTAAGTTGTCTATCACCAGGTCGACGTCAAGCCTCGAGTTCCAGTACAGTACAGTCTCTAAGGTACAGCTTGTACGGCTGAGATAGGAATGATTGCGCATAGCAAATGGCCCCCCAAGGTAGGATTGATCCAAGACCCTTGTTTCTAAAGAAACGAACGGAGAAAGCAGGCTTGAGTCGGCAGCGGCATTGCGAACCTGAAGCTGGCGCTGTCCAGCTTTGAGTTTAGTGATAATTCAGCCCAGCTGAGTTTTTATAGTCAGCTTTGCACCGTATTGCTTGAAGAAGTTTGAAACATTTCCAGGGTAAAAAGTTATCTAGTGGCAGCCGCAGCCGCCGTGGGCTTTTCTGCCAAGGGGTTCCGCGAGGGATTCAACCCCTACTGGGCTTGGCATCGATGAGTGCAAAGCGGGAACATCTATGGCTCGAAACTGTTCATTTTTGTAGAACTTATATCGATGAATGGCATTGAGGTAATTGCATACGTACACGTTTGCGAAGCAGTGTATGCAGTACGGCCTGGCCGAATAGTTGGTCGAACCAGAGCTCGGTGAGAACTGTAAAAGTCGGGAAAAGGAACCGGCCAAGCAACATACATACACTTGCTACTTTTTGCGCTAAAAGTATTGCTGCCTAGAGCTGTATTCTCTTACGAAACGACACATTCGGGATACGCGAGAGAAGTCGATCGCCTGACCCGGAGGACCTATCCAACTTGACCGCTGGCGGACAGGGCAAAGTTTGCAACTCAGGCATACCAGTACCCCTACCCGTCTGAAAAAGAAAATTTTCCGGAAACATAGGATCCTCCATCGAACCCGGGGCAGGGGGCGTGATCCAGGTCCGATGAGGAGCGGGATGTGTGATGTGATTGAGATGCAAGACACGCCTCCTCAGCGTAATCCAATCATGTCCCCAGCTTCACGGAGATGCTTCCCTCCAACCAGGCCATGGCCATTCTGGCGGTATCGCATCGAGTACTCGAGTACCTCGTGGCATTGACAGCGCTAGCGATGACATGCCGCAGCCGGGATTACTACGCAGCGAGGCTGGCTTGGAGAGGCTCTTCGGTCCCGGAGAGAGCAGCCGAGCGATAATTGTGACTTGCACTTGGAACGACTAGACGAGGTTTACGGTTGCGAAATTCGATTGTACAGGGTACTCCTCGCCCAGGGCAAGCGTGCCGAAACGAGACACGGCTGTCATCTCACGGCACACCGTGCGATATCCGACGGACGCTGTATTTTTTGCAACCTTACTAGATGATTTTCGCCTAGCACTTGCCTTGGCCGCGCCAGGCTATTGGGTGATTTCACTGATTTGCAACTAGTGATCATCCTCTTTTGTTTGGAACACTAGGTTCGGCCTCGTTCCGCGAATCACCGGCCTTGGATCTCCGGCCGGGGCTTATTGGTGGCATCCGTCGCTGCAACGACGATGGGAAGCGGGCAGGCAAAGAAAGGGGCGCAATAGTGCTTCCAGTGACTTTCTCGTTATGTTTGTTCTGCCTTCAGGTGACAATCGCGGAAACAGCGTCGTCATCTCCTGCGACTGTTCCATCGGGAAAAATTGAAACGAGAGAGATACAAGGCCGACAACTGCTACCGGTGAGTGGGAATGACGTACTAAGGAGCACTTTTCGCGGTTGCCCATTTTGATGTGATCCATCATCTCCATCCTGCCTGGCACGTAGATCGTCGTGCCAATGCATGCAGAGGAGGGGTTAACTGGATTGGCGAGGCTCTGGGATGGAGGGACTTGCTCGTTTCACCATCTGCAATGCATCTGCATGGACTATTCTGAGCCTTGGCCCCAGCCTCTCTATATAGAGAGGCGTTGACAATCGTCATTTACATCCTGCATCATGCATCGCGTTAGCTCCGGGGAGTGGGCGCGAAACATGCCCCGAGGTGTGCCTGGGAATGCCACATGGCGAGCCTTCCTCGTCGCTCCTTTTCGTTTTGGTCTCTGAAGGAAGGATGAACCCATCTCTACTCGACCAAGGACGCTAATCAACAGACTTGGGTACGATGGATGAACGATGATAACAGAGGCGCGGAGGTCGACGGGGAAGACAAGGCTGTTTGAGTCGATGCTTCCTTCATGCCCATTAAACTATTGTCACCGTCGGGATGATGACCGCTACGACGCACGTGGCTCGACTATGGCATCACGAGTCGGAGAAACAATCATCAAGGGTGTAGTTCGCGTCTCATGGTATCCCGGGTTTTTCTGACTTGCACCAAAATCTACATCCCCAAGGGCAACTTCCTCCGGCGACACCTTCCACTTTTGCCTCCCATCTGGGCCTCTTGAGGTAGTTTTTGAGCTTGTCCACACTCATTGCGCCACCTGCAGATTGATTTCGGTCCAAATCCGGTGGCCGTGTGGCAGCGTCGTATCGTCTTGTCAAGATGTGGAGGAAGTATGTAAGAGCAACCGGGCGGGTGGTTTTGGCTGGCGACCTCGCAACGATATGAGTATGCTTTACTTATCTTGTTACGCACGCCGGGAACCAAAATAGGAGACGCGGTCAATTGTCTCGGTAGGAAGAACCTTGTTTGCGGGTACCCTATTTGTTTTCTGGTCTCGGCCTGTTCCCGCCGTCGGGGCCGACATCATCAATCTTCGGTTCTCGCCCGAACCGGTGACTTTTTTTTCGACGTCGTTCTTGCGGAACCTCCTAAAGAAGATTGATGTTATTTATATCTTCCGACCCTCGATGGAGCATCCCGTACATGCAGCAGGGCTAATACTGGCAAAGGATCGAAATGAAAGCGAAGACGGACGGCAGGACAAAGACCACCCGATGTTGCGGACAATGTTAAGACATTGGTTGCTTCCCGTAATGTGGCGCACCTCCCGGCGCGGAAAACGGGCGTCCCTCTGGAACGGAGGTTTCTCGGGACTGAGCCGGTTTACGGGAACACCTCCCTCTTTTTGGGAGTAATACCTGAAAGAAACAACACGCTGCCTACAGTCGTCGGAAAGGAAACCAGCCTACGGGGTTGGGCGGATGTGGCTGGAACAGGTGCAAGACATGCGGCGGTGACGCTGGTGAATATTACTGTACCGACACGCGTTCGTACGCGGGTTTCATGCCGCGACTTTCGTTACTGATCATTACCGCATTCTAAAAAGAGGAGGGCATCTCCGAGTTCGGTTCAATGGATTTGCATAATGAGACGCCCGCTAATGTGGGGGGAGTTCACGATGTCCTTCTCCGTACAATGCGAGGTTAACGATGAATAGCCAACAACGATGGAACAAGAGAAGCACAAGTCCATCAATCACATCCCAGGCGAGAAATACCTGGAGCAACATCACTTTCAAGAAATCAGTCAGGCTGTGACTCCTTCAGAACAAAAAGATGCGAAGAAAAGAAAAGATAGAGCAAGAAGACCGCCCCTCAAGATCAGTCCCCCTCTAACAGCCGCCAATTAGAAGAGCTTCCTCCGGGAGTGGACAAACAGATAGTTTCTTTCTCGCTCCCATGCCCGCCTACTATTCTCCGTTGGCTGCCCGCTCACCACCGAGGCTCCAGCCTCTCCGCCGCCGGCGTGCCCACCACGACATGGCTGTCGCCGAACGGGTCATCTTCGTCATCGTCCTCCTCCTCCGACGCGCTCTCTAGGTCATCTCCGGGCTCCACAACCCGCGGCGCCTTGTGTGCGGCGCCGGCGGAGGTCTTTGCGAGTCCCGGCTCGTTGAGGGCGAGCCGGTCCACGGCAGGCGTCTCGTGTGTGGCTGTGGCGGCACTGTCTTTGCCTTTCTGCGCGGTTACCACTGGTACTTGTTAATTCATGTAGACAGGCAGGCTGTTGCTACAGCTTCTGCGAGGAGGGGAAGGTAGTTCATACTCTTGTAGAGGTGCGCCTGCTCGGCAATCTCGTCGTCCGAGTCGCTGTCGGCATCGATGGACTGATCAAGCTGCTCGTACGTCATGAGAGCGTGGACGAGCTCGTCGTTGGCGTGCAGAAGAGCTCCGAGCCATTGCTCGTTCTCTACGTGATGAATCTGGATAGCATATCGTCGCGTTAGCACTCCCTCTCCGTCACTCCTCACTCTCGGTAGGAAGGAAAAGAAGAAGAAAACATACGTAGCGCAACACGCGCCTTCGCAGCTGCTTGCAGGCCTCAAAGCTCTGCACAGCCGCCTGGTTGTCCGAGATGCGCTCCCGCTCGCGGTTGATGCTCTGCAGGGCGTTGAGCAGACCGGTGCTCGCCATCGTCGCGTCGGCGACGACGGCCTTCATCTGCTCCTTTTCGGCCTCGAGGTTGAACGGCCGCCGCTTGCCACTCTTGCGCGAAGACTTTTTGCCCGACGAGTCCCTGCTGCCCAACGAAGAGAAGAAACTGCTGCCGCTGCCGCCGGAAGGTAGTGACGTGGACCCCGAGGGCTTGTGGGAGGATCCGGCCGCAGCGGCAGCGGCGGCACGCCGTGTGGCTTCCTCTTCCTCGTCGTCGCCGAAAGGGTTCGCTTCGGTCTCTCGGATGACCTTGGATCGTTCTTGGGTGACTGCGACTTTTCGTTTCGGTAGTTCCTATGCATGGCCACAGCAACATCTAGTCAGCCCTGCGTGCGAGAATCGTCGGCTCTTCACCAACGCCGACCGGAACAGAGATGCAAATGAGAGATGGATTACCTTGTGCAGCCGCGCGATCCGCTCCAGGCCAGGCGTGCCCGCGTACTGCGCCCACTGCCGGAACAGCTCGCGACAGCGCGCGCGCACCGCCGGGTCCGCGAGCTCCGAGGTGCCGCAGACGCGCAGGCGCTCGAGCAGCGGCTCGTCGGCAAAGGTGCGCTGGAAGCGCGGCCCCGCGTTCTGCATCAGCCCGTCGAGCAGGGCCAGCGCGCGCAGCTGCCGGTGCGCGCTGCCGTACTTGAGCTTCTTGCGGATCGCGCGCGCGGCCTCGGTCGGGCCCGAGGCCTGCAGCGAGATGGCCTCGACGAGCTCGACGATGCCGGAGAGGTCGTCCTCGGCGAAGTCCTCGGAGGTGAGGTTCTCGATGGTGGCCGTGACGGCCGAGTACGGTTTCTGAAGAGGTGGGTGGTTAGGTTAGCAAGCAGGACAGGCGAGGCGGCGCGCGCGCGGGGGGGAAGGGTGAGTCCATACCGATTGAAACATGGCGACTTCTTGCTCCGTTCTATCCAGAGAAACTAGGAGGTTGTGTGGTAGGGTGAGAGGGTAAGAGGCGACCAGCTCTCGGGGCTCGTGGAAGAGCAAGACAGTCTGGTTTGGGGTAAACGGTGGTGGAGAGCGGAAAACGGGCGCGCGCGCTGAAGCTGTCACGAGCGGTAACTGTAACTCGAGTGTCACCCCGCGTTATACCTGCGCCCCGCCAATTGGAGGGGTCGCCAGCGCTTCCACAGAAGGGTTTCAGCGGGCCAATCAGGCGGGATGGACTTTCTTCCGAATTTCTCGATGTTTTTATGCTGGCAATTGCAAATTGCCGGTCGCAATTGCAAACGACAGGATTTATGCTAATTCGGAAGCTCTCCATTGTCAAGGCTGTCTTCCCCAGACTACCTTGGTGGAGATGGTGACGTATGTATGTACATTGATAGCTTGAAGCCTTGCGCCCGCTTGCTTGCTGCTAGTTAGGTAGTCATCGATTTCAAGAGCGCCACCAGCAGCAACTGTATACCCAAGCATAAAAGCCAAAATTCGTATACTTTTTTAAAAAAGAATACTCAGTACCTCATATCAACATGAATGTCATTCAAAATCAAAGATGCCTAGTCGCAAAAAATGCTCATGATCAAAAACTTGACAAAATGTCCAGCTCTAAACTCCATCCTACTGTATGTTTCCAATGCATGTATTCTGTGCAAATGCGCAAGTAGATCCTTAGCCAGCCTTTCCAAGGCCGAGAAGGACAAGGTTCGCCACGTTCATGACGGCCATGACCAGCCACACGAGGCCGCCGAGGATGATCAGCCACCACGGGTTGGACATGTCGATGCCGGGCCCCTCATCGATGCTGACGGCGTCAATCTCGTCCTCGACGTGGTAGCGCGCCATGCCGGGCCGCACAGTCATGTAGCGGGTGCGGCTCGTGAAGTAGATGAGCGGCAGGGTCGTGAAGGGGAGGACAGAGCTGAGGACGACCTGGGAGGCAGTGAGGGCCGTGTTGAGGCCCGAGCGGCCGATGACGCCGGCGATGACGAGCGACGGGGTGACGCTGATGGCGCGCGTGATAAAGCGGCGCACCCAGGGCTTCACCTTCCAGCGCAGCGCGCCCTCCGACACCATCTGGCCGGCAATGGTGCAGACGATGCCGGCGGAGATGCCCGAGAGCAGCAGGGCCAGCGCGAAGATGGTGCCGACAGCGGGTGAGATGCTCTGGGAGAGCAGGGCGTGGATCCCGAAGATGTCGGCGTCGAGAGCGTCCTCGTTCTTGTAGAGCGAGGCGCCAGCAACGATCAGGATGGCCGAGTTGACAAACAGCGCAAAGGTGAATAGCGAGGTGCTGAGCTCTATGATGGAGTACTTGAGGCAGTGCTTGATGGCGGCTTGAGAGGGCACATAGGTGATCTTGTCGTAAGTCTCCTCGTTTGTGGACGCGCCGGACGAGGCCGGCTCCTCGGGGATTAGGCCCTTCTGGGTGTCGTATTCTTTGAGGCGCGGCTGGACGATACCGGAGCCGAGGAACAGGCTGTGCGGCATAACAGTGGCGCCGAGGATGCCGCAAGCCTGGTAGAGGGCCTGAGGCTCGACAAGCTCCTTTGAAGGGATGAAGCCGCGGAAGACTTGGCCGGCGCTGGAGCCGCGGATCATGGACAGCTGGATGCAGAAGCACACGACGACACCGAGGACGAGCAGGCAAACGAAGAACTCAAAGAGGCGGAGGCCCTTCATGGCACCGTCCGGGCGGTAGAAGACGAGGATGAACATGACGTCGACGATGGAGAGGGCGACGCCGGCGACGATGGGCAGGCGGGGGATGAGCAGGTTAAGAGCAATGGCGGTACCAATGACCTCGGCGAGATCGGTGGCGATGATGGCGATCTCGGCAAGGGCGTAGAGCAGATAGTTGAGCCAGCGCGGGCAGTGGGCGCGACAGGCCGAGGCGAGGTCATGGCCGGTGACGGTGCCGAGCTGGATGGCCAGCGTCTGCAGCAGGATGGCGAAGAGGTTGCTGAGCAGCACGATGAAGAGCAGCCGGTACTGGTACGAGGCACCGGCGGCAATATCAGTTGCGTAGTTGCCGGGGTCGACTACAGGAGGGAAGGTTGTCAGCAAGAGGTTCCAAAGTTCTCGGGTGTCAATGGAGGGGAGAGGGCAGACGAACTGTAGGCGACGGAAATCATGAAGCCCGGCCCGACAAACTTGGCATAGTTGAAGAGGACCTTTTTGAGCTTGTGCAACCGCGGGCGGACATGCTGATTCACGAGCCGCAGGCGCATCGAAGGCGGCGGCTGTGGCTGTCGTAGGCGCGGGAGCAGACCGCCATCGCTGCTTGGCGTGGTTGCGTAGTTTGACTGCTGCGCCGATGAGGCGGAGGCAGTACGTGTGACTGCGACCGTAGCGTCCTTGACCATTGCGTCGTTCTTTTCGTAAATTTGCTGTGAATTCTTGGATTTGAGGTTTAGGCCTCTTTTTCTTTTTTTTTTTCTTCAGAAACGAACCCGTCAGCGGCGGGGTTCGGGTCTTGAGATGTTGGTCGATGTGCGACGTTTGCAGGTTGCTTCCGCGATGGCCATGGGAGTTAAGAAGAGCGGTATAAGTATTGTTGCACTGCCTTTTTCCTGATGAGTTTGGGTTTGTGGTTTCGGAGTCTTGCTTATCCTAGCCGCTGTCGCCGGATATGTAATATTGATGAATAGTCGCGTGGAGGCAAATTTTCACATTGAGTTCGTGAGTACCTGCCTGTTTCGATGCGCTAGGCCAGTTCCGACGGGCTGCAGCTGAACGGAGGCGACGAGGCGATTTTTGTTTTTCAAATGCCAAGAGTGCAAGCGAGAGATATCGCAGTATTTTCTGGCTGTTATAGAAAAAAGAAACGAGGATAACCCCGATATCGTGGCGGAGTCATGCAAGACGAGGTTGCTGGTTGGGGTCTTGGTATGGCGTTCGTCGGTTAGGGTGCCGAAGCAAAGCGGGTCATCCGGTTCCTTCCGATGTATTTGAGTCTGTTCTGCGGTTTACGTAACAAGCAGGGAAGAAAACCAGGCGCGCATCTCTCAAGGTCCAAGAGATGGTACAGCTGAAAGATAAAGAGAAGAAGAGGAAAGCGGAAGAGAGACATCGCGGCCCTTAAATGGGAATGAGAGGAGAGTTGCCTGCGTGCGTGCCGTTCATGATCTGCAGCTCTCCGGGTTCGGATGCCCACAGAGCCGCGCCCGTGCCAAGTGCTAAAGTGGGCGCTAGGAACTGCCCGCCGATTCCAAATAAGGATGCCCTTTTTTATCTTGTGTGGGTGGTATATAATAACTGCGGGGTTCACCGCCTGCTTTGACACTGGCAAGACTGGTTTTTTTTTTTTCATCTTTGAGTATAAAAAGAAGTTTACGAGGCTGGGCTGTGAGCGGGACGTCGGTGGGAATTGCGACCTCATGGACGTGGGACTGACAATCCCTAGACAAGCCATGGAGATTATACTTCGTGACGAACGAAAGATCTATCCGAGACATGAGGGGCCCGCAAGAGAGAAAGTCGGCGATACTGAGAAACCAAACGCTCCAATCACGGGAAGCCGAGCTTCACTGTCCGGTATGACCTGACCTCCAAATACGCTTCGGGCCTCCGTCACCGTAGCCTCTAGGGTACGTCCAGCTGCCAGGGCCAACTCAATATCAGCCCAGCGGCCCCAGAAAGCCTTCTCTTCAGCCTCCATGTTGCCTGATCTCTTCGTACATTTAAAAAGCGGCCCCCGCAAGTAGCAAGAACCCATTCTTCACAGCCACAACGATGTGCGGACTTGCCTCTCCGTCCTACTCGGCAGGGCCTGTACCCGGCACGATGCTGCCGACAGCACCCTGGAACGTGCAGATGGTGGGACTTGGCCACGATAGCAACTTGCTCAATATTCACAACTGCCGTCTTCATCTCCTACTTTAAATACAAATGCTCCGTAAAAGCGCCGGTCTAGATCCGTCTACGGAAGCCGAAGGAGGGGCAGGGGTTGGTTCGTCTGAATGCTCCCTTGTCGCGGGTATTTGTCCATTTCACATCTACCTAGTCCAAAAAGAATACCTACTCAAGCCATACCATTAAAGCCACTGTTGAACGACTTTTGTTTCTTTCTTTACCTCCTTCCACATTCATCATCCTTTTTTCGCTCGTCACAGTCATGGCAATACAACACAGGGCACGCACGCATGCACTTGGTCACGTCAGTTGATAACGACACACCAAAGTCACGAAAAGGGACACGGCGCATGCATCCAGCGCCCCCGTCCGGCTCATTTTCCAAAGAGAAGAAAAAGAAAACCCCCTTCATAAACCTCCTCTTTAGTTGCTCTTCTTTCCCGCCTTGGCCGCCGCGCGGTCGCGGTCGCGCTTCGCGTAGATGCCCGCCGTGAAGGGGTCCTCGAAGCGCAGCGCCACGACGTACACGACGTACACGAGCGCCGTCAGCACGACGCCCGCCGGCCGCCCGAATAGCAACGCCGTGCCGAGGAAGCTCATCGTCGAGCCCCAGTACATGGGCGCGCCCGTCACGTTGAAGGGGAAGCCCGTCACCATCTTCTCCTGGAGGAAGCCAAAGTAGTCGCCGAGGAAGGTGCCACGGATACCCAGGCGCCACGTCGACGTCACCACCAGCACGTTGCCGGCGGCGAGGAGCGTGTAGGCAGCCGCCTGCGTGGGCAGGCCCTGTAGGGCCGGGTGCGTGGGCTGCTCGAGAATGGCCGTCTTGTAGAGCCAGTCGCGGATGATGCCGATGGAGAAGATGGTGGCGGCGAGGGCGTAGTTGGCCAGGGTGCGGTTGCCCCCAAATAGCTTGCTGAGGACCTGGTTACGGTATTCTGCAAAGATATGAGATTGAATTAGCCATTTTCCTCTTCCCCCTTCCTTGTCTGAGCTGTTATAGAATATAGAGCGCGGTTCGAACCTTGACGAGCGACGATGCTGTTTTGGCACAAGGTTAGACAAACGGACTGTACTGCACGCGACTTTGGGGAGGGGAACGGGTTTGATCGGCTTACTTCCAGAAGAGAGGGTTAAAGATGATGGACGCGGCCGAGACTACACGATGCAGGTTAGTCGTCCTGATTTATTTATTTTCCTTCTTTTCCCTCTCGTAATTCTGCAGCTTGCACTCACTTCGCAGGCTCTGCTTGTCGAAATCGACATAGCTGGCCAATTGGCCCACGAGTGACGACGCCATGGTTTATCTTGGGGGCTGTGGAACGCAGGGTTGTCCAATAAAAAACGAGAGGTTTTATTGACGTGGCAATGCAAAGGGCTCCTGAGCACCACCGAGAATGAAAAAGGAGGACGGAAGATGGAGATGAAAAGCGACAGCAAATGAGGAATGACGACAGAGATGGAAGAGGGAGAGAAGCTGTCCGGCCGTCTGCTCCTCTTCCCTCTAAAGCTTTCCCCACGCGTCGCCGGCGCCGTCAAGCACGGCAGGAGGAGCTTCTGCCCCAGGCGGGGAACGGGCGGGCGGAGCAGGACAAGCTCCAGCTTTTTCTCTGCTGCGAATACATTACGTTCGCTTGGAGTCGGCACTAGGTTTCACTCTACTACAGATGTCCCTGTCAAGGATTCCAGAAACCGTACTTAATGAAGACATCGATCCAGTAGATAGAAAAAGTGAAAGAGATACGCAAGATACAGAAGATGCAAAATATACAAGGTGTAGGAAAAGATACAGATACGGATAGCTAGCCAGTTATGCTCGTTTGTTATTGGATCAAATCGGGACCCTTCCTCTCTCGTTTTTTTGTTGTGCCGCTTGTTTCGTTGGGGCACAAGGCTTCGTTTTCTCCCTCGCTCTGAAATTAATCTTCACATGTCATTTTCTGTCCCATTCCATCTGTCATTCATCCATTCATCCATTTGTCTATCGGTCAGTCATTTATCCGCGCAAAAGGTGTCCCTTTTACCTAATCACAATAATTGTCGCGTGACCGCTTGCCCCGGATGAACTCTCGGCACATAAGCCTCATTCCACTAACAATTAACGTTATACTCATAGGTAGTTGCACAAAAGGCACAAACCCCAATACCCATTGATACGTAACAATACTGAGATATACATGCACCCATACGCCTATATTTGAAAAAAAAAAAAAAAGACCCAACCCGCCAGATTTAAACAGAAAAACGGAAGGACAACCAGCAAGGACGGGGAATAATCAGTCACCCCCTCCTCCTTTTCCTTCGCTTCTTCGTTGGGGATTCCATCTCCGCGCCCGCGTCATCTTGGGACTCGGGTTTCTATCTCCGCGCCCGCGTCTTTTTGGCCTGTGTTGTGGTATCTTCCTCCTCCTCGTCGTGACCCTTCTTCAGGTCCTCGGTCAGGCCCCATTCCTCCTTGTCGTACCAGTCCTCCCCGTCCGACATGTCGCGGTTTACGCCGCAGTGCGCCTCCGCCTTGGACCAGTGCAGCACGTCCTTGCGCAGCCGCTGCGCCTCGAGCAAGCCCCGGTGCAGTCTGTACGTGCCCCGGCACACCTCCTCCTGTTTCTGGATGTACAGCGCCAACAATCGCCGGATGTCCTCTGCCTCACTTGCTGGCAACCCCAGATCGCGGTCTGGCCGTGCTGCCGCCGGTGGCAGGAATATCGGGTGTATCACCGCTTCAATCCCGTCTTCCTCTTCCTCCCTTGGCCCTTCCTCGGCATCCATCGGTCTGTTCGTGCCGTCTTTATGGCCATCACCTGAACTATTCTCACCATCCCTTCTGCCGTCTCTTGCTGTATCGGTATTCTTGGCTGCGACGTTGCCATTTCTCGCTCCGGCATCGGCCATGCTAACGTCACCGTCGTGATTCGAGTTGTCACCGTTCGCCCTTTGTCGCTCCGGCTCTGCGCTGGTGTCACCGTTGACAGTCGCGGCCCCTGATCTTGCCGGCAGCGCTCCTGATCGGCGCGGGACATGGTCTTGTGTATATAGCGTCTTATCGTTCTCGCTAATCATGAGCTCGCACGGAATCCATGTGAGGTCGCCATACAATGGCGTCCACAGCTGCCGCACCTGCCACAATGATTGGTTTTCCTGTCGCATGAGCTGGCAGCTGTGATCGACCAGCTCGGTGAGGTCCTGAGAGATGAAGGGTTTCGAGAGGGTCGGGTGGGACGCGAGGTCGGTGGCTGCGGTCAACGGGGCGAGGATGTCTGTCATGGTCAGCATGGGTAGGATTGGGCGACGGGCCGCGGTTCAGCTCGAGAGCTCACTTACGTTCTAGGCGAATATTGGAGTACGGGTTGAGCTCGGCAGCTGCTTGGATGGCGCTCTCCACGCGTTGGGGTTCATCCTCGCTAAGGACCTCGTAGCCATCGTCGTCCACCAGCGGCGGATTGCGAGAAATAATAGATCGTCGGACGCCCGCGTAATCAATTTCCTGCAAACGGCACATGGTCGACTGATTAGCATCCCGCTCGCGCGTTGGTCGACTCAGCGCCGTTCGAGTCAACCTACCTCTTTGTAGGCGCTAGGCCCCGAGGCCGGCACCAGCTGGCCCTTGTGCGCGAAGCGACCCTTCTTCTTGAGCTTGTGCCCACGGTTTGTATGATGTTCTATTTCGGAATCGGAATCGGAATCTGCAGTGCGCGATCGGGGCAAGGCCCCGGCGAGTGGTTAGCGACTGTTTTCTTTCTCTGACGTTCGAGTCCTGCCGGCCACCACCAGAACGCACGGCGCGGCCGAGGTGTCCTTACCATATGCTCTCCTCTTGAATGCCTTTTTCATAGCCGCTATCGTCTCAGCGAAGAGGACTTGCTGCGACGCCATGGTGGGCAAGGGCGCAGGTAGCTGGGTGGTGCGCTCAAAGCAAAAAGGAATTGGCAGAAGGCGGGCTGGAAGCCGCTCGGTCGCTGGGGATTTTTCGCAGTCGGAGGAGGGGCTCGCAGACTCGACAGAGTGACGGCTCAAAGTAAAAATAGCAAAGCCAATGCGTCTTGCAGTCTCTCTGGTTGCCAATCCTGCTAATCGATACTTGATTCTTTGTCGTGGAGGGGTGGTGTTTGGAGCTTGGGGAGAGAGAAACAAGAGGGAGAGAAAGTGGTGGTGGCACCTACTAACGTCAAAGGTAAGGCACGCTGGCGAGGGTAGCAATGCAACCACCACCACCGCCTAGGATTTTGTTAGGCCTGGCTGCGGAGAGCCCGCAACCAGGCGGCCAGGCCAGGTCAGGCCAGGCCAGGCCGAGGTGGGCCCCAGCCAGACAGCGACAGCTTTGCTCAGGCCAATCACGCGCCCACAACGCTCTCAGGTATTTCGCCGACACCGCCTCACTGTGGCTGCTTGCCGATATTTACCCGCTCTTAACTGTACTGTAAATATTTCAACTCGTTAGTTAAGCAAATATTCACCGTGGCGCGCGACCATCGATGGTCTTTTTTTGCTCTTTTGTTCCAAATGTTCGAAAATGGTATACATGGCCAACGTCCTCGCTCTTCCCCTCCAAATAAATTCAAATATAAATCACGCGAGAATAGAGTGGTATATACGTCATAAAATCTCACACCGCACTGTCTTACTCCAGGAATCAACTTTAACTTTGGAAGCTATACATTGTTAGGGTCGTTTCTTAATGAGCCTGTAAATCTCCCACTCACATGTCTGGAGAGTTGGTAATCTCTTCAAAGCTCTGCAGAGAGTCGAAGCCCATGGCAATCAAAGGCTCGGAAGTGTCATCTACGACCTACAGAAAGTGTCAGCAACCGAACTCACGAGACCGAAAAAGGAATTGGGAAAGAAAGGAAAACTCACCCGGCTGAGCACTGCCTTGCTCGCCTTGTGGCTCTTGCATTGGCGCACGCCCATCAGCGCGAGTCCCTGTAGGACCAACGTCGACAGCGGGCCGGGCGGCACCGTGGGCGCCACGATGCCCGCGATACTTTCCGACCGGGACCGCAGAGCCGGGATGTACGTCGCCAGCGGGCTGCCAGGCCTGCAGATGATAATGGTGCCCATGATAGCACCGGCGGGGTCCTTGGCACGCACGATGCCGCACGTCTTGCTCTCGGCCAGCGCGTAGCGGTACAGCTCGACCACCTCGGGCCCGCCGCCCTCGGCCGCCCGCACGTGGTGGAGCACTGCGTCAGCGTTGTCGAGCCCGTGAATCAGGTCGAAGCTAATATTGGCCCGCTGGATTGTCGGCAGCAGGCCCTCGGGCGCCGCCCACCCACCCAGGTCGGCAATGACCATGTTGGTCAGCCGTCGCGGGAACTGCGTGTCCCACCCGCTGTTGCTGAACCATGTCTTGACTGTGGCGGCCTCGGCGCCGAGCGCGAGACCCGGGAAGACGCCGGGGAAGCACGCGCCGAGTTGCACCCTCTTGAGGCCGCGCTGCTGTGACAGTGTCTTGAGCGCGCGCTTGTGCAGCGACCGGCCGATAGACACGTTTCGCTTTGTCGGGTCGACAATGAGCGCCCCGAGGATGCCGACAGACCCCGTCACGTACGTGGCCACAAATCCGTACAGCGCTTGCGTGCTACTGTTTCGCACCACATAATGTGCTTCCTTGATGTTGGTGTTGAAGAGTTCAAATGCTGATGCGCTCGTGTTGGACAGAAAGTCCAGGTCCGAGCCTCCAGCGCGATGGATGGCCTTGAGTAGATCGTCCAGACCGGTGGCATCGCGCTCGCGGTCATATTCTTCCACCAGCCAAAGCTGCCGCGACTTGAGGACCTTTTTACTCTTTCGAAGAGTGCCTGGCAAGCTTCCCACAGGCTTGACCTCGCCGATGAGGACGCGCACCAGGGACGCCATGGCATTCTCGGTAAAGTCGAAAGTGCAGACGTACGTGCCGATGGATTTGTCCATGGCAAAATCGTACGGCGAGCTGACGGCGACGACAATAAGGTGCTTCTTCTGGCCGCGACTTCGGAGCATGGAGCACATCATATCAACGTGCTTTGTGAAACCTGCCTGATACAGGTTTCTGTTTGCATCGGCGGTAAAGATAATTATACAAGATGCGCGGTTAATGAGATTTTCATGCACTGGCCTTACACCGTTGGCAGTATAGCTTGTGTGTAGCAGCTTCTCATTCCGGTGGCGCGCGAGGGTTTTCCCAAACTCGCGGAATACACCCTCGCCGCTCATGTGCGCAGTTCTGTCCTGACGTCGGTGCACCCATCGCTCATGATTACCCGTGGCTAGTGATTGATCCTGCTTGGAGTCCAAGAAGCTTTTGGTCAACGACGACGCTGGGAGTGGTTTGACAAGAGGGGTTAAGAGTAGCAGTTCCTCGCCGGGGTGCATCGATTGTGAAAGGGGTAGCAGCTGGTCCTTATCTCGGATGACTGTGATTGATTCGTCGAATGCACGGCGAGACAGGGCTAAATGAGAAGGATGAAGCTGGGAGAGCAAAGAGATGCCGGGGGGGTTGAGAGCCTTGGTCCAAGAAGTGCAGGTAGATTTGAGGTGGAGAACGCGTCGCAGTGAAGTAAATATTCTCTCTTTGGTGATAATGCCATTCTCTAAGCCGAGTTTAAGGCCCTTGATGGCCTCTAATTGAATGTCGTATGCTCGACAGAGAAGGACCAAATCACAGCCGGCTTCGACGGCCATGACGACGCCGTTCTGAACACCGAGGTCGTGACTCAGAGCCTCCATCTCAAGGCACTCAGAGATGGCAACGCCTCTGAAACCCAATTCGCTGCGCAGCATGTCGTCGACTACCTGGTCTGACAAACATGCATGGCTGACATTCATGGAAGGATTCGAGAGACCGCAGCCGCCGACAAACATGGCATCAAGTTTTCCTGAAGCGACTGCATTGCGGAAGGGAACAAGTGCGCTTAGACTGAGTTCTTCGAGGGTCTGGGTAATAATGGGTACGTCCAAGCTTGAACCAAGAAAGTCGAGGTTGCCGTAGGAGGGGAAATGCTTGCCGCAAGTGGCGATGCCGGCGTCGCGAATACCAGCCATGGCGGCAAGGCCATACTGTGATACTTCCTGGGGGTCATCACTGGTGGCACGCACGCCGAGCGGTTGGTAACGGGCATTGTTCAAGACGTCAAGAACGGGACCGAGCATAAGGTTGACGCCACAGGCTGAGATTTCCGTGGCCGTGGCCTTGGTGACTTCGTAGGCGAGCTCTGGGCTGCCGGCAGCTGCGATGCCCATGGCACTGGGAAATTGACATACATAGTCCTCATCAAACAGACTGTTGACGCCGCCATTCTCTTGGTCGACGGCGATGAGCAGCGGCTGGGGGTGGCCAGCATTTTGGGCAATGGTCTGCAGCTCTTGAACGAGTCTGGCAGTTTGCTGAGCAGCTGCGGCAGGGGTCAGCGGGATGTTGGGGGACAGGCCTGGGCGAGGATTGATGAAGGAGGACATACATTTGAGGTTTTTGGCGGTGAGAATGATGGAGCCTAGATGATGATCTTCGATGAGTGTCCTGATCTGGGGTGTGACTTCTATTCCATCCCAGCCCATAATCAGAGTTTGGCCAATTGCCCTATTAGAGTGGAGTTAGTCTTTGGTCTGGATACCGAAAGAAAACGAGGGAAAAAAGCCATCATGGGAGACATGAGCGCAACTGCTGATGGCAATGGCTACAAAGCAGCACCCGAAGCGTATCAAGGAGGCTCACGATGGGCTTGGGTCGGGTACACGTACCAGTCCAGGTTCTGATATATGGGGTCAATATCAGCGATGTCGGCGCCATTGTTGGCGGTGTTGGAGGTCATGATGCACGGGCGGCTAGTCAGGCAGCTGTGCGCATGCCTGGAATGGCGTGCGCAACGGTTGAGGTTGATGTGCGGAGGGTCTCTGCAGATACAGTAGGTTGAGGATAGATTGAACTTGAGCCGATTGAGTTCAAGCGCGTGGTGGAGGGACCGGAGGCGCGGAATGGGGGGCTCCGCCTCCGCCTTCAGCCACTAATCAGGCGGCAGCCAGGCTGCGTGAGGGAGTCTGTGCCAGGATGGGTAAATCAAAGGATGCAGTATGATTATGATGGGCAGGAGTTGAAGTTGAATGTCCGTTGGGGAAGGAAGCCAGTTGGTGTAGGCCGATGGCGATGGCTCTCTTGATTGCCTGTTACTTGGGTGACTTGGGTGACTTGGGTGACTTGGCGATTGGCAGCTCAGCTAGCAGTTTGACTTTGAGGAGCCTGTGTAGGCATCTATCTCTAGAATATCCTTGAGAGACAGGCAGGTGCAGCAACATGATGATTGACCACAGATGAACGAACTCGCTGCCGATTTGCTTGCAAGATGAACAGGTGGGCTGAACTTCGGGTAGATGGAAAGAATTCTGCCGCCGAGGAGGTCTCGAAGCAGCATGGGCGGTGAGGGAGGCAGCTGCCAAGCAATTACCTGCTTGTGAAGGCGACATTTTAAGTAGGGAAGCTACAAAGTACAAAGGCGGCTTTCCCAGCACGGCAAGGCCGCGGATTTCATGTCCGACGATTTTCTAACAGGCGAGTTTGTTGGAGCAGAAAAAGGCTTGGTTGCTGGAGTGGGCAGCAGTGGGTGCCCAGGGGGTGTTGCAGGACAGGACCCCAAGCTTGGGGGCATTGGGGGTGGCCTGGGGGGCAATTTAACGTTACATGCGGCCCAGCGCTGGCACAGAACGCTACCCAAGTCAGTGCCCTCTGGGGAGTGTCCTGGGGAGTGTCCTGGGGAGTGTCCTGGGGAATCAAGGATGCATCCATCATCCATCGCGATGATGCCGCAAAACTCGCCGACGTCTACCAAGTACTTGTTGGTAGTGAACTGCGTTGGACGAGGAACTGCTTACTTTGGAAATATCGACAGAATTTCCCTGGAATTGTTTCAGTAGTTCCTTGCCGTCTCCGAGGAGACTTGTCATGCCCAGCTCTTTCCCGTACGCATAACGGTGATGCCATCCCGCTGAAACACACTCATGAATAATGCCGCGACGGACCACGCCCGCATCAACCAACGAACCACTGGACCACATGACTCTCCAAAGAGCTTGATATTAGTGCTTGCCACCATGTCTAACGTACCAGCGCACGTTGAGCTTCTGCTGTCTCCCATCCGCCAGCCTGCTCCGCTCAAGCCGTAACCAGCAACCACCGGCGCTTCCTCAACTTCCCCACCCAGCCCGTCCATGATGGATGGCAAGGTGACAGCCAGAGCTGCTAACTTGGTATGTGTATGCTGAGTAGATTTTTACCGTCTATATTTTTTATTTTTATTTTTATTTTTATTTTTATTTCTCTTGTTCTTTAACTCTTCGCTGCATCTCCGCTTGCTACAATCCGATCTGGCAGGCCTCCACCGTCCTATCAAGCTCCACGGGTCCTTGTCGCTGTGGTGCGGTGGTGCTGTTTTGGGCGACTGCTCCAACTCTTACTAGTACTTGCCCATTCCTCGCCCGCCGTTCCATCCCGGTGCCGTCGCTGTTTTTGTTGTAGTATAGGCCACCACCCCAAAACGACCATTAACGTCATCTTTTGTTTCGTTCCCATTTCTATTCCCGTATTCCTAGATATCCTCCATTTCTTCCAGTCAGAGGAACCTCACCAGACCCGAGAAAGAGATCGAAAGAGTCGAACCTACTTGGCCCGCGCCGTCTATACCCACCCGCCCCGAGACGATGCCGGCCCTCGTCACCAACGGCGCCACCACCGCCGCCGCCGCCCAGCCGAGCAAAAATCATGGCCTCACAAAGCTGACCAACTGTCGTCTCCTCCTCGGTGACCGCCTCGTTAAAGGCGATCTCTGGGTCAGCTCCGAGACGGGCAAAATCGTCAACAGCCAGACCGTCTTCTTCGACGACCTCGTCCTCCCCGACCAGACCGTCGACCTCGGCGGCCGCATCGTGTCGCCCGGCATGATTGAGTGCCAGCTCAACGGCGCCTTTGGCTTCAACTTTTCTACCCTGCTTGACGACATGTCTCACTACGGCAAAAAGGTCAAGGAGTGCCAGAAGCTCCTGGTTCAGACCGGCGTCACTTCGTACATTCCCACCATCACCAGCCAACGGCCGGAGCTCTACCAAAAGGTATGTGCCGGCACCGACCAACACGACTCACACGAAGCGGTTCGCAAAGACTTGACGCCTTCATTTGGGCTCTTATGTCGCTGTAGGGCCACTTTGTCTCCTCTTCTCCAATCCGATCTCCCCAAGCTGGCCCCGGCTGATTGCCACTAACACGCCTCATCACTTACAGGCCCTCCCCTTCCTAGGCCCGTCCGGCCACTCCCACAAGGCCGAGGACGGCGCCGAGTCCCTCGGCGCCCACTGTGAGGGGCCCTTCCTCAACCCGACCAAGAACGGCGTGCACAACGTCGACGTGCTCATCGAGGCGCACACCTTTGCCGACCTCGAGGCCTGCTACGGCGCCGCCAACCTGACCCCCGCGACACCCGGCGGCACCATCCCCGTGCGCATGATCACGGCGGCCCCCGAGCGCGGCGACATGATGCGGCTCATCCCCGACATCACCGCGCGCGGCATCCGCTACGCCGTCGGCCACTCCGAGGCCACCTACGAGGAGGCCTCGCAGGCCGTCGGTCAGGGCGCAACCATGATCACCCACCTCTTCAACGCCATGCGCCCGCTGCACCACCGCAACCCGGGCATCTTTGGCGTCCTCGGCGAGGCCGAGAGCCTGCCGCGCCCCTTCTACGGCGTCATCGCCGACGGCATTCACCTCCACCCGACCACCGTCAAGATCGCCTTCAACGCCCACCCGGACGGCTTCATCCTCGTCACCGACGCCATGCACCTCGTCGGCCTGCCCGACGGCGCCTACCCCTGGACCAACGGCGAGACGACGGCCAACATTGTCAAGAAGGGCTCCAAGCTGCTGCTAGAGAATTCCGACACCATCGCCGGAAGGTAAGCGAGGCTTTTCGTTTTGGGCGGGAATCGCCGCATCACCGTGTTGAACCACAAAGTCACTGACATTTTGCGCACAGCTCCATCACTCTACTAGAGTGTGTCAACAACTTCCTGGAGTGGTCCGGCGAGGGCATCCCCCAGGCTCTCAAGGCCGTCACCGCCACCCCGGCGGCCATGATGGGGCTGCAGGGCGTCAAGGGTACGCTCGAGGCGGGCGCGGACGCTGATTTGCTCATCTTTACCGACGAGATGACGGCCAACGGGCATCACAAGCTCGTCCTGGACGAGGTGTGGAAATTTGGTGCCCGTCTGCCCCGGGCCGAGGCATAGAATAGACGTTGTTTTTTTTTGTTGAAAAAAAAAGAAGAAAGAAGATAGCCCTGCTACCGAGGGTGTAGTCTGCAGCAACATAAAGGATGAGGGACGAAGACTTGAACAAATTGATAGACTGTACATAAAGGGAACTCACGGCGTTGTTAGCATTTTTAAGCGGTTCTGGGAAACAAATTGAAAATGAAAAAAAAAATCCACAGTACAGATATAAGTGCAAACAAGTACAAATATAAATACAAACACACTTACAGATGAGCATGAGAGTCCATTCAACAACATCACGAAAGCAATTTACCCTCATTTGCCCCGCGTCGGCCAACAACGAGGGGCCCATTATAGTAAATGCATATGTACTATACCTTTTATTATAGTATCAATGGCTAATGTACCCCAAACCCCGGATGTGCGCGACCTGCAGCGGCAAGACGGGAGGGAAGGTCGGTGGTTACAGCAGCATCCATTGTCCTACCTAACCCCCCACCATCCGACGAGGAACTGTACCGCCTGTCTAGCCCTATGCGTTTCGGCAGGAAGTTTTTGATAAGGCAGGCAAAGATGTCTAAAGATGCTACGAAATTCGGTATCTACGGGGTAACGACGCTAGCAACTTTGTGTGCCGCGCCGACAGGGTAGCTTCCGCTGGTGCGAAGGCAACGATGGGAAGCCAAGCCATCTGGACAAGTTCGTCTGTCCGGCGGCTCTAGTAATAATGGCGCCGACGTTCCCGGCCCCGGTTAAAAGCCATTGTAGTACATTCAGGTAGCAGTACTGTTAATTTAGATAGGGAAAATGTACTGGTTTGGTGATGGGCTGCTGACTGGTGGCTGCGCGCCATGCAGTGCAACCGGTAGATTAGCTTGTATGTGGTGTGGAAATTTGGAGGGGTTTCTGGCTTTTTTTGCTTTTTTTGCTTTTTGCTCTCATTGAAATCTGGGGTAGACAAGGCGAGAACAACTGGGATTTTGGGGAGTTTGAGTGTTCCCCGCCACGGCCCGTCGGACACCACCTCTGTACGGATAGTATTCGGCGGAGCGGGCATCACGGGGTCCGGAGGAGGAGCGAGGCAGCCACAGAGGAGCCAGGCATGTGCTGTAAAGTGGCAGGCTGGGCGGCACGTGGCAAGTACTGATATGATTTATTTTATTTTCTAGTTATTCATTTATGCTTTTTAGTCTTTGTTCCTCCTGAATGCCGAATCTGGATGGGCAGGTTTGGTGTCGTCGGTACCTGGGAGGACAGGATCTCGGTGGTGCCTGTTAGAAGGGTTATAGCGAGCCACTGAACCCACTGAGCCGTAGGGCTTTCCCGTTCCAGTTTAATCGCAGGCCCCGGCGCCTACATACGTCCCCTGGAGCATGGTTTTTAGTGGCCCTCTGACCTAATGAATTGCAGCAGCCAACTGCATAAGTAAAAAGCAGATGGATGAAAATAGAGTGGGCTGCAACATGAGTTTGTCCCCGTGTTAGGTACCTGCCTACCTGTAAGATCAGTGAGATGCCTGAGAGAGGTGAGATGTCTGACAGGGGACGAATACATCTTGCCGCCCACTACAAGGAATTTTTCTTGCATGGCATTGACAAAAATGAAGCAAGACAATCATGACGTGCGATGCGCCCCTTTTATCTCCTCCCCTTTTGTCGTAGCTGCCAGTCGCAGTATCTCGCTCGACTCATGGCAGCGTGTGGTGGCTTGGCAAGGGAGGTCAGTTGTGCCAGACTTGCGTGCGGCCTTTGGTTCTTATATGTTAACGCTATTCCTTGTTTCTGTAAGGAATATTTTTCTCTTTAGTTTCTGTCTTTGCCTTGTTATGATCCTCTGAAATAGTTGGACTGTCACCGTTTTTGACATGGAACAAGGGTCGAGGGCAGATGTGATATCTTCTGGCATAGCTGTTCTAATGAGCAAAATTCCGTCAGAAAGCTTGCCCATCAAAGCGCATGCCCACTCCTCCCGCGCAGGTACATGGGGTGGATGGGTACGTGATTTACAGGTTTTAGCGAAACCAGGCAAGCTGGATTGCCAGGCGGCCAGGGAAGGTGAGGAACTCATCCCCTTTTTTTTTTTTTTTTTTTTTTTTTGCCTTTCCCCCCCTCCCGTGAGTTCTTTTTCTCGACCGCTTTCCTTCGCCTTATCTCCTGTATGCAAGGTCGTTGGCTAACACTGAGGATAAGCGCAGCAATGGCCATCGTTTTGTGTTATCGGCAGTGAGAGTTTTAGTGGACAATAGGCCATTTTTTAGTAGTTGTAGTTAGTCGGCGGTGCGTGTGGGCCATTCCATGACTTCTTCGGGGCTTCGCCGACCCCACAAACTCGTCGACGGTTGGCTGATTTTGGCCAGCTTGCCCTGGCTTCGACCTGCTGGGGCTAGCCGGCTGCCAGAACAGAACCTGCAACAACCTCGAACGGCCCCAATCTGCAGGAAGGTGGTAGCTGAGTAGGTACCCTTCCACACCCAGAACTTCATCTGCTGCCTCTTTTTTTTTCTCCGCCGTTTGGCTTGTCCCCTCTTTCTCTCATCGTGCTAACTCAACTCAGCTATCGCCTGGTCGCCCGCCCTGCAGCATCTCCTCCACACTTTGCTAGGTCGCAGGCAACCTTTGTCTCGCAACTCGTCCTGCACTGCACCAGCAACCGGTCCTCGGTACCTTTCATCTGCCTATCTTACCTTACCTACTAAGCTATCGACTAACCTTGCTCAGCCCATCCCACCAACTCACTGGCCGAGACATCCATCTTCAACAACACATCGCCAGCTGACCGGCAAACCAAACCCTCGAAACGCCGTCTGCCCGCAATTCGCCGTCTGCCAACTGTCGCCCGGCGCCTTCCCCTCCCTGCGCAATCTTGCCCTCGACATCACATCCAGGCTCCTCAATCACCACCACGCTTGAGAACCTCGCTCCCGCCAATCGGGCCGACCGGGCTGCTGCCTCTCATCCCAGCGACCACTTGTCGCCGCCTCATATCTAACGGACAGTCAGACTGTCCGATGCGGTGCTGACTGGCCCGACCCTGGACGATGCCATGGCTTCCTTCAACTCCATGCCGGTAATGAATGCCACTCCGGCACAGAACGAATCGATCGCCATGAACCACGCCCGCCAGTCCATGACCATGGATGCCTTCGACCAGGACCTCGGCGGCTTCGATGAAGCCCTTATGTACGTTCATCTTCCACTCTCACCTCGACCCCTGCCGCCAGCCGTGTCGCGCGACCACGTTGCGTTCGCCAAACCTGCTAAGCGCTGACCTTTCAAAATAGCGATACCGGTCCGCTCCCCACACTACCCTTCGCGCCTTCCTATGACTTTGACAACTTTGCGACCACCTTTGAGGATCCCTTCTCTTACTCGACCCGCCAGTATGAGCCTACGCCAAACCAGGATGTCCTTCACGAGGACTCTTCTCCGCAGGACCTCGACAATAAACTCCTCGGCTTCTCCGACCCTGTCATGAGTGCCACCATTGTCGATGACGCTGGGCAATTCGCCGACATGGCCATGTCTGCCGAGCTCTATGGCATGTTCTTTGTCGCTGAGGATGTCTTTGGCGGCGAAACCACAGGCCGTCCTCTCGAGCTGACCTGCTACCGCCGCAACCTCTGGCAATGCGCCGGCCAGATCACCCTGTCCCGCACCATTTCTCACATCATGGATGAACAGGGTCGTCAAGTCCCTCTAGTCGAGCTCTCTGCCTCCATTAACGCCCTCGAATCCATCGAGGGTAAAATTACGGAGATCATATCCATCCCATGGAAGAGCTCTAATCCACAGGCTGGCGAGGACAGCAAGGTTGCAACTGCCCCGCCCAACGTCAACATTGACTTATCTGCCGGCCAGGAGCTGGATGCCAACCGTGTTTCGATCCCTGTCTCGTGGAAGAGGCTGCAATTCAAGCACGCCACGGCTAATAACGGTCGCAGAAAGGGCTTGCAGCAACACTATGTCGTTCAAATTAGTCTCCTCGGCAAGGCCAAAAATGGTGAAACGCTCAAGATTGCCGAAATTCAATCAGGGCCCGTCATTGTCCGCGGCCGTAGTCCTAGGAATTTTGACAGTAGAAAGGACGTGCCCCTCTCAGGCGATAAGCGCATGGAAAGAAAGAACACGGCCAGCTCCGATGGCACCACATTAAAGGTCGAAAGAGAACACCTCCAGGCTGCAATGCAGAGATATCACACTATGCCTGGAGCTATACCGGTAAGGCAGCTGCTGGATGCCTGGCATATATTCGCCATTGCTGATTGACAACAGAATCCCAACGATTGGGCGACCCCGCAACCCGTGATTCAACCAACCCAAAGTCCACACCCCGCGAAGCGAATGGCTTTGTCACCGACTGTAAACAAGCCACCGGTACCAGCATGGAACCCTGATGCGCCGCGAACAGCCTCCGGCCACCGCGGCTCCATGTCGAGGCCGCGCGAGGCTGGCGCGCCCATCAACCTGTCTCTCTCCGAAGATGAAAGAAGTCCCAACCGGTCGAGCGCAGAGCTGCAGAGTCCGAAGCTCGGCAAATCGCATCCCGCCATTGGTCAACACTCTGCTAGTAGTCCAACAGAAGAGGCGGACCCGTTGTACGAGTACTTTCCTCTCAGTGTCGATGATTGGTATGCCTTTCCCGCGACCCGTTCGCGATGTTTGTGCTTGCTGACAAGATTTAGGATGCCCCCAGTAGACGCCGTGTACAGGCCCCACGTAGTGCACCATACGCATGAGCCGCTTGAGGTGGTCGAGGCGAAGCGCGGCAAAGCGAAGCGATACTTTTTAGCAGATTGAGACCGAACCGCATTCTACCAACGGCAAAAGACGATCACGCATCGACGAATAACCCTGTATCAATATTACGTTGTACCTGAACACGCCAGCGTTTGGCCATGAGAGGGTATGGCATCACTTTCAACTCGCGTTGGGTATGCGGCTGCTGCATGCCCCGTTTTGAATAAGCAGGCCGACCATTGTTGGATATATTGGTTGCTGCTTACTTTCTTTCCCGCCTTTTATACCCTAGGGTCGTGTTGTTTTCTTTTCGTTTTTCTCTCTTTCGCAGCAGCGTCTTGTGTTAACGCCAACCTTTGTCCTGTAGTTGCAGGGTCCAATATATGGGAGAATTGTATATACAACATCTTTCTTTCTGTTTCCGGTCCCTCTTTCGGTGTGGTGGGAGGATCGGCTTTTGGTCACAGGTTGAAGAGTCTTTTTTGTTTGGTATCAAGGAAGAAATATATAAACTGATTTCATTGCAGCGCACTCGGTGTCTTGATCGTCGAGGTGGAGTTGAGGGCTCCCCATGGGCCAGGAGGGAGGGAGAGAGAAAGAGAGTCAGAGAAACCGGTTCGTTTAGTATATACACGACTCATGCCCGATGCAGGCCTGCACGATTTGCATCAAGACCTGGCACGGCGGCCGTGGAGTTGTGATGCAAGGGGAGAAGCCAAGGTTCTTGTCGACCGTGCCAACAACCGTGCTCTCCGTGTCATGTAAACAGCTGCGGCGCGGGGCGCCGCGGGCCTCTCCCTCTCCCTTTTGGTATCCCAGAATGGAACCCCGTCGGTCTTCTCCCCGCAGTCACGAACAAGGACTGGGCAGTGACGAAACTCGCGGTGAGACGAGACACACAGAGATGGATAAAGGTAGAAAGGGGTTCGAGCATGAAACTTCTTCTTTGTGTGGCCTTGTACTTTTCCGACTTTTTCCACTCATATGCCTTGGCCCCCCCCCTTGTAACGTAACGTAGCCTTTCACAGAGCGGCTGGCGCTTTCTCGGTCATGCAATACAGTCAACGGCCGTGCATTGCAGACAGTCAGGCCACGGGCAGCGACAACGGAGAGGATGAATATGAGATACATAGACCGCGGGATATGTAGGAACAAAGTTCAGCTGCATACGCATTACCCTTCAGGGGCGTGTGGAAGAGTGGCGGTTTTCAAAGGGGCGCGGCCAATAACTGTCCAAGTTCCGGTATAGACTGAGGGGGCGTGCTACTTTATATCGATCGTCCCGCACCTCGGAAAGGCTAATTGCTTTAGCGAGACATTTCGAAACGTGGTATCATAAGTATATTTTGTTAAGAATGTAAAAAATACAGATTTCTAGAGTGGTAAAACGCAGCATAACCCAAGAAGAAAAAAACACCACAAGGACATGGGCCTTGTTTCTTGTTCAGTCTAAGAAGCAAGAAGAAAACAACAAACATCATGAAATCTTTCCAATCATGTCGCAAGACTGGGTGAGAAGCTGCAGAGACCGCAAAGGAGTTTAGGCATTGACTGCGTTGGCCTGCTTGGCGGCCTGTTGGTCGGGGTTGGGTGTCAATCTTTGGTTGAGCGCGGGCTCCGGGATGCGAGAGGCCATGCGGTCCGGGATCAACTCCGGAGAGACGGAGCGGACGGGATATTCGGTGGCGGGAGTGGCACGGAGGAGCTGCGAGGTAGTGGGCTGGGGTGCGAGGATGGTCGGGGAGGAGACGGTGTCGATGCGTGTCTCGGGAACGGGGCCGTTGCCGGTGCGGACCTTGGAGGGGAGGATTTGCTGGAAGCCAGCCTCCTGGGCGACCTTTTCGATGCTCTTGAAGTACTGTTGGGGGATCTGTTAGCCTCCGTGTATGGGATCATGGTTTGCGACTGGGGAAGAGTTGGCATACCTTGACGGTCTTGACCTGAAGCTCGAGGGTGGCATCCTCGTCAGCGACAATCATGGGGTGGGGGTGCAGCTGGAGGCTGGAGAGCGTCCACATATGGTTCACACCCTGCTCGATGCAGCGCTGGAGGGCGAGCGACTTGCGCTGGCCGAGGATGATGACGACGACCTCTCGGGCCTCGAGGACGGTCTGGACGCCGACAGTGAGCGCCATGCGGGGCACCTTGTTGATGTCGTTGTCGAAAAAGCGCGAGTTGGCGAGGATGGTGTCGTAAGCGAGCGTCTTGACGCGGGTGCGACTGGCAAGGCTGGAGCCAGGCTCGTTGAAGGCGATGTGGCCGTCCTCACCGATGCCAGCGAGGAAGAGGTCAATGCCGCCAACACGCTTGATGGCGTCCTCGTAGGCGACACACTCGGCCTCGAGGCTAGGGGCGTTGCCATTGAGGATGTGAACGTTGTTGGGGTGGACATTGACGTGGGAGAAGAAGTTCTTCCACATGAAAGAGTGGTAGGACTCGGAGTGGTCGCGCGGGATGCCGACATACTCGTCCATGTTGAAGGTGACTACATTTTCAAAGGATATCTGGGAGGGGAAAGGTGGTTAGACCTCCGGAAGCTTTGGCCGCAGTGAAAAGAAAAAGCTTGGTTCGTCAACTCACCTCACCAGCCTTATACTTTTCGACCAGGGCCTTGTAAACGCCGAGAGGACTGGAGCCGGTAGGCAGACCGAGAACGAAGGGGTTCTGGGCAGTGGGCTTGTAGGCATTGATGCGATCGACAATGTAGTTAGCCACATAGTTGCTGGTGGCAGCAGCATCGTCGCGGATAATCAATCTCATGATGATGACGTCGTGGGTGGGAGAGCTGTGTGTAGTAGCTTGTAGTACTTGGTGGTGGGGAAGGAAGCTGTCACTGGGCTAGGACAAGGTGTAGAGAGACAAGCGCAGAGGCACCAAGGAGGAACAAGGCGGAAAGAGAATAGAGATGCTAGATATGGCGATATTCAAAAATCTCGATGGACTGAAGAGAAGAAGATGGGGTAAGCAAAAAGAGAGTGAAAAAAAAAAAAGCCTGGGAGTTGGAGAAGGAAGGGGAGCAGAAGGAAGGAGGGTCTGGTGGCCTTGGTGGCCTTGGTGGTCTGGTGGTGGTCTGGTGGTGGTCTGGTGGTCTGGTCAAGGTAGCAGCGGGAAGGTTTGGTGCGGAGTAGACAAACTTGGGAGAATGGCCGCTCCAAAACTTCTCGACTCGGTTAGAGGGCTTCTGTAATGCTGATAGATCGATGATGACAGGGCGACAGCAACAGGCCAATAACACAAGCTCTGGTTTGCAAACGGTGGTGAGCAACTGCTAACAAGTGGCGCCGTAGGTTACAGTTGGTGGGTTGAGCCTTGTTGCTGCTGCGGGCTGGCTGGTGCGCTGGCTGGAGGTACTAAACTGGCCCCGTTTGCACCACTTGTACCCGTCAGCCGTTCCGTCCACCTTCAACCTTGAACCTCACCAGCAAGCAAAACACGCCCGGTCTCACTGCCGGACTGCGCGGCGGGCAAAACCCAAGAATCCCCACCGACATGCCACCGGTGCTCCGGACTGGGGCCACCAACCAGAGCCCCCAGTGGGAGGGATGGATCGAGGTGGATTCTGCCTAGATGCTTTAGCTGATGAGTGTGTCCCTCGCCAGACATGGGAGTGTGGCTCCCTCCCCACGATGGAACGTCACCCGTACGCTTTCTCAGACAAATTCCCTCCCGCACTTTTCCGGACACTGCCAACTGCTTTCCGTCTTCCCCACGTCAGAACGTTGCCCAGTCCCTTGCAACCTTGAAGCTGGGAGAGAAGGACGGTTAATTACTAGGCAGGTCGACCGGCGCATTGGCTCCCTCATTGGACAATAGGCAACGCGCAATGCAGAGGCCCCTGTGGTTGTGCACCCGACGGCACCAAGTGGTTCGGATGTACGTATTTCACATCATGCGATCAAGAAGACAGTTGTTGTCCAACAAGGATGCTTGTCAACCAACCCAAGGAACCGTATCTGCTCCGAGGTAGTGCTCCTCGTTGACGCCATAGACGGGCCGCGCCCTACCTAGTCACTCACCAGTTAAGCCTGCTCGCAGTTATCTCATAAAACTGGCATACAAATCCAAAGAAAATGAACAAACGTATACTGCAGCCTCTTCCGCAAAGGCTAAGCCAAGGTCAAGTGAACCGAAACCAAATTCTATGTCCAGCCAGGCACGGTGAGCTCCGCCAACCCGGTGGTTGCACCAGCCTTGGGGCCGATCCCGATACAACCACCTCGGCCAGCCTACAACGAAAGCAGCCACCTTGACCGAGATGCTACTCCGTATCGTCACATTCAATTGCTATGGATGAGTGGTTTTTCGTACTTGTTCCGTCGACGGGCCCTAAGGTGAAGGGTGTTGCATCTCGGTGACATATCCAGGTCAGCGATGAGCGGAGATCCTACCTACATAGATGCAGGACACTGAGATTGCGCCGAGACAAAGGAACAAGTCGTGGTAACCATGCCTATGAGGACAAAGAGTTGCGGATATGCAATTGAAAGAGTCGGGACAAAACATGTCGCGTCGCCTGCAGCTGTGCCGTGTCAAAAGCAACATGTTAAATCTGGGCGCCCGTATGGTTTAAATAAGCGAAAAAAAAAAAAAAACTATATATGGGCGAGGACGATTGGACAAGCAATTAATATACGATAGAAAGGGTCCGGCATATGTACTCAAAATAGAAGCGAGGCAGTCGCAGCCTCATGTGGCAGTGACGACGGCACGCAGTAGATGTAGAGCACAAGGGGTGGAACTACAACTTAGTTATTAGTTAATCATAATGCTTCTTTTGGCAGTTGTTGCATTGGAAACTGGCCATATTTACAACGAAACAAATCGAAGAAAAAAAAGTATATTGCAATTGTCAACACCAAATGTCAGATATCAAGCCAACCACCAGTGAGACGAGGTGTGTGTTGGTTGCATGAACTGGTGCAGGCACAGTAGGTAACCTAGCGGCGCCAAGGAGCGATGACAGGCGCCATCTGGTCCAAGATGACACAAGTTGGACAGCGGTTCTGGTGGCGGCCGCTCAAAGGGGGACGGCTAATAGCAGCATTCTACTATAACGACAAGGGGGCTTCGCTGAAAAAAGAAGCCAGGTAGTTTTGCCATCCAGTCAAGGGACGTGGACAGCCACAAACCGGTGGGTGAGTTTTTTGGTGCATGGGGAGAACAGCTGGGGAAGGAGTCTTCTTGGCCCCCACGTAGTATTTGGGTTTGAGGCTCCCAGGTTAATATCAGATGATGGCGGCCAGGTGGCAACGACAAAGAGCGAGACTAACATATCAGTATGGCTGTTTTGGGCTTCTTGGGGGTATGATATTCGACCGAGAATCCAACGTTTTTTCCATGCTTGGCAGTGGGTGCTCCGTAAAAAGCCCCAAAATAAGACCGAATGGAAGCCTCCCGGCTGGGTGGCTGGTGCTCCGGCTCCCGCTTGGTTGGGCTGGGCTGGGGGAAGATGGAGATGGGGGTGAGGGAGGCGTGGGTGGCCGCGTGGGAGATTTTGGGTTGTATCATGGCAAAGTAGCATCGGGATGGGCGTTGGGTGAGTGGGTAGGTGGGCGAGTGGGTGTAGTGAGTGGATGACGGGGAGAGGAGGATGATGATGATAATATGTCGATGTTTGTGGGCAATGCGGATCTGCAGATATGCAAGAGAGAAGCTGGGAGTAAGCGGCGCAAGCTGTGTTGTGGCTGGTGAGGCCGTTTGTCCCAGTGACGAATTCCTGACTGGCGAGGATGGAAATGGTGGTTTTTGCGCCTCAAGACGTCTGGGTATAAGAAACACCTAAAATAACCCCCCAATCAATTCAATGCTGCGACTCCGCCTCGCCTACTCCTAGCGCTACATCCCTGGTTGGAATCGCGCTAACGCTAACGAAGTCTTGACAGCACAGCAGCAAGCCTACAGGCACGTCAGGTACGGATACCCCGGTTCTCCTCTGCAGTGCGCGCTGGCAAAAGTCTTCACCCCATCGCAACGTTACAACAATCCCCAGCTTTTCCCACCACCTCCATGTACCTGTTTTTCCTTCCCACCACGAAGCCATTCTCATTGCGGAGTCATCAACAAGCTCGGCGTCTGAAAGGAACCACCCCTTTCGCTTCGGTCCACTGCTGCAAATTAAAACTTGCATCTTCTGATCCGGCAATGAGACGCAAGCAGTCGGGAAATTGGTCAGTGGTTGCTGCTGGGCTGTGCCAGCCGTCGCCGTTGCCCACACACCAACAAGCCACAACCACCACAACCACCATCGCTTGCGGCCACTACGCATCACCACCACCACGCTCATGATCCTGCCAAATACGAGCCTCCCGCCAACCAACCAACCAGCTAGCGCTGCGCCGTTCATTTAGCATACACGCACACCAACAACAAGCATAAGAACGATCTTCTCGATTGTTCGTTCCCTCTGTCCGTTGCACGCCTTGTACCCTCACCCCCTGCAAACGAACACGCCCCCAGACCTCGTTGGCCTGTGACTACAAACACCAGCGCATGCTATCCATCCGCAGTTATTAGGGATACATACCAAGTCTTGGAGGAAACGCCACCACTTTTTGCCGCTTCTCCGTCGTCTCGCCTCGTCTCGCCTTGTCTTCTCCAGGAAAAAAAACAACTCGTGCCACCCGCCAGTGACACTCCCTCCTTCTTCCCCACGACCACCAGACGGGCTCGCAGAGTACAAGGCAGCCTTCTTCTCCCCCATCCATCGGCCGCGCCACGCCAGTACGACTTGGGGCTCCGCATTGCAATCGTCTCTGCGACGTTGGTTTGCCGACCCTGACCTAGTATCTGTCACTTGGGTTCCGTCACTCAGTCCCATACGCCCGCTACCTTAGTAGCTGCCAGACCAAGGGCCTTTCTTCCTCCTTTCTCGCTGGCACCAGGCACGCACACACCAAGCAACCTTTATTTCCTCGCTAGTCTGGCTTTTGACTCCTTCGTCAGCCAAGTCCTACCTGTCCGTCGTAGGTCAAGTCCCTTGCAACCTCGAAAACGGCGGCCCGTTTCTTTGGTTGCTAAAAATCCCCATGCCGCCGGCAACCACTTCCTCTTCTCTTGTTACTACTACCACCTACTTTTAGCAACGCAACAACACACCCACTGGTTCTCGGCCCATATTCTTTCTTGATTGCCATCTCAACTGGTAAAATATACTTGGTTCACAGTCGCCCTGTCAGCAACTAGCATCCTCGGCATCATCCGGAACCCCCCTCTCATCTGCATCTTACTCACCTTGCGTGCTTGCTGCTTGCTGCAACGCACCACGCACGCTTCACGCTGTGCCGGACTAGCTCAACCTTGACGTTACCACCACATGTCTCGGGCCGTCTACACGCATCCAGCATCGTTCCGTCTATCCATCTATGCGCTAGCTTGATCGCAACTTTATATATACCCTCTCACTTCCTCAGGGACCCGCCTGCTCGTCTTGAAAGTTGACCCTCCTTTCAATACACTACATGTTATGCAGCCGCTCGTTTCTGCAATGACCAACTTCAGGAAGGCTTTCTTTGCCGCGCTCGTCAAGAGCTTGCTTCGGGGCAAGTCTCTGATCCAGGCCATCATCGCCTACTGGATGCATCCCTCTGCCTCCAACGGTCAAACTGCGCCGCAAAAGAGCCTCCAGGACTTCCTCAAAGATGCTGAAGCTTGTCTCATTGGCCCGATCAGTGGCGATGGCCTTGTCAAGCTTTCCAGTGACCTGCGGAAACAGTTCTTCGACGGCTTCCAATCTGACGGAGAATCCATGCTACCGTCTTACAGCCATCAGCTTCCTACCGGCCAAGAGCATGGCCAATATCTGGCCCTCGATGTTGGTGGATCGACACTTCGAGTTGCCCTGGTAAAACTATCAGGCCGTAGCTCCTCCACTGTTGGCAGTGATGGCGATATTGTCAGCATGCAAAACTTCAAAATCACCAGAGACATCAAGAACCTTGAGGGCATGGCCTTCTTCAACTGGATGGCCGCTAGAATAAAGGAAACTTTGTCATCTAGCCTTAAGCAGGAAAACGCTATGGATAAACCCATTCCTGTGGCCCTTGCTTGGAGTTTCCCCATCGAGTGAGTTCCCTCCAAAACAACAAGCTCCTGGCAGCAAATGCTAACTTTCTACAGACAAACCTCGCTCGGCGGCGGCAAATTTGGCAGAATGGGCAAGGGATTTCTTGCTGACGTTGGTCTATTGGGACAAGATTTGGGCGACATTATCAAAAAGGCGAGCGAGAACGAGGGGCTCAACGTCGAGCTGCAGGCCATCCTCAACGACTCAAGCGCATGCCTACTCTCCCGCGCCTACTCTCACCCTTCAACTCGATTCGGACTGATTCTTGGAACTGGCGTCAACATTGCTGCCTACATGCCTGTTTCTACCCTTGGTCGTGCCAAGTTTGGTGTTCGCCCAGCCGGCTGGTTCGAAGAGGCCAGCCACGTCATTGTCAACACCGAGCTAGGCATGTTTGGCACCGACATTCTTCCCTTGACTCGATGGGATAAGATTCTTCTCAAGGATCACCCCCGGCCCGACTTCCAACCTCTCGAATACCTGGTCAGCGGCATGTATCTTGGTGAGATTGTCCGTATTGCCATTGTCGAGGCAGTTGCCTCGGCAGGGCTTCTCGGCGGCGTTCTCCCAGAGTCACTTACCACGAATTACACTCTGGGGACCGACACCATCTCTATGATTGCAAGGTATTAAACCCCATAATTCTTGACGGAATTCGGAGAACTAATCTTGATACAGTGATACGACATCAGAACTCACCGAGGCCATCAACCTCTTTTCCGAGCGCCACCCCTCCACCCATACCCCTACCACATCTGACATGGCCGCCATCAAGGCGCTTGCTACCTTCGTGTCCGTCCGTTCCAGCGCTCTCGTTGCCACCTGCCTCTACACCTTGTGGGAGGTTCGTCTCGAGGGCGAGAAAGACTTTGTCAAGACGCTCCCCCAAGACTCGCTCCTGCGCAAGCGGGTCGAGGACGACATTGAGCTCGAGAAGACCACCGTCTCGTTCAACGGGAGCGTCATTGAAAACTTCCCCGGCTACCTCGAGAGCTGCCAGCGATACATCACCGAGCTGCTCCAGAGCAAGGGCCACGCCAAGACGCGAAGCATCGAGCTCGTCATCGCCAAGGAGAGCTCGCTGATTGGAGCGGCCGTGGCTTTAGCATGCATCAACCCAGAGGCATAAACCTGTATTTACAAGACCTCTCCGTCTGCATGATTCTTTGCACATAATACCTCCCTTCATTTTTCTGTTTTTCGCTGTTGGTTTTATGTTGTTTTTGGAGCTTTTGTTTTTACATGCAGCATTTTAGGGTATGCGACCCGAGACGTCAGCATACATAGAGGCGCAGGCTAGCATTGTTTAAAATTGTTTTCCCCAGGCGTATCTTTGGAATTGTTTATACTTCAAGGGGCCAGGAATACATGTTTTTTCCACGTCATTTTCCCGTCGCTCAATGACCGTATCGTAACAGTACACCAGTATGACCAACAAAGACGCCATTCTACGGAAAACACAGAGTTCAAGTAAAAGACTATCCCGCTTGTTATGTCATTTCTATATTTCATGTGCTTTTCCGAAGTGTCTTACTTTGTTGGTATGTTTTGGAGTCATGTAAAGTTTGTCACTTTTTCCTATCCTTTTTGCCATTTACAACTTGTACTAGCTACGAACCTTAGACGCGGGCAAGTGGCTTGCCCTCCTTGATCTTGCGGGCGCCATTCTTCTCCAGGTGGATGGCCTGAATGACAACGAGGCCGGGTCGTGTCCTGTGTATGTATATAGGGTCAGCCTCACGTCCTGAGCACTTCGACGCTATAGGGTAAACTTACCATGGGGGGCCTTTCTTATCCGTAACGCCCCCACTAAAGTGAATTACTTTACGCGCCGCGTCAGGTGACCTCCTGGGTAGTTCGCGTAGCCGCCACGTGAGGCGCGTCACCCAATAGGCATCAACATGTAATTTATCCTGTCAACGGCATTTGGGGGTACCATTACAGGCAATGTCTCTTTACTCGGCTCAATCTTTATATTAGTCTTTATGTTCATTATATAAACGCAAACGGTCGGATTTCAAATCGAATTATACAACTTTTATACAACTTGCCCGACAAGACCACAACATGGGCGAGGGGCTGTTTAGCGAATGCGCGATCGCGTTCGTGCCAAGCAGCTCACTGACACCAAAATCCATAAGCGAGGTACGCAAAAGCGGAATCCAAGACCTTTTTATTGTCTATTTCATTCCCTCGAGATGCGACTAACTAGAGGCCTCGACAGCTTACAGCCATTCTCGAGGACAATGGCGCAGAGGTTCTCGAGCCGCGCCGCAACGGCACCATCGCAATAGACAAGGCTACGCATGTCGTATCTAATACAATCGACTTCCAGCAGTACACCGAGACACAGGCCTTCATGATACCCGTCGTGACAACGCACTGGATCACGGCTTCAGTCGCCAAGCGGCGCGTCGCGCAGGCGCGGCCTTTCTCACCAGACCCGCGCCTCATCTTCGCCGAGGTAGTAGTGACATGTGCGGACCTACCCGCGACGGACAAGGAGAGCATTCTTGGCGCAGTCATGGCCCTTGGAGGTCAGGAGAGCAAGGATGCGACCCGGATCACAACGCATGTATGCGCCCTCTCTATGGACCATCCCAAGGTTCAGGTACCTCTCTCCAAGGGATGGAAGGGCAAGGTCGTCCTGCCGCACTGGTGAGCACTGACAAACTCAAGCATCATGTGAGAGGAGCAGTTTTGCTGACATTTACAGGTTTGACGACTGCTTCAAGCTCGGCAAGCGAATCGACGAGACTCCGTACCTGCTACCCGACGTGGAGATTCTGAAAAAGGCTCCAGAGGACGCGCTCGATATCCCCGTTAACGACAATCTGGATGGCGCCACGTCTCCCAACCCACAGTGGCTGCCGTTGCCCCCTGATGACGACGTGGCGCGACCGCCGTGCACTGTCTTCCAGCAACGAAAGGTGCTGCTCGGCTCGGACCTCAGCATCACACCACGACTTGCCAAAACAATTGGTAGCATTATCGTCCACGGTGGCGGGAGGATGGTCGATACAGTGGACGCGTGCGACATGTATATTGGACAGTACCGCGACGGCGAGCAGTATGTCCGCGCCGCACAGTCCTGCAAAGACGTCGGCAACTTATCGTGGCTTTACTACCTGATTGTGCAAAACTCGTGGACCTCGTCCATGCGACGTCTGCTGCACTATCCCGTACCACGAGACGGCATCGAGGGCTTCCGCGATCTCCGGATCACCGTCTCCAACTACGGCGGCGAGACGCGCATTTACCTGGAGAACCTTGTCAAGGCCTGCGGCGCCGAGTTCACCAAGACGATGAAGGCGGACAACACGCACCTTATCACGGCGCGCGACTCAAGCCCAAAGGTCAAGGCGGCGCCAGAATGGGGCGTGGCCGTCGTCAACCACCTATGGATTGAGGAGAGCTACGCCAAGTGCCAGATGAAACCCATCAACATACCCAAGTACAACCACTTCCCACACCGCACGAATCTAGGCGAGATTATCGGTCAAACATTTCTAGACGAGAGCAGGCTGCGGGAGCTATACTACCCAGGCGGCGAGGCCGAGATGACGCGCATTGCTAAGCGCAAGCGCAAGATCCTGGAGGCGGCCGAGGACAATGCCTACCGCGGTGGGCCTGCCGATGGAGTGGTCGTTGCACAGACAGCGCGAGATGTGGATGAAGATGTGCTCATGGAGGACGCTGAGAATTCGTCGCCGCAGAAGGCGGCCCCTATGCCGGTCGAAACGCCGGTCCGGCCGCGCCACGTCCGGTCTGGAAAGGAAAATGATACGCCTTCGGTGGCGTCTACTGGTGGCCGCAGTGCCAAGGCCAAGGCCCGAGACAAGCTTCAAAGCATTGCCCCCGATATTGCCCTGTACGAGAAGGAGAAGAAGCGCTCAGCAAAGGCGACGACCCCATTCGGCGGCAAGCGGGCTACAGATCTTGTCGAGAAGCAAAGAGTCGCCGAGGAGGAAGCACGGGAAAAGAAGGCAAAAGACAAGAGCAAGGACACGATAAAGGAGGACGAGGTGGCAAAGCGACCAAGCAAGAAAGCGCGGCCATCGTTGCCAGACGTTGAGATGCGCATAATTCTCACTGGGTTTACGAGATGGGTAGACGATAAGAATAAGGAGGACGCTGATAGGGTAGGTTGTGCTATAGGATGGGTGTGTCGTGTCTAGAAGTGCTAACCCTATTTCCAGCGAAAATTGCGCGATCTGGGTATACAAATCGTCCAGGAAGGACAGCCGTGCGAGTACCTGGCCGCGCCGCATATCGTGCGGACGGTCAAGTTTTTGTGCGCGCTGGCGCGCGGTCCCGAGGTCATCTCGTCAACTTTCATCGACGTGGCGCTCGAGACGGGCAAGCTACCACCTATCAACAAATACGCGCTCAAGGACAAGGAGGCGGAGAGCCGGTACAACTTCACGCTAGACAAGTCAGTCGGGCGGGCCAAGGCGAACCGCGGCCGACTACTGCAGGGTGTAGCAGTGTACTGCACCGAAGGCATCAAGAATGGGCCCAAGAACTACCAGGTCATCGCCGAGGCGAACGGGGCCATCTTCAAGATTTACCGGGCGCGCAGCGGCACCACAATCAAGCCGACGACAGCGGAGCAGGACGGGGGCGCGCCGCCGGACCCGGTGTACCTCCTGAGCGGCGCGAGTGCCGAGGAGAAGAGCATGTGGCCTCGCTTCCGTGAGATGGCGATCAAGGGCCACATGGAGCCGCGCATTGTCGCGCCGGACTGGCTACTCGATGTGGCCATGGCGCAGCAAGTACGGTACGATCCGAAGTTTGCCGTAGAGAAATTCTGGCAGAGAGAGTAAGGGGCGCAGCGCTTCCAGTCTCATGAAACCCTTTTGTATCTTTGGTTTTGCTTGGTGACAGCATTGGGCTGCTTATATAGAGGTCTCCGGAGTAAGGAGGTTTTGGGATGTGTTCTTTTTCTTTTGCCTTTTTGAGTCTTGACTTGCTTTGTATCAAGTATACCATGTTGCAAATGATGATGTAACTTTTTTTCAAGTATCAAATCAGAAGAATTTGACACCAAGCGAGTCTTCTTGACCGAATATTTGCGCCTTGCCGCGCTTGACCAGGACGTTGAGCGCTTTGCGTAACACTTCGCTGTCGATGCCATGGAGCTCTATACGAGTCATTAGCAACACGGCCACAAATTTCGTTCCCTGTGGGTGCGAGCATGGAAGACGACATACCCGTATTGCGCGTCGCATCACCTTCAGAGATCTCATACACGGTCAGGACGCTGCCCCTTTGGCCCGTGTCCTCGACGTAGGCCTCGACGAGGGCCGCCCACTCCTCGGGCTTTCGCCAGTACAGCAGGGCGACGTCCTGCCCACCGTCCGGATGGGCCGCCCCCGCCCCCGCCGTCAGGTACTCAGCCTGGCCGTCCTTGACCATGGCGTCGACGAGCTCGCGAATGTCGGCGGCCTGCAGGCGGCGCTCGAGGCGGCGGTTGCGGAAGAGGTCCGACTCGGCGGCCTCGGAGAGGCGCAGGCGGAAGAGGCGGTGGTGGCGGGCGTAGGCGAGCACGAGGGCGGTCCAGGTGCGGAGCTGGGCGTGGCGGGTGGCGAGGTTGGTCTGCCGCGTGAAGAAGGCCGGGAAGAAGTACTCTTGCGGGAACTTGAAGTCTTGGGCGGCGGTCGCGGTGACGGCTGGCTGCAGCGGCTGCGTTTGCGACATTGTGCGCAGAGGGTCGAGAAGGGAAGGGCTGGCGGAGATGCTGCCTTTCGGGTGAAGGAGGAGTTTTCTCGGAGAGAGGACCGACTACGGGTGTAAAGGTACGAGGATGTGGCGTAGGTGGTGAGATGCAGGTGTGCAGCGTTGAAGGTTGAAGATGGATGGAAGAATGGAAGAATGAGCTCAGGCTGTGTCAAAGTGGTCTTGTCTTGGCGGGGGATTTTGGTGGTGGGGTGTTTACTGGCCCATCACCCGACCTCCAGGCTGCAGCACCTACCTGCAGCATTTATTAAAACATGCGGCGAGCATTTTACGCGAAAAGATGAAATGTCTGAAATACAGAAAATTCATACTCATCAGAAAGCACGAATACTCGAGCTACGCGAGAACCTACCCGACACTCCCTACGCGCAGCGCATGCATGTGCCATGTGCAGGGACGTTATTAGCAGATATCAGCCCAGCCAATCGGGTGTTGCTGATACGCACCAGCCGCGACCGCCCGTTTGGCCCCAACAAGCGATCGCCCTCTCTCCCTCGCCCACTCAGATAAACAACAAGCCATCGGAAAGGATAATTGCGCAGTCCACAGATAAGCTGCAGTGTCACGACCCCCCTCCCCCCATTTAGCCTTCCGAACTTTGCTTCTCCGGGGTTTCCTGGGGTTCGGCAGGAGATGGAAAACTCGTCTTATCATGCGACATATACACGCACACACACCTCGGCGAATCGCGCCGCAGTGTCAGGCGTTCGGTGCGTGGCCGGACCTTATCAGGTCTCACTATACCTAGCCATAACCGATCCTTGGATGCGATAATGCTGCGACCGTGCTTCTCCGCGGGACGATGCTGGCTCCTTTTTTTGGTTATAGCCCGATGGTGATTGGCAGATACAGTATGCACCGCATTGTGGGAAACAGCCCGGCATATCATAAGATGTCTGGTCCCTACATGCCGCCCTGCACAAGTTTGCATTCTTCAACATACTTGATGCTATACTGCACATCATGACAGAACGAGATCCTCCTCGAAAGAGGCTAGTTGTTGTCGGCCTGGGCATGGTGGGCATTTCCTTCATGTAAGTCGTCTCATGCAGGTTGATCGTGGCCGCATTTCTAATTGTCATGCAGAGAAAAAATTCTGAAATACGATACAAAGGAGAGAGAGTACGACATCACCGTCCTCGGCGAGGAGCCGTACCTAGCATACAACCGCGTCGGACTCACCAGCTTCTTCAACCACCGCGAGATCCCTAACCTCTACCTCAACCCACAAGAATGGGTACGCCGACCGCTACACTTATCTACCTAATACAATTACTAACATAAGTTGCACAGTATGAAACTACCGCAAAGAAAGGCCTTGCATGCCACATCAGCACCAAAGTCGTCGACATCGACACAGATTCCAAGACGGTCCACTGCGAAACTGGCCACAGCGTGCCCTATGATATCTTGGTCCTTGCCACTGGCTCCAATGCCGTACTTCCGCGGCGCACACCTGGCCATGATGCCAACGGTGTCTTCGTCTACCGCACCATTGACGACCTGGTTCGGCTGATCGCCTTTGCTAAGGACAAGGGCGAGACGGACGGCGTAGTTGTGGGCGGCGGCCTGCTCGGCCTCGAAGCCGCCAATGCCATGATGGATCTGGAAGTGTACCGCAAGGTCCGTCTCGTCGAACGGAACAAGTGGGTGCTGAGCCGCCAGCTGGACGCCGACGCCGGCGACATGGTCGTGGAGCAGATTCGCCAGCTCGGCCTAGATGTGATGCTAAGCAAACGCGTACAGCGCATCCAGGTCGACGCCTCGAACAACGTCCAGGGCGTAGTGTTTGAGGACGGCGAGGAGCTCTCCTGTAGCACCGTGTGCTTTGCGATTGGTATCAGCCCGCGGGACGAACTCGCGCGCAACGCTGGCATCGATTGTGCCGAATTTGGAGGCATCGCCGTCGACGACAGCCTGTGCACCAGTGCACCAGGCGTCTACGCTGTTGGCGAGTGCGCGAGTTGGCGCAAAACCACGTACGGCCTCATCGCACCCGGCGTGGAAATGGCCGACGTACTGGCCTTCAACCTGACACAGGCAGCCCTGCACGCGCCGCGCGTCTTCAAGCGTCCCGACGTGAGTACCAAGCTCAAGCTTCTCGGCGTTGACGTGGCAAGCTTTGGAGATTTCTTTGCCGACCGCGACGGGCCAAAGTATCTACCTCCGAAATACATCCGCGACATCAAGGCTGCAAAAGGCGACGGGGCTGCCCTTACGGCGGCGGACAAGCAGGCCAAGATGCTCACGTATAAGGACCCCTTCCAAAACGTGTACAAGAAGTACATTTTTACAGCCGATGGCAAGTACTTGCTCGGTGGCATGATGATTGGTGACACGAGCGACTACATCAAGGTCGTGCCGCTGGTCAAGAACATGAAAGAGCTCGATGTCTCACCCGCCGAGTTCATCATTGGCAACAAAAAGGGCGACGACGAGAATGGGGATGACTTGGACGACGACACGCAAATCTGCTCCTGCCACAACGTCACCAAAGGCGACGTTGTCCAACAAGTAAAGAGCGGCGAGTGCAAAGACATTGCTTCCGTCAAGGCCTGCACAAAAGCTGGTACTGGATGTGGAGGGTGCATGCCGCTCGTGACGCGCATCTTTAACAAGACCCTGACCTCGATGGGCAAGGAAGTGACCAACTATCTCTGCGAGCATTTCAACTACTCCCGCACCGACCTCTTCAACATCATCATGGTCAAGAAGCACAAGACATTTTCCCAAGTATTCGCCGACGCCGGCAACAAAGGCAGCACTGCTACCACCTCCCACAGCGTGGGATGCGAGCTGTGCAAACCTGCCGTAGCGAGCATCTTTGCTTCGCTCTGGAACAAGCACGTCCTCAGCGCGTCCAACCGCGGCTTGCAGGACACAAATGACCGGTACCTTGGCAACATCCAGCGCGATGGCACCTACTCGGTCGTCCCACGCATACCTGGCGGCGAGATCACGCCCGCAAAGCTGCTCGCCATCGGCCGTGTTGCTGAGGCGTATGGTCTTTACACGAAGATCACCGGCGGCCAGCGCATCGACCTCTTTGGCGCGCGCAAGCAGGACCTCCCCGCCATCTGGGCCGCGCTCGGCGCCGCAGGGCTCGAGTCGGGGCACGCGTACGCCAAGTCGCTGCGAACCGTCAAGAGTTGCGTCGGCTCGACGTGGTGCCGCTTCGGCATCGGCGACTCGGTCGGACTGGCCGTGCGTCTGGAGGAGCGGTACAAGAGCATCCGTGCTCCGCACAAGATCAAGGGAGGTGTCAGCGGCTGCGTGCGTGAATGCGCAGAGGCCCAAAGCAAAGAGTATGTTCGAAACCGCACCCTTTTTGCCAGGAAGAATGTCGCTAACCGGCAACAGCTTTGGTCTGATTGCCACAGAGAAGGGTTTCAACGTCTTCGTCGGCGGCAACGGCGGCGCAAACCCTAAGCACGCCATACTGCTGGCCAAGGACGTGCCGCCAGCCGACGTCGTCGCCCTCCTCGACCGATATCTCATGTTGTATATCCGTACCGCCGACAAGCTGCAACGGACGGCGCCATGGCTTGAGGCCTTGCCTGGTGGCATCAACTACCTCCAAGACGTCATAGTGCGTGACAAGCTGGGCATCTGCGCGAGCCTCGAGGCACAGATGAAGGAGCTCGTCGACAGCTACTTTGACGAGTGGGCCGATGCCATCGCCGACCCGGCCATTGCCGCCCGCTTCACGCAGTTCGACAATGCCCCTGAGGCGGCGCTCCCTAGCATGGAGCAGCAGTCGGATCGCAGCCAGAGCCACCCGGTACACTGGACGACCGAGCCCGCCGCCGAGGACTTTAAGGCATTGGGCACGCAGTCTGGAAAGGAAAATGGTGACGCCACCTGGTCCAGCACCGCCTGGGAGCCTGTCATTTCCGCCTCGCACTTTGACGGCGCCGACGAGCTTCCCAACGGCATCTCCGCCACCATCAAGCGTGGCGACACACAGCTTGCCGTGTGGCGCGTCCGTGGGCGTTACTACGCCACGCAGCAAATGTGTCCGCATAAGCGCGCTTTTATCCTCTCCGACGGCCTCATCGGACAATCGTCCTCGACCGGCACCGTCTCCGTCGCCGACGAAAGCGGAGCTGCCCCGGCACCCTGGGTCTCGTGTCCGCACCACAAGCGGAACTTTGACCTGTCCTCAGGCTCGTGCCGCAACGACTCCTCCCTGTCGATTGCCACGTTCGCCGTCGAGGAGCGTGCCGACGGCCAGGTACACCTGCTGCTGCCGCCTGTGGAGGAGCTCGACGCCCGGCTGGGCACGAGTACGTGGAGGGTGAAGAAGGGAGAGAGCGGCGAGGAGCCCCTGGCAGCGCTCGACCGCAAGTACAAGCTCGTCGGGCGCAGGGGCAGAAGGCCGGGCTCTGCCGTTGCGCCCATGGCGGCGCCGACACCGTTGATCACGGCTGGCGGAGGAGGCGGGTGCGGCGCGGCGCCAGACTGGTAGAACGATTTTGTATGCCAAGGAGTTTTGCAATTTGTAGATCAAGTAGCGGGAATAGAAATGTCAAGCATAGAGTTTTGAATGATTTCAAGCAACTACCTATATTCATACATGCGGGGCGTGCTGGATCTTCATTTTCAGTAACCACTGTGCGCAGAAGTCGCGAAATCAAGTTTGGAAAAAGACAAGAAAGATAGGGGGGAATCTACCAATGCTATCTGTACATGGCATTGAATAACCTAGTTACAAAAAACAATATCCAGCAAAATGAGGAAATGAAATGCATGAAAAAAAAAACGCCGTCATCCAAGAGCATGGAACATGGAGCCCGCAACAGTTTTTTGAAACATCTTCTCAACAGACCAAAAAGGAAAAAAAGCAAAGAAATTCGTCCATCCATTTTTCCGTCTCCCGTCTCTCTTTGTCCTTGTTTTATCCCACCATGTCGTTGTTATACAAAAAGCAAGAAAATATGTCACGGTGAGTCAAAGCCCAGACCCCAGATAAAAAATGCCGATAAGACGCGAAACCCCTGGTTCATTTGTGTCGAGTAAGGAAAATAGGGAAAAATGTAAGCAGGAAGGAGTGTAGAGAAGAAGAAGAAGATCATATGTCAGAGCGGGGAGGGGGGGGGGGTCATTTTGTGTTGGCTAGCCGGAGTCATCATCGCTGACATCGGTAAGTGTTCCGTAGCCCGTGTCGACATCCATGCCGACGAGGCTCTTGGTGATGGTGAGGCAACGCTCAACAACCTTGGCGCGGGTGTCGGCGTCGATGCCAGCATTGGAGCCGCAGGGGCCACCAATCCACACGCGGAGGGTGGCCGCGAGCTTCTCCAGTGAGGCATCCACAGCGTCATCTTCGCCGCGGCGCTGAGCCATGACTCGTTCGAGTAGCGTCATGACGGCCGTGAAGCCGAGAAGTGTCATGGTCGAAGCCATGACGGGACGGAGTGAAGCCTCAATGACACGGAGGCTCTTGCATGGCGACACTGCAGCGTCCTGCCCGCGCGAGAGCTGGCCGAGGGCCACGGCACTTCGCAGGGTCAGTAGCAAGTCGGGGTTTGATGCGTGGATGCTCGAGCCAATGACGACCTTGGCTTCGTGTTTTGGGGTCTCCTGGCGCTCAGTCCCTAGCAGAGTCAGAGACGAGGCAATGCTGGCCCCACGAGACTCGTCGACGAGAGTGGCGCAGGCCAGAGAGGCGCGTAGCTTGGCGATGGAGCCTGGCGGGGCGACGTTGAGAGCCGTATCGAGGTCCTCTTTGTTGACCTTTTTTGTGTCGAGGGCTTCGGTGAGAACATCGTGCAGGAGGCAGGTAGAACACCAAGCGGCAGCCGCATCCAGGGGGGTACCAACGTAAATATCGTATACAACAGAGTCCATGCCATCAATTTTAGGGACTGCTCCATCGGTGGTATCCTTGTGAAAGGCGAGGTTGTATGCGCGGTGCACAACGGCGTCAGTGAGGACCTCATCACAGTCACGTTCCACTAGAGCGACGAGGTGCTCAGGAAGCTCATCCTCGTGTGGTTTCGTAGGGTCCGTTCGAAGCTGGAGGAGAAGCTGGTTGAGCTGACGAGCGCTATTCCATCTAGACCGAGCGATTTTGGCGGCAATCATGTTGGCAGGCACAAACCTCGTCTGGCCGAGGTTCCAGAGCAACACGCGAATGTGCAGAGCCTTGAGCATGAGTCGTACCGGCGTATCGGGAAGCGTGTCTGAAGCCATGAGAGTCAACAGTAGGCGGCGGGTGCAGACCTCAGAATCGCCTCCAGCAAGTTGTGAGTCGAGTGCAATGGACCAGGCCTTAATGCGGGCCGTTTCCTCTTCTTGAGTTGTGCCGGTTAGCATTTGGTAGCCATTCCAGCCAATGGCGTTGCGTAAACTGAGCTTGGCCATCTTAAGTAGCAGCGCAGCAACCTCGAGGAAGAAGTTGTGGCGAGGCACCCAGACGGTCTGAATGGCCGTGGCCCATGCCTGTCGTCGAACGTGTATCGGGGCTGCCATGGAGGGAGCGGCACGCAGTTGACCAGCGCCGCGCTTCTTGGGGTTGCTGTCGGAAGATTGGAAGAGCGAAGGCACAAAGATCCAGAGGAAGACGCCGAGGAATAGGAGGGATTGAATAGAGGTGTGAACGTGGTATCCGTGGTAATTGAAATCGAGGCCCTTGGCAGCAGTGCGGAGCAGCTGCACGGGAATGGCAGCTAGGCCGCGACCTTCTGGGGTTTCGTTGCTGACTTCGTCCTCGCGGAAAGCTTCGATAATCATGAGGCCGGCGAGGGAACCAACCATGAGCTTGCCAAAATAGGGGCTGGCATTGGACCAAGCACCTTGCTGCTGCTGGACCTGCTGTTGCTGAATCTGCTGTTGGCGAACAATGGCGGGGTTGGCTCCCTGGAAGGCTTGCTGCTGCGGTACTGGGTAAGGCTGTCCAGCAGCCATTTGGGCAGCAAGAATGCGCCTCATGTCGTCAGGGACCTGGATCATGCCAGCAGGCGTCTCGCCGTTTTCTTGTTGGGGAATTGGACTCTGCAGGAAGTTTGACTGGCCTTCCTGCGGGAAGGGCATCTGTGGGGGTGGGTGATGAGAGCTGATGGAGCCATTCATGGCACCAGCCATGAAGAGCTTCTCAAAGGCAGCTATCCTAGCCTGCATGGCGTTGTTCTCTTCCAACAGCCTAGTGTTTCGCTTTTCGAGATGGCGGATATATTCGGTAGCTTTGCTTAGGACCTGAAAGAGCATGGAATTAGCTTGGAGTCATAGACGGAGGTCTTGCAACATGTCATACGGTAGCCTTGTTTAATTTGTGTGCGGGGGTGAGGCCGTGAAGTTCTTCACGATCCTGGGTGGTATCTTCGCCGCGGGCGCTCTTGGACATGATGCGTAGACTGGGGACGCTGTCTCTTAGGGCGGCAATCTTGTCGTTGATGTTTGTTCTGTAGCGCTTCTCAATCATGTTGTGTGCGGTCTTCTTGACAGGCTTGTCCTCGTCTTCGGCATCATCGTCTTCTTCCGGCTCTGAAGATACCTTACGCTTCCTCGACTCGTGTTGTCTCGCTTCGGAGGCATCTTCGGGGGAGGAGATGATGCCAGCCTTGGTTTCGCTCTTGGAGGAATCCGGGCTGGACATGTGAAGGATTTGGCGGGGTAGACCGCCCGGCATGGCGATATTTCGAAGCTTCTCCTCGACGGCCGGGGCCAGAGAGGTGGAAAAGCGAGGCGGCTGGGCGACGGGTTGGCGGGAGCTGGCGTTGGAAGCCCTGCCGTCTTCGCTAGCCGCGGCGGGAGTGAAGCCGTTGGGATCTGAGCTGTTAGAGAAGAGGTTGATGGGGTTAACGCCAGCCGAGAGGGCCGACTGTGACGAAGCAGATGATGTCTGTGGTTGGTTTTCGAAGGCTTGGAAGGACCAGGGCTGGGGCATGAAGTCGGGCTGAGAAGCGGAGTTGCTGGGGGTGGTCAGGTTATAGGATTCCAGACTGGAGGTGCCTTGAAAGTCCCAGACGCCGTTGGAGTCGAAGAGGGACTTGGTGATGTCGGAGGCGATGAGGGGTTGTTCGGGGGTGGCGGCGGTGGTGGTGAAGACGTCGTTGAAGGACAGAGGACCATCGTCGAGAGCCAGCTGGCTGGCGTTTTCGTCTGTGGACATGGTTACGTGTGGCCGTATGTGTGTGAAAGCAAACAAGACCCTTTTGGGTTGATAGCCGTGAGTTGGCGGTGCGGCGGAGTTGGGCAGCTGGCACGAGCAAAAGTCACTCGATTGTGCCCCCAGACGGGCAGGGATTGGTTATAGCAGGACTCCGGCCGGACAGGCGTGCGGTCAAGACGATGCGAGCCCAGGCGAGAGGGTGACGGCACGGGCAAGAGCGGGCGAGAAGCGGAACGGGCGTGGTCGTCGATCAGGATAGGGCCGGCCGCTTTCTCCCGGGCGAAGGGTTGCGAGGCGTGCGGAATGGGCGCAGCTGAGCGGCAGCAAGCAATAGCAGACGATTGATTGATTGACTGGGTTTTGCAGAGGATGTCGGCAGTTGGGGGATGGCGTCGTCGGCGGGATGCGGCGAAGAGGACGTGTGTCGGACGACTTTGGCGCTAATGGGGTGATTTGGTGACGGAATAGATGAAGAGGGACAAGGTAGCTGGTATCGGGGTGATATGCACGAAGAAGGTTTTTTTTTTTTTTTGCCCCTTCGCTCCCCTGATGAAGGCGATATGCGGTTGCGAGTGAATTGTAAGTGGGAGGGGCTCTGGTGCTGTTTCCGGGCGGGACGGTAGGTATGGATGGATAAGAGTTATGGGTAGGTATGGGTAGGAGGCTTGCTGCCTTGGCGCAGGTAAGTGAAAACCAAGGTAAACAGCTGCCACTGACTGGGTTACTGGGGAGTTAGTACCTAGTAAATAGCTGGAGCTTGGCTGGCTTGTGGAGGGGCGATGTGCTGCTGGGTATGTGTGGCTTGGCTATTTTCTCGGCCGCGGCAGAGAGCGGGCACAGCAGGCTCAGATTCAAATATGGATAAAAATAATCAAAAATGAAGAGGGAAAAAAATGCAATCGGAGTCTGCAGGATCAGATCGGAACTAGGAATCCCGAAAGTGTGGCTGTATGAAAGTCCAATGGGAAAGGCGGGCAAGTTGCCAGTGTTAGTAGGGCAAGAGCAAGTATTGAATTAGTGCCTGGCAGCCTGTACCAACAAATTCGCCCGCCTGGGCCGAAGAATCGCTGAAATGCTACAAGCCGACAGCCGTTGACATTGTGGAGCAAGGCCGTTGCAAGGCCATACGAAGTGCTGCTGCAACACAGACACGGCAGTCAAGACAACAGTGCACAACAGGTACTCGGTAGTCTCTACCGAATTCCTCGAGGCTCGAGGCTCAAGGCTCGTATTCTTTTTTTTCTCAAGAATTCCTTGCTATTGAGAGCTGAGAGCCCAGTTTAGTACCAGCATTGGCGACTTGGTTGTAACTATTCATTCAAGTCAATAGCTCCCTACTAGTAATCTGGCACAGCGGGCTAGTCGGCAGCGGGTTGATGGTCCGGCTGTGGCTGGTAAAAAAAAAAAAAAAAAGAAACAGAAGAAAAAAGAAAAGAAAATAGACGACGGAAAGACACCAAGAAAAAGAGGGTCGTACCCCCCCGTACCCGTACCCGGTCGCGGCGGACGCCGGAATCGTACGATATTCGACAACCATCACGCGAGGCGGGCTTTTCAACTAGGTTTTCTTTTTCATCGCGAGAACTTGAGGGGTCACTTGGCTAGCCTTGTTTTTTCTGCTGTGCTTTGTGCTCTGCTGATGAAACAGACTTAGCTCAGCATAACTTTGGCAGTTACCCAAGTGTGGATGGATATGTGTATGTATGTCGGTACACACACATCTGACACGCATTAACCAACCGTACCTGAAGAGGAGCTACCCTTACCTGTCTGTAGCTTACTGGATAGCTGGATATATGCCCAGCAGCTGGGTACAAGTAACTACCTACCTAGAGATGGAACTCGGTTCTCCACGTTGCTCATGCCGCTGCCATGAGGCGCCCATTACTCGCACAGCGCCGTGGCGCCCCTCTCAATTTACCTGCCCAGTGTCATTCATTTTAACCAGGGACGGACAATACCAAGGTGCCTGCCCATCCGTATCCGTTGTCTATTCGTAGGTGATACCAGGAATGTGGCCCCCAACAATTGAGGCTTGCTTGTCAAACTGCCAGCTGCCAACTGCCAACCTAAAATTATAAATAAATAAATAAAGAAATAAAAGTACGGACGGCAGGTATCGGGAGTCAAAATATCCGGCACTTTCTCAAACGTCACTGTCACACCGAGAGATGGGACAGGGCTGTGTACAAGCACAAGTCACCAGGTCTGAAGACTTTCTCTCGTCTTAACTCTGACGCCAACAAAAACGTGGCTAAAACCTGCGCCGCCACTTGACACAGCTCAGGCTCTGGAGTGCGTACCAGTACTGCACTACGGGTTAGTTAGTTAATGTATGTACGTGCATAGATAGGAGCTGCCTATCACTGACCCAAGCTTCTAACCGTCGCATAATATCAGACGTGGTATTCGTAGGCGGTTCCCGATAGGATAGTTCGCCCATTGCACATGCAACCGATGAGTACCTAGGCATTCCATAGTTACTGTTTGAACGGCCAGGTCCCTTCTCACTGACCTTCTCCCACCATACTAACCTAATCCGTGCCTCATCTCCACTGCAAATCATCACTGCTGGTAATAAGGCAGGAACCATTGTCGCTACAAGTAGAACCCATACAAAACTCTATCTCAACTATCAACTTCCATCCCCAAGTTCCTCATCACCATCCGCACACTCACTCAGGCTCGGACCCAGCTTCGCATCAACCTTCCCTCCTCTCCTCCCTCCTGCCTGATTATTACTTGTCTTCCTTTTTACCCATATTCATGCCCGCGTCTCTGTGGATCTGTCTCACTCATCCAGCTCTGCAGCCGTGCTTCTGCGTCGCCTTGTCCTGTGCCTTGCTCGCCTCGTTTGCCTTGTCTATATCAGCCTGCATTAACGTTCCGGCCGGGTCCGGATCCAACATTCTTACCTGTCATCTTGTCATCCTTCCGAGTTTTTGCCACCTTTTTATGCCGGATGCATTCATTTATGCCCTATTGTTTCCTCCATTCCTGCCTGTTCTCCCCGCTCGTCGATCCTTCGTTTTTCGTTTTCGCGATGTCAAACAACATTCGGCGATCCCACCACCGCGCTCATGTTTCCTCTGTAAATGTTTACATTCCCCCAGCCCTTCTTGGACTTTTTCCTCTCTATTAGTCTCCGTAAATGAAAGCAAAAGAGATGGCTGCGACTTATTGTCAGTCAGAGCCTCCAACTATTCCAGTCTCATGCCAAAAGTCCGTTGCAACAGTTGGAGTCGATCGCTCCGACCTAGTCATCACTCAATCCTTGCAAATTTTATACGCAGTAAGCCCTTGAATCGAGATCGGGCGCCGCCACCAGCTGAAATTTGCATAATTGTACTGTGTAGTGCGACGAGCAGTAGTTGCGAACGAACCACCATCCCCTCATGTACATCACTTCCATTCTTAATACCGCATCTTATATTAAACCTACCATTATACCACCCATTGAGCGCGACCCTTATTATTTACATGTCTCGTTTCAAAAGAGTGGATGCTTTTGTTTTACACAAAAAGCTGGGGCCCTTGGTCCTCTCGATTGGCATGCGTTGTTCAAAAATGAGAGCGGTCTCCCGCGCCCAAGAACCGCATATCAATCAAGTGTTCTAGGCCGGAGGCCGTGGGACTCAAAGACCACAATAGCAGTTGATCAGAACGCACATGTGGTAGCTCGGCGTCGTCGTCGACCGGCCGACGTCCGCGGGCCCTACCCGGCTCCGTCTTTGTTCCGCAGCATCACTCGTCATGGAGCAAGACAACAAATCTACTTGGGTTTCAGGGGTTTCTATTTGACCAGCGTCCAGAAGGGTCAATGTGCTACGCCAAATTGTTAACCATCATCCAGAAAATAGCGGAAGCTATCTAGCACTAGTTTGCTTGGCCTCCACTCACTTGAACGGTTCATCATAGCAACGGGTAACACCGTATCTAACGACAAGTTCCAAGATACAATAACCGTCTTAGATGAAGATCCAATCTCAAGATTATATGCCCACAAGTTTGAATTGATAGTACCCTGCTTCGGCCTCGTTATCAACCGCTGCTCCTCGGTGTCGTGGGCTGTAATGAATTCTCAGGCGCGGAATGGTAGACATTTGACATTTGTACATCGCATTGTTTTAACCGAACAACAACTATTTGCGCAAAAGCCCCCTGATACCTTGAAGAGTGAATGGTTTATGTGTAGAGTCTTAAGTAGCAAAGGCAGCCTTGTCCGAATCAGTTGGGGCCTTCACTCAATATAGCCCCCTCTCGAGAGAGACAGGGCAGTACAAACTTCTGGTGAAGGGCACAAAGAGGGATATGAGAGCATCATTCGGAGATTTTACTTCTTTTTTATTTACTAAGCTACATCGACATCGCGGTTTCAGTATCGCTATGACGCGGCGTAGGTGAGCGACTGTCGTGCGACGAAGGGGAAGCGGATATGGAACGAGACCTGCTCCGCGAATCTATTTGTCCCTGGTGTATCACGGCTTTCCACATGCAAAGGATTATGTTAAGGTATCTTGATTATTGAGGTTTCATCGTAAGAAAAAAATGTCAAAAAGAAAGGCGTCATGGTGAGATGAGCACAATCATCCGCCAACTAATGGTTTGAGCCACGAGATATCTAAGAAACCCTCCGCGTGCTAGAAACGTAGGCAGACATGAGAGCAGAATAATAAATAGAGTCGTATCCAGCAGACTCCGGAAATTGAAAAAGAATGAAAGGAAAAGACAATGTGAGCTATGCAATGTGAGCTAGAATGCAACACGAGCGGGATGTAACGTGCGTGGCTTGTCATCAGTCTTTACCACATATCATCTGCGCTTCGCACCATTTCCACCGTCGGCGTCTTGGGTACCATCTTCTTCATCCTCTTCCTATCCTCCTTGGTCACCAGCGACGGCGTGATGGGTACGCAAGGTGTGTGCGGCTGATACGGCGAGTACGGGACGGCGTTGGCCGTGAACGGTGTGCGGCCGCCGCCCGGTGACAGAGGGCCACGTCGTTCAAACACGGTCTGCTTGGTCGTCTGTCCAACAGCCGAAGGCGAGCTCAAGGACGGCTCGTACGCGCGAAGAGGCAGCGTTCCGCCGGTGCGGACCGCCGACGGCGCGTTTCCTCGCTGGAATCGGGCCCCCGGCCTGGGCGACGAGGGCAGCGTGCCGAAAGTTACGCCGGGCTTAGGCGAGGTCGGAAGGCCCAACAAGGGTGCCTGCGAGTGCTGAGATACGGCCGATTCTGGGTCGCCTTCTGCAGGTGGCGGCGACATGTCCTTGGACGTGCTGATCTGGGCCAGCTGGGCGCCAAGGCGTCCGTCAATGCTCTGAACTCCGGTCGGCGACAGCTCAGGTGGTGTGAGAGGCACAACTATGCCGCTGGACCGGGCCTGGCCAATGTGGCTTCCCTGTTCTGTCGGCACGGGAGGTGGAGCAGCAGGCGCATAGTGTCGAGGCGGGATGGTACTCATTTCTTGGTCTTCGTGGCGAGGGAATGTGCCTGTCTGCGGAGTCATGATTGGCGAAGAGATGTTGAGGCCCCTGGGCTTGCTCTTCCGCGGAGATCTCAAGCTGGAGAAGAAGGACGATGCTCGAGATCGAGTCTTTTCCTCGCCGCCGCTACTCAAGTTCAAGCTTGTCGGCTTGCTCTTCTTGGACATGGCACTGCCGCGTTGATTGGCCGGCCCAACAACCGGTGACTCCAAGATAATGCCCTTCTCCTTGGCCTCCTCATGCTCCATGACATGCTTATACATTGCTTCAAGCTGATTCTGTGCCATTTCGCGGTCTGCTGCAACAACTGCCTGGTCGACTTGCAAATCAACACCGGGTCCAGAATTCTGGCCAGGAGAGGTGGGTGGGTGAACGTATGGTGTACCGCTGAACTCGCTTCTGGTTGGTGACTTGTACGAGAAATTAGGAACCTGTCCTCCAGAAGACCTCCCAGCCAGCGGGAATGGATTGGGCTCTGTTGGGAACCTTGGGGTGCAAATTTGCTCAAAGGCGGAGGCGTAAGCGTCGGCCTCGTCTTCTTCGTCGCCACCGAGGAGATGCTCGCGGCGGGTGTTGGAAAGACACAGGAGCGCAATGGCGACAAATATGAGCGCAACGCCGTAGGCTCCGACAATGCCGCCAACCTGGATGGGCAGATACTTTTTGTTACGAAGCGCGTGAGCGGAAAAGGCAGGGCCGTCCTCCGGGGCGGGCGTCGGGGCAAAGTAGTTATGATGGAGGTCGCTCAAGACGCCGGCGTGAACGAGCGGCAGCAAGGCAAACGAAGCCGAGACGATTTGGGGGAGTGATAGCGTTGAAAGCCCAGATGGCATTGTCGAGATGCCAGTGGTGCGCGCTGCTACTGGGCGTTTTTGAAGGAGGCGATGATTGTCTGCTGAAACCTCCTGCTGACGCACCTGAATGGAGAGAGGAAACACGGAGAAGCGGAAGCTGACAGCAGGGGAATGAAGAGGGATATAACGAGACGAATTGGGCAGGCCGGTGATACTGATGCCCTCGAGGTGGGTGTCACAGTTAGCGCTGAGGGGGCATCGGCTGCTACCCGTGCTGCGCTCTCGAGACAGAGGAGCAGCGGCGGCGCAAAGGCATTACTGTAGTTGGAAGCAGGCCAGACCAGCCCAGGAGAAGGAGGGTGGTGGTGGTATGCATGGCTTGGGTTGATGGCAAGGTGATTGGCGTTGACGGATGAGGGGCCGTGTGCATGGACGCCGAGCACTGGGAGGGTTGTGGTTGGAGGTGAAGCCAGTCACGGCAGGGATTTAAGCGCCCGTCTTGAATGGCTGGTGGGCTGAGGCCGTTGGGGGCTACTGATTGGCTGCTGCATGTCTCTAGCACCCCGTGCACTAAGACTACTGGCCCCGCCTCCAAGCTCGATGTGACAATCATCAACTCGGCATCTTGAGAGAATGCGCTGATCAGGTTGGGAGGAATGCTGGTTGGGAGGAATGCCGGTTGGGAGGAATGAGGAGAAAAGGGTCTTTTCGGCTTTTGTTTGCTATTATTTAAGGCCTTGGTCCTGTAATATCGCGCAGGGCTCTCGCTTGTCACACAGTTACGCCAATGACGTTGCACCTTTTTGTCTGACTGTCGCAGGGTGATGTCGGGAGAAAATGTGATTGATGCAGATGATGAATGCTATGAGTGCCATATTCCATGACCAATGCAGCGTCACCGCCTCCAGGGTCTGCCTTTTTCGCATTCCCTTTTCCCAGGATACCTAGCGACAAAAACTATGGACTACCTCGGTACCAGTATCACAGCCTCTGTACCTATGGACACTCGGCGCGGCACGGTGATGAATTGGTGCGACTACTTGAGCTTCCGCCGTTATCGATCGCCAACGGCTTTAATAAAGCAGTGCAACTTCGCACCATCAAGTTGGCCTTTGACAATTCCGATCTGTTTCTAAATTGCTCGTAGACCAGCCTTCTTGGATCGATTGTTAGCATTGAATCACGTGACTTCGCGATCTTGAACGCGCGCTATGCGTCACCTCGTGTTTAGCAGACATGAAGCTGGTCCGAAAAGTAGCAATTTGCCAGGACTTGTGCAATGCGAAGCCTCCTCTCAATCTAGATTCGAATTCTGCAACTCCCATGTGTCTATATCTTCTTCCGAGCAAACCCGTTCTCCGCCATGGCAGCAACCAGCGGCCAACACGACGTGTTGGCCTCGCTAAACACGGCCCAGCGACGCGCCGTCACCTCGTCATCTAACACCGTTGCAATTTTGGCTGGTCCAGGCAGTGGTAAAACACATACACTCACATCCCGTGTGGTATGGCTCATCCAGGAGGCTGGATTGAGGCCGTCCGACATGATTGTCGCGACCTTCACGGTCAAGGCCTCGAAAGAGATGAAGGAGCGCATAGGCAGGGCCTTGGGCGATGGAGTTCAGAAAAAAATTGTCCTCGGCACATTTCATTCGATTGCTCGCCGCTACCTCATTTACTATGGCAAGCATATTGGACTTGATCCCAAGTTTGGTATTGCCGACGACAACGACTCCAGGGCGATCCTGAAGAGACTCATCAAACGACTTGGCCTACAGCTAGACCCCGCCATGGCAAAGGGATGGATAAGCAAGAGAAAGTCCAGAGGAAGCTTGGATCCGCCAGTAGAAAGGCACCCTGATGGAACTATAAAGCGGGACAATCCGGAATTGCTGCAGTGTTTTGCAGAGTACCAAAGCAATCTCTCTACATCCAATTTGCTGGATTACGATGACTTGCTGATCTGCTGCGTCGATCTGCTGCGTGCATACCCGATATGTGTTTCCAACATACAGGTCGTCCTAGTTGACGAATACCAAGACACAAATGGCATCCAATACGAACTCATGAAGCTTTTCGCTCAGGAGCGCCGCCGCATAACGATTGTTGGCGATCCCGACCAGAGCATATATGGCTGGCGCTCGGCTGAGATTAGAAATCTGCACCGACTGCAGAAGGACTTCCCTAGCACCGACGAAATATCCCTCGAAGAGAACTATCGCTCCTCCCAATCCATTCTTACTGCCTCGTTGAGCGTCATTCAACAAGAATCCAGTCGCTATGACAAGCTTCTCTTGCCCATCCACGGCAAAGGCACAACGCCCGTCCTGCGGCGCTTGCGATCTGCGGAGGATGAGGGTCAGTGGATAGTTGGAGAGATAGAGCGCGCGAGACTTATGACTGGCGGCATGCTCAAAGGTGAGGACTGTGCCATTCTTCTCCGCTCAGCCTCCTTATCCCGCCACGTGGAGTCCGCGCTGGGCAGAAGGGGAATACCGTATCGAATGATTGGCGGCCACAAGTTCTACGAACGCAAAGAGATCAAGATCCTACTCGACTACCTCCGCGTCGTGCATCAACCTAATAGCAACGACGCGGTATCGCGCATCATCAACGTGCCCAAGCGCGGCGTTGGTGAGGTCACCATCAAAAACCTTCTGGAGGAAGCCGAAATCGGAAAGCTGCCGCTGTGGCAAATCCTGGAGGAGCACTGCCAGGGAAACCATCGTGTCAGGTTAACAAAGACTCAAGAAAACAACATTCGCGGCGGCCTCATCAGAGCTATTACATCACTCAGGAAGCAAGTTAACGAAGTCGAAGCGGGGGAGCCCCAGCCTCTGGTCGAGGTGATTCAGAAGTTGATTACGCAACTCGACTATAAAAGCTTCTTAGAAAAGGAATTCGGACAAGACCACGAAGGCCGCTGGGCTAATGTGGAGGAGTTTGTCAACATGGCAACGGACTTCATGATGGAAAATAGCGATCTTGACGGGGATGCCCTGCCCGAAATTGACGACGCCGAGCAGTCTAACAATGATACCATGCTTGGGCGCTTCTTAGCGAATATTACCCTTTCCGCAGATGCGCAAAAGGACCAGGACGGTGTCGACACCTCCGCGGTTGTGACGATATCCACCATTCACGCAGCAAAGGGTCTCGAATGGCCCGTTGTTTTCGTTCCTTGCGTTTACGACGGCTCCATCCCGCACTCTCGCTCCGAGGACGATGACGAGGAGCGCAGGCTGCTGTACGTTGCCATGACGCGTGCCAAGGTACTGCTCTACTTGAGTTGTCCCACCAAGACGGCCTGGGGCCACGGCGATGCCGTGCTGTCCTGCTTCTTGTCCAGCTTTGCCGCCACGGCCTTTGCGGACCAGGGCCCCTCGTTTGACAGGCAGGTGGTTGAAGACATGGCCAAGACGCTGAGACGATCGGCGCCCTCGGAAAAGGCCATTTTTGACAACCTGCCGCCCATGTTTGCCGTCGAAGATGATCTTTTTGACACCGACCCTTTCGGCCAAGGGCGGCGATTGCATGGACCGACCAACAGTCGGCTCGGTTATCGTGTCGGCAACAACCTCAACGGCAATCAGCCTCAGTGCATCAGCAGTAGCTCCGACAGCAGCGTTGAAGAGATTGGTTGGAAGCCAGTCTGCAAAACGACGATGGGAGAGTCTTCCGGTTTCACCACGTTGAATCTTCCCGGCTTCATGACTGCCAGCGCGCGCCAAAGCATGGTCGTCGCCGAGGCAGCGGAGAAGCGGGCGACGACGGACAAGGAAGCGAAGAAGACCGGCGCAAAGCGAAAACATGACCAGCATTCACTGCTCGGCTACGCGGAAACCAGGTCAGGGCGGCTCGTCGCCAAGAGGCCGGCGGCAGCATTTGCGTCGGCGATGCAACCCCCGACGTCTTCCTCCCGACCTACCTCCATCTTTCAGGCGCCGCCGCCGGCCATTGAACCGAGTCTCTCGCGCCATAGAATAGCGCAGAGACCGATGTTGCCGGAACCGGGTCGCGCGTGTATGCCCACAACGCGCGACAGTCCCAAGAAAAACTACGCTTGCTTCTCGAGCTCGCCGACGCGGCCGGAGCCCGCAAAAGAGGTGACTATTAAACAACCGTCGGCTCCGCTGCAACCAGCTCCCAGCAAAACGATATCCCTCCTACAAAACACGACTTCCTTTCAGGCCGGAAAGATTGGTGGCATGCGGCGGCCCGTGGGCATGGGGGCGCGTCTGGAGTCGGGCAATGTGCGAAAGCCATTCAAGCCGCTGACGTTGAATCGGCCAACTAAATAACATAAGTAGGGAGAGATTTCCGTTGCTGGGGTGGTGTTTGCTTTTGTTACCATCTACCGTCGGCGTTACATACAGTCGGGTTATATGGCTTGGGCGTCGGAGCACAACGCGGGCATGAGTTACTCGCTAATGATGGACACTACATAAGCTACTGGCTAGTACTGTAGAGATATGTTGGGGTTTTCAATATTTTTTCTCTTATGGTTGTCCATTTTTAGTCGCGTAATGCGTAGGCGATGTACTTTTTTGAAGTCAGTGTGAAATCTTGATGACGGATGTGGGCGTGAAGACTGCTACATAACTATGTAGGTAGTACTTGTTGTCTGAATTGTCGGGCTCGGGGACAATAAACCAGCCGTAGGAGCCGGCAAGTATCCAAAAGGTAGTATTTCTTAAACTCTTTATAGTTAGTTGTCGATCAATAGTCATTGAATTCATCGGTCAGGGCCGTTCGAACCTAGTTTTAGTACAATGAAATACGCGTAATGCGATTTGAACAATCCGTGTTTTGATGCCACCGTGGAATAGCAGCTCAATTGGTGGGGTTTTTTTTTTCGTCGATGATTCTAAGGCATGCCGCAGTGAATGCATTTCTTTGACTCACTGGGAACCCCTATGGCTTCAGTCAACTTATAGCATGGGCCCCACTAGAGGCGCATCACGATGCGGGCGGTCCCGTGTACGTGGAATTGATGCCAGCAGTTGGGCGTCGAAGCCTCGAATATTAGTGCCTAGAGTGTAGCTGCGAGAAACTTTGATAACCGATGTCGCTACGGAACCTTCCGCCATCTTGGCCATGTTGTAGATGACTCGCAGTTCTCTTGACAAACCCGTCTTTAGCTACATAGATGACAGATAGAGTCAAGATGGAAGGTTTCGAGTTGGAGTCTGGGGCGATCGGTGCCGCAACGGGGGCCGCAAGCAAAACGCTAGTAATTCATGGTGGAAGTTTGGCGTCTGCTGGATCATGGCAAAATGGATCAGCGGACCGTTTGTTGTTGGTGCCGTCCTCTGGCTTCCCGCAGTGGTCCACCTGCCCTGGTCACCAGCGTTTTTATTGCCCCAGGCTGCGATCAACAGGTCACGCCTGTACATGGCAGAAAGAAAATGTCAATTTTTTTTTTTTGGCTTCTTCTAGTTCTTCTTCTTCTTTTCGAGACACGCGACCACTACCATCCCAACCAAGTCAAAATGTGCGTGAGTGGATAGAGCTGGAAAACTGCGCAGTTTGCCGTGCAACAAACAGAAAATCAGCAAGTCTTTACAGAACCCAACCTAGCCATCCATGGCAAGCCCGTACGATACGAGACGAGACGACAAAAACATCGCTAGCATCAGTGATCCGTACGCATAGCCCCCGGACTCATATGTACCGAGCTGCTTAGCTCTCCAGGCATTGTCACTGGTCCGAGGCAGTTCTCGCTAGTTCAGTACCATCGCCGCTCCATCGCTCCCCCCATCAACAATTGGCCAGGCATTCGGCACCCTCCCAAGCCACAGAGGGCCACGACATGAGCGAGATCTCCGTCAGCCCCTCCCTCAAGCACAAGACATCCACTCGGGTACAACCATAACCCTGCGGAGTGGCAAGCGGGCACTTGATCATGTCCATCCTGCCGTCCGAATCTAGCATTTGTTGTTGTCGCAGTCTAGACTTCGTTCATTGGTGTTGAAAACGAGATCAGTTTCCATGTCTTGCCCTCGCGTTGTGCCTAGTCGATAATGACGCGCATGCTACGCCAGGCCAGTGTAAGACTCTTCGTCTCGCTCTGCCAATACAAGCAGCGGTCTCGGACTGTATCGTCATCCCCGAGAAATCGAACCCGCCAGCTGGTAGAAACGTCATGACAACAGAAGCAGCCGTACCAGCAACCCGCCCAGCAGCACTTCGTATCCTTACTCTACCAGATAGTTCACGAACCAGGTACAACGACCAAAGTAATGCTGGCAGACAGGTAGCTTGGCGACAAATCGCCACGAAGGGCTCGAGCTCCGGCACCAAAAGACTTTGGGGTGCCATCCATCCCGCTTTCCCAGTCAGTTTGGTCTAACAACGCTGTAGCGTCACGAGGCGGCCGAACCAGATCCGCCACTCTTGGGCTCCAGCGCAGTGCCATTGTTGCTCTCTGGGCTCAGACTCTAGCAACGGCACCAGACCACCTCCGCAATACCCCCGAACTACTTCTAGACATGCCGCTGCTTTACTTAGTTCAAGAGGAACAAAAAAACTACAATAAGTACCTGCGCCGCTCCCCTTGCCCTGAAAAGCCGTTTCGTGCGAAACGCTTTTGCTGCTGCGTAGGCTGCTTGGGTGTCTCTCTCTCTCTTACAACAGACAAGCCACCACCACCACACTACGTCACGCTATGGGTGTCCCGGAAGCTCCGCGAAAGGCGCCAGCCTCTACGTTCAGGACTATCCTCACAATCTTCTCTCTCGTCTCTGTCTTCATCTTTGGTGCCTATGCGCTGGGTGCGCCCTCCGACAGCCATGATCGACGCGCCTACAGCTTCGCCGCGGCACACTTTGGCCATCGGACGGGTTTCTCTCCCTCGCCCGCGTCACCGTCCGCATCCGCGTCGGCATCGACGTCGGGGCGCCGTGACGGGTACCTGATTGGCGTGGGAAAGGCCGATATCACCGGCCCCGTGGTCGAGATCAACTTTGCCGGTTACGCCAATCTCGACCAAAAGGGCACTGGTTTGCGCCAGCGTCTCTTCAGCCGCGCCTTTATCATCGGCGACAAGAGTAACCCCAAGGACCGCTTCGTCTACATAGTCATCGACACCCAGTCTGGCGACACCGCCGTCCGATATGGCGTTCTCGACGGTGTTTCTGCGCTCGGCAGCGAATATTCTGTTTATGGCCAGCAAAACATTGCCCTGACAGGCACGCACAGCCACTCAGGTCCCGGTGCCTGGTTCAACTATCTGCTGCCCCAGATCACGTCTCTCGGCTTCGACAAGCAGAGTTACCAGGCCATTGTTGACGGTGTAGTCCTCTCCATTAAGCGTGCTCACGAAAGCTTACAAGAGGTGAGCCGCGTGATGGAAAGTTCATTCCCGAAACTTCATATTAATTGGTAAAATAGGGCTACATTGATGTAGGAAGTACCAAGGTCTCTGACGGCGCCATCAACCGCTCTCGCTGGGCCTATCTAAACAACCCTGAAGAAGAGCGTGCCAGATATGACGCCGAGACTGACACTGATCTCACTCTCATTCGCTTCCAGAGAGCCTCCGACAGCAAGAATATCGGCGTTCTGTCCTGGTTCCCCGTCCACGGTACCTCCATGCTCGGGAATAATACCCATGCTTCGGGTGACAACAAGGGCGTCGCAGCTTGGCTGCTGGAGGAGGACATGAAGAACGACAAGAACACTGCAGATGGCTTCGTCGCTGGCTTCAGTCAGGCCAATGTTGGCGACACGACACCGAATGTCTTGGGCGCGTGGTGCGATGATGGATCCGGTCAGCAGTGCAGCCTGGAAAACAGCACCTGCGCCGATGGCAAGTCTGAGTCCTGCCACGGCCGTGGTCCATTTTTCGCGGCTCTGGATCTCGGCGTCAAGAGCTGCTTCGAAATGGGTCGCCGCCAGTATGCCGGTGCCAAGTCGATTCTTGTACGTCGACCTAACTCCCAAACACAAGATCACAAGCTAATTAAACACGCAGGACTCCCTTGATTCTTCTGGCACTGCCATCTCCGGGTCGACAGTCAAGTCCTTCCACTTCTACAACGACATGCGCTACTTCAACTTTACCCTCCCCAACGGCAAGCAGGCCCAGACGTGCCCAGCCGCGCTCGGCTACTCCTTCGCGGCCGGCACCTCAGATTGGCCGGGTGCGTTTGACTTTACGCAAGGCGACTCGGGTAAACCCAACGCCAACCCGATCTGGAAGGTCGTCTCGGGCCTCTTGAGGGTTCCCAGCGCAGCACAGAAGAAGTGCCAGGAGCCCAAGCCGATCCTCCTCGATGTCGGCGAGATGCAGGAGCCCTACCCGTGGACACCCAATATTGTCGACGTGCAGATGCTCCGCGTCGGGCAGCTCGTCTTCATTATCAGCCCCAGCGAGGCCACGACCATGAGCGGCCGCCGCTGGCGTGAGGCCGTCGCCAAGGAGGCCGCGTCCTTCGTCAAGGACCCCGTCGTCGTCCTCGGCGGGCCGGCCAACAGCTACTCGCACTACCTCGCGACGCCCGAGGAGTACGACATCCAGCGCTACGAGGGCGCCTCGACGCTCTTTGGACGCAACGAGCTCCCCGCCTACATCAACCTGACGGTGAGCAACATGCACTACCTGCATCCCGACGCCACCGAGCAGCCCGCCCAAGGCACCCTCGCGCCGGACAACCGCGGCAAGATGCTCTCCTTCATCACCGGCGTCGTCGTGGACGGCCACCCCCCGGGCAAGAACTACGGATCCGTGCTCCGCCAACCCGCTGGGTCCGCCACCATCGGCGGCGCGGTCAACGCCACGTTCCAGGGCGCCAACCCGCGCAACAACCTGCGCCAGGAGGACACGTTCGTCGCAGTCGAGAGGCAGACAGGCAACAGCACGTGGACCCGCTACATGGACGACAACCACTGGGACCTCGTGTACACGTGGCGCCGCACGAACGGCCTCCTGGGCTGGAGCGAGGTGGACGTCGCGTGGGAGACGCAGCAGGGCCGCGCGGAGCCGGGCACGTACCGCTTCAAGTACTACGGCGACTCCAAGTCTGTCATCGGCCGCATCACACAGTTTGAGGGCACGAGCAACTCCTTTACCCTATCTTGATTGCGGAGCAGGGAGAGGGGAGGGGGCCAAAGGGAGGGCCTAGGCAAATTCATGATAGCTTGGTATATAGACATACGAGAATGACGCACATGTTTGACGTCGCTTTTACAGCTAATTTGTATGCGAGTACGAATTGTATTAATTGATGATTGCTTGCCAGCATCGTGCTGTAAAATGAAGAAATGAAAATAACAACAGACTGAATGCAGCCACATGGTTTTTGTGCAGAGTTTATGCAATATATGCAATCAACTTGACGTGACCAGTCAACTCCATTGCCCCCCACGCTTCTAGAACAAAGTCTCGTGTTTTTACTCCCTCGTTTCGTCCCGTCTTTCTCCCATTGTTTGCTGGCCTGCGTGCAAAAGGGGGGGGGGGAAGAGTCTGGTTTGTTTGCGGGGATGAGGATGGGGGTCATCACATCTCGATGCGGCGAGAAGCACACGCCCTCTTCGGCTGTGCTCCAAACACACACACAGACGGGTTCTCCTGTTACCAGCAGAGCTTGGGCTTGGTCCGGACCCGGCCGTCCCGATCTCTTACACAGAAAGAGGGGGGAGCAAGGTAGACTCGGGGGAAGGACGGGCATGGATCGTCTCCTTGGTCATAAATGACATAGCCGTTATATTAGGAGGGCTTTTTTAAGTTTCTTGGCTGGGACCTAATATGCGTCCCCCGCCTTGCCCATCGGACAGTTGTGGCCGAAAATGCTGCGATGTTCTCTCTGCAGAGTCCCTGCGCCTCTCACGTCTCCCTCCAGTCTTTTCTCTTGGTTTGTGCTCTTGGAGATGAGACTCTCACCCTCCCTTTCTCTCAAAATTCTTGTCAAAATGCGACTACAGGGGAGGGGTGGTGTGTTGTGTGGACGCGTGGGCGACAGGCAATAGGCAACAGGTGCCAGTCTCCGCTCGGCAAGAAGAGCAAGGGCTCGACAAGGCGTCGCACAACATGATCCAAACCGTTTTTGAATGTCACAGAGAGACAACAATTCGAATTGTGAGAGGCAAAGAACCCTCCTCCCTTCGGCGTCTTTGGCTGCTCGGCCTCGGAGCGCCCCTGCTATTGTTGCCTTTTTCCGTGCCGGCAAGTGCGGAACGTGCAGGAAAAGAGGGCTTACGCCTCATAGCCTGTCCTCAGAGGTCTCGCACGTAGGGCTCATTGGTCCCTGCTGCTTCCCCGTAGCACTATAGCCCACCTCCTTTGCGTTGCTCTGCATGCATATACACAGCGGAACAATCGCACGCTTCATCCGGCGGCGGTCCGCGCAGGGGGGGGAGGGATGGGGAGTAGAAAGGCGGCACAGGAGCGGAAATCTTGAGCCGAGAGATTTTCACCGGCGTAATGTACGTGAGGGTGTGATTGTTGAATAGCAATCGACCCATGGCTGATGCCAGTACGGAGCGCTGTACTGCTTCTCCCCAGCTGTAAAAGTGTGTGGCAGAGCGCCCGCTCCCTTCTTCCTTCCCACTGGTTTCGTTTCAGCTGATCATCTTAACTGTGATTATTACTTGATAGAAACAAGCATATCTTGTGGCCCTCCCAGGCAGCGTTGTGGTCCGTTGAGGTAGTAAGCTGGCACGCACGCTCGGCAGCACGATACGGATACCGCCTGAACGCAGACCCATTACGAAGCCTTCATCTCGAAAGTTTTGATGTGGATCTTGTGCGGTACTTTTGGTGAGTCTATGGCAAAATCTGCGGACAGCAAATATTAGCACATAATTACTTTCACATTCCAAGTGACCCCTGCTATTATACCTGTCCGCCATATGTCGTGACCCGCCCATCAGTACTGGTTTCCGCCTGGTGCAAGATAAACCAATATGTCAGTGGCATGTACGGATAGCTGTACGATTAAGTTTGGGTCGAGTAGACCCTTGCTTTACGTATAGCCGGCTAGACGTTGCATAGCCGTCTCAATAACTGGCCAGCCAGTGTGATGTAGCATTGCAGATTAAACTTAGCAGCGTGTGATGTGTATAGCCCGGTTGCTACAATAGGTATTCCTGAGTTTCTTGACAATATTCGGCCGATAATTGTGACAGATTTTTCATTCGCGGTGGTGGGAACTTGGTTGCCAGAAAGCGCCGACAGTTTCGCCATTATGTGCGGTCCTTGTGGGTTTGAGGGGGCACAGGCTGCCAGGGTCGATGTTCAGCTTGTGAAGATTACTTCGATCAAAAGATTGGCAGTTCTATTTGCCTGGTTTGTGAATTAGTGTAGTGTCTTGTCATGCTTGAGTAGGGACATGCTAGTTAGCACCTACAGCGCTCTGGTTGAGTGATGGGGGAGGTCGTTCTACCATACCTCCTTCTGTGTGATCTGTTGTACGTGTGTTTCTTGAGGCGAATTGCGCTGTTCTATTTCGTGTCCCAGACTGTGCATTTTGGATGTAGCTTCTTTGTCGAAGGTGTTAGTTAGATTGTCTGATACTTGTCAAGAACAGTGACAACTCTCTCACCATGTGCATGTGCGCGTCTGGCCATCTGCAGCACACCGACGGAGATTTTTTTGTCTTAGCCATACGGATCTTGCTGCCCTGAAGCAGGGTCCTTGCTCGCTAGGTCTTGGATAACGTGACAGGCCACTGGGCGTCGGTCCCTACCTGAATATGTACACCCTCGACCAGCCACATAGATTCAGCGTGTGGCCGAGAAGACGGGCGGGAAGTATTGGCCGCCGCCATATCAGCTTTTCAGCTGTTTTTTAAGATCCTCTGACGAGCCGGTCTGAGCGCATAGGTTGGCTCGGCCGGATATCAATCAATCTAGGTACTCCGACCCACTGGCTGAGTCGATCACGGGCGAGGCCAACCAGCTGCAGGATGACATGGTATTGCATCTTTTATGGTGAGTGCATGCCTAGGGGTAGATTGGCGGAAGTAGACGCGAACAGGGTCGATCAGGCAGAGGTGCTTGCCGTTGAGGTCATCATGCGGCAGACGATGCAGGAAGGCATCACCAGGGTCGATGGAGGAGGCACGCACGACGACAGTAGTCGCAGTGAGAGAAGAATTCACTGGTTAGAGGATGACGTTGTAGGAAAGGAAGGAATGTCGGGCAAAGTTGCCGTTGCTTCTTGTTTTGAGCTGGTCGCGAAATAGTCTGCCTGACAACTGTGCAAGAAAAAGAAACGTGATCGAGACTCCTGCATCTAATGCAAGTAGGAAATAACAAGAAACCCACTTGCGGAGTTGTCCCTTTTCTCCTCATCATATTTCCCCTCTCAAGATCTGGGTCGCGTGAGGCTGCCACCTGCATCGCAGCTCCAAGGCATGAGTTTGCCTTGGCCTCGTCTTCCTTCCCTGGTCCCAGTACTCCGTACAGATTAAAGAACTGCAAGCTCTTTTCCTCCGCACCCAACGGCTGGCCCAGACCAGGGCCGATGGTCTATTCGTTTATTCTGGGGCCGGCTGCCTATCGTCACATATCCCTTCCTATTACCTTGCCGGGCCCCTGTTCCGAAGTCGATGGGGCAATTTTCTCGCCTCTCGGCAGCGGTTGAAGGGGGCAGGGAAAAGGAAGAAGTCGATTTGCTCGACTCTATTCTACGAAAACCGGAAGAAGAAGAAAACTTAACAAGCGGATAAATAAGTAAGGTAAGCATAAACTCATAGCCACGATAAATATGTATGATATGCGTCTGCACTGGGGACGGAGTAATCGTAATCACCCCGGCCTAACCGATAATGATAAACTTCCCGCCAGGATCCGCAGTAAACAAATTCAGCTTTCCAAGGTGCCGCACCAAAAACGACAGACTGGTAAAACGAACGCCATGATGTGCGTCTACCAGTACAAATACAGATTAGAGAGGGCTGTTACACACACAAGGCTACGGATCTCGACGCCGGACTCCCCTCGAATCAGGGCGCGTGGTTGTGGCAACTGTTTGTCTGGTGGTACGTGCTTCGTCGTGGTGGAGTGTGCGTGTGTGTGTGTGTGTGTGTGTGTTGTGTGTTTGGCAAGCAAGCTGCGCGACTGACTTGCTGAACCACAGGATTTCAAGGTAAATCCTTAATTCTACGAAAGGCAATGAGCACGGCCAGCGAGACTTGAACGATACAGCCGGTTCGGGTCGTGGGATGGTTTCAAGGGCCGCTCAGGGCCTGGCCTGCCCTGGCCTGGCCTGTCGGTCGACCAGCCCAGCCCAGCCCGGCCCCTGCTTCCGACGAGCTCCTCAATCAACGAATCGCATTGGCAGACTCGCCCGCAATTGTGACGAAAGACGAAAGACAGTGCCCACATGCGGTTTCCTAAGCTAGCATCTTGCAGGCTCGACGGGGCCGCCGTTGCGTTGCCTAATAAACGTCTGGTCGCCATGCCTGGCGATGTGACAAGGATGGTGCTGCACCTCCAAGTCTCCCCGGTGGCACATCCCTCTCCACCCCCTTCAGTTCCATCAACCGCCGAAAAAAAAAAAAAAAAAAGAGGCTGGATCCTCCGGAAACTGGAGACTCGCCTGTGCCAGCAGCAGCAGCATCATCGCTTCCGGCTTGGTCCAGGCAAAGGGCGGGAGGGGTGTGATAACAACTTTGTGCGCCGCCGCCGTCGTCAACAACCTCCAGTGTCCACTGAGCACTGGCGCACCGGCGCCCAAAACTTATTTCTCCTCAGGTCATGCTCATACCAGTCAGTCAATGCAAAATATCGCCTACCGATGATTGGAGAAGAGCGTAGGAGGGAGGCCTAGGCTTGGTCTACTTGACTATCTGCGACCTTGGAGCTGGCCCTAGCACGCAGGCTTCCCCAGCGAGGCTTGCTTGAATGACTATTTTTATACGCCATGAGCGAGAAGGGAAGCTTCTGCTTCTTCTGCTGCACTTCCCCTCTAACTAGGCCCTCAAATCTGTTGTGTGCTTGTGTGGCCGCGCGCTGCCACCCAGATCCCACACACACTTTTCCAATGGCAACTCTGGGCATTCAGGGCAAGGCCACAAAAGCAACGCGGAGAAAAATGGCTCTGGCCCAAACTACCGATGCTGGCAGAGCGCACTGTCGAACCACCCAACTAGAACACTGAGCTTCAGCTTGTTCCTTCTCTGGGCCCGTCTACTTTGACTCTGGTCCTTCGTCTTGTGTGCTGCCTGCTTGGTCGTTTTTCCTCCTAGGCGTTCTCTCGTCTGCACTGTTTGCCAAATGCAGTCGTTTTTTCTTTCATGACACTTTGTCGGACCCCTCCGAGGCTCTGTCATTAAAGCGGCCTGCTTTGCTCCTCTTGGTGCCACGACTTGCTGCGTCGTCTTGTTATTTGCAGTCGGGTCTGTGTGTCTTGCATGGTCGGTATCACGGTTGTGCGGATTGTACATGACAGCGGCAAACCAAGCCGTATAGCTTCGCCCCGGCCTAATCGCTCCGCCTATATATCCTCCAGCTTATCCTTTACTCGAGATCTAAGCAATCCTCCCCTCCATCTCCACACTCGCTACTTCTTTCCCCTCTACACTCCTGGCGATATAATTTCCCGATTTCACTTTGTCGTTTCCTTGCCGCGCCAATCAGTATGAGCACATCACCACCCGCCAGCGCAAGCGGCCCTACGCCCTGGCAAGACAGACTTGAAGGTGAGACCTCTTCAACGCGCGCCCTTGATGGCAAAGAACATAATAGGCTAACCAGCTACAGAGGCGTGCCGCGAGGCACAGATATTGCCGCCTACATTCTTCATAGTTTCTGATCGTCGAGGTTTGTTCTCAACATGCCACTGCAACATCCCAAACTGTTGCTGATAACCACAATCACGCCAGGCGGAAGAACAGCCTGGTCAAGCCGCGTGACGGTGCAAGGGCATACAGTAAATGCCCGATTCTGGTACGATGGCAGGAACCTCAACAATGCAAAGGAGGATGCTGCAGAATGCGCCGTCAATTGGCTCAACAGCAACACTGGGACCTCAACCACAGCCACCACCACAACTTCGAACAGTTGGTCCGGCTGGTAACTCTCCAACCCTACTGCCGCGACGACCGACAGGTCGCTGCCCATGATCGTGACACGGCCAAGGGCAAACTGACCATGGGGGCTGCATTTCTGGCTCTACAGTCACGAAATACTCGAGGATTTCCTGCGGCATCCGGTAGCCATGTGAGAATGCGCACGACGGTTGATGGTGGCAATTGGAGCTGTTGGTAGCGTTACATTTGGCACACAAAAAGCATGGGTAGCACTGCATGGGGCCAGATGGAAGCGGAGCAGCGGCGTTGAAGCACTGGATTCGTTTCATCTCAATTATTTATAATTAGCTACTCTCAAAAAGGCGGTTGATGGGTATAGTTGCGGGTATTGGCAGGGTTTTGTAAAAGTGGTATACAGGTTTTTGGTACAACGGCTTTGGATAGCTGGGATGGAGACATCGGGCTCGATACGGACACGGGAGTGGCTTGGCCGACGAAAGCCTGCGAAAATTGGCACGATCTGCGTGTTGTTGGATAGGTTAGCGGTTGTCTATCTCGTTAATGAGGAAGTTCGGTGAAACATATTCGCTAGAAATTAATTGCTCATGCCTGTTTTCACATGAGAATCGTATGAGGGTGCGGCTGTCACGGTACACTATTATCAAGTCTTGTTGCAAGCGCGCTGCAGTGAGAATCTGCACAGCGAGTCAATTTTTTTAAAAAGAACTATGAGAATCATGCTCAGAACCTCAATGGTATTTATTATTGTTTGTAATCCTGGAGGAAGGAAGAGGTATACGTTGCTGCTCTTGGTCGGATTCTGGGTACAGGGTAAGTATAGCTGCCCCGGAACGGATTAGCTCTGTTCCGGAGGCTCCAGGAGCTACAACAAGTCTAGGAAATTTCCACATACGCACCACGCGAGCTCCTACGAATTGCGACGACACGGCATCAGGGGACCCTGATTTTTTGTTTTTCATTTACAATGGCGGCCGCGATGCCCAGGGGACTACGAGTCCTGCAATCCTGCAGAGGTCTCGCCATGCGGTCGGCGTCCGCGTGCGCGCGACCGCAAGGGCTACCGCAACTAGCACGACACGCTCGCCTCCAATCCAACGATGCGAAGAGCCAGACCCTGAGCGCAATCAGCTCGAATGCTGCCGGTGCGGTCAACTCTGCCGCAGAGGTAATTTTGACCCCGTGTTCCCCCCTTCTCAGACCCCCGATTGGGGGAGTGGAGGCGCGTGTTGGGGAGGAGCAACAGCTGACTTTGCGGGCTTCAGGCATCGACCCCTTCGAACCCCATCGATAGCATCGACGACGCCGCGCTCGCGGAGATTCTGTACGGCGGCCGGGGAGGGGCCAAGCAGGCTGGCGGCCTGACGGAGGCGCAGGAGGAGGTGCTCTACCGCGACGGCGAGATCCCCCCCGCGGAGAGCGCCGAGGCGGTGCTGGCGGTGGGCGACGCCGAGGTGGCCGAGCTGGAGGACATACACAACCTGGGCCACCAGTGGCCTCTACCGCAAAAGCCGTACCCTGACGGTTTCAACGTCAAGAAGCGATACCATGCTGTGGTGGAGCAGATTACGAGGTTGATGATGCGAGACGGCAAGCTTGCCACCGCTCAAAGGGTGCGTATATTCCGCGGTGCTGATGTCTACTTTTATACCGATGTTGTGCTATATACTGACGGTTTCTTCGCGGTGCAGAACCTGGCAATGACGATGAACTTCCTCCGGATGGCGCCGGAGCCGACGTTCAGCCCCAAGTTCCCGCTCCTTCCCGGGACGCCGCCGGCGTCCCACCTGCCGCTGAACCCGATCCTGTACCTGACGGTGGCCATCGACTCGGTGGCGCCGCTGATCCGGGTCAAGGCGATTTCGGGTGCGGGCGGCGGCGGCCGGGCGCTGGACATGCCGCAGCCGCTGACGGTGCGGCAGCGGCGGCGGCGGGCGTTCACGTGGATCCTGGAGGCGGTGGAGCGGCGGCCGAGCAAGGGCAGCGGGCGGACGCAGTTCGCGCACCGGCTGGCGGAGGAGATCGTGGCGGTGGTGGAGGGCCGCTCGTCGGTGTGGGAGAAGCGCAGGCTGGTGCACAAGCAAGGCACGACGGCGCGCGCCAACGTGGAGAAGAAGGTGGTGATCAAGAAGGGCCCGTCCAAGTAATTGGAACGAGCGACCAGGAGAGATGGTGAGGTGAAGATGGTGCTTCTGTATATTAGGGCCTGTAACAGCCGTGTTATTCTGTTAAACCTTTTGCTTATTATCGGCAAGGGGGAAGGAAACGGCAATGTAAAATATAGACTGCCACGAGGCAAAGCTTCATATGGTTGCCGACTGGTGTTTTGTGATTAGGATCTACTGAGGCGGTATTGCTGGCCAGTAAAGTGATGAGGATTGGTTCTTTATGTTGAGCGAGGAGTGAGGCTGCAGTTGGTGGCTGACCAGGTGTGACTGACCCACCCAACGGGCACCTGTCATTCCTTTCATTGGGGGTCTTTTTTTTTTTTTCGGGGGAAAACCAATGGATTCATGGTCAGACGGATCCCTGAGATCCATCTCGCCATGGGAAGAGCAATATTATTGTTGGGCTTGGCTGTTGTTTGCTTGGGGCATGAGCAATGGAGACGGGGGCTTGTGATGTGAGGAATACAGGTGTGGGCTTGGAGGCTCCGAGGCCTGCATAAGGTTTTGGTTAGGCTCACGGGACGATCAGTGGACGTGGCAACCCATTTTTTTGGGGGCTTGTTCTGAAGGAGTTTGCCGAACTATGGAATGCACTGCTGCAATAACGAAAGATATACTACTGGGTAAGTCCTGCATGGTTATGTTCGTATAGTTTGCTTCTCTCGTATCTGATCTTCTATTTTGTGTGAGATGCCTAGCTGGCCTACTTCTTGTTCACTCTACTACTGGTAAGTCATCTACTAATGTCGTTGCTCTCAAGCCGCTGGAAGTTATTAGTACCCTCTAGCCACCTTGGCTGACGTTTCTCCATGCTCAGCCTCCATCTACCAGCCAACAAGGAAGCTGTCGAGTCAGCGAGCTGCGCCTTCTGCACCAGCTACCTTTCTCCTTGCGGGCAAGCATGTGCGGCTTCGAAACTGTATTACAGTATTGCCGGGACGACTAATACATTTAAGAAGCGCATTCATGTATCCGTCGTTGACAAGAAAAAAAAAGGCCCGTAGCTGGTAGTCGGAGATAGATTTTGGTTTGCTGGCTGGACCTCTTCTGCCTGGAAGTGGCGCCACCACCACTGAGGTACTGGATCAACCCCACATCGCTAAAACCCCCCTTCTCAAACCAGCGGCTCATCGCAGGCAGTTCGTCGATAAACAAGAACAAACAGGGCTGCTGGATTTCGCCATCACCATCATCACCTTAGAGACACACTTGAAACCATCCCCATCGTACTTGTCTTTGCTTAAGTCACTAACGCTGCAAAGCACGCCATTTCGCGCATGATCGGGCTCCCTTAGACATGCTGCACTTGGCCGCCTCGCCCTCCACCTTCTGACATTCGTCCAACCATCCATCCTCTCCATCCACGCGTGTGCCCCCGCAACTCTAGGTCCAAGCAACCAAGCAACCACAACCAACCCCCAGCAACGACCGAGATTGCGACCAGCTGCTTCTCGCATTCACATACCCTTTTCCCCGCCTGCCTCGAAAATACCGCTTGATCAAGACCGCCGACTTTTAATATCTGCACATTCTCCCCGCCTCTTAATCGACAGGCGCGCCACAGCGACCACCGCCGTTGCCAGAGGGAGCCCAGACGAGACACAGCCACCCAAGCGCGCAACACAGCCGACAGACTTGTGGCCCTGACATCAAACCTCTTTTTACCCCGACGCATACTCGTCTGTTTCCCTTTCGCCATTCATTACAGCCACTCCGAAACCGCTCATCATGTCGCGAAACCCCGCGGTGCCTATGAGCATCGACGCTATGCTCGACATGGAGCGCGAGGAGGTCTTGGCTCTTCTCGAGAGCAAGAATTCGGGCAGCGCCGGCGGCCCTATGCGATCGAGCTCCCCGTACACCACCGCCCCGCGCTCTCCAGTCCGGAGCATGCTGGACGTTGGCGACGACGATGCTGGTTCTGCGCACGGCCGCACAAGCCCTGTGCCGCAACCGCCCGTCCGAAGCATGCTTGACATTGACGGACCGCCTCCGGCCGCGCAGCCCGTTCGCAGCATGCTCGACGTCGGCGGCCCTGCGGCCCTGCGGCCTAGTTCCCAAACACGAGCTCCATACAACAGAAGCGTGCCCAGCTCCCCTACTATGGCCACCTCATCGCTTTACAAGGGCTCATCTCAGCCCCCCATCTCTCGACTGCACCCGCGAAGCTCCTCCGATGCCGCCTTCAAGCCCGCCGAGTTTGGAGCTAGAAAGCCTCTAGGAAGCAATGACCGCACTTCAGAATACCAGTTTTCCGGCATCCTGCCTAGCAGCGCATCGGGTAACCTCCCAGGCAAGCGGGCCTCCCAGAGCAAGCGGACCTCTGGTGGCAGCTCTCTAGTTGAGGCGTTGCGAGGGTACGACTTTAGTGGCTTACAACTTCCAAGCCGTGCTAGGAACTCATCGGCAAACCGTCCCGGATACCATCAGTCCAAGTCACCGCACAACCGCTGGAACGACCGATCCAAGTCACCTGCCGTGCCCCGCGACCCCAATCAGGTCATGCTTAGTGACGGCCGAATCGTGGACATGAACAACGCATACAGAAGACTCTCGGACGCGAACCTGGCCTTTTCATCGGGCAGCCTCTCCCAGCTTCCCATGCGGAAACGATCCGACGACGCCGGAACCGGACGTCTGATTAAGGACTATCTTGGCCCTGATGGAGAGCATCTGGAATCTAGTGACGATGACGAGGCATATTCATCGGATGACGAGGATCGTGGTCGTACGAAGGCCCCGCGCTCCCTAAACCCCGATGCAAAGGGCGAAAGTGATGACGATAATTCTCGCTCCCGCTCTGGTGGGATCAAGCGTGCCCCTCTGAGTTTGCTTGCCGCCGCCGACGAAGATCGGTCCAACATTGCATCGCAGCAGAGCTATCAATACAGGTCCCTGCTGGAGCCAGAAATCAAGGTGACAAATACATCTGGGGAGACAGTCAAACCTAGCAAGGCGGGGGTCCATCCTCACACTAGCTACGATCACAACCCCAACTCGGCTACGCAGTCAGTCGTAGACTCGGACGAAGAGGCCGACGTGGACGACATCAAGCGAGCGCAGAACCTTTCTTTCACGATGACGAATGTTTTGCACAACCCCGAAGCGCACAGATCGATTCGGATCATCTATCGAGGTGAATACCACAAGATTACGCAGAGCGCTGAAGAGGAGCACCGGCGACTGCGTAAGTACTTGGTGGCGACGGATCTCAGCGACGAGTCTACGCACGCACTAGAGTGGGCAATCGGAACCGTGATTCGCGACGGAGATACACTGATTGCAATTTACTGCGTGGACGAGGAGACGGGGGTGGTGACAGGAGAGGGGTCGCAGGTGCCGGACGACCCGGCGGCGATGAAGGAGCAGGCGGCGGCGATTAACACGGTGACCAACACCAAGGTGACGCCGGCGCCTCTCAGCCCGGTGACGGAGTTCAAGAGGCTGCACCGGCGGGACGACTCGTCGGGGACTACGGGCAGCTCGCCAGCGCCGACGGCGGTGCGGGGGGAGCGGACCAAGGCGGAGGAGGAGCGGGAGCGGGCGATCCAGGGAATGACGGAGAAGATCTTGCGACTTTTGCGCAAGACGAAGCTCCAAGTGCGAGTGATAGTGGAGGTACTGCACTGCAAGAACCCGCGACACCTGATAACGGAGGTGATCGACTTGGTGAATCCGACGTTGGTGGTGATAGGTAGCCGAGGCCGGAGCGCACTCAAGGGGTAAGTTGCCTTTTGTTGTCTTCTTTGACGTTCTTTCTCTCCTCCTTTTATTTTTGTCCATGGACTAACACAAGGTCTAGCGTCATCTTGGGCTCCTTCTCTAACTACCTGGTGACGAAGAGCTCAGTGCCCGTCATGGTGGCGCGGAAGCGGCTCCGCAAGCAGAGCAAGTACAAGCAAAAGGCGATTCGGCAGGTCAACAACTTGAGCAACCCGACGGCGCGAAGTCTTGCGAGCGCCAAGATTGACTAGGGCAAATCTTTGGTGAGGCGTAGTGGCCGAGAGGGGCGTTGATGGATGGGGTTGACATGCTTTTTGTTATTTGGGGCGTTGTTTTGTTGTTCTTTTCTGCCCTGTATTTTCTTGGTGTGGTTTACTCACTCCTCTCTTGAGCGTTTATTATTATTGTTTTTTTTTTGTCATCTTTCCGGATTGGCATATTCTTTTGCAGCGTGTGGTAGGAGGGCCAGACGGGGGAGGGCGCGCGGTGTGTACTACACTTGTGGGCGGTGTTGTCCGTCCTTGCGGGCGATTTTGAGCATGGGCAACGAAGAAAGGCATGATAATGCAGATTGAATTGACAGGCTCTGGAATAGCATATCGCCATTTCCACTTTTGTAATTGGGCACCTTTTTCTGTTGGTGATGCCAGCAATGTGATGATGGATGGTGTACAATGAGGGGGGGGATACCCGAAACATGAGCTCCCTAGAAATCACATCGTGGTGAGGAGATTTTTCTAGGACGTAATCTGTATCCGTACATGGCCGCTTGATCTGCGACCTGGTGGATGCATTGGATGCATTGGATGAATGAATGAATGAATGAATGATGATTGATGATGGAGGCCGTGGTGGTTGAAGAAGAAGGTGGTCCAAGGTAAAGGCAATTTGTGGGCTCGATTGGCTGGGGTGGGCTGGGAGGTTGGGAAGAGGAGGGAGGAGGCGCTTTGCAGCCAACCAAGTGAGCCCAAATGAAACGGGGCGCGATTTAGCGTTGGTTCTTGTTCTTTTAGCGGCCGAGGGACCACGCTGTAAATGCTGTAAATGGCCCAACTTGCCGCCGACCGGGAAGCCCCTACGCCAACGTTGGGAGGAGGCACGGTACAGAGTGTGGTCCTATAAATAAACCACATTCCATCAATGAGTGAGTGAGTGGGCGTAGGACGGTCGCTGTGGTGAATTCACGAAAACCTGCTTGAATCTTTTTTTTTTCTTTTCTTTTTCATCAACTCTAGCTGTTGAAGGACTTTGGATAGATACGATACAGCATCGCCTCTCTGGGCTCTATAGCAAACGCCGTTATAGCTCGTTTTCGTCTTGGGCAGCCATAGTCTTCCCACTGGATGAACATATATGGTAGGCTGGGGACTGCTCCAACTTGTGACGACCAAGCACAACCACGACAACGACACACCCCTCCTCCTCCTCCTCTTCTGCCCTCACTCCTCCCTCGTCCCGTCCTCCGTCCTCTGTCCATCTCACAATAGCAACATCAACGGACACACCCCTCTCGTCCTCCTCTTTTCCTTGTCTTCCTTCTCCCCCCTCCTCTCTCCCTCCCTCTCTCCCTCTCTCCCTCTCTCTCTCTCTCTCTGTCTCTCTACTCCCCCCCTCCCTCCCCCCTTCCCCCTTCTTCCCCATTTACTATGCAGTCCCTCTTTTCCGTGACAAACAACGTCTCCCTCGTCACTATCAACGTCACTCCCGGTACCTTTCTCGCCGTCGTCGGTCTGCTGCTCTGCTTCCTCACCCTCTACATCCCAGTCGTCCCCCATATACGCCTCCCCCGTGTATCACTCCCGCGTAACCTCGTCTCGTCCTCGCACAACAGCGAATCACCCGCCGCCTCGTCGTCGGCCCTCATTCGGAGTGTCACCAGCGCCTCATTCTCCCCCGCCCCTTCCTCCTCCACTGCCCTCGCTGCTGCTGTTAAGGCTGCTCCCCCCACCACTACTGGCCGTCGACATAGACTCCAAAAAGCCCTACCTGCATTACCACCGCCACCAGGCCCATCGCGTGCTTCTGCGCTGCCCGCCCCCCCATCACTGATTGAGCAGCTGACGCCTTCGCGCCAGCTTGCGCTCCCGGACTTTATCTCCTCCTACTGGAGTGGTCGTCGCCGCACTCGCCGCGATTCGACCCCTCCTCCTCACACACCACATCTCAAACATGGCACTGACACAATCACCGCCGCCCCTGCGTCCATCGCCAGCCGCAACGAGCTTGCCCCCGTCGCCGGAGCCAGACGGGACAGCAGGACCTACTCAGGACGACGAGCTTCTTCTGGACGCATCTCTGCAAGACTTCGAGTCACCACCCAGCCCCTCGACCGAGGCCACCTCGTCCGCCTCGACTCACCCGTCCTCGACTCGTCCGTCCTCGGTGCTTCCCGGCAGCGAGTTCGCTCCGGAAGAGGACATCCACCACCTCCAAGGTCAACATCACCACCAGTCGCCGCCCCCGTCGTCGCCGTCGAACCTCGACGCCGAATCGGAGGCGGACTCCGCCGCTGGTGGCTTCTCACCACCGGCGTGGCGGAAGCTCGACAACGGCAGACGCAGCGCCGGCTTCTGGAAGGGTCGTCTACATGATGGCCCTGCCCTCGGCGCCACTGCCCTCGGCTACCAGCTCACGGACCCTTCCTCGCCTATCGCCAATGCAGGAAACAGTGTAGGCGAGAAGGAGGATGATGACAGTGACATTGGGAACGCCTCGGACACGACAAGCATACTGCAACGTGCCATACGCACAAGGCTGCCCCGGGGAAGTCAGAGCCCTGTCAAGATGCGCAGCCCCAACCCGGAAGCGCAAGACGACACCATCAAAGTCGAGTCGCTGGCGCCTGCGCTGACTGTTGCTTCACCTCCACGAGAAGCGCCGTCTGACAACTGCAAGTTCACTCCCCTTCTAACCTGCCTTGCGCCCATCAACATCACACAACCATCTTTGCTGACTGAAAGCCCCAGATTTCCGCATAGCCCTCCGCGCCGAGGTTCAGCAGCGCACTGAGCCTATCGAGGCCACCGTCTCCTTTCTGCGCAAGCGCTACCAGGCCGTGACGTCCTCGTGGCTCGCCGTCATCATCAACACCCTTATCGCGCTCCTCAGCATCCTCTTCGTCAAGACGCTCCTACAGCCTGTCGCTTCGCGCCCGGCTGGTGACCTCGTCAAGGTGGCCGGCGTCGCGCGCTCCTTTGAGCCGCTCATTTACTACTCGGAGAACGCCGTTGCCCAGGTGCACGACCTGCAGGCCACGAGCGTGGCTGTCTGGGACCTCGGCGAGAGCGTGCGTTCTAGCGACATGCGCGACGCCGCGAGCATCGTCTCCGACCTCGACGCCCTGAGCGAGACGATGAGGACCCTGTCTGTCGAGATGACCAAGTTCTTTGCCCGCGTTGACGGCGACGTGGACGGGTATGCTTCACCCGCCGTCAGCTAACCGTGTATCGTACACAGTTAACGCGCATCTAGTATACTCAACGTCATGGACTGGGCTAGGATGCACCTCAGCCGCCTCCACAACGCCCCCGCGCCGTCGACCATATCGGCCGCCTACGACAACATTCACAACATGCTCTCCCAGGCGCGGGTTCTCGAGGACGCGCAAGGCACCCCCACGCCGCTCGGAAACCTGGCCACGCGCGTCTTTGGCCTGTCTAACCCGCAGCGCGAGCAGCGACTCATCCAGCTGCTCTTCACCGAGTTCCTGACCGTCCTCGAGGACAGCATCGCCGCCGAGCTCCAGCACAGCGTCACCCTGTTCGCTCTCTTCGAAGCTGTCGACCGCCACTTTCTCAACCTCGCGCGCGCCGTCGTCCGCGAGTCGTCCGCACAGGAGGCCCTGCACGCCGACGCCCTCGCCGGTCTCTGGGTGCGCCTGCTCGGGGCCCGCGCCAACGAGCTCGCCAAGTTTGCCCGCAACCGCGACCTCCTCCGCGACGTCCGCGACAAGACGGTCCGCAACAAGCGCGTCCTCATCGACCATCACGGACGTCTTCTCACCCTCAAGGCCTCCCTGGAGAGTCTTCGTGGGAGGCTCGTCTCCCCGCTCGTCCGCGGCGTCGCGAACAGCTCCGGCGCGACCGCCACGCTCCTCTCCCTCGAAGACCAGATTCACGGCATCACCTCGGTCAGCGAGTACCTGGCCGACCTGAGACGACACCAAAAGGGCAGGATCATGGAGACTCTCTTTGCCGGCGTTCCTGGGCAGCGCATCCCCGTCACAGGTGGCGGTGCCACTAGTGGCGGTGAGATTGGCGGCTTCGACGCCCACGGGAAGAGGATTTAATGAGGGTGATTTAATGATGCGAGATTTTCAAAGAAGAAGGGTGAGGAGGCGGAGATCTTTGTCCCTTGTTGTCATGCTTTGTTGGCGCTCTGTTTGTTTTCCCTGGCGTGGAAGAGTAATCGTTGGTCGACGTTAGCTTGAACTCTTCCTTTTTTGGTCATTGCTGGTCTTGGCAAGGAAAATCATGCATACACGGTTGGAATCGCGCCGGATTATAGTGTTTGTTTTGGAAGGAGTTTTTGGTCGGAAACAGCATTGGGAGGGACACATGGAACGGTAGGTATACTCCAAGTAAGCATTGTTTGTCCTTGTATTCTACTATACTACAAGGTAGTGGCGAGTATGTATGTATGTACAGAGCATTTCACTTTAAAAAAACAAATAAAAATAAGGAAGAGAAGCGTGTCACACAGCCGTGTTTGTACCCTGGCAGGATTCATGGCAACATTGCACCTACATACATACATAGCTTGAGAGTCATCAACTACGTCAGCACAGTGCACAAAGGGATAATAATTTTAACATTTTTATTAGTCCTATCATAGAAAAATCTCCTTCTTTGCCTGGTAAAATCTCGTGGACTAGTCGAGGGGTATCTCTGTCCACAGCAATTCTTTCAAACAATCTCAGGCCTTGCCAGCCACTGTGCAGCCAGCGCCTCTCAGCTTTTTTGCCTCCAATTCTCGCCATCCGGTTCCCGAGCCCAAACCGTCTTGCAACCGCAACTTTTGACTTTTGTGCGCCGTGCCTGACAAGAAATAGCAAGTCCAACTATACAAATGTAACCCTGTAGACAATCGTCATGAGATAGCAGATATTCTGTGCCGCCAATACTCATACACATATGCCGATATCAGGTTGCATAACAAAGAAAGCCCAAAGCCCAAATGTTAAGTCAAGTAACAAAAGAAAATCAAGCAATATGGGGTGAGCTGCTCGCACTTGAGCCTATGCTCCTCCCCAGATCCTCAGCTGAAACGTTGCATTTAGGCCTTGGTCTCGGCCTCCTTCTTCTCCTCGCCGCCCTCCTGGGTCTTGACGTATTCGTCATAGACGGCAAGGGCCTCGTCGACCTTGGACTTGAGAGCGGCATCGTCCTCGATCAAGTTAATGAGTTCGGAGTTGTCCATCTCAAGAAGCATACCGGTGATCTTGCCAGCAAGCTCGCCGTTAATGGCCTGGATCTTGGGGAAAATCATCTCACCGAGCATCTGCTTCTGCTGTGCAGGAGGAGCACCGGCGATCTGAGCCTGGAGGGCAGAGCCACTGTCGCCGGGGCGGGCAGTCTGGTTGGCGGTATTGTTGGCATTGTTGCCACCGCGGTTGCCACCACGGCCCATGCTGCCCTGGCGGTTGTTAGGAGGGAAGCCAGGAACAGCGTTAGGAGGCATGCCAGCGTTGCCACGGCCGCCCTGAGGACCGCCACGGCCACCACCGAGAGCAGCCTGCTGAGCCTGCTGCATGGCAGCCATGAACTGGGGAGTGCCGGGCTGGCCAAACTGGGGAGGGAACTGGTTGGGCATGTTGTACATGTTGGGGGGCATCTGCTGGGGGCCGCCACGGCCGCCCTGCTGGGGGTAGCCGGGGAACTGGCCAGGACGGCCACCAGGCATACCCATGCCAGGCTGGGGGAAGGGCATGCCACGGCCACCCTGGGGGATGAAGCCGGGCTGCTGGCCAGCGGCGTAGAAGACCGGGGGCTGCATAAACTGCTGGGGCATACCAGCGGCGGCGGCAGCCTGCTGCATGCGCATCTGGTTGCGAGCCTGGATACTAGCCTCAAGCTGGCTCTTGCGGACATCCTTGCGCTGAGCGAGGGCGACGTAGAGGGGCTTGCCGTTGATCATGCGCTGGTTCATCTCGGCGACGGCCTTGGTGGCATCGTCAGGGTTGCTAAAGCAGACGAAACCGAAGCCCTTGCTCTTACCGAGCTTCTTGGATCCCTTCTTGTCCTTCTTGTCCTGGTCGCTGTTGTCCTCCTCGGCGGCCTCGTCCTTGTTCTCCTCATCCTTCTTGTTCTCCTTGTCCTTGTCGTCGGCCTCCTTGGCCTCCTCATCGTCATCGGAGGGGCTATCTCTCATGACCTTGGCGGAGGTGATGGGGCCAAACTCGGTGAACATGGTACGGAGCTTCTCGTCATCAACGTCGTCATCAAGGTTCTTGATGTACAGGTTGACACCCTGGTACTTGCTGGCCTTTTCGATGCGGGCAGCCTCGTAGGACTTGCGGAGCTCCTCCTCACGCTCGTGCTTCTTCTGGGCGCGGCCGACGTAGAGCTCCTGGCCGTGGAAGTCCTTGTTGTTCAGCTGGTCGACAGCCTTGGCGGCGGCTTCGTGGGTGGTGAAGTTGACAAAACCGAAGCCACGGCTCTTGCCGTCCGGGTCGCGGGCAATGGAGGAAGAGGTGACATCGCCGTGGCCCTCGAAGAGCTCGCGGAACTGGTCGTCGGTGACATCGGGGCTGATGTTCTTGACGTATACGTTGGTGAAGTTGGCCTTCATCTCCTCGAACTTGGACTGGCGGTCCTTCTTGGGGATGTGGTGGCCGACGTAGACCTTCTTCTCGTTGAGGAGCATGCCGTTGACGTGCTTGATGGCCTGCTGAGCAGCCTCATCGGTCTCGTAGTGGACGAAACCGTAACCCTTGGAGTTGCCGTTCTCGTCCTGAGCAACCTTGCAGGAGAGAATGTTACCGAAGGCAGCAAAGGTGTCGTGGAGGGCCTTGTTGTCGATGGCGACGTCGAGGTTCTTGATGAAGACGTTGCCCTGGCCAGTCTTGCGGAGGGCGGGGTCACGCTGAGACCACATGATGCGGCAGGGACGGCCCTTGATCAGGGTGTAGTTGAGCTCCTCAAGAGCCTTCTCACCGTCGGGGGTCGAGTTGTAGTTGACGTAGGCGTAACCGAGAGAGCGGCGGGTGACGGCGTCACGGCAGACACGGATGGAAGCGACGGCGCCGATCTGGGAGAAGAGCTCGAAGAGCATGGCCTCGGTGACGGAGGGGTCGAGCTCGCCAACGTAGAGGGAGGCGGAGTTCTGGGGGTGAGGAGCGGCGGAGCTGGGGGTAGGGCCAGCATCGTCACCAGCGGGGGCGGAGACAGAGGTGTCGACGGAGGGCTTGCCGTCGATGGAGGTGTTGTTGAGGTCGGCGGCGAGCTGATCAACAGCGGCGGAGTTGTTGGAGGCAGACATTGTGTCGTGTTGAGTTAACAAGTCGACGGGGACTGGGTTCGGCAGGTTATGTTAGCGAGGAGGGCGGCAGGGAGACGGGAGAGGGAGAGGGAGAGGGAGAGGGAGAGGAGGGGAGCGCGACGTACAAGTTGGTGTCGTGTGGTAGAAGGAGAAAACCGGCAACGTAGCAGACTGGCTGTTGACGAAGCTGGGATGAGAAGAAAACACAGAAAGTCTTTGAGTGAGAGGCTCAGAGAAAGACGGCGGTTGGCGGGAGTTGAGAGAGTCGACCAATCTATCGCACGAGACGAGGGGGGGGGGTTTTATGGTTTTCAAATTTTTTTTGTAGGTTTTCTTGATTGAATACAAGAGGAGGGACAGAGAAGATAGTGCTGGGACTATTTCTCTGAACTAACTCGCCTCGAAAAAGTTGAGGGTTTTGTGGTGATAGGTTTTGGTGGTGGTGTGGAAGAGAAGAAGAAGGGAAAGCGAGGAAAAAAAAAAAATTCGGCGTGTTGATATATTTTTTCTTGCCTGGTTGGCCTTGACCGACTTGACTATGGTGGAGTGCCCTTTCCGCCTCGCACACAGCACACAAGCCACGCCAAAAAATAGGGTGTGTGTCCGCCGTCTGTTTGCGCGCCAAGTTGGAACTACAGAGTGAAAGAAGTGGGTGGCGTGGCGTGCCAGGCACGGGCTTGCACAGTGCATAGTCGACAGTATAAGCTTTATTCTTACAGTATGTCTCCCCTCATCTTTCTTCGCAAGTTACTACCTGACTAACTAACCAGTCATTAGGTTAGTAGTCTCTCTGGCTTGTTGGAGGCAAGACAACTGGTGCTCGGCAGTTGGCCCAGGGCTCCTGCACCCGACTAAGTATGTATGTATGTACATACATACACACAACCTGTGGCTCGTGACTGTGGCTCGTGCTACTTTACAGTGCTGCCTGTCGGCGCCAATTGTACTTCCCTGGAGTATAATTGTTTGTCCCTTTCTCCTTCCTTCACTTTTACCGCCTGTATTACGAGCAAGTATCCTTCCCCTCTACTCTTTCATTGTTGCCTACACTAGGTAGTTATTTATCCGCGACGTACCTGGGCGCTTCTGCTCATGCACGTCACTTCAACAACTGTGCATCTGCAGGGGTCATTACTCTAGTCTGGGGCCCCCGAAATGAAAGCGATGCGCAAAGAGATGAAGAGTAATAACTAATGTTTCGACGTTGCCATCATTGTGTCTCAGCTAAGCGACAACACTTGCTGTAATTAGGTACCTACATGGCCGGCCATGATGTAAGCTTGAAAATGCAGAAAGTAAGATTGTAATTCCAGCACAGAGTATCCGAGGTGGCTCTATGTACTTACAAAACTCTGGCACTGTAAACGTTGGTCCGTGCACGCCGCCTCCAAAGTCTCCAAAGTGGGCGAACCTTTTTGCCCAACTACTGTAGTTCATCCAGCATCAATTTCCTCGCGCCTCATCATCTCGCCAAAGCTCGCCCACACTGCCTTATTTCACCAACTCGCCACCGCTAGCGACTCAATTCCAAACCATCCATCGTCTCCTTGTGCCCTTGACGTCCCACTGTTCCCATCACAGCGCCGCCGTCGCCGCCGCCGCGCGCAACCGCTCCCAACATGTCAATACCAGCCTACCACGAGTCTCTTCCCTGTACGTGCCCAGCATCCCCCTCCACAAGCTCTAATCGTTTCACTCAAGAAAAACACACGGCTAATCCTCCCTTCCCAGACATTGACGAGGAGCCCTCCGTCGAGGTCCTCGCTGCCGCGCGCGCCCTCATCGACGCCGAAATCGCCTCCTCCTCCTCCTCCTCCTCCTCCGCCTCGCCGCCATCCCACCCCCCTCCCTCCTTTACGTCTACTATGACTATCGAGCTCGACCGCGTCGCCTCGCAGACCCCCCTCCAACCCCTCGACCTCTCCCGCTATGAAGCCCAAGATCCCCTCCCGACATCCTCCGCGCCCGCCGCCTCCCTCCGCGGGCCCCTCGAGCGCGCCCAGGTCTCCGCCGCGTACCTGGCCGCGCGCAACCAGAACCTGCGCCTCCTCGACCGCGGCGGCCGCAACGCCTGGCTGCTCGTCAACTACCACGCCGAGACCGAGCTGCGCACGCTCGAGGCCGAGCTGGCGGCCGCGAGGCGCGAGGTCGACCTGGTCAACGCGGCGCGGCGCGCGAGGCAGGACGAGGTCGCGGCGGAGATGCGCGGCCTGGAGGAGGGCTGGCGCGCGAGGGTCGGTAGGGTGCTGGAGACGGAGATCGCGGTCGAGGAGCTGAGGCAGCAGATCCGCGACGAGCTGCGGAATCAGAACCCGCCACGAGAGTAGCAGGTGGTTGGTTCGCTTTTGGTCTTCCAGATCTGGGAGGTAGACTTTCCGCTTCTCTCGGGGATTGGATTTCGAGTGTACATGCATGCTGGGCACTGCCGTTTGCTCTGGGAAGGAGCGTGGTGAAGCAAAAGGCGTTTACGTTTACTTTTCAAATATACTACCCACTACAAAACGTGGATGTTATACGTTACTCAGTCCTTTCAGAAGATGTTCTGTGTTATGCTGCTTGATTTATATCACTCATGAACGCTAAAAGATCTCGCTGTTGTCGTCATAGTCGTCGTCTAACTCAAATCAAACCCTGCACCAGACGTGATGGCGTAGAGAAGCTTCTCACGCAGCCTCTCCTCCGTTTTATACACTGGCAGCTTAAGCAAATTGATACATGTGCTCGCACTCGGCAACCGTTCTTCGTCGTTTCCTCCAGAACGGATGCAGAATAGCGGCCGGAGTTGGGAGAAGCCGAGCAGTGGTGCGCGCGGCGTGGAGCTAACATACTTGAGCAAGTTTCTCCGCTTCTCGTCGGTAAATTCGTGCATCACCTTCCAAAATATCTTGATCGTTGGGTGCTCTTCCTTGTCGTCACCCAACTCGTACAAGCCCGAGTAGACCGTGTTCTTACGCAGGTCTTCCAAATCAATCTCCGACGAGTCACCCCCGACAAGACGCTGGAGCTCTGACTGGTTGAACATGGAAAGCCACGATGGTCGGATAATTGCGCGCAGACCTCGCAGAAATGCCGCTGTTTGTGGAGCAGACTGCACAACCAGCCGGTGCCGAGCCATATATGAAATGTACAACGGCCGATTGTCATTCGTCACATAAACCTGGTCCCCGTTGGCCACCAGCAGTTTTGTCACCGTCTTTATCGGTGCTTTGGGCATCGAGACTTGATCTGATACCGTAAAGCTGATATCAAGTTCCGAGACGTCTCCAGGGTAGTTTTTGAGGCGAAGCATGCCGTTGTATAGCTCCTCGTCTAGGTCCCGCAAGTCGTTGATGCTGCCTTTGTAGTTGTTTTCGTCATCCGGCCCAGCAGAGGGCCACTTCAGTAGAAAGAAGCCAGCAAAGTTGACGTCAACAAGAATGCCCTCGTACATGCATTTTCCCACCAAGCGGCCCAGGAATTCGTATCGCCGAAGCTGCGAGTTGAGCATCTGGCGCCACTCAGGAAAAGATTCGTTCACATGGCCTACTCTCATTGTCTCCTTGATTGCATCTATGGCAATTGGGTTTGGGTAGAGGAGCCCAGAGGGGCTGGCGGTGAACATGTTGATGCCATCTTCATGACCGCTCAAGGCTTCCGATATAACGCTGATGAGAAACTCTTTAGTAACACCTCCGCCGTCAATTCCGGCTTCAGGTTCATCAAATTGGTCAACAAAGGTGATCGCAATTGGGTCCTTGAGGCCGTCGCCAATCTTGTACAGCTCTTCAAAGGCATCTTCAAAGAGTTGACCTCTGCGAATCTGGGCAGCGTGCTTAGCAAGTACCGGAAACGCGTGGTCAGGGGCTCTGCCTCTGAGCTCCTTGTCCACATCGATAAAAAGCCTGAAGATCCTAACACGAGTATCGAACGGCACGGCAAAAGGCATATGTTTCAGCACAGCCAGTTTTGGCCCTAGCTCTGCTAGTCGGCGCTCTCGTTGCGCTCGTCTCTGCTGCCTCGCTATCTTCTCTCGCGCCGCACGACCTGCGAGTGGCTCACGAGAAGACATACGGTCAAGACCGTCTTCGTCTTCATCACCGTCATCTTCATCATCGCCATCGCCATGGCTATCGTAGGACAACGCTTCCTGCCGTTGGCGCTTCTCCTCTGCGAGGACAGCACCGACAAAGTCTTCTTGCTGCAGCTGATCCGTGATGAGCCAATGATCTTTTGGAAGGAAAGCTTTCCGCGAGTCCCTCTCGTAGAGCATCGTCATTGTACTGGATACTATGTCGCGAAGGCTGTCAAGATCCAACTTTGTAGATCTGAGCTTGATTGCTTTCGGCGATGTTTTTGCAGAAGCAGCTGACTTGTTGCGGTGTTGAGACTCAAGAAAGCCTCGCCGTACCGGACAAAGCTCATGACCTTTGTAATACAGTGTAAAGGCGATATTCTTGAGGAAGAGACTGAGCGACTTGACGTCCTCAAGTGACAAACTGCAGGTCTGAATGCGCGATGGCGAAGAGTTTTCTTGTAACGGAGATGGATGGATGCCGCTAAAGAAATCTTGGTCGTCACTCAGTCGCAGAATGAAGGTGTATAGTTCGAGGAAGAGGAGGATTATACGCCACTCTTGATCTGAGTCGGTCTCCCCGCCGTCGGGCAGGGGGCCATCGTTGAGGTATTGATTGAGAATGGGAAACGTTTGCCCGGGTTCGTCCCGGAGAATCTTGAAGACCTGTGTTTCTTGGGCCATCTGCCACAGGAATTTGACGGTAGGAACAGACCTTATTCCTGTTGTGACTTGTTCTAGAAATAACCTCATGCGGATATCGTCAGCTTTCCCAGAGAAGCTTTGCAGCAATGTCAGCAGGTAGCCTGCCAACAAACTGGTGGTGTTGCAGCTTGGTTGGCTGGAGTTGGCAGTAAAGTATCGCAGGATGTTAGATGTGCCTTCGCTACTGCTAAGCCATAGCAGCTGACGGGAAATGTAGGAGTTGTCGGGCTGATCGGGGCTGCGAAAATCGCCCTCTGATTCGGCTGTGAGTGAGTTGGGTGTGGTCACGCGAGCACTGATTTCGGATGTGAGAGCCGAGAGTTGGATGAAGAGGGAGCGAATTGGGTCGATGCCAGCGTGTGTCCAAGTAGAAGTTCTCGTGAGATCGGTAGTATGAGCGAGGAGCCACATGAGTCCATCGGAAGAGTCGGTGTGAACGCGTCTCGAGCTGTACGAATAGCCAATTTCTTCGCTGAGCAGTTGGGGGCTAATGATTGCGGCGAACGACTCAATATTGTCCTCGAACAGTGTAATATTCTCCTCGGTTAGGAATTCGCGAGTAAAATACGCAAAGGCTGGAATGCAGTGGTGGTGTTAGTGATGTTCTTGTGGAAGAGGCTTATCGGGCGAAGGAAGGGGTGGAAGACGTACCGCTAGAGTCGTCGGACGTGAGGGCGGCACGTAGACTCTCCAGTACATCTTGGAGCCAGTCTTCACCCTGAACCTTTTTGCATAAAGCAGCCAAGGCAGCAAAATATCTATTCCCGGAGGAGCTTAGAGCTTGGGGCACGAATTCGAGAATTTGGGTAGCGAGGCGGAGAAGAAGGCGGAGTTCATCGGTAAGAGTGCTGGTCATAGGCGAGGTGTTAGCAGACAACGTGATCAGAGGACAGTATGAGAGAGGGAGCACTCATACCCTGTGGTTGAAGTTGAAGCAGACTCCAAAGCAGAGTTAATAACGTGAAGGAGCCTCGGTAGACGAGTTGGGTGCGCTGGCCAAAGGCTGGTCGAGGTGACGCCAGCCGCGTCATAGGCATAGTGTTGCAAGCGTCGGAGATCGTCAAGTCGGGCGGCCGGTCTGCAAAACGAGAGTAACAGGACGAATGCGCGATGCAACCTGTCTGTGTCACCGGGGGCCCCGGGTTCGGTATACAGGCGGTCAAAGGCGGCGCGGTGCATGTCGCTGACACGACACCGTTCTCTGTGACCCCGCCATGATCGTTGGATGCGCGAGGCTGCCTTCAGTCGCTCCCTGTCGGCTTGCCTCCTCTCACGATCAGCTTTGGCGTCCAAGACGGTCTTTTTGGTGGTCGAGGCGGTGGATGGAGACCACGATGTATTAGCAAAGGGATTTCCGACGCTACCGCTGAGGTTGACGTTGCGAGGGCGCCTCGAGTTGCCGGTGAAGGTTGGGAACATGGCAAACAGGAGGGGGGGTGGCGTGACGAGGGATGGAAGGAAGGCTTGCGGCAGTGCCCTCAAAGCTTAGAAGCGAAGAGGGCTGGGTGATGGGGGTTCGTAAAATACGCTTGTTGATAAATATGTATCAAGGGAAGAGGGGATGTAAAGGATGGAATCGAGTTAACATGTCCAAGTTCGGATCGAGAGGTACAACTGTAGGACGACATCGGGAGCGGGAAGCACCTGTGGTGGGGCAATGAGGTGAGGCATGGCAGGCTGCCTGGAGTACTTTTTGTCAGATTTGTCTTTACTTTTCTGTCAGGTTCATTTTCGATTTTTTTTTTCTCAAGTAAATAAACTAGTTATGTTTTACTTACTCTATTCATTGACTTATTTTTGAGTATTTATTGAACTGTTTTCGTTGTTCTAGAGCATCCCATGTCAACCTCTGTACTCCGAATGTCATTAACCCTTGCTCTGTAATCCGTACTAGAAATTAGCTAAGGCACGGGTAACCTTAATAACTCCTGCCACCGATGTTCTATTTCCTGCCATTCGCTTCTACAACAAACACACTGCCAAATCTTCACCTCATCATCACGACCGTCATTGACCTTGTTCCAGTCTGCGTTTGCGCATATGTATGTCCTTCTCGAAACAATTACGCCTTGTACATTGACACAATACACATCGTGTTGGAAATTATCGCTTCCGTCGCCGCTCGTTTCCAGATCTCCCCAAAAAAAAAAACGAAAGCCTTCGACCTCGCGTCTGGCCCTGTATCCTGTAATTTCAGCCTTGGAAGCTTCGCTCCAGAATCTTGGGCTTCCTGCTCGAAAGATCAATGAGCATCTGCCCAAACAGGCCGTTGGCCCATGCAAACCTATCATGGACAACGTTAGCTTGCATGATTCTTTTGCCGCGGCAGACGACGGGCAGGAGACTCACCACGAACGGCTCCAGTTCGAATCATCAAATGTATTAACCGACTCATGAATCAAGCCTAGGCCACTGGTCGAACCAAGGAGCGTCTCAAGACCATGAATGATCTCATCGTCCTCGTCGCTCGTCATGATGCGCATGATGACGCCCATCGGCCAGGCCTTTCCGGGCCCCAAGTGCGGGCCGCCGGTCGAGTTGATGACCGGCCCCGTGTTGAAGTATGGGTTGGAGCGACTGAGAACAAAGTCGCGCGTGCGCTTGTAGACGGCGCTACCAGCGTTGTCATACCCGAGATGCGGGATGCTGAGCAGGGAAGGGATGTTGGCATCGTCCTATCCAAGATTCGGCATGCACGTGTCAGTCAGCTGCTTTCGGGTACACATTGCCATCACATAAACCTCTAACTCACCATGAAGTTGACGGACCCGAAGCCGTCGACCTCGTACGCGTAAATCTCGCCATACTTGGGGTGCTTGACCACACCATACTCGTCAATCGCCTTTCTGATGCTCGCCGCCATGGCCCCCATCTCCCTTGCGAGCGCCGCGTCCACGCTCTCCATGATGACGGCGCAGTTGCGCAGCCCCTGCGCGAACATCATGTTGGCCGGTACGAAGTACTGATAGATGGTCGAGTCGTCCGACGGCCGGAAGAAGCTCCGGATCATGCCGATGCCGTCGGCCACGGGGCTTCCCGCGCCGCGGTTGGCCACCACCTCGGTCGCCGTGTTGGCCTCGCGCAGCCACGTGTAGGGCGACTGGCGCACGCGGCCCTCGGCGTCGTACGTGCCGACCGTGAGACCATGGGCCGTGTCGAGCAACACGCGCACCGTCTCGCGCCAGGAGAACCGCCCGAAGAAGGCGACGTCACCCGTCGCCTCGTAGTAGTCGTGCGACAGCTGCAGAAAGGCGCCGAGGGAGTCGAGCTCGTACTTGCACTCCCAGACCTCGGCGGGGTCGTACGGCGGCGAGACCGTGTCCTGGCCGGGTAAGGCGCGGTTGTTGCCTGCTGCCGGCGCCGCGCGCTTGCCGTGGTTCACGGGCGGGATCTTGGACTCGGCGGGCGGCTGGAAGGCGTTGCAGTAGGGGTTCTTGCGCAGATAGCGCGCCTGCAGGTTGATGGCGCCGCGGAAGAGCGCCGCGACAGTGTTGGTGTCGTTGGCGACGGCGCCCATGTCGTTGGTGACGGCGCCCGTGTCGTTGAGAATGGGCTTGTACGACTGCAGCTGGTTGGCGCTGTCGCGCAGCCACATGGCGTTGATATCACCGGTAATGACAAAGGCGAGCTATAGTCGGGGAGTGTTAGTGGCCGGCCAACTGAAGAAAAGCAAGTCTCGCCTTGATGATAGCATACCTCTTCCTCTGCGTTGTCGGCCGACTTGCCTTGCCACAGCACCGTCGTGTCCACCGTGTTGGGCCAAGTGTTGAGGAAGAGCTGGTACAGGTCCGGGTCATGCACCTTGTCCTTCATGTCGGTGATGACGCGCTCGACCTCGGGCACCACGAAGGAGCGGCATTCTTTTGAGGGACGCTGGGACGGGAACTTGTACTTGCCGCCCGAGAATGGCTCGTGGCGCTCGCGGGCGTACTGCTCGTATGCCGGACAGTCGGCGGCGGCACTTAGACCGACCAGCGCGGCCAGGGCAATGGCGGACCTCATGTTCCGATTGATGGTTTTTTTTTGGTCGATCCGCAGGTTCACGAATTATACTGCAGTATCGTTGGCCTTGAGCTGGAGATGATCAGGGTGACTACCACGAGGGCGATTAAAGCAGTGCAGTTGTCCCTATTTATACAGTTGCAGCATGATGGTGCACTAGACGGGTAAAACTGTGGCTTCCAACTCGACGAGTCGTGCGGAGTAATAAGCATGCAGTTTGTCAGGCCGACAAACAGTCTCATTCCATCCATCATGACCCCACGATATGCGCTATTGCAGCTTTAGAAGGTGAGAGACTTTGCACACGGACCAGTGTACTTGCCAGTAACTTGATCATGGGTTTTGTTTTGTTTGCGGTGTAGATAAAAGGAAGGGGCCCCCCTGCTAGTGTGGTACCATTCGGTTCTCCCCAAGAGTTGGCCTTGGTAACGAACTGCAGTGGTTGTAACCATCTCGTGTGTTGAAAGGCGACTAACACAGCAAGGCATCATGTCTGCATGCACGAGCTCGGTGTATCTCTCGATTAGTAGCCCACACTACCAAGCCACCAACGGGGAAGGCTGTCGATGCCGCCAATCATGACTGGCAAATGGGGGGATGACATGCCTGTTGTGGGTGTGCCGAGTGAGGAGCTTAGGCGAGGGCCTCGTGATGTAGGTAGGCCAGTTGGAGGGTAAGACGGAATTTGCAATGCGAACTTGGTAGACCAAAAAAAAATTCATCATGTTTGTCGGGCGAGTTGAAGCAAATACTTTTCTTAGCGGGCGTACAGCGAAGCAGGACTGTAATGGTGACGGTGATCTCCAAGATTAGAAATTTAGACTCACTGTGTTTGCCTCGGCCTCTTCCGCGACTTATCATTGGAACAAGGACAAAGGGAGAGAGGGGGGTGGTATTTGCTGAGCGGGGGAGTTCGCTCGCGACTGACCAGGCTGGATGGACTTGGCGTTGGACAGACTGGACGGGCGAGACCCATTTGTTGTGAGCCGGCTGCGCCCTGTATTATTAGCGATGATGATCTTGTCGCAACTTTTACGCCATGTATAGTTGTCGCATCCGAACCCTCTCCGATTTCGCAGCAGCCAAAGGAAACTATACGGAAACTGTCATTCCCGTCGTTGACGTCGTCAGAAGGACTATGGCGTCGCCTCCCTTGTATTCCAGCAAGCCAGCAAGCCACCATGGAAAAAGGATCCAAAAGCGCACGAATGAATGATCCTTCGGGAAAGTAAAAGGGCGACTTCCTGTCCTCTGTGCGGGGTTGACTTGGTCCAACTACAAGTTAGGACGGCGATCGCCCAGACCAAGGCGCTCTTGGCGTCCCGGTTAATAATAAGCCACCAAGCCTCTTCCCCGTGGGGAACTTGCCGTGGGGGGTTCACGGAGGCAGACGAGACCATTTCGGTTCGGCTGGTTATCGTTGACGCCGTCAAATCAAGGTCAGTGAGTGGTACGGGGTAAGCGGGCGGGCAGTTGGTATCACCGTTGGTGTCTCTGTTAAACCGCCCAGCGAAGTCTACCGGTGGCACGCCAACTTTTGAAGCTTACCACTGGCTGGAGAGCTTTCTGTGCAAGAGATGTCATTCAAGAACAAAAGTCCGCTGATCCTCGGCTACCAAGCTGGCCGTGTCGAGGTCGGGCGTGTGAAGAGCTTCGCGATGTGCGTTTCCCACGCAGAAGAGAGCACCGGTGAAGTTGACAAAGGCCGTAATGAAGACTTTTAAAAAAGGCTAATATGCAATTAATCGTGCGCCCTTCCCTCCGTCGACCCCCCGTGAACCAGCCCAACAACCGCCACAATGGCCTCGGTGATGCGTCGGCTCAACCTCTCTCTCCTTAGTCCTCGTCGCAATCCTTCACCTCATGTCTAACCCCCGTTGGGGCTGATGCGCTTCGTATGCAGAGGATCAAATGATGCGAGCCACTCACACCATCCAGCAAGGAACCCGCCAATGCTCCCTGATGCTCCAATCCCCAACAGCGGGTGCTTCCCTGCGAATGCGGGGAAGAGCCAACCAGCCAGGCACCCAGCCGAAATGGCAAAAAGGACATTGGGATACACTGCAAAAGGAAAAAAAAAAGGATTCCGAGGACAACCATGTAAGACAGAGAACTGTCTCTTCGCCCCCTCCTCCCCCCGAGCCGTCGCTGTCGCTTATTTCATCACTCGCCCCCCCGGTCCTGCCAAGGTTAAACATTGGGCCATTTTTTTTTTCTTTTCTTTTTTTTTTTTTTTTTTTTTTACATTCAGCAAAGACAATGGCGGAGAGCAACAGCACCTCCCCCGGAAACCCGGACCCCATCGCCGGGTCCGACCCGCAGCACGTCCCGGCCGAGGAGAAGCGGCCGGCCGAGGAGCACATCGAGGACGCCCCCGGCGGCAGTGACAATGGCAATGGGTCGGTGCCCAACTTGCACAAGAAGGGCGCGCTGGGATTCATCCAGCAGCAGCACACCATTCCCACCACCGGCGGCGTGATGCCGACGGGAAAGTGGGAGTACATTTTCTTTTGCATCTACTGTAAGCCGGTAGGGAACTCCGAGATGGTGCACTTGCTAACAGCCACGGAACTATGCAGACTTTTCAAACAATGGCGCTCGTAAGTACACGATAGAATCCAACAGTATACGCATCACTTGTTTTCTTCAGTACAGCTAATCATGCCATGATCTGTCCTAGCCATTGGTGGTAACGGTGGTGCCCTGCGACAGGCCCTCACCTCCCAGGCCTTTCCGGACAAGATTGTCCACTGGGGCGGCCAGCATCTCAACTGTAAGTATCCATCTATCCGCAAAGGGTTCGCAGCATACTTCTTTCTGCATAGTCTAACCAAGACAGTAAACTCCTTCCTCCTCGACATCACCGGCATCCTCTTCGCCGCCCAACTCGTCACGCTCCTGACCGTCGGTCCGTACGCCGACTACGGGAACTGGCGCCCTTGGATCATGATCAGTCAGTCACCAGCTTGTACGCTACATGTTGAGAATTGCACGCTAATACCTGCAAAAAATCACAGTCGCCCAGAGCATCCTCTACATCTGCCAGTTTGCCATGTGCGGCATCAACCAGCCTGGGCAGTGGCAGGCCGCGCAGGCCCTGTACGTCATCGGATCGCTCGCCGCCAACATTGCCACGGCGTTTTACACGGCCACGTTTCCTAGCCTGGTGCATAACCTCCCCAAGGTGCTCAAGTCTGAGCAGGACGTGCGAGATGGCGTCAAGTCGTACGTTCCAACGCAGCTTGTTCACGTTCCGCGTCGGCAGCCCCTCTTCTAACTGTCATCTCGCAGCCCCGAAGAGCACGCCGAACTCGACTCCTACGAGCGATCCAAGGTACGATACTTTTTTCTCAGAAACCAGAGGTGCCATCCTGCACGGCTCTTTCTAACTCCCTTAGCTCTACAACCTCTGCAACATCACCGGCTCCGCCCTCGTCGTCGTCTTCTACGCCATCGCCGTCGGCATCTCGGCCGGCATCGGCTTCGACACCCCGGTCAAGCTCATCCGCTCGTACAACGTGCTCATGGGCTACTTTGGCGCCCTCACCGTCATCTGCACCGTGCCCTTCTTCCTCGTCCAGAAGCACAGGCCCGGCCAGCAGCTTCCCGAGGGCACCAGCTTCTGGTCCGTCGGCTTCAAGTACGTGCCGTCTCTCAAGCGAGAAGCTCTCCGAGCAAATCAAGGATCAACTAACGCGGCTCTACATGCAGACAAATTTGGAGTGCTATGAAGTCGGCAAAGGAGCTCCGCCAGTGTCTGCTTTACCTCCTCGCCTTCTTCATGCTGCAGGAGAGTAAGTCAATCGATTGTATTCAATTTGAGGAAGTAGTCAGTCTGCTAACGCAAAAGTAGCCTTTGGAACCTACTTTAACATTACCGGCATTCTCCAGAACGAGTTCGTCTGCCCTTGCCCGTTCTCCCGTCTAAACTAACCGCTGACGCTCTCCACCGCAGGGTCATCAACTATTCGCCTCTGAAGCTGAACGCCATGAGTCTGGTTGCAGACTTGTCTGGTGGCTCAGGTACCGTCTTTGTCTTGCTTCTGCAAAAGAAGTTCCGCTTCTCTGTCAAGGCCGGCGTCTTCTACGGCGCATGCATGACTCTCGTGCCGAGTCTGTGGGGAGGCATAGGTCTGTTTACGGACAAGATTGGGTTCAAGAATGTCTGGGAATTCTGGCTCGCACAGGTATTATTTTTTTCTTTATTTCTTTTTCCCATCAGTATAAAAATACGGAGAACCCCTTCAACTAACACACCCCGTACCCAGGCCTGGAACTTCCAAACCGCAGCCTGGGGATCCTACCAAATCACCATGATCTCCGAGGTCGTTCCGGCCCCCAAGGCCTTTCTCTTCTTCGCCCTCTTCAACTGCGTCGGCAAGACGTCCGGCTTCATCGGGCCCTTCATCTCCTCGGCCATCATCGAGCGCGCCCACGGCCGGACCAACGCCGCCTACTGGTTCCTCTTCGCCATGGGCTCCGTCGGCTGCTTCGCGCTCTGGTTCGTCGACACGGATAAGGCGAAGCGGGACAACGCCCGGTACCTAGAGCGCGAGGCGGCCGAGTACTACAGCACGCGGCAGATTCAGGAGTCGCAGAACGAGAAGGCTGAGAGCACTGCCACGGCGTGATTATAGACGCTCGCTGCGCTCTGCATTCAACATGCGAGCACCATTGCAGCCCAGCAGCAATCTTGGCTGGCCGGTCCAGCTCACGGTTTACACCTTGGCTTACTTGCATCTTTTGCTGTAGTGTTTACAATATCCACGATGTTCTTTTCTTCCAAATTAATATAATAGCAATCATTGCTGGTTCGCTTCCTTGCACTGTGAGTGCAACGTGCCGCTCTTGGAGCTTAGGCTGTCGAGATTGACCGTCGACCCCTGCAGACTGCCATCCTCCAGTCGCTCAAATGAGCCCTCCAGGTCCGTCTCAGGTCGCTTTCTAACACCGTCTCGGTGGGCGATTTTGCCAATGGTGATTATGGACGTGAGGTTGTTATTCGGATCGCTAACCTTGGCCTTGCGGCCCTTGAAGTTGAAGAGTTGTGGAGGTTTCCATCGCTCGGCGAGCATGTTGAAGACGGGCAAGCACGAGCAGACGAGGCCAATCGAGAGCTCGAGCAGGCTAGCAAACTCCCAGTCAGCAAACCACGGCACGAGTTGCACATGTGCAAGCATTCATCACTTACACCGTGACAATAATTACAGCAAAATCGGCTGTCGGGTCCTTCGTGTGCATGAAGTGGACTGCAAGGACCTGCCGGTAGGTCGTGACGGCCGTCGCGATGCCTCCGGCGCCGAGCAGCAGCATGATCTTGATCTTCATGGACCGGGGCGCCTCGAGGTTCCACGTCAGTGGTATTGGGAGGATCAGGATGAAGAGGTCGGTAATCATGGCGAGGGAGATGTCGGCGTAGAAGAGCTGGGTCTGGTTGCGGCAGGTGCCGGGGACGCTCATGTCCCAGTACGCTCGGATCGGGTTGCAGACGAGGATCTTGACCATCTGGATGGGAAAGTAGGCGACGAAGAGGAGCGCCATGAAGATGTAGATGCCGCGGGCGACAAAGGGCCGGACGGCGAAGATGCGGGCTATGATGAGGAGGAGGGTGACTTTGGTAGAGTACGAGGCGGGACAGTAGACGACTGTGCCTGCGTATAGCCACTGTCAAATCGATTAGCATCCTCCAAGCTTTCTTGACAGCTTGATGGCTGTTGTCGACTATGATTACCTTGCGCATGTTGGAGTTGTCTTCTAGTGAGACCTCCCAGGCGTGGTGGCCTTGGCCATACTTGACGCCTATGATGGTCACCGTCAGTCAATGACTTATGAGCAGGTGATGGCGCCGACTTACTGATGGAGCTAAATGCAGTGTATATCATAAAAAGACTCTGTATGTAGTCTCGTATTAGTGATTCAGCTCGAAGGATACAGAGCACCTCCAGTCCTTGCTTACCCAGGCTAGGGCACAGGTGACTAGAACGAAGGTCAACACAGGAGTCGAGACACTCTGACAACAAAGACTCGCCATCTTCTCGTAAAACGTTCTTCATGACAAACACTTTTCCGTATACTCTCATGAAAAAGAAAAACGTCGACAGGGCAATACTTGTTGCGAGCCACCCGACCAAAAGCGACCGATAGCCGTCCTGCGGGTGTTCCAAGTCCGGAACTACACCGGGCGGCGGTGGCGCGACACCAGGATACGGCGACGCCATGTTGAACAAGAAATTTGAAGAGAAAGTGTGTAAATGAATTCCCTGCTATCTTTGTGACATATTTCACACAAGCAAGGGGAGAATGATCTGTACAGGGGGCGGCCCGGGTCAGCGATGCTGGATCTGGATCAAGAAGAGATCCGGAGCGGGTGGCGTTCCTTGCGTTGGGGGCCGCACGGGTTGAAGAAAGAAAGAAAGAAAGAAAGAAAGAAAGAAAAAAAGAAAAAAAGGGGCCCATTAAGGGTCTCGAGAGAGCTTTTGGAAGCATCTTTCAAGGGGTGGTAATAAAAATAGTAAGGGTAAAGCTACGGGCCATGGTGCTGCATCAGCCTTCCAAGTGCTGCAACAGTAAGCTGTTCCCCGTCCGCCGGCCACGTTGGTCAATCTTTCTAGCATGGTTCCAAGTACAGAAAACAGAGACACTATTACATATCGATCATTTGAAAGAAAAAAGTGTCCATCTTTGTGTCGTCCCGTCTGCTGGTGGACTTGGGACGAAGGACCGGCTTGGCCTCGGCGCCTCTGCCGGGCGGGGACGCGATCCCGGGACGCTGGGATCGTCGTCTGCGACTGGCTGTTGAGCTCACAAAGCGTAATAAATACGCAATGGATAGATGGATTACAAAAAGGGTACGTCGGACTGGTACGTACTCAAAACTCTTCAACATGGGATGGATCCTCGGATAGCGACGTCACAACGCTAACGTGCATGTTCAGCGGCAAAATGCGCCGGACTAGAGACGAAACAAGTCGTAGTTGATGAATCGTCTGGTGGATAGAAAAATGCTTCTCCGGACAGTTCCGCTGCCGGCAACGTCAAAATGCTCTCGAGAGCAATCTCGAATCCGAGCCGTCTTTGGTGCTTGACTGTCTCACATGTGCAGGGCACCGCACTCAGTCTGTACGTAACTGTATTACCGCTTAGTGTCGGGCAGAAAGAAGAGAGCTTTGGGTTGCACAGAATACGCCGTCCTTGAGCAGCCGACAGGGCTGACAGGACTGCGAAGGAGCTACTTGAGCATAGCCGGAGGGTCAAAAAGTATTTCATCAACAAGGCCTAGAAAGCGTACGGGCCGAATCCTTTGTCACAGCGCAAAGGGGACCTTGAGCTGAAAGAGTGAGTTCATATCTACAAGTGAGACTTACTCTACTTGCCCGCAGAACCATGTCAGCCGAAACAGGGACTTCATCTCCGGAGCGATTTCCGGGCGTCGCGCTCATCACCGGCGCCGGCGGCACAGGTAATATTATACATGACCTTTTTTTTTTCATATTGCCCACCCCCTTTTCTTAGCTAGAACATCACTTACTGCAAAAGATCATCCTCAAACAAACCCTAACCGGGAACAGGCATCGGAGCCGCCGTGGCCAGGGCCTTTGCGAGAGCCGGATGCCCCAGGCTCGCCATCACCGACATCAACAAGAGCACGCTCGCCGACACGCGGTCCTCCATCCTGCGCATCAACCCCCAAGCGCAAGTCCTGGTCCTCTACGGCGACCTCACCGACGACGCCTTCGCCCTGCGCCTCGTCGACGCCGTCGTCGAGACGTTTCAGCGCGTCGACTACCTCGTGCAGTGCGCCGGCGTGCTCGGCGCGCCGCGCCGCTCGCACGAGACCCCCGCGAGCGAGTTTGACCGCGTCAACGGCGTCAACTACCGGGCCGCCTGGCTCGTGAGCCGGCACGTGCTGGCCGGGGCCGGGCCAGCGCGGCGCGGTCGTCCACGTGGCGAGCCAGCTGGGCCTCGTGGCCAAGGCCGGCGCCGCGCCGTACTGCGCGTCCAAGGGGGCCGTCATCGGCATGACGAGGGCCGACGCGGTCGACTACGCGCCGGACGGCATCCGCGTCAACTGCGTGTGTCCGGGCATCGTGGCGACGCCGATGACGACGGGCACCAGGGAGCTGGAGGAGGCGGTTCGTCCGGCGATTCCGATCGCGCCGATGAATCGCATGGCCTCGCCGGACGAGATTGCGGGGCCGATCTTGTTTCTGTGCTCGCCCGAGGCGTCGTTTGTTCAGGGCCATGCGCTGGTAGTCGATGGAGGCTACACAATCAACTGAGGTGTTCATCCGCCACCGGTCAAATTACCTATAGGTCTATTTTCTATACACGCATGGGAAAGATTTATGCAGTCATGATACGTTCGTGAGCAAGCCTCTGATCATACAGATCCAGAGTTATCGGCACAAGAAAAGGCAACGCCCATGTCACCCTTGGAGTGGGCATCGATGACGCCCTGGATCACTCCATACGTTCCGCCAATCGTCAAGAATGCGGCGAGCGGAATCAGGAGCCAATTCAGCCAGTAGACCAGAGCCATCCACCACTTGCCGTCCTTTCGCCACTCGGGGTGGTCGTAGATGAAAAGATACGCTGGCAAGCCCAGCGCCAGCGGAGCAAATGTCAAGCTCCCGCACAGCGCGACCAGGTAGTTGAAGATGGGGATGGCGACGGCCAGCAAAAAGGCCACCGCGGAGAGGCCAAAGGTGCAGCCGAGCCACGTCGCCCAGTGCGTGGCCGTGTTCGCCTGCAGGTGCCGCGAGCCGCGCAGGAGGCGCACGAACAGGTACTTGGCCGCCATGTGCACCCAGATGCAGGCGCTCACGAGCAACCCAACGAGGCCGACGCCGTAGGCGACCATCTTGACGGTGCCGCCGGCGCTGCCGAGCGAGGGCGACGCGACCCAGCGGCCGCACCAGCGGTACACGACGAGCGAGAAGACAAGGTACGAGCTGCTGACGACGCCCATGGCGAGGTACACGGCCTTGTTGTAGTCGCGCGGCCGGCGCATCTCAGCGACGACGGGGACGAACGCGGACGTGCCAGCGCCGGCGCTGAAGATGGTGGCCACGGCGGTGATGCCGGCGACAAAGTCCGGGTCGCCGATGACGCGGTAGCCGAGATCGAAGTCGCCAGTCTGCGGCGCAGCGGCCGGGCGGTCGCGAACCGTGACGGCGACTCTGTAGAGGGGGAGATTAAATTAACGTAGGTTGCTGGATTGTGTGGGGGAAAAGGACATACACGACGATGAGGACGGCGATGAAGATGGACAGGAAGCCGACCCAGGTCAGCCAGGCCATCTTTTGCAGCTTCCGCACGCTCGCAAGGACAAAGATGGCGACGGTGGCGACTAGCATAAAATAGTTTGTGCAGACGGCGTGGTTGGAGAGCGCGTTGAGCGCAACGGCGCTGCCAAAGACGCCCGAGGCCGAGGCGATGGACCAGGTAAGGAGGAAGAGGACGCCGACGACCTCGCGCAGCCACGGGCCACCGACGACGGCGGCCATGTCGCCGATCGAGTGGCACCCGGCGTCCAGGTGCCGCGCGCGAAAGGCGCCCTGCACGACGGCACAGTACGTGTTGAGCAGGCACCAGCCGACGACGTTGATGGCGCCGGGCAGTGCGCCGAGCGTGTACAGTGCGGAGGGTATGGACAGCACGCCAGTCGCAAAGAGCGCTACAACACGAGGGATGTTGTCAGCGGGTGCTTGTTGAGCAATGATGGCATCAAGCTGCTTGCTTGCTTGTTGCGGCGGGCTGGGCTAAGCTCACCTTTCATAAAGATGACCGAGGCTGGCACCCATTCGAGGGTGCGAAAGTCGACGGCGCCATCTTCCTTCCGAAAGACCTCAAAGGACTCGCCCGGTGCCAGCTTGGGCTTCTCGTCGATGCTCCCGCTCGGTCGGTCGGGCGCCGCCGCCACCGGTGTAATGGCCTCCTCTCTCTTGCTGTCCATGGGCTGTGGTTGGTGGGTATAACAAGCAACGTGTGGCGCTCACCCAATCGGCCGAGTTGGGTGGTCCCGATGAATCGGTATCGCGTGCATCTGGAGATGTTGGAATGACAGAAAGACCAGTCTACAAAGTGCTGCCCTTTCTTTTTCTCCTTCTCTTCTCTTTGCTCACAGTCCACACCGACAACTCACCCTGCACAACCGCAAGGGATGGATGTGGGTTGCCACCACCGGCGCATCGACTTTTTTTCCCTGGCCTAATAAGTTTCTGCGTCGTCCTCCTTCTTCCCCAATGGATTTTCTAGCCTTGGGTAGTGCAATGGGTCTAGCATGCATAGTTTGGTGGATAACAGTGTAGTAATATGCCACCAGTCAGCCTCAGCAGACGACCCTAGGGCTATCTCATTCACAGAGACTTGCAATCTAACCCATAGCCGCAAACTCGGTGACCACTCAGCGGTTCTAGAGGCAATCCTAAAGAGGCTTCTACCAGCGGCGGGAGAGAGCGCGATTCGCACAACGGTAGGGGTTCCCATGAAGGTCAAGTTGTACATTTCGCCTTGTCTGGCGCTACGGCCCAGTGAGCAACATCCCAGTTGAGGCTGACGCCAGCGTCGCCCCGTGGCAGAATAGATGGCGAGAGATAGCGGCAGTTCCGGTTGTTGACGGTTGATTATCTTCGTGGGGGAGATGAGGGAGCTTTTGTTGTTGACAGTGATAATAGACTGTATCGGAGCAATCAGGGTGGGCTTGGTTCCGATACGGGCGCAGTTCCGGCGTCTTGACCGAGGTTGCCGGCATTGTGTCCGGTATGTACCCAGTGTTCCGAGATGAGATGAGACAGTGGCCCGTAGCTATTTTATGTTTTGCGGTGGGAGATCGGTATTGCGTGGAGCATTGTCGTCCAAGCAGAGCTTGTGCCCCCCTCGCAAAGTCGAGCTCTATCGGGCTGTGTTTGATGGCCATTGCGTTTGCGTTCGCAGTATAGGGTAGGGCGGGAATCTGATGAGATGACCACGTCAGCAACGCCTGGCGTGCATGGCAATATGCGTGGTTGTTTCGAGAGATGTTTAAATGTGTGAGTATGAGTGTGTTGCCGATTGAGGCCTTTGCGTAGTGATGTTGGATGTAGCGGTGTTCAAATGGTACGTTGTGCTTGTTTGTTTGTTGTTTGTTGGAAATGGTTAAAGCTGCAGCGGAAAGGCTCTGTCAGATCAAATGCACGCCAACATGCATACCACGATCCAGCTCCAGCCCTACCCATCACCCATCACCCACACCGCTACAAACCCTCCCTTTCCAGCTCACAAGACAGCAATCCCCTTTTGATGCGTCGATAGCCGCTTTTACCAGACGCCTTTGTCTTCAGTCTGCCCAGAGTGCCGGGTTCGCCCGGTGGAGAAGGGAAACGGCGCTGTGCCGGCACGTGTGCAGGTTTACGGCGTGATGGCCGAGGTACTTGTTAAGCCGAGCATCCACCCGCAAACGGCCCATATAAACAGCCTGGAGAGACAAGTCACTACCGAGCCCAGCCTCCCAACTAGGCCGGCTTGGGTCGGAAGCTAAGCCGTAGACAAGCAAAGAGTTGTTTTCATTGCCATTGTGAATACCTGCGTACCGGAGGTACAGATTACCTAGGTGAAAAAGGGTTCTTCGTCATTTTAATAGCCAATCAAAGTAGCTGTCAGTGTCGCCAAATTCGGTCGAGCCAATGTATTTCTTTGTAAATACCACCGTCAATAGGGTTGGTTAGCTGGCAGTGGCAATGAAAGCCGCTCAACCGACAAACTGCTTCTCCACAAGCCACAACCAGGCCAATTGGTGGCCAGATAATTGTAAACCCGCATTTTGCCTCTGGCTCTCGTTAGTCTGACGTACATTGTCTGGGGGCTTCTTTTCAACCTCTTTTCCCTTCTCCCACTTGCTTTCCCCACGCTTTCCTCTCCGGCAAACAAGTCACCGGCCCTCAAACCGCCCCAATTGCTCTCGCCACCGCTCCCGAGCTCTTCATCTTGCGCGTGCCGACTGCAAATTTTCCCGTCCTCGACGACCATGTCGGCCCCAGCTCCCGTGGTGAGATGCGTCCAGCGCGGTGCTCGCTCCATCGGCGGCCGGCTGGGTGCTGCTAGCGGCCGACCTATATGCCGCAGCATCACCACCACCACCACCTCCCCCTCCTCGAAAACGACGACGACAACAACAACAAGACCATCAACAGCCTCCCTGGCCTCAACGAAAAAAACGCCGAGGGCGGCCGCCGCCTGCTCCTCGGCCCGCGGCCCCGCCAACCTCCGACGCTTCACCACGAGCCGGCCGCTGCGCCAGGACGACGACGACGCCTTTGACCCGAGCCGCATCGAGCGCGAGTCTGACGAGGTCGATGTGTGCATCGTCGGTGCCGGGCCGGCCGGCCTCTCCGCCGCCATCCGCCTCAAGCAGCTGGCCAACGAGGCCGGCAACGAGGACTTTCGCGTCATCGTGCTGGAAAAGGCCGGCGACGTGGGCGCGCACATCCTGTCCGGCGCCGTGATCCAGCCGACGGCCGTCGAGTCGCTGTTCCCGGACTGGCTGGACGCGGACAACCCGGCGCGGTTCGAGCACGCGACGCCCGCGGGCACCGATAAGATGCGCTTCCTGACAAAGACGGCCGCGATCCCGCTACCGGCGCCGCCGCAGATGAGCAACCACGGCAACTATATCGTCAGCCTCAACCAGTTCGTCAAGTGGCTCGGCGAGCGCGCCGAGGAGCTGGGCGTGGAGATCTACCCGGGCTTCGCGGCCGCCGAGGTGCTCTACGAGCCCGACGGCTCGGTACGCGGCGTCGCCACCAACGACCTCGGCCTCGGCCGCGACGGCCGCCCCAAGGACGCCTTCGAGCGCGGCATGGAGTTCCACGCAAAGGTCACCATGTTCGGCGAAGGCTGCCACGGCAGCCTCAGCAAGCAGGTCATCCGCAAGTTCGACCTCCGCAGCGACAGCCAGCACCAGACGTACGGCCTCGGCGTCAAGGAGGTCTGGGAGGTGGACCCGGCCAAGTTCGACAAGGGCCTCGTCGTCCATGCCATGGGTTACCCGCTGCCCAGCGACGTCTATGGCGGCTCCTTCATGTACCACTTTGGCGACAACATGGTCGCCGTCGGCCTCGTCACCTCGCTCGACTACAAGAACCCGTGGCTGTCGCCCTACCAGGAGTTCCAGAAGCTCAAGCTGCACCCGCTCTTCCGCGACGTGCTCGAGGGCGGCAAGTGCATCTCGTACGGCGCGCGCGCGCTCATCGAGGGCGGCTTCCAGTCCATCCCCAAGGTCGCCTTCCCCGGCGGCGCCCTCATCGGCGACTCGGCCGGCTTTGTCAACGTGCCCAAGGTCAAGGGCACGCACAACGCCATGCACTCGGGCATCCTGGCCGCGCAGGCCGCGTGGCGCGCGCTCGAGCGCGAGGACCCGGGCACCGTCTTCCTCTACGACTACGAGGACGCGCTGCGCGCCTCGAGCATATGGAAGGAACTCAAGGAGGTGCGCAACCTGCGCCCGTCCTTCCACGGCCCGCTCGGGCTCCTCGGCGGCCTCGCCTACTCAGGCCTCGACACCTTCCTCCTCAAGGGCCGTGTGCCCTGGACCTTCAAGCACAAGCTGCCCGACCACGCCGCCACCAAGCCTGCCGACAAGTACAAGAAGATCGAGTACGAGAAGCCCGACGGCAAGATCACCTTTGACATCCTCACCAGCGTCTCCCGCACCGGCACCAACCACGAGGAGGACCAGCCCGTCCACCTCCAGGTCAAGGACTGGGACGCACACACCAACGAGACCTACCCGGGCTACCAGGGCCTTGAAAACCGCTTCTGCCCGGCCGGCGTGTACGAGTACGTCGAGGACGAGAGCAAGCCCCACGGCGTGCGATTCCAGATTAACGCACAAAAGTAAGTCGACCAAATCCTGACCCCCCTCTTGTGCGTTGTAGTTTAGAGAAACATGAACGGCTGACACCGGACCTCGTACAGCTGTATTCACTGCAAGACCTGCGACATCAAGGCTCCTCACCAAGACATTAATTGGCAAGTGCCCCAAGGTGGCGAGGGCCCCAAGTACTACATGACATAAAACACGGCACAAACAGAAAAGAAAAAGAAAAGGGAACGAGGAACCGTGCTTGCCACAAGAAAATCAAGGCTGGGTACAAGGAGGTGAAGTCTTGAACTTGTCTACCTGGCTCTTGTTGCGAGGCAACGAAAACGAGGCAGCCAGGGCTGCCTTCATTTGCATTTGGCATCTTATGGATATTTCTTTCTTTCGTTTCTTTGTTTATCTCTGGTGTTTGATACCTCATTTCATAGTTCCTTTGTACAAGGCAAAAGTCTGATATAACGACAAATCAACAGGTCATCATGTCACATGCAAATCCAGAGGCAACAAAGATGGTGATGAGAGTACAAGCACAACCAAAAAAAAAAAAAAGGTAGCACCAAGTTCGCGACGTGGAAGATTGCGCAGGAGCACGGCTGGATCGCACACGGAAAGCTCTAGAGGTCCTTGAAACAGGATCTTTCCTGGCCCTCCGGTATTCCTGTGCATTCCGTGAAAGGAGGGAGAGGAAGATGGTGGTGTGGCTGTGTGCCGTGCCGCCGCCCTTTGGTGATCCTAGAAGCCACACGCGGTTCAGAGACATTCCATGTTGTGCAATGTGTACAAGAAGCCTGCGTTCCAAGCTTTTTACGAGAAGCACTTTGAATTGGAGTTGATGCCCTGGATTCCTTTGACGAAGGCTGACTTTTGCGAGCTTTGTTCGTCATGTTTTACGTGGCGTGAGGCGGAAAGGGGTGATGACGTCGGTCTGGAGATGCCTTGGAGGTAAAGCAGATCGCCACGGCGCTACCAGGGCAGAATGGAGTGCCCAGAGACCTGCACCGGGCTGGCAGGGATTGGGCCGTCTGCAAAGTTCTTCCGTTGCTGAGGGAGGACAAGGTCACGAATGAAAAGAATTGTTAGTGAGGTACTTCCAAGATTTTAATGGGACTGGTGGGTCCAGCGATCACAAGTAACTGGTACTTGCGCAGACCCCGGCGCAGAATTTTCGCCGCACAAGGAGCACAAGCTCAACAACGCAGTTTTCGCGCTGCATCGACGGGAAAAGACCGAGAAAAACACCAAGAGTATTGGAGCCATCTGTCAAGGCAAAATGTCACGTTCGAATCGCATTCAAACGATGTGAGACGCGCAAACTCGCGCATGGTAGTGATCCAACAGGCAATGCGACAACTGGCGCGTCACGTTCGCGGTGGGGGTAGAGGGAACCTGGCGGTTCAACCAATCAGAGCGGCAGAAAGGCAGGAGGCCTGGAGCGGCGCTGGTCGCGGTATCCGTTGGAGGCAATCAATGACTCACAGACGCAAACGAGGGCTGGTCGCAATCCCCTTGGCCAGCGGAAGAGGAGGGGCCGGGCTAACCAGGGGCAGCAAGATCGATGCTGTTTTTTCCTTCCTTTCAGTGGGCGACGCGCTGTCAGCGCAGTGGCGAGCGCTAGGGAGTCCGGAACGCCGAATACGCATCATGGCGTCGCATCGCGGTTCGCTTTGTCAAGAGATGCGGCGAAAACTGTCTTGAGAGGTGATCTCATGCTTTTGCCGTTGTTTTGACGTGTCTGACTGGTGAAAATGCGTTTGCGCGGAGACGAAAGGCCACCTGGTCGCAAAAGGGGCAGGAAGAGAAGTCGGAAGAAGAGAAGAGAAAAGTTGTCTACTCTCAGGGGTAGCGCTGGTTTCAGAGACTTGTGTTCGGTTTCTCGCCTGTGCGAGGGAGACGCTGACAAGGGTCTGCGGAAAAAGGGGGTCAATATCAAGTGAGGCTTGTGGGTATCGAGAGTGCCCCCTCCCTCCCTGCCTCTGGGTGTTGAAAGGAGAAAGGAAAAAAATTAGGGGGCGAGAGGTGGTGGCGCGAGTTGACCTGACAAGAAAGTTACGCGGCCATTTGGTGCCCCATAATTCCTTTTGAAATCCGGCTGGCTCCAAGGTGAATGGAAGGTTTGGTTGGGTGTCAGCCATCCGTGTCGCTCTGGCTAGGTTCTGCTGCGTGGTGTGGCAATGTGGGAGCCGCCCAAGTAGAGTTGGGCGCCTGTCGGGTTCGTGTCAATCAATGGTCCTGGTTTGGTGCAGCAAAAACCTATCACTGCCGTCGCCGTGACAGGACGGGACGTCGTTTCCCTTTGCCGCATCGTACCGTAGCCGTCTCCGTACGTGTAGCCGTCGTCATCGTAGGTATCGCGTTCGTCTTGTCGTGAGTCGTGCTTGAGCAGCCTGAGCTGGTGCTGAATGAGTGGTGACTGCTGACGTATCGAAGGCTGCTGGCGGGGGTGGTTGGTATGGTGGTCATGGGTAGAAAGGAAGAAGAGAAGGAGAGGAAAAATGTGTGAGAGAGGTAATAATGCACAGAGAGGCTGGGCAGAGTGGTCCCGCTGCGAGATGGTCTTGGGGAGGAAAGAGATTTGAAGAAAGAACCCAGATTGTCTGGTGGGCGACGCATCACACAGGGGGTAAAGGAGGGGTCACAGGGGTATTGAAGCGCCCGTGTGCTGCAAGTTGCTGCAGTTGGCCGAATATTGGTGGTCAGGAAGCAGGCAGAGTGAGAGGCAGACAAGTGAATGAATGCAATGAAGGAAGGCCTTCCATTGTGAGCAGCAACAAGCAAAGGTGATACCTTGTACCGACAGACAGACAGCCAGACAGGCATCAACAGCAGACGGCAACGCCCTGCAACAACCTGCAGCCGAATTGTTATCAGCAAGTACCCTCTCCGCCGGCCTGTTGGTGTGGTACCTCAGGGGTCTCCTAGTGCGAGACTGGGTTGGATGGTGGAAAAGCAGAGATAAATTCACCAGATTCACCGCTCATGATTGGCTCGTGTCACGGCTAGCGCCAGGCTAAGCTCAGGCCTGGCCCCTCCCCAGGTTGCGCCACAGGCCTGGAGGTTGCCCAGGTCTGCTGTTGCCTGGGAGCCCAGAGTCGGTGCCCACATGCGCAGAAATATAAGTAGCCAGCCCTCCCCCAACTTGTCATTTCCGCCATTCTAGTGCGGAAGTCCCGATCGACGGCCCTACGTACCTACCACCTGCGTTTGGTCACCCATAACAATTTTTTTTCTCTCCTCCCAACTCAAGTCGGCCGACTCCACTTTTCTAGTTCTGGATAGCCTCTTCTGCTTTCCAACCTCAGTCCCTTCTTGCATCATCACGTCGCATCTCTGAATCTCTGCCGCCTCGACACCTACATCGTCTCTTCAATCACTCTCTCCACCTTGATACCCTGAAGCGACTTTGCCGGTGCCCGAGCGCAACCTCAGCGAGCTCTTATCTCCCAGAGAGCAGACCCGACGTCTTCTGTCCCGCGCGATCAGGCCAAAGAAACTGGAACACGTTCCTTGACGCCCTCGCACGCCTCTCCCTCTTCGCCTGCAACCGATCCTACCGACGAAAGATAGATACGCGATATTCGCCATCGTCGATTTCGGGTCGTTGCACGCTTGTGTAGTCCAGATTAAACCAAGTTGTGCCCTTGACAAGTGATAACGGCGGGTTTACTGTGCTCGACTTCTCCGAACACACTCACGTCCACCACTGCCACCTTGACGACGCTGTCGGCTGTCAAAGTCAACGCCTCTCAAGGACTTTTATTTGCTCGAGCAGCAATCTTTGTAGGGGAGACATTTACTTGTTCATCTCCCGCGACTGGTATGCATTCCTAAGCTTCTTTCATCGAGTTTGCCACCCGTCGCATCCTTAATCTTGTTACATCTTGTCGTCTTCTATGCTTCAGATGCTAACTTGCTTGTTTCGCAGTTGCGCTCAGCCTTCTTGCTCTCTGACATAGAGACCACTGTCTGATCCCGCGCAATCACGATGGAAGGCATTCAAACCCATCCGTCCAACGCCGCCCAGGCCAAGGCCTTCACTGCGCCTGGATCCCTGTCCTTCCCTGGCGCTTCCAAGGAGCTGACGCCGCCTGGCAGCACCGGCGATGCTTCCCAGCGTCCCGCCCTGCCTGGCCAGCCCTCAGCCAACGGAAATGCGGTGACGCCCGCTACACCCGTGGCTACTCCCGCCGCCACTCAGGGCCCCAGTGGCATTACTCCCACTCTACAGTATGTATATTGCTGAGAACCATTTTGGTGTTCGGTGAAGCTCATATTGCTCCAGGAACATCGTCGCTACGGTCAATCTTGATTGCCGTTTGGATCTGAAGACGATTGCTCTCCATGCCAGAAATGCCGAGTACAACCCAAAGGTACTTTTTGCCTTGACTTGATGAGCAATAATTTTTCACATTTCATTGCGATGCTAACGTTCTGGAAAGCGTTTTGCGGCCGTCATTATGCGTATTCGCGAGCCCAAGACCACGGCTCTCATCTTTGCCTCTGGCAAGATGGTTGTCACCGGTGCCAAGTCGGAAGATGATTCCAAGCTTGCTTCTCGCAAGTACGCTCGTATCATTCAGAAGCTCGGCTTCAACGCCAAGTTCACCGATTTCAAGATCCAGAACATTGTCGGCTCCTGCGACATCAAGTTCCCCATTCGTTTGGAGGGTCTTGCCTCGCGCCATCACAACTTCAGTTCCTACGAACCCGAGTTGTTCCCTGGCCTGATCTATCGCATGATCAAGCCTAAGATTGTCCTCCTCATTTTCGTGAGCGGCAAGATCGTCTTGACTGGTGCGAAAGTGCGCGAGGAGATCTACCAGGCGTTCGAGATGATCTACCCCGTGTTGCAAGATTTCCGCAAGGTTTAAGAGGCCGCCATGGTGACATCGCACTCGCCCCTCGCCCAGTGCATTCCGCCCCCTCAACAACTTGTATGACTATAATATTGGTCACGATCCCATGACTACACACCCCCCCCGCAACGGTATTGTGGGCGCTTGCCAGGACACAAGCAAGCTCTGCCATCCGTTTGTATCATTTTGATTTTGAAGCATTGCACTGGCGTTGGTAAAGGACAGGAACGTGGAGGTCATGCCGTTTTGTTTCCATTTTTTTTCGCAACGGTCCTGGCCTAAGGCAAAAAGCACAAAGACTTTTTTTTTTAATCGCGCGACTATACATAGATTGCTGGCGGACCTGTTGGCCATGCTCGAATCATGGCCTCGTTTCTGCTTTAATGCTTCCCAAGAGGAGAGAGCACTGTTGCTGAAGGAGACGTCAGCGGAGAATATTTTTTATAGCGGAGAACGCGAGGTGGATCAATCCAAACTGCCAGAAGAAGCGAGTCTTCATTCTGCGAATACTCTTGCTATGTCTTGTTTGACACCATTCGGTCGAGTTGACACGGCTTTACTTGACAAGCACACCGGGGCCTCGACCGGTTTAGCTTTAGCAAAAACAACTCTTAGCGATTGTCTTTAATCTATTCGTCTCTCAAGGTTCTCTCATGTAGTCTCGTCGTGCACGCCCTTCATAAATCAACCGCGCCCTGGGAGATTTCAACTTATCTGTTGACAAGATAGCCGGGGTACAGTGCGTCAAGATGGACTTGGCAAACGTGGGGATATTCGGGGCGTGGCTCCTTTGGAAAGTTCCGTCTATTTCGACAGCGGCGGGAAGACCGATCGCGGCGTCTTGGGGTCTATTCATCTCCCCCACTTCCAATCACCAGTCGAGGCACACTATTCACCAACCCCCTCTGCGATATCTATAGATATTGCTGCCGTTTGTCTTCTCGGAGAGAGGCCAAAAACGGCAGTAGAGCAGAGGCGCTGTCTATTAAATACGCTTAGTGGACCCAGAATCACAGCCTCTCCAGCCATGACGGGCTACAAGATCCCCAGCTCCGTGCTAATTGTCGGCTCCGGCGTCTTCGGCCTCAGCACCGCCTGGACGCTGACGCAGCGCCCCGAGTACGCCGACACGAAAATCACAGTCGTCGATGATGCCAGCGCCTGCAGCGGTGAGTTCCCGCCGCTCGACGCGGCGAGCGTGGACTCGTCGCGCATCATCCGCGCCGACTACGCCGACCCGCACTACGCGGCGCTGGCGGCCGTCGCCCAGGCCGCGTGGCGCTCGCGGGGTGATGAGGACCTTGGCGGCCAGGGCCGCTACTCGGAGTCGGGCCTCGTGCTCACCGCGGACCGGCCGGCGACTACTCGGGAGGGCAAGCTGACGGGCATGGACTACACGCGGAAGAGCTGGCGCAACGTGGCGCGCATTGCGCGGGAGGCGGGGCACCCGCCGGACAAGGTGCGCGCGCTGGAGAGCCCGCAGCTGCTGCGGGAGCACCTCGGCACGCCGGGACGGCCGGGCGACTGGGGCTATCTCAACGCGCTCTCGGGGTGGGCGGACGCGGGCGAGGGCATGCGCTGGCAGTACCGGCGGGTCAAGGCGACGGGGCGCGTCGAGTTCGTCGACGTCCGGGTCGTGGAGCTCGTCACCGAGGGGAGTCGCGTGGTCGGCGCGCAGCTGGCCTCGGGCAGCACCCTCCGCGCCGACCTCGTCGTAGTCGCAGCCGGCGCGTGGACCGGCGCCCTGGTGGACCTGCGCGGCCGCGTCGAGGCCACCGGCCACGTCCTCGGCTACGTCAACATCACGCAGGAGGAGCTCGACGTGCTCTCCCGACAGCCCGTGGTGCTGAACCTCACCTCCGGGCTGTTCATCATCCCGCCGCGGGACAGGTTGCTTAAGGTGGCCCGACACAGCTTCGGCTACCTGAACCCCGTCACCGTGCCGCGCGCGCTGCCCGTGTCGCCCGCGGCGCCGCGCGTCCCCATCGTCGAGGCGGACGCGGACCTGCGGCGGGCGTTTCGCGACCTGGTGCCGCTGCGAGGGCTCGAGGGCCGGCCGTGGCGCGAGACGCGGCTGTGCTGGTACGCGGACACGCGCGACGGCGACTGGCTGGTGGATTTCCACCCGGGCTGGGAGGGCCTGTTTGTGGCGACGGGCGACAGCGGCCACGGCTATAAGTTCCTGCCCGTACTGGGCGACAAGATCGTGGACTGCATCGAGGGCCGCGGCGGCGAGCTCGGCCGCAAGTGGAAGTGGAAGGACGTGCCGGAGGGCGATACGGTCGGACGCGAGACAGACGGCCGGTTCGAGGGTCTTATCACGGAGGATGGCAGTAGGGGCGGCTACCCGGGGATGATCCTCCAGGACGAGCTGGCAAAGAAGGAGGCGGCGAAGCTGTAGGCACGGGAAGTGAAGTCGATTGGTGTCTTTGCATATAGCTGGCGATCTATGTTTTCTTGCGCTGCTTTGTGAGGCAACGAGTTCATGTATTTGAATTGTAGATGACAAATAGAGATAAAGTAGAAAATATCTTTCCTCTTTATGTGACCAAGAGTTGGTAAGATCCTACAATCTTCATCGTAATTTATCAGAGCAGAGAGAGCATTGTGGCTTGGTGGGGCCAACCTGTCCGTAACCAAGACCAGGACCAAAACCACGAACCTACACAATCTGCAACTTGGCGAAATCCCCAAGCATCACCCATCAACCAGCCACCAGAAAAGCGCGGCACGATAGATCCAAGACGACATGAAACCGAGGTAGCCTGAAATCAACTAAGAGACGTGAACCCGATACGACAGCTACCTTGCGCGACGCGCGCCGCGCTCTTCTTTGTCTGGGAGGCACCTCGGCTCCCGCGCCATGTCAGGCAAAGGTTTCGCAGCCAACGACCGCAGCGGCGGGCTCCCTGGTAGCGATGCCAAGCTACAGAAGCCGGTAAAGCAGTCCGTTTTTGATAAGCAAAAGGCCGAAGCGGAAGCCAAGCGCCAACGCGATGCGGCTGAGACCAAGGCCGTCTACGAGGACTTTGTCAAGAGTTTCGACCGCGATGACGACAACGACAACCACGACCGAGACAACTACGGCAGCAACCACGGCCCGCGGCGAGACGGTGGCTTCAATAGCAATCGCGGGGGTCCCCCTCGACACGGGTTCGGCGGGGGAGGCTCGCGGCGACATTTTGGCGCGTCTTCCTCGTCGTCAGGTATGAAGAGCGGCCCGGGGAGCCTAGGCCCTGCGCCCAACGCATTTGGAAAGAAGAGATCGTTTCAAGACTTTAATAAAGGCTCCACGGCGCCACGAGATCGAGGTGGGATGGGGTTTGAGGACTACCGCAGTGGTCCACCATCTCAGCAGCAGGCCAGCGCTTCCTTGAGCAAGGCGTTTGCGACCAGCGACGACGAGGATATGGGCGATGCGCAGGACAGGGAGGAGGACAAGGCGGTGGCGCGGCCGACGCTGCGACTCTCAAATGTGCCTCCGGGGACGTCGCCGGCTACGATCAAGGCGATGATGCCCTCGAACCTCGTGATAGACAATGTCAAGCTGCTGCCCCCGGCACCTGGCGCCGCGACGGAGCGCAAGAGCCTGGTGGTGATTGTGACCATGTCACCGGAGACGCCAGCGACAGACATGGACGCGGCTGTGAGCGCGCTGCAGAACAGGTATATGGGCTACGGCTACTACCTGGCGCTGCACCGTCACCTGTCATCGGCGGTCGCGAGCTCGGCGGCCGCGCTGCCGAACATGGGCCTCTCATCCGGCACATCGCATCCCTTCGGTGCCAAACCTGTGGAGCAGCAGTCTGAGGCCGGGGGAAAGAACGCGCAGCAGCAACAGAGCTTCCATCGCGGGTTTGCGCCCCCTACGTCGTACGGGCCCAACTACGTGGCCATCAACCGCGCCAACATCTTACACGTGCCCGTCAAGCCGCCGCAGGACGTGCGCACGATCCAGCTCATCAACATGGTCATCGAGGGTGTCCTGGAGCACGGCCCCGAGTTCGAGGCGCTGCTCATGTCGCGGCCCGAGGTCCAGCGCGAGGAGCGGTGGGCGTGGCTCTGGGACGCCCGCAGCGAGGGCGGTGTCTGGCTACGCTGGCGGCTATGGGAGGTGGTGACGGGCGTGCAGCCCCGGGCCCAGCGCGGCAAGTACGTACCGCTGTTTGAGGGGGCGCACGCGTGGAAGTCCCCGGAGAAGCCGCTGCCGTTTGAGTACACGACGAGGATGGACGAGTTTGTCTCGGACTCGGAGTACAACTCGTCGGACGACGAAGACGTGGACGACGAGGCGAATAACAACAACAACCGTGACGGCGAGGAGAGCGGCCGCTCGTTCCTGAATCCGCTCGAAAAAGCCAAACTGACGCACCTACTCGCACGGCTACCAACTACGCTGGGGCGGCTACGAAAGGGAGACATTGCACGGATCACTGCGTTTGCGATTACGCACGCCAGCCGCGGCGTGGACGAGGTGGTGGACATGCTCATCACCAACGTGGAGACGCCGCTGTCGCTGGCCTCGGCGAATCCAGACCGGGAGCGCGATCGCGAGCGGGAGAAGGCGGCCTCGGACGATGGTCCGCCGGACCTGAGCGGCGCGAGCCTGATTGGGCTGTACGTCGTCAGCGACGTGCTGTCATCGTCGTCGACGAGCGGGGTGCGGCACGCTTGGCGCTACCGGCAGCTGCTGGAGGCGGCGCTCCGGGCGCGCGGCACGCTCGCGTGGCTCGGGGGCATGGCGGAGCGGCAGGGCTGGGGCCGGCTGCGCGCGGAGAAGTGGAAGCGCAGCGTCGGGCTGGTGCTGCACCTGTGGGAGGGCTGGTGTGTGTTCCCGGCGGCGAGCCAGGCGCTGTTTGCGCAGAGCTTCGAGAACCCACCGTCGATGGCGAGGGGATCCAAGGGAGCAGCGACGGAGGAGACGCAAGATGGCGCTGGCGAGGTCAAAGACGGCCGGTGGAAGCTGGTGGAGGCAAAGTCAGCAGAGGAAGCGGACGCGGACGTGCAAGGCGAGCCGATCAAAGAGGATGATGTCGAGGGAGAGCCGATCGAGGAGGATGATGTCGAGGGAGAGCCAATCGAGGAGGATGATGTCGAGGGCGAGCCGATTGGGGATGACGACGTTGAAGGTGAGCCCATTGAGGAAGATGATGTCGGATCGCCAATGGACGAGGAGGATGCGGCGGGCGAGCCAATGGATGAGGATGAGGCGGCGCCGGGAACGGGGCAGGCTGGCAGTAGTGGTCATGGTGCGGCGCCACAGCCGGTGTCGTCGGGATCCGCGGCCGGACAACGGCGGAGGCGGATGCGGGCTGCGGACATGTTTGCCGACAGCGGCGAGGACTCTTGCTGAAGCGGGGGAATTTTTGAACGTTAGCTTGGCGTTGAATGGGCTTAAAATCATTGTATATATTTTTTTTTTCTATAAATCATGGCGAGTCTCTTTCGGGGCAACGCTGAATGCGGTCTTGTGGTTCGATGGGCGTGAAAGTCTATTCAGTGATGGATACATGGAACGAGCAGAGATTAGACTACCAGTACTTTGGAGAAGCAAGGGCGATATGGTTCGATGGGTGAACGAGGAATGATGTTCAATTAAAGGCGCGGTTGGGAGGTGACTGGCTGACTCGGTCGGCGACCCGGGATGCTTGGCAGCATGAAGGAGAACGGTACGGATATATTGGTATATTTATTACATAGATGGCATGCGGACAACGCTTCCCGCGGTCGATTGTCTTGATATAATAAGAACGCCACCATACGCTGGTCAAGCGACGGCTGAATATCATGCATTATTTTGCGTGCGAGTGAATGTCCCGTTTGAGAAGGTATAAGAGAGAGCTGAGAGGAGCAGGCTTGATAGCAATCCCGATGGTTGAAGACAAGCGAAGGAAGCCGAAGGCCGCTCGAATTTGGGGTGCGGTGGTTGGTGGTTGAGGATTGGCGGTGGTGTGAGAGCGAGCCAATAGAAACTTGCTCATCTGGGTCCAACCGTTTGCCGATTTGTTGGCGGGTGGGCTTTCTATCGTTTCCTAGCCAGGACTTGACGATGGTGTGACCGGTAGTGAAAGAAAAAAAAGATCTATCTAGGAACAACAAGGAAGAAGAGGGTGATGACGGAAAATTTAAGACGTTTGCTTGTACAGGCGAATCAGCTGGTGGTGGGTAGTTGTCGAGTCTTGAATGTCTCGGGCTTGACGCGCAAGAGGAGGCGCCTCGGGTGTGTGTGACGAGACAGGGCGGGACTGGGCAGGACAAGGCAAGGACAAGGAAGGACAAGGGACACACGAACACCGGATTTGCGAGCCTGATTCGCTTTCAGCTGAAAGGACATGGGGGCGGATACTTGCACTAATATTTCTTGGAAAAGAACACATCAGATGTAGAGCAAATGACACCTTGGCTATTGGTGAGTGAGGATCGTTAGGGTTCGTCCGACGGGAGCCTGTGAATAGCAGGCGCGCGGAAAATCACGGTGGATTTCTTCAAGAGATAAAAAGACCAAAAAACAACAAAATAAAATAAAAAAACTTTTAAAGTGCATACGTACTACTAATTAATTTAAACTAAAGATCCCCGCACACGTTGGTGAGCGTGGCCGGCCGTTTCAGCGGATTCCCTTGAAACATGCGAGCCGGTCTGGTGATGGTCGTTGATGGATGTTCGATATCGAAAGGTAGGCCGCGCCGTCCGTGCGCCGGAAGACCGGTGCCTGCACGCTGTTTGCGGAAGATGGAGATGGAGGGCTGGTTATTTACAGACATATACATACATGAAGAAATGTCTGATCTCCTATGAGCCGAGCGTGCCTAACAAGGTCCCTCCCTTACTGAACGACGATGCATGGAAACCCGTTCGCTTTGACCCTGCAGTGGGCGTCATTAGCGGGTTTCTCGGTATCCTTCAGCGGGTTTAGTGGACAAAGGACCCCCTCGCGGTGCGTGGGGCAGCGCTATCGAGGGCCTTTTCATGGTCTTTCAGTGGCCCAGTGAGTGTCCAAGCCTCGCCGCGCCTTGCCCGCTTCCAGTCCTGTCTGGGTGGTGGTACTTCCATAGTAACCTCTTTCTCTTCCATTGCCTTCAACAACCTCACTTCTTCCTTGCTCAACGCTTTCCAACCAGACACGTAGCTCCCATCGCCGTCCGAAGCGCTCAATCTGTGGCAAATTGACGAGTTTATTGCCCCATCTTCGTCAGCGTCGCACATCCATCTGCCTCAACCTTCAGCTCGCCCCTCCACTTCCCCAACAACGGCGACCTACCATCTTCAAACATTCCTAGCTCAACACCAGGCGCCGTAGCCTCAACCTACCGTCGCCGGCTTCAACTCACCTCTGGCGTACTTCAACCACGGCCATCACACTCATATGAGTCGCTTTTCGGATAACCACGACGCACTTGACCCGAACGGCCGCCACACCGCTGACGGTGTCGCCTTGCCTTGAGCCGCCGCACCGAGGACCCCGCCAGACCACATAACGCTCCCTCTTAGCCGTCGCCCTCATCAACGGCCCGATCTCATCGCCCACCATGCCGCTCATTAACGGCCAAAAGATGGCCTGGTATGTAGATATCGACAAACCAGCGGCTAACGCGTCCGCGCCCCTCGACCTGTGACGCCGCCGCTCCCCCGCCAACAACCAGACTGACTCCCTCTCAGTGAACCCTGCATTCGCGGGCATCGATCCACAAAGTGTAACCATGCCAATGACCGGCTCATGGTTCCTGTCCGGAAACCGGGTCGTCCACTCAGCTCCTGTCCGCACCCGGCCTCGCGCCCGTGCTCTTGTGCCGCCGTGACAGCCGCCATACCCAAGAAGCAGACCTGCCGCTGCGGCCCCGCCTCTTCCTCTTCCTCCTCCTCCTGCTCTGCACAGCCTGCCGCCTCCGATCCCGTCAAGAAGGAGCCCGAGTCGAATGGCTCGTCACTACCAACAAGCCCCACGAGGTCTACGCCGAGTGCGCCCTTCCGAGTTCAAAAGTCGTCCTCAAAAGGGGCCAGCCGCAAGCAGTCTGTCGGTGTCGCTGGCCTCGAGAGGATGGACACCAGCCAGCTCAATATCATACAAGGCTTTGACCGTTCCTCGCAACCGTCGATAAATGGGACAAATGGAATGAATGGGCATGCTCCCATGAGCGGAATGGGCCCGTACTCTGCCATGGGTATGCCCATTGGCGCACCTCCCTTTGGCATGCCGGGCATGTACCCGATGATACAGCAGCCCATGGTACAACCTTTTACCCCAGAAGTAAACGGCTCGGCAAATGGCAACGGAAGCTCCACCAACGGCAACCCGGAAACTACTTCAGGTAGCTGTTGCAGCGGAAAGCAGCCACCCCAAACAACCACCGTGGAAAAGCAAGAGGCCGCAATTGAGAGCAAAACGGAAGTCTCAGGAAGCTGCTGCTCGTCAAAAACTAACGGTGTCAGCTCTCCAACGCAAGTCCCTACCGAGAACGCCAACGGGCAACTAAATGGAAACCACATGCCCATGTTCCAGCCTCCCATGGGCATGACAAACGGCATGTACCCATTCTTCGCCACTCCCAACATCTTCACATACCCGCCTCAATACGGCTCCTACATGCAGCCCCTCCAACCGAAGCAATGGCGACAGGCCATGAGCAACATGAACATGGCGCCGCAAGTACAGCAAGCCTACATGTTTGGCGGCCAAACGGCGGTACCGCCTTACCAGCAAGCAGGAGCGGCAGACACCTCGACATGGACTTCCCACCAATGCAGCTGCGGTGACTCTTGCCAGTGCATCGGATGTGCTGCCCATCCATACAACGACGCCACGCAAAACTATGTCCGCTCCGCTTGGAATACGATGATGCAAGACGCCCACGCCGCGCATAACGGGCACGGGCACGCCAGCGGCACGCACTCGCCCACCAACGGTACGCACGCGGCCGTCAACGGACAGCAGCTGCCGCACACGAACGGCATCACCGTGAACACCTCCACGGGCAAGACGGAAGGCGGCGCCGTGTCACCCACGGCGCCGCAGACGCCGTCGGACGCCACGTCCGGGCTGGCGGAGGAGCAGGCACTGTCAGCCAGTGACTTCTTCTTCGTCAGCTACCCTTTCGCTGACGGATGCGACGGCGAAATGTCCAGCTGCCAGTGCGGGGATGATTGCCAATGCATAGGCTGTGCGATCCACAACAACCCGAGCCCGGGGATTGCAAACTGAGGCAACGTTGGAATGATTTATACATCAATATTTTTTGCTATTTTGCTCGCCGATACCCCACCGATTTGGCCGTCGCTATGAACAAGAAATGCATGGCGGATGGAGCGCTCAGGATAGTGTATATATACATCCACGTCATAATTGAGCATGAAGAACATCCCGATCCAGCGTAAGCCGGGTCGAAACACACTCCACTATAATGTCTCTCTCTCGCTACTTTCGCGTGAACCAAATCATCTCCTCGTCTGTATCCTTCATGTCGGGCTCCATCGCGATACCCAGCTGAGAAACCTTGCCGCCCTCGACGTCGAGTCTAAACTCGGCCTTGACGGCCGTCAAGTCCTGGCCGCCCCAGGCCTCGCTCTCGGCGATGCGCAGCGTGAACAGGCGCTGGTCGGCAACGTGATTGAAGATGCCAGTGAAGCCGAAGGAACGCTCCGAGGCGTCGACGAAGAGCTTGTCACCGTCCTTGATCTCCAGCACGAGCTGGTGGTAGCCCGGATGTTCGTACGTGCCCGCGTACGTCTCGAGGGACGTGGTCAGCGGCTGCGGCGCCGGCACCGCCGCCTCTTTCTCGCCGTCGCCATTCTCCACGCCATCATCAGCCTTTGCATCCTTGCCATCCTCGTCTTTCGACAAGGACTCGAGAATCTCCGCCGTCAGCGCCGCCTCGCACTTGTCCGGGTCGTCCTCGTCCTCGTTCTCCGCCTCCCACCCGTCCACCAGCGCCTCCCAGTCCGGGCGCTCCGCCTCGGGCACGCCGAGCACCTCGTCGATCAGCTCCCGCACCACGACCGTGCCGGCCGCGTGCCCGCCCTCGCTGCTGTTCGCCGCCACCACGCAGCCGAACCCGCTCGCGGGCAGGAACGTCTGCTTGGTCGCGAAGCCGGTCACGCCCCCGCCGTGGTCCAGCCTTTGGTGGCCGCGGTACCAGTCCGACTCGAGCCCCGCGCAGTACAGCGCGGGGCTCGAGTGCGGTAGGGTAGGCGGCCCGTCCGGGTCGACGATGGCGCGCGGGCGCAGCAGCCCGTCGCGCACGGAGGCCTCGGTGAGCGGCGCCGCGGCGGGCCGGCGCAGCATGGCGTCGACCCACCGCACGTAGTCCCGGACAGAGGTGATGATGGAGCCCGCGCCGTTGGCCTCGGGGCACTGGACCATGGGTACGGGCATGTGGCGGCCGGTAGGCGCGCGCACCCAGGTGTAGCCCGAGGCCATGCGCGGGCCGAAGCCCTTGGCGCGTGCGCGGGACGGCTGCAGGCTGGTGGAGGACATGCCGAGGGGCGCGAAGAAGGTGGTTTCCAGGAAGTCGGAGAAGGAGAGGCCGGTGCGCTGCTCGACGAGGTGTGTGGCGACGGTGTACATCATGTTGTTGTACATGTACTTGGTGCGCAGCGGCGCGCAGACGGGCAGGTTGCGCAGGTTCCTGGTGACGGACCGGGCAGTGTCTGGTGTTTTGGATCCTATCCCAAGATACGACCAGTCATGGCTGTGATGGGGTGTGTTAGCAGATGGCAGGATGAATGCTTGGCGTGAAGACGCTCCGAGTCCAACTCAACTACCGGAAGTCTGTAAGAGAAAAACGTACGTAGGCATGCCCGTCCGGTGGGACAGCATGTCGTCCAGCGTCACGCCACGCGTCAGCTCCTCGGTCGGCATCACAAAATCGCCGGGGAGCAGGGCGGAGACGGCGGCGTCATAGCGGACGTCCCGGTGCTTCTCGTCGTCGTCGACGAGTAGGGCGACGGCGGCGGCGGTCATGCTCTTGGAGGCCGAGGCGATGTCGAAGAGCGTGTCGGGCGTGCACGGCACGGGTTCCGGGCTCTCCGCGTCCGGCAGCCGGGCGAGGCCAAAGGCACGGGCCTCGATGCGACCGTGGAGCGTGATGGCGACGGCCAGACCGGGCACCCGGTACTTGGCGAGGAGGGCCTCGGCGCGGGCCCCGAAGGCGTCGGAGAGGAAGTAGTCCATACTCTGACTCTCTAGGGAGGGAGTAGGTGTCTTTCTTAACGCAGCGGATAGAGGAATGTTGGAGGCAGATGAAGTTGATTTTTATCAATCTACTTGTCTTTCCGTGGCGAGAGGATGAGAGGAGTGACCTTGCTCGGCCTGGGGCTCAGCGGGGTTGACATGAACGAGGCTCGGCTCGGCCGTGACTCACGGACTGTAGATTAGTAATAATTTGATGAAGAACGCCTGCCGAGTAATTGTATTAAGTAGGCATGTATGCTTGCTTGTAGGATCATGATTGGAAGGCAGCCAGTATTGTTGCTTGGATATTGGTAGGCAGGACTTTCAATGTATTACTCGCCAATAAGTATTACTTGGTGGTCGTTAGAGTTGGTGGGCTAGCAGACCATTCAACAGCAAATCGACTTTAGCTATTTTAATATGGTTTTATAGTCTCTACTAGTTGATACTGCAAGAAATATTGAATATTTGTAGGTACTGTGTAGCTCTATGCCTGGAGTCTGGCCTTGGAATTGTTGGCAGCTGCAGTGGGGCGGGAGCCGTGAAGGCTCACTCATTACCCTCTAAAAACAACTGCTTCTCACTGAGCCATCTCATCATCACACTACCTCCATTGTTCATCCATTTCACCTACAATACTCTACTACCTGCCATCTCACGCTACGAAAATACTCGGATTTTTCATTATGCAATAAATAAAGCTTAATCCCGCGCACAACATCATGTCTGGGGTCTACGATGAGCACTCGTCCCGCGCCACCCGGCAAACGGACGACTCGCGTCGCCACCGCGACGACAGACGGTCTCGTTCGCCCGGCCGTGCGCCCAGGCGGCGGTCCAGAGACGCGGGCCATGAACGCAAGAGGACTACGGAGCGTAGACGCCAAGAAGACGATGCCTCGACCTCACGGCGGCATCGCTCGCCACACAGACACCACCACCGACGCAAAGAGCGCGACTCGCCCGCGGTTGTGGCACAGCCGCCCGCCACCCTGCCCTTTGACGCCCGCGCGCTGACCAAAGGCGACCTGCGCAAGTTCGAGCCTTTGCTTGCGCACTACCTCGATCTGCAGAAGCAGAAGTACATGGACGACATGGACGACCGCGAGGTCAGGGGCCGCTGGAAGAGCTTCATGGGCAAGTGGAACAGGGGCGAGCTGGCCGAGGGCTGGTATGACCCGGCCATGTTCCAGAGGATCCTGGAATCGTACGCACAGGACGATCTGGACGCGCCAACAGGGCGGCCAGAGCCGGACAGGGGAGGCGGGAGATATTCACGGGCAGAGGAGCATCAGCAACACAGTGACCTTGATGCCGACGATGCCGACGATGCTGGAGATGCCGATGCCGATGCCGACGACTCTGATTACGGGCCGGCCCTACCTGCAGCATCCTCTCGCCGGGGCAAGCGCATCGGCGTCGGCATCCCATCCAAGGACGACCTCGCCCTGCGCGATGAGACCCGGGCGGAGGACCGCGAAGCCGCGCGTCAGGACCTGCGCGCCGACCGCCGCGCCGACCGCAAGCTGCAAAAGGAGCGCCTGGACGAGCTCGCGCCCCGGGCCGAGGCGGGGACCCGCGAGCGCCAGCTGGAGAAGAAGCGCGAGGTCGGCGACAAGATGCGGCAGTTCCGCGAGGGTGGCAGCCCCGGGCCGATGGCGGCGGCCAACGAAGCGGAGCTGATGGGCGGCGGGGACGCGCTGGCCGAGTACAAGCAGCGCAAGGTGGAGGAGCAGCGGCGCAAGTCGGAGCGCGAGGTGCGGCGCGAGGAGCTGCAGCGCGCCAAGGAGGAGGAGATGGAGGAGAGGAGGCGGCGGTGGCAGGAGAGGGAGGAGGGCACGATGAGCATGCTGCAGGAGCTGGCAAGGCAGCGATTCGGGCCAGGCAGCTGAGGTTGTCGCGGCAGGCTCTTGAGGGCAGCCCCAGTGGTTGTGTGGTGAGCTTTGAGATGGGAAGGCGACAACTGGGCTTATCTGGTAGTGTTTCTTCTTCTTCGAGGAGTTTATGGAGTAATTATACATGGCGCGATTTCCCGATGCACATGTGGTTACATGCATGCATGACTTATTGGGTAACTTGGTATCAAAACCTCGTGAGGCCTATCTACACCACCGCAGCCGCGTTTTAGCGTCGCCAATTTTGGGGGACCGCTGCGACTAAACCCGACGGGTATCTGCGGGTGTTGCGATATTCTTCTAGCCGTCTCTCTTTTTACGTGTACGATAAGGTAAGTATTAAATAGTTAACTAATTAACTGAGCCGAATGGGACGCCGTCTTGTCTACTAACAAGGTATGATGTGGGAGGCGGACGCATGCAACCACCAAGGCTCCACCATGGACGGGCCACTAAAGCTGATTTTGAGGGCGCAAAAAAGGTTTCGACATTTTCTAAATATTTTATATTGCTCTGCAGCAGGGCTGAAACGAATCGTGAGCCATAAATCGCGACCGCATATTATTATATATCACCGGAGTGGCACTAGACGTCGATCGATACCATCACCGTCCGCTTACCATACGCATACCACCAAGCGACAGCACACAGCGACAAGCTCTTCACCCAGTTGTGCCGCCGTAATTTCAGCCAGCTTTGGTGCCGGATCGTTCCGATATCCACCAAGCTATACGAGAACTGTCCAGACTACCTACGGAATATAGGTAGCCTCGTTGCATTCGCCGTGGTTCGCTCTCGCCTCGCCAGGGAAGGTGGCTTGCGCCCAATCTAGCTCTCGGCCGGCCGTGACATCACACGTCACACTTCCACGGCGCCTAGGGAGGCTGATATCGGTACTTGATATCACACAGTACGAGTTGATTGGGCCATCCTGAACGAGGCTCAAGTGTGCAGATTGTAAAGACTTGGAGTTACGGAACAGAAGCCACGTCACAGACACGCAGACACACACCATGGATAACGACGAGGACTACGGCGTCGCTGGGCTCCTGGAGGAGCCTGAGGATTACTACCCGCCGCCGCCGCCGCCGACGCAGCAGGTGTTTACCATGCGCAACGGCCGGGCCGTGACGCTGCACCTCGTCGGCGCCAGCCCGACCGAGGCGAACCACCTGTGGAACGGCGCCAAGGTGGTCTCGGACTACCTGGAGGCGCAGCCGTCGCGCGTGCGCGGCCGGACCGTGCTCGAGCTCGGCGCCGCCTCCGGCCTTCCCTCGCTAGTCGCCGGCCTCCTCGGCGCGCGCAAGGTCGTCATGACCGACTTCCCTGACCCGGACCTCGTCGCCAACATGCAGAAGAACATTGACGCCTGCGACGGTGCGTCGGCCGTCGTGGAGGCGGCGGGCTTCGTCTGGGGCCGCGACGTCGCGCCCCTGCTGGCCCGGCTGGACGGGGACGGGCAGGCAAAGTTTGACGTGCTGATCCTGGCGGACCTGCTGTTCCGGCACAGCGAACACGGGATGCTGGTCAGGACGATCCGCGAGGCGATGGCGCGCGACGGCGGCGTGGCGTACGTCTTCTTCACGTCGTACCGGCCGTGGAAGCGCGACCGCGACATGAAGTTCTTCGACGTGGCGCGCGAGGCCGGCCTGGAGGTGGTGCGCGTGGAGGAGCGCATCCTGGACAAGCCGATGTTTGAGAATGATCCGGGCGACTTGGACGTGCAGAAGACGGTGAATGGGTTCGAGGTGCGGTGGCCGGAGCCGAGGTGACTCCGGGGCGCCGGGCGGGGAGGTGGGCGGGGCGTTTTTTCGGGCCAGCGGAGGAGGACGGGCCAGGGATTTAAAAGGATGGACGAAAAGAAATAACGAGGGGAATTTTTGGGTATTGGTTGTACTTGGGATAGACGTTTAGACTTGAAAACATGATGCACGTCAAGGTAACAGCCGAAAACATGGCGCTGTTACGAGGGGCTGAGCGCGTTGGATTGAATGAAGACAAAGTTTTCTTGGCACAAAGTTCCTTGAATATCCGAAGATGATAAGCCCAAGTGCAAGACAATGAGCCGGATCGACGACAAGCATGCAAGGTTGGGTGGAATGACGGACGATGGTTGAAACCCCGCGGCAGACCGGGCGGCGGGACAAGCGAAGCGGGGATGGGATGAGGGATTGGCGGTTGCGAGTAACGTGTCATCGACCGCGGGGTCGGTCTGGTCTGGGGGTCTGGGGGCTGAAGTGCCTGCTGGATTACCTGATTACGAATAGTGCGGTAATGGAAGAGTGTGGTCAGAGGATGGGTGAATATGGCCTGAGTTGCTGGCCTGGTTGGGATAGGTACTTGTGGTCTGTCTGCAGGTAATTGATGATTGCAGAGGCCGCAATGTTGGTACAGGCAATTATGATGCGCTTCAAGAGCGCTGAGCGATTGCTATCAGGCTGATGTCAGACACTGGAATTACAGGCTCCTTCCCTGCTACACTGCAGCGTGTCTCGTGCCCCTTTCGCCCTGTATCAGGGCACTTCTGCAGGTGACGGGCTCCAATTTTTACCCACAGCACCATCTGATAACCCGGGTCACCGAGCCGCCTTCAAGACGGCTATTACGTACAACGGTTGTGGCATGCTACGTGAGATTCTGTGATTATTTTACCGTATCGGAAGTTGTTGTAATGATGCACCTTGAGCGGATGATACTTCGGCGCAAGCTGTTGAGGCTCAGCGGTACGAGTACCTTACATACACTGCCCCGTAGCCGCCCTACACCTACAGTGTGTATGTATGTATGTACAACGCCACTGCTACAGCACTTGCCAGGGCCCGCTGAGGCTTCCCCAAACGTTGCAGCACCCCGCTATTCGCGTCCGGTTACTGGGCGCCAACGGACCGCCTACGGACCACCTACGGACCACCTTTTGGCACTTCACTCCATGCAGGCACCCCAAAACTTCCCCGCATTGCTGAGGATTTATATCCAACATCACGCGCTTCCCCAGTCTTGGCCTTGCTCTTTTCTTTTGTGTATTAATAACAGCTCTTATCCAACTCTAATCCATCCCGTTGCTTCCTACTTGTCTCCTTACATCCATCATCATATACCCATCGTAATATCCCGTCCGCTCCCTCGCCCACCATGCCCGCCCAAAAGATCTCCTCCTACCTCGCCGACCTCGAGCGCGACGGCTTCGTTGTCGTCAAGTCCATCGTCTCCCCCGAGAAGCTGCAGCGCCTGCGCGACGCCGCCATCAAGGTCGAGGCGCTGGCCCGCCGCGGCGAGTGGCCGCACATCCGCACCGTCGGCAAGCAGTTCCCGCCCTGGCAGTGGGAGCCCGAGAAGGGCATCTGGGGCGTGCAGCACATGATGAACCCGGACCTCCCCGGTCACGACATCTTCACCGAGCTCTACTTCTCCGACGAGGTGCTCGACATCGTCAAGGCGCTGCTGCAGTGCGACGACGACCAGCTCGTCATGGAGCTCTTCAACATGCTCGTCCGCCCCGACGGCGACTTTGAGCTGCGCTGGCACCGCGACGACATCCCCGCCGAGGCCACCCCGGACGAGGAGATGGAGCGCCTCGCCCGCCCGGGCTTCCACGCCCAGTACAACTTTGCCCTCTGGGAGGACGAGTCGCTCGTGCTCGTGCCGGGCTCGCACGCCCGCGCCCGCACCGACGCCGAGCGCGCCGCGGGGCCCTTCGAGCCCGTCCTTCCGGACCAGCTCATCGTGAAGCTGGAGGCGGGAGATATTGCCTTTTACAACAACAACATCCTCCACCGCGGCGTCTACGACTCCAAGAAGGACCGCGTCACCCTCCACGGCTCCGTCGGCCACGTCAGCGGCAGCAACCTCCGCGCCCGCAACGTCCTCCAGCACGGCATCGGCAAGTGGGTGGACAAGGTCGACTTCTCCAAGCTCAGCACCAGGGAGCGTGAGCGTGCCGAGGCCATGCGCGCCCGTCTCGTCAAGATGGGCTCCGAAGCCGGCGACGTCGGCTACTCTCTACAGGGCTAAGCAGGGCCGAGGCCAAGACAAGATGTCCATGAACTTAATGAAGAAGAAAATTGATGTAGCAAATCCAGTGCTACGCTCTGTAGATGTTGTTGTATAAAGAGATCAAGATTTTAAGAGCCATCTTGGTAATTACATAGTTCAATTTGAGTATTTATCAAAACAATGATTCACGTTCTATCCTACTCGCGTGTCCACCTAGGTCTTGCGCCCACTCCCTTCCATCACATGTACTTCATCCCGAAATTAGTTGTAGTGACCCTGCATCTTCATGCCTCCAACCTGTTGGTGCCGCAATTCTCGGGCCCTCCGTCGCTCCGCCGCCATGCTCAGTACGATCAGCACGCACGCGACCACCGGCCCGATCTGCTCCAGCACCACCTGCAGCACCGGGAACGCCTCCACCGTCGTCCGGTATCCCGGCAGCCAGGTCGCCGGCATGCGGACCCAGTCGGCCATGGTGTTCGTGTCGGGAAAGTACGCGAGCCAGTCCGCCCACAGCTGCTCGTCGGTGATGACGTGCCAGTTGTGCAGGATCCAGCGCGCCGAGACGACGACGCGGAACGTGGCCGACAGCAGCAGGCCTGCCACGGCGACAGCCAGGAAGCTCTAGAAGCGAAGCAAGTTAGCATACAGCATTCTCATATGGTATAGTTGTATGTGGAATCACGCACTCTTCGTCTGGGTAGCTCCGCCTTGCCTTGCCGGTGCCAGGTGACGACGTGCAGGCCGCCGAGGGCGAGGACGACGAGCAGCGCCACCACGTCGGCCGCGATCCCGACCTTGATCTGCGCGTCCCTGTTGCGGTACGCGGCCGACCCCGGCGGCACGTAGAGCAGCCACGCGCGGTACATGGTCGCCTGGTCGCGCGACCACGTCGTCGGGTACGCCGCGTACCCGGGCTGGTCCGTGAACCGCTTCACCATGCGCCGCGTCCACAGCACGCCAAAGTCGCGATCGCCCAGCCTCCACGGGCTCCCACCCAGACTGTCCCCCGCCAGCCAGTCCTTGACCGCGCCGTCCGAAATGACAAAGTCCAGCACCAGGTACGCTATATTCAGCGCAGCCAGCAGCAGCACGCCAGAGCCGGCGGCGGCGCCGAGGATCTTGCCGGGCCGCATGGCCAGCAGCAGCGCGGCGAGCAGGGTGGGCCAGCCGAGGCGCTGCAGGAGCACGATGACGGAGCCCTCGAAGCGGTAGCCATGCGGCACCCAGTTGTCCGGGACGACGAGACCCCAGCGGACGCACTGGAAGACGCAGCCACCGAAGAAGAGCAGCGTGGCGAGGAGGGCGGTCTTGGCGAGCGGCCGGCGGTTGAGGTAGAGCGGGAGGAGGAGGGCGGCGGCGAGGAGGGCGTTGACGACGAGCATGCCGTAGAGGCTGCCGGTGTCGTACAGGGCGAAGAACTGGGCGCTCATCGGAGTGTCGCACCCGGTGCAGCCCAGGCCGGAGCCGCTGCCGGAGCCGGAGCCGCCGCCGTGAGATCCGCCGCCGCGTCGTGGTGCCATGCGTGCTTTGTGTTGGTCTAGTAAGGGTCGATTCTTTTCGAGTTTCTTTTCAATGTGTGAATCGAAGCCGTGGTGCTTTGGGCGAGGCGAACGATGGGGGAGAGAAGGCCAGAAAGAGGGACTTTGCCCGGTCGTCTTTGATCAGGGGCATGCTGGGTTTCGCAGTTCGGTTTATACCCAGGCGGACAAGGAAGAAACAGACAAGCCAGATTAGGCTGACAGCGCCTTCAGCTGTCGTGCCTTGGTCTAGGCTGAATACCGCGCGATGCCAAGCATTCAGCCGCACGAGATGTTGACGATCGCAGAACCGGGGTGGAAGCGAGGGTTCCAAGTTTACAATTTTGAACCGTCCGAGTTGAGCAGCATTTTCTCCAGTGAAACGGATCAGAGTGTTTATGCCTGAAGACGTGGGCATTATTTCTGCACCGACAATTCTTTGGAACTAGGTACTCGAGCTCCTTGGATTGTTGCTCCGCGCACGCTCAGACAAGCTTTTGATGATCGTATATCTCGCATTGCATGCCCTGGTCCGCCCTAAAGGCACTAACAGGTTTGGTGCGGTGGACAGGGCTGACGGAGCTGAAGCCTAGCCAAGCAAGATGTGAGGTCTTGGTTCGGTTTTAACAATGCGACGGCAGATGACTTTCATCATGGCAGCTCCCTCTAGTTGCTGGGCTGGATCGTGCGTGTATCCTTGCAGATGGCAGTAAAAGCTGCTTGTCCAGGGCTCGTCGAGGGTACATATGAATGCACGCTGCTCCTTCTACTCTGCCAAACAACCATAAGCGATCTTCTCCCACTCAGTGGAATCCAGTTGGCTCAACCACGCTGGGTGATGTCGAAGCGCGAAACGCCAAGGCCACCAACTCCGCACGATCTTTAGCTGCCCTGATTTGACGCCCACAATACTGACAAGAAAGGCCATGAGTGCATGGATGGTCAATTGTATGGCGAATATCATGAGGAAATTGTTGAAGATGAGGCGGCCTCTGTGACTGCCAGAATTATTAGGTGACTGAAAGAGAAGCATCACGAGGCAATCAAGCTGTTGGCCCGACACTTTAGCAGGCCCGCATATCATCGGACATGTGAAGGAGGAGGCAGGAGGAGGCAGGAGACGGCAATAGCCGGCCTTTAAATGTGAGTTTATTTATAACATTATTGCCATGGATTTTATGGGTTCTATGGCTACAACAATATTTGCTTGTTTCTCGTGGAAATGGCGGTTCTTCGTAGCTGTTCTCCCTAGTAGGCTGGCTCACTTGGCAACATCATAACTCCGGCCTCTCTGCCGCCACATTCCCATTGTAATTACTAGGAAATGACTGCATTCCATCTACTAGCAACGCTGAAGCACTGGATGATCCGAATGGCCACGCCGATGGCGGAAAGCGACAAACCAGCGCATGACAAGGCTTACCTTCCTGTGAGATGTCTGAGGCAACAGACAGATAATCGTCAGCTGCTTGTCCATCGCAACCGGTAAAAGCACAGTGCCAGACCCAGACAGTCGTCCTCTGATGGAGATGCTCAGCTGATCTGCGGCCCTTGAAACTTGAGATCCGGCCAAATTCTCGGAGGTCGCCTATCCACTATTACTATTCTACGGAGTCACTAATCAACAACGAACCACTCTCGGAGAAACCTTCCTAAACCAATGACATATACTAACTTGGTTGCTTAATTTCCAGGCGGAAGAACTACTTTTTACTAGTATTAGTCCCCCCTTCATCTTCGTTGGCGCTCGATTCCCCGCGATCTGCCGCCCAATAAGTCGCGGTTCCCCGCCATCACCAACTAACTACCTCACTAGTTATCCAACCATCCATCCTCCGTGTCGCGACCCCGTTCATTAATTCACTGTCAGCGTCTCACAGTCGCTAATGGGCTTTTTTTTGTCTTGTTGTAAGATGCCCCATGATCCCATTATAGCCAGCCTCCGCATCTATTCGGCCCGTCCCTTGGCACTTCCCCGGTTCCTTGTTCCCCAGCTTCTCTTGCCTTCCTTCAATTGCCGACGGTGCATGTGGAAAGCCGCCTGGCTGTATTCCGGTCCAACCGTATATAAAGCCAAGTTTTCCAGGCTGAGAAAAATACTTTCAAATTGTTGGCAAGATACCGTCGACGAGCACCATGAAGCTGTCCGCATCCCTCTCCCTCCTGGCCCAGGCCCTGGCGGTCTTGGGCGCCGACACAAACTCGTGGAAGTCGCGCACTATTTACTTTGCTCTGACGGATCGCATTGCCCGCAGTGAAAACGACCATGGCGGCGATGCCTGTGGTAACCTCCAAGATTACTGTGGTGGCACCTTCAAGGGCCTGCAGAGCAAGCTGGACTACATCAAGGGCATGGGCTTTGATGCCATCTGGATCACACCCGTCGTTGAGAGTAAGTGAATGCCCTAGCTATATACTCATGCGCCTTGGACATTATTAACTCTTGGCAGATTCTGATGCAGGGTACCATGGGTACTGGGCCAAGGACTTGTACTCTATCAACGGCCACTACGGCACTTCTGATGATCTCAAGAACCTCGTCAACGCCGCACATGACAAGGTTTGTACATACCCAAGCGTTCGTATATATAATCAGAAATCAACAACTCAACTAAACTCACAAGGGCATCTATATGATGGTCGATGTCGTGGCAAACCACATGGGCAACGGCCCCATCAGCGACAACAAGCCTGCTCCCCTCAACCAGGACTCATCCTACCACCCTGCCTGCGACATCGACTACAATGACCAGCACAGCATCGAGTTCTGCCGTGTCGGCAATGTCCTCCCGGATCTCGACACCACCGACCCAACCATCCGTACCCTGTACAAGGACTGGATCAAGTGGCTCATGAGCACGTACCAGTTTGACGGCGTCCGCATCGACACGGTCAAGCACGTCGAGAAGGACTTCTGGCCCGACTTTGCCTGGGCATCCGGTGCCTACACCATTGGCGAGGTCCTCAGCGGCGACCCCAACTACTTTGCCGGCTACTCCAAGCTCATGGGCGGCCTGCTCAACTATCCCATCTACTACCCGCTGAACCGCTTCTACCAGCAGCAGGATTCGGCCCAGGGGCTCGTCGACATGCACAACCAGATCGCGACCCTTGTCCCGGACGCGACCACGCTCGGCACCTTCCTCGACAACCACGACCAGCGGCGCTTCCTCAACCAGAAGCCCGACGTCTCCCTCTTCAAGAACGCGCTCACCTACGTCATGCTCGGCCGCGGCATCCCCATCGTCTACTACGGCTCCGAGCAGGCCTTTGCCGGCGGCGACGACCCGCAGAACCGCGAGGACCTCTGGCGCAGCGGCTTCAACGCGACCAGCGACGTGTACAGCTTCCTGCAGGCGCTGGGAGGCGTCCGCAAGGCGCACGGCGGGCTGCCCGGTGACGACCACGTCCACCTGTTCGTAGAGAGCGACGCGTACGCGTGGAGCCGCCAGGACGGCGCCGTGGTGGCGCTGACGAGCAACGTCGGCCAGGGCCAGCAGCGCCAGTTCTGCTTCTTCACGCAGAAGAACAACAAGACGTGGAGGGGCATCTTTGACGGGCAGACGTACACCTCGGGAAGCGACGGCAAGATGTGCGCGACGGTCAATAATGGCGAGCCCATGGTTTTCATCGCGCAGTAGATGGAGAGGTGATCAGCTGGTCTTGATGATACAAGAGGTGTGATACAAGTACATGATCAAATGGGCATGATCAATATATAGACACTGTATACGGGTAAATATATGCAAGAATATATACGCACAAAAATGAGTTCCCATAATGTCCGCCCCCGAGCAGCACCCTCACAAAATACACTACCACGTAAATGCTTCATCCAGCAACACCACACCACGAGCCAGAGCACCGCTCCTCGCCAACCTACAGACCTCATTCCTCACATCGTCCGCCATCCCCGGCGGCCCGCACACCACGATGCCCGTCGGGCCGCGCTCGCCCGTCCGCGCCAGGAGCTCCTCCCGCAGTATCGCCGGGATGTCCAGGCGCTCGCCGACGCTCACCTCCACGCGCACCGCCGCCGGCAGGTCTAGGACGTCCCTGCCGCACTCCTCCACGATGCCCTCGCCGCGCGCGCCCCAGAACAGCCGCCGGCGACACCCGGCGTGGGATCGCAGGATGGGCAGCACCGCGCTGACGCCCACGCCGCCGGCGATGCACACGATCGACGTGCACTGCGCGAGCTCCGACGCCGAGGACGCGTGGTACGGGCCCTCGACGACGACGGGCAGGCGGATCCGGTGGCCGGCGGCGGCAGAAACCCTGGCGGCGAGGCGCGCGGTCATGCCGGACTGGACGCGGACGAGGATGGAGATGCGGTGGTCGTGGACGGGCGCGAAGACGGTCTTGCGCGGCGGCCGCGCTTCCCGGATCGTCTCGATGTCCGCGGGCCGCTTGCCTTCTTCCATCACCTTGTCCTCCTTGGCACTCTCCGCGTCCGTGGAAGAGGAGGAGTCGGAGTGCACGTCCCGGACGGAGAACGAGGCGGCGACGGAGAACGGGTGGTTCTCCCAGAAGCGCCAGCTGAGGGTCGGAAAGTAGAGGTAGACGAGCCCGCCGGCGTGCGCGCCATCAATGTCGACGCGGAGGTACTCGCCGTCGGAGCCGGGCACGAAGGCGACGTCGGCCGTGCGCCGGCCCATCAGCGCCATGCGCGCCAGCCGGACCAGGCGCTCGACGCCCCAGGCCGCGCCGGCGACGTAGCACCAGATCTCGTAGCCCCATTTGAAGCTGTACCGGTAGAAGATGTGGTAAAAGTAGCCGACCAGGAAGATGACGACGAGCAGGTGGTGCACCGAGAGGAACGCCTCGTAGAAGCGCTTCCGCACGGCCAGCACCGACGCGGGCCACAGCAGCACCGCCGCCAGCGTCGCCACGACGCCCCAGATCCAGTACGCCTTCTTCACCTCGGTCTCGTAGCCGCCAAACACGGTGTAGTACACCAGCAGCAGGACCGAGTGCACCACCGTGTGGAGGATGGCCAGGTAGCCAAAGACGCGGTGCAGCAGCAGGTAGGTGTCGTAGTTCCAGCCGGTCAGCGCGAGCAGCGGGTTGTTGCGCCCCGCGAAGACGACGAGCACGACGGCGTTGCCCATGGCCATCAGCCCGGCGCGGCACCCGATGGTGCTGATCTCCTGCTCGCGCGTGGTGGCAAAGGTGGACTGCGGCTGCAGCCGCGTGTATGGCACGACGAGCAGCACGGCGTTGAGGGCGACGATGATGGCGATGTAGAGGGACTGGCCGCGCGAGGGCACGTAGCCGCCGCCGAGGACGCGAGCGCCGACGGGTTGCCGGTGGCGGGAGCCGAAGAGAGGCGGGTAGACGAGCATGGCGTTGATCCAGGCCCAGGAGGGGGAGCGGGTGAGGGGGGTGAGGAAGCGAGGGAGTGAGGCCACGATGGCGAGCACGAACGGGACGACCGTGATGACGATGCTGGCGAGGTTGTTAGCTAGGCTGGAACCTGTAGCTGAGATGCGTTGCTCTCGGGGGGATCTTGCAGAGATTGGGTACATACGTGTACTTGGAATGACCAGCTTCGTTTAGCTCAAACGTCTTATGTCCGTTGTAGTTCTTTAGCCAATCCGACATGCGGATGAAGCTCGTCACGTTCAACGGAGCACCGGGCTTGACCACCGGCAGAGTCGTGTTCACCGGCGTCGTGTCAGGCTCCTCCTCTTCAACATGACCATGACGCGCATGAACTCCATGATGCTCATGAATGCCACTCGCAGGAGTCGTCGTCGTGCTGCGGTTCTTCGCACTGCTTTGCTCGTCGAGCCTCGCGCGCCGCAGCGCCTCCTGGTATGTCATGGCCGGCACCCACGAGAAGTCCGCGAGCATGCCGGCCGCCGCGTGTCCTCCCCAGTACTCCTCCAGGGCGCCGACCCGCGGCGCGTCGCTGCCCGGGCAGTACGTGTCGATACAGAGCGCCAGCGTCTGCAGGAAGGCCGCGTCGCCGGCGTAGCAGCTCTCCGGCGTCCGGGGCGGCGCGTGGCCGCCGCCGGCGGGAGCGCTCGGCTCGTGCGCCGGCGTGCAAAGCAAAGTCGAGCCGCCGATGACGGACCGGCAAGCGTACGCGCACCACGGCTGGTACATGGTCTTGCCGACGCCGATGATGCCGACGCCGTCGCCGCGCACCGCAGGGACGGCGGCGGCGACCAATAGCCAACAGCCTGGATTGAAGGCCACCATTTCTTTTCCTCTTTTCCGAATATAGTGATCGCCAGCCAAGCAAGGGACATGTGAGACAGATATGACTGATTTGGAAAGGAACGCCGTTGCAGAGAGACTCGAGTTGCTGGGTCGGCGCGGGTGTCTTATACGCACGAGCTCCAGCGGCAACGTTCCACAATGGCGAGAGATATTGACCGCAACATTACACCGTTTTGAGCCACGTTTACCAATTAAACACTTCTCAATTACCATGCGTGAGCAAGTTTATTCTCAATCCTGCTCACAGCACTGTCGCTGGTGGTGGATCGAGTCGGGGCGCCAAGCCGGCCCAGCACCTTGGGCTGCAACTTACACGGGGAGGGGAGGGCCACTGCGCCCTTTTCATTAAGCATATTTTTCTCGCGTGTTTTTGCTGGTATGCGCCAGGTCCCCGCATGGGCACTTTGACAGAGCGTAGAATGTAGAAGAATCTGCGCACGTCGTTTCACGGAGAGGGCATTTTGCGGGTCGTTGCCGGTGTTGAAAGAAAAATCTCGTCGGATGGGACCTGCCTCCGTCGGAAGCGGCGCCGGTGGGCACATGAGAAATGCAATAAATGGGTATCATCTACTCAATAAGGATGTGTGCTCACCGGTGCCAGGTTGTCTGATGTCTTTGTGGCTTCTCCACCCGTCAAACATCAGAGCGTCGGCGTTGGCTTCCGAAACGTTCTCAGCTGGGGCGGTCCGCGATGTCGTCGCAATATGCAAGGCATGGGGGAAATGGTCAACTACAGTCACAACCGCCCGATTGGTAACTGCCAGGCTAGATAAATGAATGAGTATTCGGACTGAATAAAAACAAAGCCAATTGGCATCAAGCAAGATACAGGTTGAAAGACAGACGCCTCGTAACTATATATATATATACAGGATATATCGGCCCTCGGACGTTTTGGTATATTTCCTCCCCTCCCCCTTTTCTTCATAAATTTCAAACAAAAAACGGGGTTGTACAAAATCATCGAAAATGAGTTGCTCATCACAGCATCAAAACAGCACCGGCCACCGCCGCCACGACAGTCGCAAAGCCAACCACCAGGCCGCAGCTTCGCGGCGCCCTCGAGTCCTCGTCGTTGGCCGCCAGGTTGATCATGCTCACGTTGCCCGTCTTGACGTCGATGCTGACGCCATTGCTCGGCGGCACGCCCGGCAGCACCGTAGTCTTGGGCCCGCTGCCGCCACCATCACCGGCGGTGGTGAAGACGGCCGTCAGGGACTTTTGCAGGCAGAGGGGCCGCACGCTGACCTGGAAGACGGGCCCGCCGCAGTCGGTGTGCACGTTGCGCAGGTAGTCGGTGGCGCTCGCGTACCGGCTCGGGGCGTCGGCGAGGTACGAGAGGTAGTCGACGGACAGGCTGGCGGCGAGCGTGACGGTGCACAGGTTGCCCTGCCAGGGGTGCGGCGAGCTGCCGACGGAGCGGTAGGAGCGCAGCACGGAGCTCAGCTCGGTGTTGCTGACGGCGCCCTTGAAGGCCCGGCTGTAGACGGAGTGCGCGCACGTCTTGTTGAAGCCGACGGCGCCCGTGCCGGTGCCGGCGGCGGTCGTGGTGGATGTGACTTGCGCCGAGCTCGGTGTGGTGGTTGTGGTGAGGAGAGTGGTGGTCGGCGTCGGGGAGTCGAGGGTGAGGCCGGCGACAGCCTGAGAGCCAAACAGCACGGCCGTCGCCGCCGCGAGAGCAGCATTGACGAAACGCATCCTGGCGATGTTGTTTTGCTGGAAAACTGATGCTAATTTTAAAACAAGTTTCAGCTTCAAAGGCCGCTTCCTAGGTTGTTGAGGGATTGAGTTGCCTTGCCCTGCCATTACTCGCAAGTGGGGAGCGCTAGCAAAGGGACCAGCCTTGGGGTGCCACTGACTTGGCCAGAATAGGTTCAAACAGAAGCCAACTTTCGTCGATCAGCAGAATACCCTTCGGGGGATAGAGAGTCAGGCTTACTGTGGCGGCTGTGGTTAGAGAGAGTGTGTGTGTGTCGCGCGTTTTTCATCTTTTTACAAGTTGAACTTGAGTTCCAGCAATGAACCAACACTACGAATTAAACACAGCATCGCAAGGCATGGTAACTAATAGGTAAATTTAGTAGCGTGTGGATTCCCACGTTGCTAACAGCCGTCCACTAAGTTAACTACCCGCTGATGAGACAAGGCAATTCCATCTATTTCATGCGTCATCGCAACTAGGTTCTTCGATATAGGCGCGATCCATGCTTTTCACTTCTTCATCTTTATTAGCACCGCACATCCAGTACATGGATGAAAGAAGAAAAATATCCGTAGTTGCTCCTTAATCTGCATCTGCCTGCGGACGCTCCGGCTGTTGAAATCCCCGCTTTTCGATATTTGGTGTATTTGTAGTGGTAGAAAGCACGCCACGGACATGGCCGCCCACAGCTATACCAGATGCAATATTTGCCCGGCCCGACTACCAATCACAGTCCCTCGAAAGCGGCTGTATTGAATTCTCCCGCATCCACGGCATTCAAAAAGCAGACTTGAAAAAGGCAAGCCGTTTCTTCATCAGCAAAAATGTCTTGTTCATGTGGGGGCCAATCTGAGACCTTGGCCCGTTATCTGAGCAACCCCAATGGCTACCTACTAAACGTGGCTTACACTTCCCAACACATGTACTGCAATTTACCAAGCAGTTACGAGTAGGGTTGGTAATAAAATGTACCTGCGAGTACAAGACTAGTTCCGCATCTATGTAGTATGCAGCTGCAGCTTCACTGCAACACAAGTGGCTGCGGTTGCCAGACATGGGCTTGCTGGTACATAGATCAGCTCCCTCGCCTTGCCAATACGAGATGCAAGCTGAGATGCACAAAAGCTGTTCTTGTTTCCGGCCGTAATGTCAAATGCGACCACTAAGGTTAGCCGCAGATGACAGTATGTGGTTCAATGGAGAGGGGGGGGGGGCTCAAAGGCTAGACACTAACCCTTCATCCATTAGGTAAGGTCGTAGACTAAGACCTTTTAATTCAAGCAGCAAAATGGTCACCGGGAGAAATGTCTGGAGGAGTCGCGCTGAGAGACAGATATGGGATCGACCTGCGCCAGTAGAGCGGGCAGGTTAAACGATGTGATGCTGCAGTCTTAACTGGTCGCCGTGCTTGGTGACGTGTGACCACCTTCCCATGGCGGTCGGAGAAGGGTGCGGGGACTGATATATCAAGGCGTTGATCAGAGATGGCGTGCAGATAGTCATATGTACGAGCAGGGCGATTTCCCAACAATTGTGTCGTGAGCGCGGGCGGTGAAAGGAGTCATGATCGCGAGACAGTTGTAGGTGTGTGTGCTGACTCGTACGAGGTGGCGGGCTGGCGATTCGCAGATGTGAGCGATAAATTCTTAAGCAATAGTTCTAATAAGCACGACATAGAGACGGACCAGATGAATTTAGTGTTGGCTTGGTCTTTTTTATTTTTGGTCTTTTTTTCTGCTTTTCTTTGTATTGGTAGTATTGGTAATAAGTATAACCAACTCGGGCGCGGAGGCCGGACCAAGGCACGCAGGTCCTCCACTGGCTTGTGATAGTGGCACCGCTGGCCAAGACTGGGGCTGCCAGCTGCCAAAAGGCCGTTTGCTGGCAAACGGACAACCGGCGACGGCCCGTTAGAATTCATATCCAGCTTTCTATGTTTGCAGTGCCCCGTGACTTTTCAATATCCAGTGAGCAAATGGATTTGGAATTCTGTAGACAACATCAGCTTGCTAGCATGCATAGATAGTATCGCTTTGTCTGTATTGATTCCATGGCACTCGGTCGGCCACAACAGCCAGAATTCGGCAAACAGACGAAGCCAGGCCCACTGAGTGTGCTACCCGGTGTACGGAGTAACTTGCTGCTACTCCAATTCGGAACAGGGGCATGCGCCCAAGCTTGCAGACAACCTACCAACCTACTAAGGAGCTAGGTAACGTACCACAAGGATTGTCTGCGCAGACTGGTCCCCTTGCTTGCCCCAGAAGCTGGTTTTCTTTGGTGGCTGTTTCTTCTCCTGTGTTTCGCAGCAGCCAGACGGAACCGGGGAGAACCAGTAGCAGAGCAGAGCTTGTCGGACTTCCCATGTGAGCAAACACTGTCAACTCCTCACTAGCCACACTGTTTCCCCTCTTCCTCCACCCTCCCCCCATCCCCATGGGGTCTGCACGTCTGCTGCATCCCCACACTCCAACAAGCTCGGCTTTTTACCAAGGGTTTTTTTCTCTCTCCTAAGATAGGCTCAGGCACTGACGTGCTGCAGCCGAACGATTTGGAGAAAGCAAAGGCGCATTGCGCATTCGAGATTGACGACTGCAGCCCATTATCGCTCAACTCGCTCACCCCTACCTCGGAATCTGCTATTCCCCCCCCCCCCCCCCCCCGCTTGCTCGGGCGCTGCGCGTACCGCAGCCATCTTTCCGTCGACGTCGTCGTTCCTCGTCACAACAACCCTGACCGACAATCTCATGCTTTCCCCTCACGAGCCGAGAAATCCAGAACTACGGCGCGGCGCCACCACCACCGAAACCCCCAGCCTGCTCAGCAGCCAGCCTGCCATTGCGCAACCCAAACAGCACCGCCCAGCGCGCGCACGATTTTTTGCAACTCTCACGCAACGGCTGAGCTGGGCTGTCCACCCGTGCGTCAACAGGGCTGGCGTGGACTTTGTCTGACTGCTCTTTGTCGTCGACCCGAGATCCCTCCATGTCGCTTCCCCGCCCGCTCTCCCACTACGTCGCCTGCCCTTGCCTCTGTCCACCCCACCTGTCGCCCCCAGGGTCGGTCGGACTTCTGAACAACTAGTTAACGAATTTCGTTACTCCCGCCATCCTTTCGACGTCGCAATCCACGACCGTCGCGCGCTGCAGCCCAGCATTTCGCTTGCAGTGCTGCTCGCCCAACTCCATTGTCCAAGACGCCTACATGCCCCCGACTCCAGCCCATTTTCAATTCCACGCTACCCCATTGGCTCCCCGTTTTGACCCCGTACGACCACCTCACTTCACTCGCGAGCAGTACCAGATTTTTTTTCCAACTTTCGCTTCCTTCTGCTCCTACGCGACACGCCCCAGTCTCGTCCCACGCTGCAACACCATTCAGTGTCTAGTGTTGCCCTCCAGCATCGTCTCACACGCCTTCCGTGCCGTCCGTCTGCTTCTCCGCACCTACGCACCCTCGGCGCCTCTCACGCCTCTCACACGCCTACCTCCTCACCCCTCTCTCCCGTCGGGCTCATCACCGCCTTCAAGTAGCGTCGTCGTGAGGTGTGCGAGAGGGGGGCAAGCTCTCTGCTCCTTCCTCCTCCCTCTTCTCCTCCGCCTAGCGTTTCTCAATCCACCGCTTTCCCCGAGGTGTAGCCCACTGTTCTACACGACGCTATAGCTCTCACTTGCAGCTCACAACTAATACACCAGCCATACCTCACACCCCACACTATACTGCAAACCCCTTGCCGTCACTTGTTCTGGTCAATACTTCTCTGAGCCGCTGCCCTACCCCAACCAACGTTTCCTCTACCCTCCGAGGTTGGGCTCTGCGGTGTGGCCTTGATCGCTACCAGCACCCTCCAACGCCGAGATGCTCCCACTCCCAGCTCTTGAGGCCCCGGCTGCTCATCCTCCGCCGTCGACGCTCCCTGGCGCGATGGCTTCTACCGACGGCACCGAAAATCGAAACCAGAAGCCCAAGACGCTACCTTGCAAATACTGCAGCAAACACTTCCGGTCAGTTCATCCGCTGTGCGGAACCGGTAACCTTCCAAATCTAACGTGTTTAGACGGGTCGAACATGTGCAACGGCACGAGAGAACTCACACCAAGGAAAAGCCTTTTGCGTGTCCCTGGGATCGATGCGGCAAGACATTTGGGCGACGGTATGTTACATACAGTCTTTTGTTTAGCGCACCTTTCTTTTTTTTTTTTTCTATATTTATCCTCCCTGCCCTCTCCACGCACCTGCAATACCACTGTGCCGCATTTTCAGCTCCACCCAGCCTTCTTACATCACTCGATTACCTTTCCCACACTCTGTTCCATGTTGTCCGCTTGTTTGTCCCCAGTTACTGTGGTCATCCTCATTGGCGACTTGCGTGTATCAGTATAGCTGACCCTCATGGACATCAGAGATCTCCTCGTGCGGCATGAGAAACTCGTCCACCTGAATGACGCCAGCAGCAAGGAGAATAATGCTCGTCCCAGACCGTCCTCGTCAAGTGCGAGCTCGCACAAGCCTTCGTTGTCTGACGGCCATGTCGAGGCCGATACCATGAATATGCATCGCACGACTCTGCCCCCCGTTGGTCCGCCGCCGCCACAGCAAATGTACCATCCCCAGCCGCCTATGCCGAATAATGTCCAGCCGATGCAGCAGTCGATGCAGCAGGATCACGCCATGAAATCAAGGATGGCTGCCTGTAACCTTGACGTCTTGTCTGATGCGGCGCTGGCCAGCGAGGTCAACTCGATGGCGCCGATGATGAGTAGCATTCCACAACAGCCAACGAGCCACGCGCGAGGTAAAAGCTTCGGCCAAGTCATGCCTCAGTTTGGCGAACGCCAACCGCAGGATCAAACACATTCCATGCCGTCTTTTGCTCAGCCGCCAGCGCCCCAACCCGCATATGACGACTACAATGTCTTTTTGGACGACTTTTCCTTTGCCGCGCCGCATTTTCTGCCACCGCACTTTGAGCCGGACCAACCTATGAATATGTGGACTCGCTCACCAGCAACTATGAACCAGAGAATGGCCTCGAAGCCCGTGTCAGCGATGCCTTCACGTATTGGCTCCTTGGGTCCTGACACCCGCGATGCTACCGAGTTTGCTGGAGATACCTCACGTCCCTCTCCACTGCGCATATCCAATGCAGATTATGCAGTTATCAAGAAGAAGATTGATGAATTCTCGTCTGTGTTGCCAAGCGATTTTGCTTTCCCCTCACGACATACTCTTACGCGATTCGTCGAAGGCTACATCAGCGGTTTTCATGATCTACTTCCTGTTTTACATCTCCCTACGCTTTCGCCCGCGGTCATCGCGCCGGAGCTGCTTCTTGCAATCCTTGCTGTCGGAGCACAGTATCGGTTCGAGAGCAACCGGGGATACGCACTTTGGTATGCCGCAAAAGCGGTAGCCTTGGAGCAAATCCGAAGAAGACGCAATTTGGACATCCATGCGCCATTGTCCAATGCTGCTATGTACAGCCCGCATTCGACTCGTCCTTCACCAACTTCCGGTTATCGAAATTCTTTTGGTTCAGGACAATCAGAAAGACCATCAACCCACGACGGACACCGTGATTCTGTGTAAGTCAATGTGTAGCTCATTTTGTTTGGCTCTTTGTTTTTCTGACTAGACGCAGCTCCCTCAATACCCCTCAAGCGCGATTAGAGACGATCCAGGCTCTGCTATTGCTATTTGCCGTCGGATTATGGGGCATTAAAACAATTCTGCACGAATCCCTTTCGCTTCAGAGCAATCTGTCGATCCTGATAAGAGAGGAAGGTCTGCACATGAACGCCAGCCAAGCGAGCATCGCCGACTGGGAAACATGGATCCAACGAGAAGGCGCTTTGCGGACAAAACTCATTGCATTCTGCTTCTTCAACCTGTGTAGCATGACATATGACATGCCCCCGGCGCTGCTAACCTCTGAAGTCCATCTTTTTCTACCGTTGACCGCACGACTATGGCGTGCCGAGACGGCATGGCAATGGCAGGAATTACGGCAAACGACGCCGTTGGTTGAAATAACGCTGCATGAGGCATTCTCCAAATTCTTCGGCGCAAACAATGCAGTCTTGCCATCAGAGCTCTCGTCACTCGGCCACTATGTATTGATCCACGCCTTGATTCAGCATGTATACCTCCTGAAGCAAACTTCATTTGCGGCTGGTCTGACATATGACATTCAGCGCACCTTGAGACCGGAGGATGTCGAGCAAGGATCCCAGGCGCTTCGAATGTGGCACACTAGCTTTGAGCAGCGGCACCAACTCCTGGCCGCCGAGAGGGGTCACTACGGAAGCACCGACACGATGACTGGAGGCTCTCTGGTGTATAATGCGACGGCACTGCTGCGACTGGCATACATTCGACTTTACACTGACACACCCCCTAGTAGGGCGTTGCAGACGCGAGATTCGATGTTGATTGCGTCGGCAATGCACAGCACACCCGGGCTGCCACGCAACCTCCGTGTTCAACGAGCTGTGTTCCAAGCCACGCACGCCCTGTCCATGCTGGTCAAAGTAGGCGTCAACTACGTCGCCAAGGCCAAGTCAACAGAGTGGAGCATCCAGCATTCTCTTTGCAACTTTGAGTGCGCCATCCTGGTGGCCAAATGGCTCATGAGCTTGGCATGCATAGGGCCCCAGGACGCGCCGGCCTCGGAAGAGGAGATGAGTCTGCTCGAGACGGTGCGGCGGATGGTGGACGAGACGGAGTTTGCGATATCGCAGCGAGAGTCCAATGTCAGCGACGCCATCAAGTTGCGGCAGCTTGCGAGTGCCGTGGTGCGCCTGTGGTCGGAAACGTTTAAAGGCACGCATATATTTGACATGGTCAAGACGATGGGCGACAGTCTGGATGGCTACGCCAACCTAGTGGAAAAGTCCTAGGCGCAAATTTCAACGGGGAGCGAGTCGTTTTAAAAGATGTAACTTTTTAGGGTAGGATATACAAGAGATTGGCGTTTTGCCGGTTAGGTGGGCACTATGATGATCTATATAGGCAGTGTACGACGAGGAAATGTAAGGACGCATATAGGCGAAGGGTTAACGATTGTTGTGAAGATGAGTGTAATAGCAAAAGATCTGCAATCATCTGACGTGCCGCTTGTGGAGGCGGAGCAGGAGGCGCCCGCAAATATAGCGAGCGGAATCGGCAACAGGATGTGAGCAGAAGGGTCCGCGTGCCGGCATATCGGACTTCCGCCGTCTGACTGATAGGCTATAAAATCAATCGAAACCCGCCTATAACACGATGATTTAAGATTCTATACTATAAATAATCGGGCTTTTTTGGTGCATATCCCAGGCTTAAGCTTCGTTGTTGAATTGTGGATGGACGGACCCCCTGCGGATTAGTTAGGGATTTATCAGATCGATGACAAGCAGGCGAGCTATGGAGGACCGGACTGCTTCCTCTTCCACCGACTTATCCTCATGACATCAAATTAGAAAAGAAATAAGCAGTATCTCCGACCGTAGCTAGTTTTTTAGCATACATCATCATGCACAGCAGGCATGGGTGGCGCGCACTTGTACAAGCCTCAGCTGGATGACGTCATTGCAGGAGGCCGCCTTACACTACCGAGAAAAGTGTAATATAAGGCTGAGATGGCTATACCCTCAATGTTGCGATTCTACTCGTTGATTTCCATCTAACCATTATTAAAAATATCACTGATATCACTACTATCAGAATCAAAGCTCTTTTCGTCAGTATGGCGCAAACTCAGCAACCCGTGCAGCTGCCGCCACTGCCGCAGCCCATCGCCCAGTTCAGCGCGACCGTCGCCCGCACGACCGAGACCATCATCCTCAAGGAAAAGGTGATGTCGCTCTCCGGCGACAGCTTCGACATCAAGACGGTCGACGGGCGGCCGTACCTCAAGGTGCAGGGCCGCCACGCGACCATCTCCGGGCGCAAGTCTGTCTTTGACATGGCCGGCAACCACCTCTACGACATTGTCAAAGAGCACCTACACCTACATTCGACGTACGCCGCCGAGACGCCGGATAAGCGCAAGTTTCTCGAGATTAAGAGTTCCATCAAGCGTGAGTTTTTTACTTTCTTCCCCGAGGGAGCAAAATGCAGTAGTACCGTGACTGCTGACAACAAACAGTGTTTGGCTCCAAGGCGACGGGCACGTTTACGGCGCCGGACGGCCGGACGCACGTCTTTTCGATGCGCGGCGACTGGTTGGACTCGCAGGCGGACATTGTGCTGGGCGAGGACAAGCAGGGGCCGGTGGTGGCGCGGATCGATCGCAAGTTCTTCAACAAGAGGGAGTTCTTTGGCGGGCAGCAGACGTACGCGGTGACGGTGGCGCCGGGGATGGATGTGGCCTTGGCGGTGGCGTTTTGCATTGCGTTGGACGAGAAGAATAACGAGAAATGATTTGTCCTATTTGTTTTTTCTGTTTGTCTTTTTGTTTGTCTTTTTTGGGGGGGGCTAGTTATTCAACTTGGGACTTGCAAGCTCGAATGGGCATCCGCGGACTTTTGACTTATTCCAGTTGGCAAGCAAGATTTCATATCTGTCCAGATCTTTGAAAGATAAAAAAGATGGAAAGTTTCCAAATTTATTCACTTACAACATGGCCGTGTTCAATTGTCGTTCCTTTGCGCTGATAATAGCCGGTAATTTCCGCGGCTAATTAGCATAACGCGGGGCAGTATAACGCGGCGGCAAAAGCTAATGCTGTAAAGACGACCCTTGTCCGCGGGTTTTCAACAGGGCAAGATACCCCGGATTTCAAGCTCCTCACACTGCTTGAACACTAATTCTCGCCCAATAGTGACATCCGCGGAGACTCAGCCGGACGCGATAGCCTCATCTTCTCCAGGCCCATCATCCCAGCATGTGAGGGTCCCACAGTGCAAGCCGATTGGGTAAAGCTCTCCGGGGTTTGGTGGGTCGCAACCTCGGCTCTCGAGTTCACCAATAAAGGCCGATCCCTGGGGTCATCCACGGTCATTGCTGATTCCGAACTCGATTTTCCTTTTCCTTTTTATTCTGCAACATCCTCGTCGACTTTTCTCGTCTTCCTCTCGCGTCCTTTTCTTGCATCCTTCCAGCATTGTTTCCTGTCGCATCTTCCACGGTCGATCTATCTCATCCGGCCCCTACAGACAAACGACAACGACAAGCAAAACTACCGCCCACCATGCCCATCGTCACAGAGCTCACCCGTAAGCTGGGCATCCGAGGTAAGCTCTCGCCGCCACCCACCACGGCCTCATCGAGACCGCGTTCGCTCTCCCGACGGCCCTGCTGACAATTCTTCCTCTCTCTAGTCCCCGTCGTCCAGGGCGGCATGATGCACATTGGCAACGCCGACCTCGCCGCCGCCGTCTCCAATGCCGGCGGCCTGGGAATCATCACCGCCCTCATCTTCACCACGCCCGCCGCGCTGCGCGACGAGATCCGCCGCTGCCGCACCCTCACCAAGAAGCCCTTCGCCGTCAACATGACGCTTCTCCCCTCCATGGTGCCCCCCGACTACCCGGCCTACGCGCAGACCATCATCGACGAGGGCATCAAGATTGTCGAGACGGCCGGCAACTCGCCCGGCCCCATCATTTCGCAGCTGAAGAAGGCCAACATCACCATCCTCCACAAGTGCACCACCATCCGCCATGCGCTCTCCGCCGTCAAGCTCGGCGTCGACTTCCTCAGCATCGACGGCTTCGAGTGCGCCGGCCACGTCGGCGAGAGCGACATCACCAACTTCATCCTGCTCAGCCGCGCCCGCCAGGAGCTGCGCATCCCCTTCATCGCCTCGGGCGGCTTCGCCGACGGCCACGGGCTCGCTGCCGCGCTGTGCCTCGGCGCCGCCGGCGTCAACATGGGCACCCGCTTCATGTGCACCGTCGAGGCGCCCCTCCACCACAACATCAAGGAGACGATTGTCAAGTCGGACGAGAACCAGACGGCGCTGGTGCTGCGCCGCTGGCGCAACACCTCGCGTCTCTTCAAGAACAAGGTCACCGAGGACGCGCTCAAGATTGAGCGCGAGAGCAAGGCGGGCGAGTTCAGCGAGATCGCGCCCTACGTCTCGGGCAAGCGCGGCAAGGAGGTCTTCGAGAACGGCGACCCGGAGCACGGCGTCTGGACCACCGGCCAGGTCATGGGCCTCATCCACGACATCCCCACCTGCGACGTCCTCGTCAAGCGCATAGAGAAGGAGGCCGAGACCGTCCTCAACGAGCGTGTCGCCCTCGTCGTCCCCGAGTCGAAGCTGTAAATCGAGATGCGGAAATGATACGGATCACTGTCCGTTTTGCTGTCAGCAAGCAAATAGAAAGACGATAAACCATATAAAAAGACATGTTAAATTAGAGGTCATGACTGGACAATGACTTGATGTGTTGGATATACTTTTCTTTTTGTCGTTCATTTACCACATGTAGTTTGCATCAATACTTGCTTGATTTGAACCGTATCCTACCCCCGTCTAAAAAATTCCAAGGCGTGGAAAGAGTCTAACTGCTTATCTTATCTAATTCGAAATTTCTCGCTCGGCATCTGTAGAGTCCAAGCCGACTCAACCTTGTGTGGTTGGTGCGCACTACACTCACACCAACCAACCTCCCGCCCCATCTCACCTCCAAGATTGTTGGTCGGGAAGAACCAACAGCCACTCTTCGTCGGATTTCATGTAGATGTCGATGCGTTGCAAACAAAAAGGCAACTGCGTCAAAATTTAGTTTACAGGTTGATTCTTGCCGTGGTTCTAATATCTTTTGAAAAAGACAGAAATTGTTCATTGACAAAATTGTCGTGCTTTTGAGTTTCGAATTCCGCCACGCGACCTTCCTGTTGATGCCTACACTATCTATTCAGGACCCCTCCGCCTGCCGGACCACGCAGCCGGACTGTGTCCAGTTTTTACAAGTAGAAAGTTTAATACTTGGGATTTATCTAGCACATCATCCCACGTCCTGCCACGAGGACATGCCCACTACGTCGTGGCTGGGCTCCATCGTCGAACCGTGGAGCTGGGAATCGACCTTGCATGCTTTCTTGGTGCCGCTACCGCCGCTGCTCTCTTTCCTCTTTTTTTCCTTTCTTTGTACTGCATACTATACACATCATGGCAGGTCTTGCGTTTCCAACCATCTCACAAATTGTTGCGTTCGTAACTACTTTGCTGTGGGATCTCCTCAACCTCCTACTCCCACTTCAAGTCTATACGCCGCAATCGCTCCCGCAACTTGAGCAGACTGCCAGAAACCTGTTTCTCGATTCCGGAAAAATGGCACAGTTTAGGCCTATCAACACCCCATTCCTCGATTCAATCAGAATGGCGAAATCCCAGACTGGGGCAAACTCGTTACCCGGCCGCAGCAAAGCGGCGGACTCACCAGCTCCTCGCCCCAAGTTCATTACTTCCAGCAAGACCACAGAATGGAAGAGTCTCAGAGACCTAAAACGCAAAAACGGCAAGATTGCGGAATCAGTGTCAGGCGCCTCTCCCTTCAACAAGCCCTCCCCCCCAAAACCTGTCAAGACCGCGTTGGCAAAGAAGCCCAAGATTGAGCCCATGTGCTACTACTGCTTCAACACCGCCCGAGACAAGCGCCTCGTCGAGTTTGATCACTTCTACAAGATGCAGAAAGGCAAAGCCAAAGTTGATGCCAGAGCCGAGAACAGGGCGAAAATCGTAAAGCCGTCCAAGCTCAACGAGCGTGGGGTTAAGTGCAGGACGCCCGCAGCTGCGAAGGCGAAGGAGGAAGAGCGTGCGCGGTGGAAACAGGTGGAGGATCATCCTATGCATCTTCTCATCTCCATCCCGGAGGCAAACGAGGACGGGGAGGAGGGGGACGGGAATTCAGTGGCACCGGTCTCGTTCGAAGGCTCGCAGTCACCTGTACAGACAGGCAGTGGAGAATTTCTGCCTCGACGCTGCCAAGAGAGTACTTGCCAATGTCTCTGGCTGTGCAAAGGTCTCAGCAAAAATTCAAGACAGGAAATATTTGGTTCGTCATCGGGCACTTCTCAATAGAAGCCCAGGTCGAACGAGTCCTGCACGGCGCGGGTTCTGTACGTAGCACTCTGTAGGCTGAGGCTTAGTTGATGGCGCGTCTACTATCCGAACTCTCTGAATGCAAATTTTTATGCATTAAATACTGGTTTCTGTCAGTTACAAGAACTTAGATATTAACTAAAAAAAAAGAAATAATTATTTATCCTAGAGAACACGTAAATGATAACTCTATTGCCCAACTCTATCTAACCTGCTGGCTCTACATATAGGTCCCCTCCCGCCCGCCCATACGCTCAAAGTCATCCCATAGAAATCACCCCCTTGAAATCATTCCGTCGTATTACCCCATCCTCGCCATCTTAGCCAGAACGACTCGCAGCGCTTGGGTGACGGCACGGCTGCACTACCGACCAACAGCCACAGCCACGCAGCTGAACAGTGCCGAATATACTTGAAAGCGGCAGACGTAACCCGTCATTATCATCACGACAAACTTTCCCAAACTCTATAGCCTCGCGAAAATGCCAGGCTTTCAGTGGACTTTGTTGCCGGCAGAGATTCGGAACCCGATACTGGAGCGCATCTCGCGGCAGAGTTATCGAGGTACCGCCGCGGCCGTCTGTTCAGAATGGCAGGCGTATCTCGAGCCGCGGAATTTTGCCCGACTCAGACTAGAGCTACGGAACCTGGAGCAATTCGGCAAGATGACCGCTCGCACCGCGGGCTTTGTCAGTGAGATTCGGGTGAACGTTCGGTTGCCGCGATACTCGTGCCCCGAATGCCGGTCGTCTGAATCGATGCAGCATCTTTTGCGCAACAACTTCATCTTCCGAGTCACTTTGCATAAGCTCTTTGGCGTCTTGCGTAACTGGGAGCCGAGAGAATCCCTCACGTTGGAGCTCAACGTCTTCTCGCCCAGCGATGCGGAGCACTGGTTCAAGCACAGTTGCATTGAACTGGATGATCAGCTCGACGACTCAGAGTCTTGGCATCACCTGCAGCGACAGGCTTTCTCTGGATGGCACGAGCCGGAGCACGGCTGGGTCCGTGGCCGGCGGGTAGAGAGTCCTTCCGCAGGAGCGCTTCTGCGTGTATTTGGCCGGGTGTGCTGCCGGGTATTGTCCGGACTCCCGGAGAGCCTCCCAAAGACCAGGGCGGTGACGCGGCTCGTCGTTCCTCGGGAATCGCTGCGGCGGATTCCACCCGAAGCGCTGATGCTGCTGGCGCACAAGCTTCCTCGGCTGCGGACCATCGTCTACGAGCCGTGGAGCGAGGTCTCCCGCGCGCGTGAGAATGAGACTGATAATGGTATGTTGAGGTCCCGACAGCTTGGTTGATCAACGACTTGCTTACTTATCCATGTGCAGAGCTTTCCTATATGATTTCTCACTCTCTGCCAAGTCACGTCGAGACGCTCTCGATCTTTGAAGACATCAACTTTGCACTTGCCTCGGCGCTTAGCAACGATCCCTGGACCCCAAGCCAGTTCAACCCACCTTCCTATTCTCACATGGTCGAAAGCCTGGTCCTGAGGAGTTGCAGCCTCAAAAATCTTTCAATCTCTTTCATGATTGATGCCTGGGACTTTTTGGGCTATCTGAGGGAGGATTTCGGCTCCCAGTTACGATCGCTCACACTCACCGCGGCTATTCTCATGAGAGATTCCGAAAGCGGGGACATCGATTCCTTCTTAGAAAGAGCGAGCTTGTTTCCGCGAGCCCTGGAGCAGCTTGAGCGACTGGTGCTTTGGAACTGCGAAGACGGAGATGCCTGTGCGGTCGTCTACCAGAGGGACAGATCGACACAGAAGGCTACTCTGACCACGCGAGCGACGTGGAATCTTGCGCTGAATGGCGAAACGTTGAGATCCTGGAAAAAGGTCGACCCAGGCTACACCCTCGTAGTCGAGCATGAGCGGCTGAGAATGGCCATCAGACGACCCGTCAATGCCATCCGCCATCTGCGCTTGCCAGGCGAGATTCTCAACCCAACGTCTGCCTGGAAGCGACCACGGGAAGTATCCGTGGAAGAGAGGTCTGAAGAGGACTCTCTGCTGGAGGTCGGCATCCCAGACGGTTGGCAGCGCATTGAATACTTCCTCGGCGTCGCCCTTATGCTATTTGTCGATTTTCTACGTAGCAATGCATTCCCATATGTATGGTACCAAAGGTGGAATGGTGAGATTTGAGATGCATATGCACCACCGCAGGAAAGGTGAAAGAAAGGTATGCTCGCGGATCCGATCAAGACGCTGGGTTTTTTAATAAATTCATAATTTAGATAGAAGCTGACGGACTTGCCAATTCAGACTGGTAGACCGTTAATAGCTGCATGTGCTTGTTTGTTTCCGAGGTTCCGCGTCACGATCCACCTTGGAAGGTTCTAGGTTGCATATCTCGGTAGCTCATGTTGAATAAATATTTAGTATAATTATTATTGGGGGCTACAGTTTTCTGGCTCGTTTCAGGTCCATCCCAACTAATTGTTAGTAATTAATGAAAGCCTCCGACATCGCTTGCGGCTTATCAGTATATAACTCCGGTCACTAGTAAGCCTGCTCTGACCCATACTTGCCATCCTTCCTTCTATACAACAAACAGCAAACGCACTGCTACTATCACCGACCACGATCATCATAGCATGACCAAAACCACCCGAGACGACAACCATGTTGTGATTGACAGAAATGGCATCATCGAGAACCGACACCAGCTCCACGCCGTAGTCGTCGACTCGACCGGCCGCGTCCTCCTCGCCGTCGGCGACCCGGACCGCGTCACCCTCGTCCGGTCCGCCGCCAAGCCCGCTCAGGCCGTCGCCATCGTCGAGACGGGCGCCCTCGAGTGCTACAGCCTGGATGACGCCGACCTCGCCCTCATGTGCGCCTCGCACAGCAGCGAAGAGCGGCACGTCGACCGCGCCCGCCGCATCCTCGCCGCCGCCGGCAACGCCGAGGCCGACCTGCGCTGCGGCGGCCACCCGGCCATCCTTGCCGATCGCAACGCCGCCTGGCTCCGCGCCGGCTTTGACCCGACCCCCGTCTGGAGCAACTGCTCCGGCAAGCACGCCGGCATGCTGGCCGCCGCGCGCGCCATCGGTGCCGGCCCAAGCGACTACCACCTCCTGTCGCACCCGCTCCAGCAGCGCGTGAGGCGCGTCACCGAGGAGATTGCCGGCCTCCCAGCCCCGGAGCAGCAGATCCGCTGGGCCGTCGACGGGTGCAACATGCCCGCGCCGGCGTACCCGCTCGTCCGCCTCGCCACCACCTACGCCGCATTCGCCGACGCGGCAGACGGCGACGACGAGGCGCCGCCGGCGAGGCGCCGCAGCATGGCGCGCGTGTTCCGTGCCATGGCCGCGCACCCGGACATGGTCGCGGGCGAGGGCCGCTTTTGCACGGAGCTGATGCGGGCGTTTGGTGGCCGCGTGGTGGGCAAGGTCGGCGCGGACGCGTGCTACGGCGTCGGTGTCCGCGCGGGCGAGGATACGAGGCGACTCGGCGCGGTGGGCGCGGTGGGCATCGCGGCCAAGGTCGAGGACGGCAACATGGACATCCTCTATGGCGCCGTCGCAGAGATTTTGGGGAGGCTGGAGATTGGAGACGCGGAGACGCGGGCCGCCCTGGACGGGTTCCATGGGGTGGTGGTCAAGAATACGGTGGGCGTCGTTACGGGTCGCGTGTCGTATCCTTTTAAGCTACAAGCTGTTCAGGTGTCATGTTGAGATACGCCTCTGCTTTTTCAGCAGCCATGTATTGGTCGCAATGGAACTTTTTGTGCCTTGCATACCAAAGTTTACATCATGGGTACATACGTCTACATTCATACATCTACATGGTGACGAAGCTGGTCGGGAGAGACTTACGTATCATATGAGAATAAATTCTAGAATTATGAAATAGATATTTTGAGCCTCTTGGGGACGCAGTCTGTCTTATTCATATTTCGATATAACTATATACATTCCTAGGTGGTTATTGATCATTGCAAAGAAATCCTAGGCGGTGATAGACTGGATACTGCCCAACGTAGTCGGCCCCTGCCTCATTCAGCGTTGGGAACAGGTGAAGGCCATCATCGCTTGGGAGTACGCTGGCTACTTTCCCAAGGAGTTTGAAGGCATGCTTTTTCGCCGCCCCCGTCCCTCGGTTGCGTTGGAGAGGGAGGTCAATGATGAGAAACAACTGCTAGACATCATGCACAAAAATGTGGCGAAATGACGGCATGCTTGTGATGTATTGTTCAGCCAAATGGGGTTGATGTTGAACTCAGCCACAATCTTGGTGAAGGCGCACTTCTGACCTTGAGCCTCGATCTGTGGGAAGACTCTAAAATTAGAGACCGGCTGTGTCAATAAAATAGAACCCTGCCTAAGCATCCAACAGTAACCAGGAATAGCATCTATTTGCATCGGCGATAAGCAGTTTGTAGTACTGGGATCAGAGGCACGCCGCGGAGTCAAGAGAGGAGCGCCTCGCGTGAATCCAAGGTTCAGTAGAATGAGCGGATAATAAAAGCACGTCTGACAGTTAATAAAAAGCATCCAGCAGCAACCGTGGATCTACATCACTATATTGGCATCGGCGACAAGCGTCGTATTGCAATCAGAAGCACGTCGGAGTTAATCCGCACACTACGAAAAGAGCGACTCACGCCAATACAGGGTTCAGAAGAATACGTAGATAGCAAAAGCACGTTTGGATAGTAGAAACGACGAATACAAGACATCTAACAGTATCTGAGTCGGCGATAAGTAGCTTCTAGTACTCGACTCAAAAGCAGGCCGCGGAGTTAATCCGCATGCCAAGAGAATAGGTGGATAATAAAAGCACGTTTGGCCAGTATAAGCGATGAAAAGAGGGTCGCTACAAGTCATACACAATGTTTCGCTTAATGAGCATCACCACATACATCGGGTAGACACTCGGCCAAACCTCTCAGATGCACTCTTGGCATAACCAAGCCTCAAGATCTACGTCCATGGTAACATCGACGACGCGCGGCGCTGCGAATTGCCTCCAACGATGCAGCTTCCGAGTTGGAGACTGGAAAGATGATGGAGTTGCAAAGATGTCCTGATTCACAGGGAGAAGTGCATATATAGCTGGCGATCTGGCCTCTGAGATGGACATGGAGACAGACTCAGCGCCATTCTTCGCATCCATCTTTCTCTACCGACTCCGACCATCAGCATGAAGTCAATTCTCAACCATGCCGCCCAAGCCATCATGGCATTGGCCGCTGCGTTGCCGGCCTCTGCGCAGAACTTGTCCTACGGAGCTGACAACTTTTACCGTAGCGAGCAGGTCGCGATCCAGCCCATCTCGTTCAAGTCGGCCTACAACGCGACCATTGTCGGCAACCTCTTTACTCGCAAGAACATGAGCCTGAGCGCTTCCTCACCGGCCATCGTGGTCGGCCACCCCATGGGCGCCGTCAAGGAACAATCTGCCAACCTGTACGCCACCAAGATGGCCGAGCAGGGCTTCGTCGCCCTCACGCTGGACCTCCCCTTCTTTGGCCGGAGCGACGGCCCTCAAAGCGTCGTCTCGCCCGATGTCTACACGGAGGCCTACCGCGCGGCGGTTGACCACCTCGGCGCGCACGCCTTCGTCGACCGGGAGCGGATCGGCGCGCTCGGCATCTGCGGCTCCGGCGGGTTCGTCATCAACGCGGCCAAGATCGACGCCCGCATCCGCGCCGTCGCCACCGTGTCCATGTACGACATGGGCGCCGTGGCCCGGAGCGGGCTGCGGGGGGCCGTGTCGGCCGAGCAGCGCAGGCAGGCGGTCGCCCGCACGTCGCGGCAGCGCTGGGCCGAGGTGGACGGCGCCCCGGTCGGGTACTCGGACGGGTTGCCGAGCCGCATCACCAACGACACGGACGCCGTCACTCGTGAGTTCTATGACTTTTATCGCACCGCCCGTGGCGAGTTCACGCCCGAGGGGTGGCCGCGCAACCAGACTATCTTTCGCACGACGACGAGCAACATCGTGTTCCTCAACTTTTACCCATTCAACGACATTGACACCATCTCGCCTCGTCCTCTTCTCATTGTCGCCGGTGACCAGGCTCACTCGCGAGAGTTTAGCGATAATGCCTATGATGCTGCTGCCCAACCCAAGGAGCTCTACTGGGTACAGGGAGCAAGCCACACCGACTTGTATGATCGCACCGAGATCATTCCGTTTTCTAAGCTTGTCGACTTCTTCCACAGCAACCTCGCTTAAAGGGTGTCGTTTTTGAAAGACTGCCTATCTTGAGATTACAGTTACTTGAACCATTGCGGTGTCTACTCTTCTTTATCGTGTACTATAACTTGCTGCTATTTTGCTGAAAATTGCTCGAAACATTCCGACAGCGCTTAGCTTTAGCACAGCTTCCTTCAAAAAATAATAAAATGAAGAAAAAATCATTTCCGTCCTCTCCCTTGAACCTATAAATCAATTCTGCTGCCTATGTAGCAAAGGACACACATATTATGCTAACGCCTATTTAGGCAACAGCTGCCAGCTGTACCCGAACCGTAGTATTTAAAGGGCCTATGTAAATTACGAAAGCCCTCTCTCGATAGCTCTCAGCAATATCTCAACTCGCAAGCCATGCATCTACTCATCCTAGGCGGAACTCACTACGTCGGCCGCCTTGTCGCAGACGAGGCTCTGGCTCGCAGCCACCAAGTCACCGTCTTCAACCGCGGCAACAAGCCGGCCCCGCGGGAGCCCGATCCCTGGTCGGCGACCGTCTTGCCGAGGACGGCTACGCCGCCCTCGACGGCCTCTCCTTCGACGCCGTCGTTGACACCTGGGCCGCCGACCCCTCCGCCGTGAAGCGCACCGTCGCCGCCCTCCGGGACCGCGTGAGGCACTACGCCTTCGTCTCCCAGCCTCAGCGTCTACGACCACAAGGCGTCGCCCGCGCCGTACGACGAGACCTCCGCGCTGCTCGACGCGGACAAGGCCCCCGTCCCGCCGTACGTCAAGCACAAGCTGGACTCCGGAGCGCGAGGCCGCCGCCTCCGGCGCCGCCGACCCTCATCGTCCGCCCCGACGCTCGCGCCGGGGCCCGCGGATTTTGTCGCTGCAGTTCATCGACGGGCGCGACCTGGCGGCATTCCTGGTCGACGGCGCGGAGCGCCGGCTGGAGGTCACGTTCGACGCCGTCTCGGGGCGGGGACACGTCACGCTGAAGGGGCTTCTGGCGGCCGCCAACGAGGAGCGCGGGCGGCAGGGCGGAGCTGCGCTGGGTGGACGGCGAGGAGGTGGCGAAGTCGACGGCGGGGAGGAGGATGGAGATTCCGATGTTGGTTCCCCAAGTCGTACGCGTTCATCTTCCAAAGCACGGGCGAGAGGGCGGCCGCGGCGGGACTGAAGATCCGGCCGGCGCTGGAGACGGTCAAGGATACTTGGGAATGGGTGAATGCCAGCGGTTGGAAGATCGGAGACGGTCCCGCGGGCATTCCGGAGTATGTCGAGGCTGACCTTGTTGAGAAGCACGGTGGTGGATTGAACAAGGCATGATGAGCTCACGTATTTACTATCCTTTTTCTACTTGGATACATACACAGTCCGCATTCCTCCTTAGTGAGAGACCTTGATCTGGTAGAAGTGAACCTCGGTAGGGCCGCTCCCTTGGTTGTAGTTGCCGGCCTTGAAGTAGCTCTTGGGCGCGTTGAGCTTGTGGGTGTCCAGCTTCTGCAAGGCCTTTCCGTTGATGCTGACCTCCAGCACGTTCTTCTCGTAACGGATCTCGTACGTGAAGCGCTGGCCCCTCGGCACGTGGTCCACGTCCACGCGCTGCTGCTTGCAGCTGTTGTCCGCGCACAGCTGCACGCCCATCTTGAGGTCGCCCGCCGCGTTGTAGTACAGCTCCGCGACCGGCTTGTGCGAGACGCTGTCATCCACGTGGATCTGGCCGACGCAGATCTCGCCAGTGTTCTTAGTCACCTTCAGGTCCCCGAAGAGCCGGTTGCGGTCCGCGCGCGGGTCCCAGCTCGAGGGCTGGCTCTCGCGCAGCTCGCACCGGCAGTGGTCGCTGTTCGGCGTGCTGACGCAGTCCGAGTTGCTCTTGTCGCCGGGCACCGTCATCACGAGCGCGCCGTCCGCCTTATCGGTGAAGAAGTACCTGGCGTTGGTGTAGCCGTGGCAGTCGCTGCCGAGCTGCCCGGCCCGGATCTCGGTGGGGTGGCCGGGAGTGCCGGAGGGGAGCTGCAGCGTCCAGTGGGAGAGGTCAAAGTTGCCGCCGGGAGCGCAGTTGGGGTTCAAGGCGACAGACAGGGAAATGCTGCTAAAAAGCAGGGCGGTGTTGGTGAAGTGCATTTTGGGCTGGAAGAGGCAGATGAAACTGTAGTGAGGCTGGCTATGGAGAGGCTGGTAGAAATACTCGATTTTCACTAAGGAAAGCCTGTCCTCTTTATAGCTTCGACGTACAAAACATTTTCCCATTCAAGACATTACAATGCGGTGTACTTGAGCTTGTGTCTCTGCTTCCGCCCATCATTTCTCACGTCAGCAGCAAGGCTACATGGCAATGGAGGCTCAAATCTCGGCAGTGCAGATCGAGACTACAAACAACCCCGACGCTAATAGTGAATCCATCATCAGTTTTCTTATTCAAGTGCGAATTGGCCACCTCGTACTACTAAATATTGTCCTTGTTCCGATCAGATCCAAGCGCGGCTGCCAATGTCATTACACGGGTACTCATTCAGAAGTACCCCGTCTCGCACTTACTTTTGACCCGTGTACCTGAAATCTGATGTATTTGTTTGCCATGGTTGTCAAGAAATTATCCGTCCGTTGACAGCTCCTCACTACGTGGCGCGGCATCTCGTTGGTGGAATTAATATACCCGCTGACGGGACGGCGACACAAGTCATGGCTGCTGATCGCCAATTCAATACCATTGATCTGTATACTTGACTTATTTCTAGTAATAAATCATACTACCATCGTACGGAACAATTAAAATTGCCATACTTGAGTAAACTATGATTTCGCAAGTCTAGATGTGTCTGTTGTTAGTGGCGTAGCTAGACACTAGCCTCGCCTCTATTAGTTGTCAGGCAGGATCAACGTATCTGAGCTGAGCAGCCAGCATGCTAGCCCACGGGCAACAAAAATATGGCCTTCTATATCTTTTTAAACCAAAAAGAACTCTCTCTTTTTTCTATTATTCCGCTCCAGCTCGGGGTAGTTGGTAGGCGACTGGTGTCTGCATCCAATGTTTTGCAATGAGAAAAGAAACGGTATTATTGTCTTATAAAACAAATAGAAAACATATATACGAATCAATCAATTCCACTCAAATCATCTCCAATATTCAATACCTGCCTCGTCATAATTTGATGAGGCCGCCCTGGAGCCCAGGGTCGGGAAGCATCCAGCCGGCTCTGCCCCACCCCCACCAAAAGCCCAAAAATCACCAACTTCACTCCACACACTTCGATTGCCACATATTCCATCATCACCCTTTCACCTCCCACACACATCACACAACCCCTCCACAGCCGACACAATGGCACATCCAAGAATAGAAGATGTGTCCGACAGCGACCCGGACATGGTCTCAGACCCCGAAGACTTCGACATCGACGACTTTGACGACACCAACATCATGCAACGAGTCGAGCCCAAAGCCGCCTCCGCCGCCGCCCCTCCTCCCTCCTCCTCCTCCTCCTCCGCCGCCGCTGCCACCGCCGCGCAGCAGGCCATGCAGCAGATGATGCTCAACTCCAACAACATGCGCGCCGTCACCGCCGACGAGCGCGCCTCCTACGCCGGCTACCAGAGCCTGTACCCCGTCTACTTTGACGCCGAGCGCAGCCGCGCCCAGGGCCGGCGCGTCGCCGCCGCCCTCGCCGTCCGCAGCCCGCTCGCCCGCGACATCGCCGACGCCTGCTCCCGCCTGCGCCTGCAGGCCGTCCTCGAGCCCGACAAGACGCACCCGAAAGACTGGGCCAACCCGGGCCGCGTCAAGGTCGCCCTCAAGCCCAACGCGGGAAACGACAGGATCGCGAACAAGCACCACCTCTACCTGCTGGTCGCGCAGCACCTCCGCGAGAACCCGACGACGGAGCGCTCGGCGGGCTTGCGCGTGAGGATGGGCGGGCAGATCCACCCGCCCGAGGACAAGCCCTATCCAAAGCCGGCGGCACCGAGGGGGTGGAGGATCAACGAGTACCTGCCGTACATGAGCGCGGCGATGACGGGAGGTGGCGTCTCGGAGAACCTGTTCAAGGACATCATGAAGGAGATGCAGGGCGGCGGCGACCCGATGGCCGCGCTCATGGCGGGCGCCGGCCAGGCCGGCGGCCCCAGCGCAAGCGCCTCGGACGACGGCGGGAAGAAGAAAAAGGACAAGAAGAAGGGCAGGGCGTGATGTGCATAGGGAGCGCACGTCAGACACGAACAAGTATGAGACGGAGGACTGGCTAAATAGCTGATTGCATGACTGGGAAAGGGGCTTACTTATCCCATGCTTGACTGCGTTTTTCATCTAGAGAGGGGCATCTCTTGATAAAAGTTGTCCTATAACGTGGAAACATGGTATGGACTCTTGCTATATTATGCGAATATGCGAGACATGATTGAGACAAAAAAAAACATGATAAAGTGTATATGATATAACGCCCAACGGGTATCTATCTCCCACCTCCTTGGCTTTCCCATGCTTGTGACCAACAAGATCTCTAATCAGAATCATGTTCTCTTTTGTAAACATACAGACTGCCTCCCCCCAGGGCTCAATCTTATACAGCAGCAACTCTCGCACTCTGTAATACATCCCATTCACGCGATCCCACAATTTGCACCCGGCTGCGTGTGCCAGATTTCAACATCTTGCCGTCCGGCCCAGGTAGTCTGATTTGCAGTCGCGCAACTGGTCTCAAACGAGACCCGTCCACGGCAACGCCGAGGGCGGGCAGTGCAATAGACTCGCTCTTCCTCGCCACCGAGTCTTGCCACGACTTCCACGCGGCAAAGTCCTCCGTCTGCTTGGCTGCATGATACTGCGGCGTCGTCTTCGCTGACCGCCATGCAAGTCTATCCTTGGGAATCGAGCCATAGTTGAATATGCCAGCCGACGATGTCATCTTCACAAGCTCACTCAGCGCATCTTTGCCTTCAGCAATCACCAGGGCTTTACGCTGCTCTGCAGCACTGGTGGGCTTCTTCAAGGGCTCGGCGAGCCAGTCGTAGTTTTGTTGCTCAGTCAGGCGGGCACGGCGGTTATCCTCACGCAAGTAGCGCACGGCAGATTGTAAGCTTTCAATCTCATTCTTAAGAGCATCCATCTCACGCGCTGTAGCGACGGCACGTTCTTGACCAGCCTTGTTGCCTGCAGCACCCGCGCCGTCTGCGTACGCGCGGCTGTCACTTGCAACCTTCTTCCATTTGTCCCGCTCCGATTCGAGCATCTTCAGCTCTCGGTCTTGCTTCTCAATATCATCCTTGAGACTGGCTGCCTGTTCCGTAGAAGCTTCCAGGTCCTGTTGCAGAGCATGAATACGTTCAACGTTGGTCTGTGCATCGCGCATGCGGGACTCGAGTGTCTCGATTTTGAGAGCGGCGGTGCTGAGATGCTCGTCACGCTGGGCAATGGTTCGGCGAGCTTCGCCGTGCTCCTCCTTGAGTCGTCTAAGCTCTTCCTCGGCATCAATGGGAACAGCCTTTAGAGCCTTCAGCTCCTGCGAGCGGAGCTTCCACGGCGCCGGGCTGACGTCAAACTCGCGGGTCTGGCTGAGATCTGTAGCCAGGCCAACAGCTTCGGAAACCAGAGCCTGGAGGTTCCGCAATTGAAGAAGGTATTGAGAGAACATGTCCGATTCACTGCAAAATGTGACTTCCAGTACCGCCGCATGAATGGCATTTTGCACATCAGAGTGTGTGAATGGATCAGTTCGTCCTTCATCTTGCGTAAAGAGTGTGTGGAGAGCTGTGCCTATCCTGCGAGACAGAACAGCGATGCCTTCGCCGGCAGTTTGGCAAGATTCAAACAAGTCGCGAGTCTCCGGTGGCAAGGAGAGTGACCTTGTCTTCAGGTCTTCCAATGCGCGAACAGCCTTGCCGGCAATGACCTTGGTACTTCGGGTTTGGGTGATGACAGTTTCAAATTTCTTGGCCAACAGCTGCGTCATCTCCTCATCGGCGCCGTCGACAGAGGTAGCCCGTTCGACCATGACACGCGTGGCATTGAACGAAATTGCGGCAGACTCTAGATGGCTCTGAACAACAACCGCCTTCATATGAGACTCATCCGCGTATGCAGGAGCATCATCGGCAAGGTGGACCTCGCCGAGGTGAGACATCAAAGCGATGGTTCGCTGTAATACTTCAGCACACTGCTTCTCCTTGAGTTCGTCCTTGCGCAGACTATCAATCCAGCCGTTAAGTGCACGCTCAACTGGTTCCACTTCGAGCAAAGCATTCCGGTAGTTGCCAAACTGTGTCATAGAGCAGTGGCTCATGTCGTTGAAAAATCGGTCGCACATTGTCGCGACCCAGGTCAGCTTATCAACCACATCACAGCCAGCAAATAAGTCGTCCTCATGACCCGGCTGCGGTTGTCCGTTGAGTTTCTCCTTGATGAACCCACTAAGCAGGTTGGACTTGAATGCAAGCCTGCGGAATCGGAGGAGTGCGAGGACGGAGTCTTGCTCTTCTTTGTACGTGTCGGGCAGGAAGAGCTTGACGATCTCAAGGTGTTGTTCTGCCTCTTGAGCCTCGAGGCGTCGCATCTCGAGATCAATTGTCTTGACTTGAGCCTTGGCAGCTGAGATCTGCAGTTTCATGTTAAGATCCATCATGGCGCGCGAACGGTCATTCAGTTTCTCAGATTCGCCCTCTGTGACAGCCTGCGAGGCTCGCATATCGTCCAGATCCGTCTGCAAGTTCGTGACCAGCTCACGGAATCTGGACAAGGTGTATTCCATGTCCTCGAAATTCTCCTCCTGCTGGGCGGCTCGGCGAACTTGCTCGGCAATGACACTGTCTCTGAAATCGAGCTCTTCCTGAAGCTCTTTTTCATTCTGCACGTGATTGATTTCGAGCTCGTCGTTGATTTCCTTCAGACTCTCCAGATCCTCAATTACAGCCTTCAGCTCTTCCATCTGCTCTGATAGGCTCATGTTTCGTTCGGTAAGGTCTTCGATCATGTCTTCGGCACCAAGAGCAGTATCAAGCTGCGAGCGAAGATCATCGACCGCGGCCTCGGATTGCTGCAGCTTTTCCTTGGTCTTCTCATGCTCTTCTTTGGTATTACCAAAGTCGCGAACATCTTCTTCCAGAACAGCGATTTGGGCCTTGAGGTCTTCTTCTTGTTCGTGAGTGATGTCTCTCAGTCGAATCAGCGCCTCACGGAGACGCTCATTGGTCCGCTCCATCTGCATCCAATTGGCACTGGTTTTCTCGTCGGGTGTCATCCCTTTGCTGTACTCTGCGTTTTCCTCGCGAAGGATTTCGACCTCCAGTTCGAGCTCTTCGGCCTTTTGCTGCACAGCTTCGAGCTCAACCTTGAGCACCTCGTAATTCTCCTCCGCCATTTCTCGATCAAGGGTTGCCAGCTCCAAAGCGGTATCATGGTCAGCTTGAAGAGCCTCCACCGAGTCAAATCTCACTTCAGCTTCTTTTAGTTGCTTTCTGAGTTCGATTAATTCTTGTTGTTGTGGTTGGTACTTTGATTGCAGCTTCTGGATAATGTCGGAAAACTTGTCTCGTTCGCCTTGGACCTTGTCCAATTGCTTTAGTTTATCACGGTCTTCCTGGCGCTTTCGTTCCAAAACTTTTAGCTTTGCCTTCAAATCCTCAACTTCCTTGTTCAGTAGACCGCCAGATACTGAGCGGGGCATGCCGACCGGAGTAGCTGGCTTTTGCGCTGCCGAAGATGCGGCAGCCAGCTTCTCCAAGTTGTTTGTTTTAGCCAAAACGGGACTCTTTGGTTGAGGTGACAATATCTCGGCATCGCTTTTTACAGGCGAGTTTGGGGCAGTTTCGCCGCTCCGTGAGCCTGCATTGCCCTCGTAGCCAGCTTGTGAGTCGGCCGAAGGGCGTCGACCGGAGTCCGAACGCCGTAGGCCTGCAAGACCGGGAGCTCTACCGCTTGCTGAACGGGTGTGCGATATACTGCCTCGTGAGGCGACCGAAGATACTGAAGCTTGTCTCGTGGTACGCGACGCAGGGGCTGCGGGAGGTCCCATAGACGTCCGCTGAGCCGGAACTGCGGTGCGAGTTCGCGCTCCAGCCGAGGAAACCCTTGCGTTCGATGGTGTCCCGGTTCGTGAAGCTGCGGCGCTAGATGCACCGCTCAAAGGTTTCGTTGGAGACTTCGTGGGAGACTGTGTACACATCAGCAAAAGAGTCGCCTTCGAGTTGCGATTGTCCCTACAGCGGAGCCCGGAAGTCTTCCGATGCTGGCAGGACGGGTCGTTCTAGAAACCGGACTTGGGCTCGGGGCATTAAGGCTCTTTCGTCTATTCAGAGTGGCATCGTTCCCGATGGAGACACGGTTGGCGGCTGGATTGATGAAGCTGCTTGGCCGAGCAGCTTTCTTGACTCCGGGCTTAACAGCGGTAGGGGGCTGAGCGACGATGGTAGCCATCATAGGCTTGACAAACATGCCATATCCCATTGGGCAGTCAAAATAGCGCTGTCCCTGGACACTGCCATCGTTTTTGCCCGTCTTGTCCTCGAGCTCGACCCCTATCCACTCGCCCACCTGGAAGCTGGTTTGTCCAGCGAACCGGACCGTGGCTTTGCGGCCATCGTTTAGCTGCACAATTTGCCCTGGTTTAAAATCAGGCATTATGAAAATTCGGGCGATAGCAGGTGCATCGTGGCGCCAGCGCGTTCGATATTGTTCCCGGCGAAGAGGTAGTGTTGACAAACAGGCGTACTTTGTTGATAGAACAAGGCAACAGCTTGACTCCTTACCTAAGAAGCTCCAAGTGGTGGTCACTGGAGTCCACTAATAATCAGTGCTCTGCACCAACGCGTCCACCACCACAATTTGACGCGCTCCACCTGTATTTTCAGGTACCAGAATCCTCATGCCTCAGATCTGAGGCAGCAAGGCGTCTTGGCAGCCATCTGGTGGAAGCCACACCACACACAGGAGAGACATTGCGAGACACGGAGAGATGATATCACAAAGTTGGCTATATCCGATTCCAAAAATAGCCATTGTACCTTCATTTATAACTCCATTGATTCCGCCCAACTCCATGACGCATGGCAGGAGTTGGGGTATGTGTCTATACACCATAGATGCTATTATACTGCGCCAGGCCCGCCTGCCTTCGACATCCAAAACGTCAAACCACGATACCCGCCTAGAACGAACGCCTCTCATCATTAGCCACTTAATCGTCTCTCCGGCTGGGAGGTGCGACATTTCGGAAGCCACCATCCCTCATCCATTCGACCAGTTCGAAAGCCAACCGTCGCTCGGTCGCTTCCTCAACATTCGTGCCGCTTGGAACTCTGACGGCAATTAGACCCATATGCTTTGCAACCTCCACGGCTCCAAACTTATTGATCTCATCTTCGTCGCTCGCCTGCACGTATACCACCAAATCAGCATTAGGTATCCCGCGCCACATATTCGCCATCCATTGCCAGTGGTCCTCTGGCTGGTATTGGTCCGAATTAGGTGTGTTCAAGGCGAATTTGTCCGAAAGCGTCAAGCTATAGCCTTCCTTCATGAGAGCTACCGGCATCTTTAAAGACAAGGATGTCACCATCTCGATCCCTTGCGGTGCCTCGGATCCCCGGGGATGCCCAGCATCCCTATTCGATGCTTCGCGAGTGTCGCTCGACGGAGCACGCCCGCTCCTGCCCATGACGTGAGCAGTTATTTGCCTTGATTTCTCTTGCCAAGAGAGGATTGTGCGTAAGTAGGCCGAAAATCCTTCTTCCGACACCATGGACGAAGATCTGCCTACGTCGACTGTTTCCGGGTCCGGGACCCAGGCGCGAAGCGACACTTCGCCGCAAGCAAGCAAGGCATTTTCAACCGCTTGTCCGACATGGCGGAGAATTTGGGGATTCGATCCCTCTACAGCAATGACAGCACCTCTGGCTTCGACTTGTGATCTATCATGCTCGCCTGAATAAATGGGGAGAGGTCCGGAAATCCTTGAAAGCGCTTCGAGTTTGCGCTTGAAAGGAATAGACATGACTGCTTCTTCCAAATTGCTGGGTCGCTTTTCTTGAGGAGCTGGAAGAGAAAACACAGGCGCTGGAAGTATGGGCTGTCGCATATCCAAACTTTGCGTACGAACTGGCGACGGTGAAACAGCTGTTTGCAGTGGTGGGAGTTTCAGAGACTCGTCAAAGCCACTGTGCCGCCGAGCCGTCTCTTGATCTGCCCAAGGAACTCCTCCAGGAGGGCGTGGTGGCGGCGGCATTGGCCCGGTGTGTGACCGAGGGATTGTGCTGAGTTCTGGTAGCGACGCGTGAGGATATGGACGCATTGGTTGGTAGGGACCGCCTTCAGGCGATGTACGCATCGGGTCTGCTGGCAAATCTCCAAATGCTCCATGTAGTCGACCGACGGCGTGGTAGTTGCCTGCTCCATTAGCCCGCCGACGCTTTGCCTCAGGAGAGCTCAGATCGTCTTCATAGCCTCTCACCGGAGGTAGCTGCTGATGGGGAAGTGGCAGCGTGCTGACGGGTGACAAATCCATGCTCGATCTCCTCGGTGCCGATGCATCGATGCTGGGTAGAGTAGGTTGGCCATGAGGACCGATCTTAACAGAAGGAGGTGTTGCGACTGGCGTTGAGGGCGTTCTCGGGGTGGCAATGGTTCGTCCGTTGCATTTCATGCAGCGACCAGGCTCTTCTCCAGACGGTGTGCTTGGCCAACTGCCTTGAACTTTGCTGCCTCTTCTAGGTTGGTAGCGGTAGTTCGGGTATTGATGTTGGTGTCGTTGCTTCTCTTCTTCGGCCAGCTTCTTCCACTTTTCTTTTATATCTTCGGCCTCATGTTTCCATTTCTCGCCAATGATTTTGGAGATCTCCGGGTTTGATAGCTTGGGGTTGTCAGCTGTCACTTGCGACTGGTGATGCTGACGATAGAGGATGAATGCTACATCAAGGTTAGCGGAGAACGGAAGTGGATTATGGTTTCAAACGCACCATTACGAGGACGGGGTATCTTGGGTGTTGGTGTGCAAAGGCATATGGCTTCTCTGGAGGATTCTGGCTTCATAACCGGCCCTGCTGTGTTGATGCTCAGTTGCTCATACAGGCCATGTGTTTGGTCAGCAGAGGTCAGGGACGCAGCCCGTTTTCCGGTGAAGCTTGAACTACCAGGGCTCGGTGACCGTCGAGGTGCAAAGACACCTTGCGGCCCGCCTACCCTGACAGCCCTATCAAGATCCATGAGCTGATGTGGCGCCGTGTCATGTATGGGTCTGGATGAAAAGGACAGGACTTGGGTCATATTTGAATGTCAGCAGAATGGCGTTCCGCTGATGCTTTTAGAACAGCAAGGATCATGCGACCCGGGAAGCCGGCTAGCTACCTGAAGCGTGGACGGTGCGAGCTCGTGTCGAAACGTGCTCAGATTTGGCGGCTGAAGACAGTTATGATGTAGGACCAGGCTGCTGGAGAAGACCGGTTGTTTGGGGCTGCGGGGGTGGGAGGTACAGTTTTGGTGCGGTCGGGGGAAGTTGCTGAGATATGTCTGCGAAACAAACTTGGGGATGCACCGGGCCAATCCGTCGCAAGCCTGCCAGCGCGGTAGCAATAAGAATGTTGAAACAAGTTGTCGTTATTCGAGAGGCGAGCCGGTCATCGTTGGACCCAGCAGAGGGCGATTATTGGTGGGCGGTTGAGTCGACCGGGGTGAGGAGGCTGGAAGTCAACGCGGAACGAAACGTCTCTTTGAACGGCATATGTTTGCGTACAACCCTGCGTCGGCAGAATACAAGGTCAAGGATCGGAGGGGCCAAAAGCTGGTATAAGCTCAAGGCGAGGGGGACAGCCAGTTTGCGCGTGCAGGAAGAGCCGGGATGGTGCAGGAAGGTCAACGATTAGGCGCTTGTTAGGAAGTGAGGCAAGCTGTTCTTGGCCCGGCGAGGGAAGGGCGAGGACGGCAAGGCTGACGGGCTAAGAGCCGGGAAGATGGGCCGAAAGAGAATGGAGAATGGACGAAGAGACAGACAGACTAGGGTGGACAAAAACACCGACTCTGGCTGCTGATCCGGCAGGCAGCACTGAATTGGAAACCGTGAATTCGGGATGAGCGGGTATACACGACAAGTTGGGAAAAAAGAGAACAAAAGGATTCACAGACAAAGGTGACGCAGGAAACAAAAGGCACCATGGTACTCCGTACACCATGGTATTATATCATCAAGAGGGAAGGTTCAGGCCGTGTTCCAGCTAACCAGGCCGGGGGCCAGCATACCCCGTTCTTGTTCAACTGCGCCAAGGTGCCTTTGCCTGGCTGGGCAAAAGCTCTCGTTGCCCGAGTGTATGGAGAATACTAGACGGACGGGGGAGAATAACGGTGTCCAAGACAACACCACCGGCGCTCGTCCTCCTCCTCCACCTCCTCTTCCAGCAATTCCTAGGGTCTGCCATGGCACCCAAGCTAACGGCATTACAGATTACTATGAGATCTTTTTACTCAAAGACAAATACTTGCCCCCGAAAAGCTTGTCGACCTTTCCGTCCGTCCACCCAAAAGCAAGACTCCCACCCTACCCTAGCCTCCCCAGCCTCGCCAACGGACGACAATGTGGGCGGCGCTCAGGAATGTGCGGCGACGTGAGACCCTCTGTCTGGAATGCGCGGCCCTGAGACAAGAAAAAAAGACGAAAAGCCTCACACCCAAGGACCAGGCCCACCACCGCCCACCACCCCCGAGGTGAGGGTGTGGTGGTTAGGCGCCCCAATTCTCGTCGACATCGATGCCGTGTTCTCAACAAGATACCAAAGTCTTCCTTCACACGTGATGTGGTCGGAAGGTTTGCTACTCTGCTGGTCTTGCTTTTGCTCTCCCGTGTGGTTCGGCGGCGGGTAAGCTTTCTCAAGGGAGGGTGTGGACCGGGCCGGATGCGGTTACCTTTTACCCTGATCCGGAGAGCTTTGTTTCCACGACGCAAATGGACAAAGCTCGAGAAAGGAAAAGAGAACAAGAAGGCAAGAAAAAAGGTTAATCATGAAAAGTTACGTGTCCCAAAAAATGGGACGGGTGGACGGGGGGGGGGCGAAAGACAAGAGGCTGAATGGGCACAGTCCCTTTTCGCGTCGAACTGAACTCGAAGGAGCCTTGTTAGCCTCAATCCCCGTTCCAAAACGGTAAGCCTTGACTCACCTGCTTCCCTTGTCTACAGATGGTACTTGCTGCTTGTTGTCTTTTTCTGGGTCTTACCAAGCCGCCCGTCCGTTGAAGATGGCAGCGGTAGCAAAAAAGTCAAACGGGAAATGAGCCGGCTGTCGGCGTCCTCTCCCGTTTCGGCAGGCCATCCGCACGTACTTGGGGTGAGATTTGCCTTTTTTCTGTTTTCTATTCGTACATTCGTCGATGCGGGTTATGCTTTTCCAAATCATTTCTCTCTCCCTCCCCTGCCCATATGTCTTGGAAAGTGTGGGTGCCACCGGGGGGAATGGGCTGTTGTTGTTCATCCTGACTTGCATCACAACGACACGCCCTGTCGCTCGTCTCGCCATGGATGGGATACCGGTCGTCTGTTTGCTACGCAAGGGCCCCTGCTTAATTGTGATTGATGAGATCGGTGGCCAAGAGATTGCCGCGGTGGCCGCCTGCCTTGCCTTGCCTTGCCTTGCTGCCCTCCCTTGAGGCGGACCGCCTTCTTTGTCCTCCCCCCCCCCTTCCCTCGTGCCTGTGCTTTTCCTTGCCTCATTCTGTCGTGCATGAAATTTATTTTTAACAACAGCTCTGCAACAACACGCAACGCAATCATGATGCAGGAGCACAAAGGAGAAAGCAAACCTGGGGGCGGCGGGCATCTCGGCGTCCTCCCGCATTTCACCAGGGCGATCCCTTGGCTTTGTCGTCGAGTGACGCGCCCCAAAATAACAACAACCCCCCTTCCTTGCCCAACGGGGAGCCTCAACACATCTGCAATCTGTATCCGTACTTGACAGCATGAAACGGTAAGCACGAAAAAGAGCGTAACGGTGATTTTAACCTTGTTTTGGTTTCCTTTTTCTCCTCTCTCTTGCTTGCCCTCGTATTCCTTGCCGCAACTTTCTTTTTCCTTTCACCCAACCAGCGCTACGGCCCGTGATCGTCATCGACACTAATAGTAAGCGATCAACGTTCCTCAACGATCTATACTATCCGTTGTTATTGTCCTACATTTATTAGGACTACTCTTTGTTGTTGTCCATAATGAGAAGTATGATGAAGACTATAGCAGGTACAGTAGTACAACTAATAAACAAAATCCTTTGGGGTCGTGTTATTCTCTTTTCTTTTCAGTACCGAGACGCCGTCCGCCCAACTTGGGCAGTCTCGCATTTGAGTCGCCCCTCCCGTCCCGTCGCAAAAGCAATTTCCGCGCCGTGTGACTACCCATTCTCTCTCAACTTTTCTGTCTCTTGAAGTCCTCCTTCTCATCGCTTTCCCATTGGGCGAGGAGGGGGATGGCGGGAGCGGAGGGTGGGTGCCTTAACTTCAACTCATCTCTTTCACTCCCATGTCAACGCCAAAAAAAAATCATCCTTATTTTATCAAGGAACAAATCCTCCGTTGTTTCCCATTTCTTTCTTACAAAGACGGAAGACGTCTCCAGTTGTCTAGTCTAAACATCGATTCGGCAGGCTGTCAACTTCAAGACAGGTAGCCCCGGCCTGCTTCACTGCCAAGCAGCGTGGCACTGCGACGGGCGTCAAGGAACAGATCCTCGCACTCTGCCACGTCTTGGACGTCAATCTGGGAGCGACCGTTGGCCTTTGCAAGAATGCTGTTGTTGCGTGCTCTGGTCAGCGACAATGTCTCGGATCCAGTCTCACTTGTTGGGGTCAAGGCGGAGGGGCGACGGGGTAGACACGAGTAGGAGGGAAAAAGGGGGGTCGGAAAGAACTGGAGATTACAGCAACAAAGTGAAGCACAAGCCAGTTGGAGGCCGGTGAAGTGATAAAGAACAGAAGCTGGAAACAATGCGACATGGGAAATGGTACAGTGCGGGTCATTCTGAGAGAGCCATGTGATCAGGAGGAGATTTTTGAAGAGGGGCCACTTGGATCTTCTAGTTCATGGTTGCGCTGCAACAGGGAAATAAAGACCGGCAATAGTAATCGTGGTCACTTCTCTGCCGTCGAAGCACGATGGAGGAGACAACGCGTTCAATATGCGCCAAGCAGGTAGGCGAGTGGCGAGTGGCGGGTAAGAAACATAAAGGACGAGACTCACCTGGCAGGGGTCAGGAGTTGCAGGCAATATCTCAGACTGGTGCGCACACCGTGATCCGCAATCTTGTCGATGGCTGCATCGGTAATGGCAACGGCCTCGGTGGTGGCGCGTAGCTTGGCAATACGCTTAATCTCATCAGCCTCGTAGGGTGCCGTGGGGATGATCAGCAGGCGAGCTAAGAAGTCGCTAGGAATGCCGTGTGCCGCGACAATATCGTCGGTGCCTCGGATCTTGCACATTCCGCGGTTCGACGCTAGAACCACGATGGGCGCAATTGGCGATTCCAGGGCCCGGTTCAGATAGGTGAAGCATTCCACGTCGAGCATATGCGCCTGTCGCCCCAGATATGTTAGCTCAACGACCCTGCGACTAAATTCATCTCCGCCACCGTGTTTTGTGCCGGTTCTCGTTCCCTTTTTCCCATCTCACCCATGGGGAAATTGTTTTGGGAGTGGACCTCGGGGAGTAACACAAAGAAAGGGTTGTGCAGCACAGGAGCGGAGAATATTCATCTCAAACATCCTTCTTGTCTTACCTCGTCAATAAACAGAACTCCGGGGACGAGTTCAGCAACCCCCTGGTCAATGTATTTGCTGACCACCTTGTTGATTTCCATGCGCAACTTCTCGGTGATCTCCGTCATCTTTGGCTTCATCAACTGCCCCATCATGCTCATAATGTCTTGCCCGCCTTGCGGTCTGGCATTGGCGACGTCGAGGTCGTGCAGCGTCACGTCCTGGACAATTTCCTTCTTCTTGTGCACTTCGCCTTTGGGAAGAGGCACGTATTCCTCGGCTTCCAGGTCGAATTCGGTCGCATAAGCATCAGATCTGCCGACGCGCTTGCAGGCTCCCGTATTGGCTTCGATGTAGATGACGTCTCCGACGGTGACGCGCTCTTTTTGGATAGCCTCGTAGATGCTGGGGTCTAGACGCAGCTTCTTTTGTCCCTTGGCACTCTTGAGGCCGATCAGTAGCGTGCTAATCGTCTTGCCGTAGCCACCGAGCGGGTTCTCCGCCTCCTCGGGGGTGAGCTCTGTGACTTCGCCTTCGTAAACTTCCTTCGTCTCGCGGACCTTGAGACCAATGGCTCTGCGAAAATTCTCCATGAGCATCTCCGTCTTCTTCACTTCCGTCGAGTAGACTTCGCTGCCGACGATGGGGCAGAACGGGATCTTGGTACCCAGTTCTTGGCTAATGGCCAGCGCCAGCGCTGTCTTTCCAGTGCCGGGGCCGCCTGCAAGAAGAACTCCGCGTCCGGCCATCTTGTGAGCTCGAATTAGATCGACAACGACACCGCAGGCCTGTTACTCTTGCGTTAGCAGCCAACTTATCCGCAATCTGCGAGGATTTCCAATATCAGCTTTTCGTACCTCTCGAGCCTGTATTTGGCCAATGAACCCGCTGGCTTGCGACTCGGCCCGTCCATCTGACTTGAGGCCAAGGCCCTTGATATGTGTATGGGCTGCCGTGCGATTGTCGCGCTTGTTGCCCTTGACTTCACTGATCTGAACCATGTCGGCGGCGGCTTGACGAAGCCTCGAGATGTTGAAATAAACGTGGAATAGGAATCTAGGGCTTAAATACAATGCAATTCGACGTTTGGCTGCTGAAGAAGGGCGTGCTTTGATGCTGAAGAGCGTTTGCGAAGCCTCGAAATGTTTGCGATCCACCAGCACCTGGCGGCCCGTTGAAGCTGTCGCGACGGCCGCGAAAAAGGCTTGGGTCACGTGATGTTGGAGCTACCCTGTACCACGATCTTGCCTTTCTAATGAGTACACAACACACTCGCTTTGTTGATCTCTTTCGTTCAGTTTTCAGAGAATATATTTTTGAGTCCAAATCTACATTGCTTCCATGTACAATGTCGTATTGCGCCCCTGATGTTACCATAGACTTACACAATCAAGTCGGTCAAATAAATGATGATCTAGCTACTAGGAAACAAGGGTGTATAGGAGAGACCGAAAGATCACTTCACGTCGAAGTGAAAGGCAAAGAACAATGTAAAGGATACAAAGGATTCATGTACACGTCTATATTCATCAAGATCTACCGTGACCGGTATATATTGAGTTCGGTATTTGCACCGGCTCCACCACCATCCATCAACATAGGCGAACCTGTCTCATCCAGTAGGTTCTGTTGCGCCTCAGAATCTTCCACCTTTGTAGTAGCCTTGGGCGCCTTTTTTAAGAACATGACCCCGATAGCACTCCCCAGAATCAAGGCACATCCCAAGAAGCTGACAAGTCCCATCCTGTGGCCAAAGACCCACCAGTCGAAGCTCGCCGCAAACAACATGTGAGTGTATATCATGGAATTGGCCTTGTTTGACTTGTCCTTGCTAAGGCCGGCGGTGAGCAGGAACTGCATGATGAGGCCGAATATGCTGATCAAGATGATGAGAAAGACCTGCTTAAGTGTGTAGGAGAACTTCCACTGCAGCGTAGGCTGTGAAACATTCAACGCGGGCGCTGCGCACAGGATGATGGCGCACATGAGACTGCTGATGACCGCAAAGGCGTTGACGGAGATGAGCGGATGCGTCTGCTTGCCGAGAGCCCGGAGGGTCGTGAAGGCGCCCGCCGCGCCAAACACACCGAGGAGCGCGACGGCGACGGCGATGAGGCGCTCGCTCGCGGTTGCTTCGTGGTCCATGCCGGGAAGAGCGCCGGCCTCGGGCGTCTCTTCGCTGGACGTCGTGTCCGAGTTGGCGAACAAGGTCGCGGGTTGCGCGATGAGGACGACACCGAAGAAGGCAACCAGCGTAGCGAGCTGCTCCATCCTCGTGAACGGCTCGCGGAGCGCGAAGTAGCAGATGATGCCGGCGACGCCCGGCGCCAGGAAGGTGATGACGGTTGCGTCGGCGAGGGGTAGATACATCATCGAGTACCACATGCCGAATATGCCGAAGAAGCCAACAAATGAGCGGACGAAGAGGAGCAGGCGGATGCCCTTGTGCGGGATGGGAAAATCGGGAAAGTTAGCCTTCCACATGTATATCGAGCAACCGACGGCGCTGAGGCCTTGTCTATAAAACAAAAGCTGCACCGGATGCATGCCGTCTCCTTCCAACTCCATGATCCTGGCAGTGAGGTTCATGAGAGAGCCGAATAATTGGGCCAGCGCAACACATATGGAGGGTAGGTTATTTTGCCAAAATTGTCGAGCCAATGATGGTGGTTGTGTGAAGCCGTGCTGGCCGTCGTAGCTGCCGTACATGTCGTTGGGCGGGAGCGGTGACAACCGGCCACTGAGGATCGGGCTCGGAGTCAGTGCTCGAATAGCTTCCGGCACGAAGCCCCCGGATTTGGGGCCGAATATATTTGGCGACAACCCATTTTGCCCGACGGCTCCGGCACCTGTCGTTTTGCTGTCAAGCCCTGTCTTGCCTTGGGAAGCAAAGTCTTCCTCAGCGGTGGTACCGCAGCCGGTAGACATGGTGGGTGAGTACTGGCCGGGTGTAATAGCCGACGCCGACAAACCTTTTCAAGAGCAGAGCCGTAGACAATATTTGCTTGAGAACTGCTCAAGTCTTGTGGTCGTCAACTGAGTAGCCATGGCAGCAGTTGTCTTCCGAGAAGGGAAGAGAGAGAAGAGCAGGAAACGAGGCAGCGTTACCAGTCATCAACGAACCGGCAATAGACCAGGACGTGCCCAGTCAGTGGCGGTGGAGTCAGACTTGCTCATCCTATGAGCGGCGATGTTTGGTTATGGTTGCATATAGGATGGGGATGGCGGAGGAGACGGTGGGAACTGCACGGCCGCAACGACGAACGACAAGTAAGAATGCAACTTTTAGCGAGAAGCCCAAGAGCGTGGGGGGCCTTATTATGGGGAGGCTATGGTGCGTCGTGTGTTGGGCGGTTGGAGGTGGTTGCGGCCCGATATCGCTCTATTAAGTTGCGGCGGGGGATGCTGATAAACTCACTGCCAAAAATATGGCTGATCATTGTCGAGTTAGGAGTGACGCATGGTGGCTGGTTCCTTGGCGTATTGAACTGACAAGTCGGCTTCTCGAGGCGCCGGGCGGGTGTGTGGAAGTAGCCTCGCTAAGTTGCGAGCTAATTAACAGGAAGCAATAAAATATATTGCTGATATACACTCTTGCAAAAGTTTCTTTTTCTGCCTGTCGCGAGAGAATCATCTCCTCGTTGGCGCTTCTGGCTTTCGCGTGAAGTAAAAGCATGCCTAGTGGAGGCTCGCGTCACTGTGCCAAAGCCGTGGAAGCCACGCGATGAGAATGCAATGCCAGGCGAATCGAAGAAATGCTTCGTAAACTGTCTGATATTTTCTAGGGAGCAACCAATCAAACCATTTGCTCCCCAATCCGAACCCCAACCTGAACTCCATGCAAGTTAAAAGCAAACTGTAACAAGAGACTCGCTCTACGCTGAAGGGTGTATTGCCCATAAAAAAAATCGAATCGCCATCCTTTCCAGCTCTCGTATCGGCATTGCCGTCGGGGTATCACTTCTTCTTGCCCAAAGCATCCGCCTCGGCATCGTCGTCGTCGTCGGCCTCGCCAAGCTCCTCCTCGTTGTTGGCCGGCCTGCTCGCACCGCCGCCGCCGCCGCCGCCGCCGCTCGCCGCGGGCGCGCCGCCCTCTACTTTTTCGCGCTTCTTCTCCTCCTCAGCCGCCTCCTTCATGATGTCGTCCTCGGCGTCGCGCAGGATCTCGCGAGCCTTCTTAATCTCCTTTTGCTTCTCAAAGACTTCCTGCACCTTGCCGAGGAACGCCGGGTTCTTGCGGAACGCAAACTCAAAGTCCTCGTACTTGATCTTCTGACGGCCCGAGTACTGCGCGGCGCGCGCCGCCTCGAACGCGATGGCTTGCATGAAGTCGGTGAGGATCTCGTCGAGGACGCGGACGGTCTCGGGGAGGGGGTTCTTAACGTCGCCGTGTGCGTAGAGTAGCTGAGCTACTGCAAGGGGGCAGTTAGCAAATGACGACGAGAGGGAAGATGGCCGCGTGGGAGGGGAAGGAGGTGCTACGTACGCTCGTTGTGCGAAAAGTTCATCTTGCCGACATTTTTGCCAGCACGCGCTCGTGGTTCCATCTCGAAGCAGTTTGGAGGCGGCGCCTGACGGTAGCCACGCGCCTGAGTGGAGAGGAGGCTCTGCGAAATAAATGATCAAAGATCTGGTTATAAATACAGAGAACCGACAATTGCTTTTGCGGGCCTCGTGCAAGTTTGAAATGGATGAATCTGTACTGGGAGAAGTTGGCTTTTCAAGATGCCGGATGCTTTGAGATGTTTGGTGGGGCAGTTGTGGTCACAGTTGACGTACAGTACAAGCTGAGTCGGGCGCGGCGAATCTTTGGTCCCCTGAAAGCAACCGTAGCTCCAACAGAGGCCAGCGCATCTCAAACTTGGAGCTTTGCATTGCCGCCACGACCTCGTACAGGCCGCAAAACAAGACATAAATTTGGGCGCTGTCGCTTCGACATAGCAAAGATGGTATGCTGCCTTCGTGCATGTCGCGTTCTGTTCTGTCTGCTTTCTAACATGCCTACCAGTCCGCGCTCTTCAACTTCCAGTCGCTCCTCCTCGTCATCCTGCTGCTCATCTGCACGAGTACATACGTCCACCACTTTACGCCGGGCATTCTCGATAGGAATAAGAATGGGTAAGAAGGGAAACGAGACTGCGCAAGTAGGCAAAGCCTCTTCACAGAAAACTAATCACATGGCCAGCGTTACCGGCATCTTTTGGAAATGCGCGAGGATAGGCGAGAGACTCAGTCCATACATCAGCATCTGCTGTGTTGTCATGGCTGTATGCTGACCCGTTCCCTTACACTACCAGACAGTATACTGATATCGAAACAGGTTTCCATCTTCTTCGGATAGACGGCACATTCGGCGGCATTTTCTCGACTTGTTTCTTTTTTGCGATGCGGGCGTTTCGAGGGGCGGATACATGACTACTTACGAGGTTCCGAAATACATACTGTTGGGCGATCATCGGCACCGGGACTCTACAGCCACAAGCGGCTTAGAAAAGAGAATAAAATCCTAATTATTATACACGGTGCCTTTTGGCGCTGCATACTCGAGTGACGTGTGCTATGCTCCAATTAAAAAGATGCTGAAATCAAAGGGGCCATGGGTTGCAGATCCATTTTATACAAGGCGATGAAGAACCTCTTTGCCGGCGAGCCACCGCTCCAAGTTCTCGGCCGTCTCCGCATACCACCTGTTCATGAGACCCTCATCTACGTACCCCATGTGAGGCGTGGTGAGCACCTTGGACCGTCCCGCGACGCCCCATTGCTCGATGCGCCAGGGGCTCCTCTCCGGGAGGGGCTCCTCGTCGTAGACGTCCATGGCTATGCCGCGGATCTGGCCCTGGTGCGCCGCGTCGAGCAGCGCGTCCTGGTCGATGAGCGGCCCGCGCGAGGTGTTGACCAGCAGCGCGTTCGGCTTCATCAGCGCCAGCATCTCCGCGTTCACCAACCCCCTGGACCGCTCGCTCAGCACGTAGTGCATACTGACCACGTCCGCCTCGCGGAACAGCTCCTCCTTGCCGACCGCGCGAAAGGTGCGCTCGCCGAGCTCGTCCTCGACCGGCAGGCCGAGGCCGGCCGCCGCCTGGTCCGCGCGGTCCTGGTCCAGGTTCGCGCTCCAGCAGACGACGCGCATGCCGAACGCGAGCGCGCCGATGCGCGCGACGGCCGCGCCCAGCCGCCCCAGGCCGACGACGCCGAGGGTCTTGCCGGCCAGGCCCGTGGCCAGGCTGGACTGCCAGCCGCCCGACTTGACGGCGGCGTCGTCGATGGCGACGTTGCGAGCCAGCGCCAGGATCAGTGCCCAGGTGTGCTGCGTGGTCGGGTGGCCGCCGCCCTTCCGGATGTCGGCGGGCAGCGGCCTGCCGGCGGGCTCGGGCCGGTCGGTGCGGCCCTTGCCGGGGGCCGCGGCGACTGTGACGCCCAGCTCCCGGGCCGCCTGCAGGTCAAAGGTCTCGAACTGCGTGCCGGTGCAGAGGAGCAGCTTGAGGTTCGGTAGGCTGCGCAGCAGCTGGGCAGGAAAGGGGGTCCTCTCGCGCATGGCGGATATGATGCTGTATGGCCGCAGTTTCTCAGCCAGCGCCCTCTTCTCTTCGGCCGTGCTTTGAGGCACGTATGATTTGAAGATGTCAATGTTGATTTCGGCTGGGTTTATGTGGGCGAAGTGTGGTGGCGCGACGGAGAGGTAGTCATCCAGAATGACCATGGATGGCACCGCGGAGTTGAGGTTACGGCCTGAGTGTAGTTGGCGTCCATGACTGGCTGCCCGTGTGATGGATTTTAGAGCGATCCTTGATGCCATTTGGAAAGGTGAATAATTGGAAGCGAGGAGGGAATCGTGCGAGTGAAGTAGTGCCGGCGATGCGGCTGGGATGCAATGCGAGTATACAGGTGTGTGTGTGATTGGAAACACAGATGGGATTACAATAGCTTCTTTCTTATAGGTGGGTGGTTGAGAGCTGGTTGATGGCTTGTCTGTGTGCAAGTTGGTCGGCGAAAGTCGAGGATGCGATAGGATAATGCGGAGATGCGACGAAAACGCGGGGAAGCGAAGCCACCATTTTTAACTCGGAGAATCAGCGCCTAGTGCGGAAGCGTTGTTGATGAGCTTACGTTTTTTGCAATTGCAAGGAATGAGGGCTTTTTTATTCATTCATTGGTTCATGATGGTCATTTGGTGATTAAATTGGTTGGTCTGCTTTCTGTTCATGTTGCGGTAATGTTGGTATCGAGGTCCGACCTTGGTTGCCGCATCGTTCCCGCGCACGCACTGGTCACCGACTACCAAGCGATCGCCATCCATCCATCAGCCGTCTTGGCGTCAAGTCAGCCACCAACTCCTGCAAGCCTCATTCTGGATCGAAAATCGGCACACAGTCTTTCCTTCAATGGCAAGTCGTGACAATCTTGGTGCTACTGCTTTTGGAGATGATCAATTGCCTCTATACAGAGTTGTTACCCCGGGCCGGCTGCGACATATCCTCGCCGCACTTTATAATTTATTAAACAGAACCCTGTTCGAGCCCACCAGTTCATCTCCACCTTGGACAATAGTGTAATGCATCACGCGAGGTTGGGAGCCGACTTTTTCATTGTTCGGTACTTTGCGGCGAGCTCCCAGGCCCTCAACTCATTGCAGATATTATTCATCAGGGAAAATTATCCATGGCCAGTAAAAAGATCCACCGCCTACTCCAAGCCCTCGCGAACTGGGAGCGCGGCAACGGCCACACGTCGCCACACCCGAACGAGGCTGGCCGCAGCACGGAAATGGCCGCCATTCGAGATGTCTAATATAGTAAGTCAAGCGAGGGGCTTTCGTCCAGCCGAACCGGTGACCGGAACAAGAGAAATCCCATCTCATAAGCTGCGTGGGCAGAGAGAGGTGCTGAAGAAGGAGGACGGGACAAGGACGTGACTAGGCATTACGATGAGGAAGATTGGAGCAACAATGATATTACTTGGGCTAGGCGAACAATAAAGAGTAAGCAGATTGAGCACGTGGGCTAATTGCCCCAGACCAACTTTATTAGTATCCTCCTGTCGCTTTGGCTGGAATAGTTGGCGCACTTATTCTGCCTGTTATTCCCCCACAGCGCTGCCGCTTAGCCGGACCGGACCGGACAGCGCACTAAGCAAGCAAGAAGGAGACGAGGACACATGCAGGGACGCTTATTTGGCATTGGCCAGCTGATCTTCTCGTCTTTATCAAGTTGAGTCCTCCTTGTAATAAAAGGGAAGCCGTTGCACGTACCTTGCGTGCCACGCTAGGATCTCTCTCCTCTCACACTCTCCTTCCTCGCCTCAGCTGAAGCGTCGCGTGGTCGCATACAAACAGCCAACCCTACCCCGACGACAACCAAAAACACCACACACAGACGGGATCCGAGATGAACGACACACGACTCTCGGACAAGGTCGTGGCCGCCACAGAGTCCCAGGATGACGACCACGGAAAAGAACCCGTGGCCAGCCAGGGCGAGGCCGAAGTCCTCGCCGCTCCTCTCTCCGACAAGAGGCAGTCACTGTCCGACATCTTCACCATTGTACGCCCGCCGTTCCTTTCCGCCGGCTGCCAGCCGCTCCGATGCATCGCCGCCAACGAGGGACGGCCAAGTCACGCTCGCTAATCTCCTGCCGCAGTTTTGCTCCGGCTTCGCCCTCATCTCCGACGGCTACCAGAACAACCTCATGACCATGACCAACGTCCTCTTCAAGAAGGAGTACGCCCGCCAGTATACCTCTTCCGTCAGCACCCGCGTCTCCAACGCGCTCCTCGTCGGAGAGATCCTCGGCCAGATCGTCGTCGGCCTGACGTGCGACTACCTGGGGCGCAAGACGGCCATCATCGCAACCACGTTCATGATCGTCCTCGGCGGTATCATGGCCACGGCCTCGCACGGCGTCACCATCGACGGCATGTTCTGGATGCTGACCATTTCTCGTGGTATCGTCGGCTTCGGTGCTGGTGAGTTGCGCGCTTCCCAAGTCAAGGAAGGCTCTTGTAAAGCCAAACACTGTTTGCTGACGTTGAATAGGTGGCGAGTATCCCGCGGCCAGTGCCTCGGCCTCGGAGGCGGCCAACGAGCACACGCTGGGCCATCGAGGGCCCGTCTTTATCCTCGTCACTAACCTGCCACTCTCATTTGGTGGTCCGCTGGCCGTCTGCGTCTTCCTCATCGTCCTCTCCGCCGCTGGGGAGAACCACTTGTCTACCGTTTGGCGCGTCTGTTTCGGCATCGGCGTCCTGCTGCCCCTGACCGTCTTCTACTTCCGTCTCAAGATGCTCAACTCGAAGCTGTACCGCCGCGGTGCCATCAAGAAGAGGGTCCCGTACAAGCTCGTGATCCGCTACTATTGGAAAGCCCTGATCGGAACGTGCGGCGCCTGGTTCCTCTACGACTTCATCACCTTCCCTAACGGCGTTTTTTCCGGCACCATCATCTCCAGCGTCGTCAAGACCGGCAGTCTCCGCAGCACAGCCGAGTGGCAGCTGCTCCTGGGATCCATCGCTCTTCCTGGCGTCTTCCTCGGCGCCTTCTTCTGCGACCGCCTCGGCCGCAAGAACGTCATGATGATTGGCTTCTCCGGCTACCTGATCTTTGGTCTCATCATCGGCCTCGCCTACGACAAGATCGCCAAGATCACCCCGCTCTTCATCATCTTCTACGGTCTCATGCTCAGCTTCGGCAACTTCGGCCCGGGCGACATGCTGGGCCTCATCTCCTCGGAGAGCTACGCCACCAGCGTCAGGGGCACCTGCTACGGCATCAGCGCCGCGGTTGGCAAGGCGGGCGCAGCCATCGGCACGGAAGCGTTCAAGCCCATCCAGGAAAATCTCGGCAAGAAGTGGACATTCATCATCGCCGCCATTTGCGGTGTCGCTGGCATCCTCGTCACCTACTTCTTTGTTCCTAAGCTTACCGGCGAGGACCTGTGCAAGCAGGATGAGAAGTTCAGAGCCTACCTGCTGGCTAATGGATGGAATGGTGAGATGGGCGAAGAAGATTTGGCTGCGCTGGCAGAAGACGTCGACGTTGACATTCGATCAGAGGATGGTGTGCAGGAGAAAAAGACGACAGTATAATTTGTATATAGGATAGTTTTGTATAAGATGAAAGAGATGAAAATAAATAAAGATGAAATAAATAAAAAGACGAAAAGATATGAACGATATAGACTGAAGACTGCCTATAACAGCGAGCTACGTAGCTTCATGCTCATCGTGTCTACAATGTTGTTACAGACGTTTAGTTCAGCCGTTAAACAGACTTTTAATTTCTGTACTTTGGTGATCATCGACTACCTATGTGGCACTTGGCCGCAGCCCCTTGAAGCTTTTCGTGATGTTGGTGATAGCCTCCTCGACCGGCAACCGCTCCATGGAGCTCGCGCCATAGAAGCCGTGCACGCCCCTCGTCCTCTCCAGCACGTACGCCGCGTCCTCCGGCGCCGCGATCGGCCCCCCGTGGCAGAGCACCAGGATATCCGGACGGATGGCCACCGCCGCGTCACGAATCTGCTGGATCAGCTGGACGCACTCGTCCAGCGTCTTGCCCGAGGCGGCGCCGATGGAGCCGGAGGTGGTGAGGCCCATGTGGGCGACGAGGACGTCGGCGCCGGCCGTGGTCATCTTCTGGGCCTCGTCGACGGTGAAGACGTAGGGGGTGGTGAGCAGGTCCAGCGCGTGGGCGGCGCGCACCATGTCGACCTCGAGGTCGTACGACATGCCCGTCTCCTCGAGGTTGGCGCGGAACTGGCCGTCGATGAGCCCGACGGTCGGGAAGTTTTGCACGCCGGCGAAGCCGAGGTCGCGCAGCTGCCGGAGGAAGTGGTTGGTGTGCAGGAAGGGGTCGGTGCCGCAGACGCCGGCGATGACGGGGGTGTGGCTGACGACGGGGAGGACCTCTTTGGCCTGGGTGGGACGAGTTGTTAGTTGGAAAGAGAGAGGAAGGGGGGTTCGGTGGATGACGGGTGAGTGTGAGTCAAGACTCACCATGTCGAGGACAACGTCGTTGGCGTTGCCGTACGGCATGAGTCCGGAGAGAGATCCTCGGCCGGCCATGCGGAAGCGGCCGCTGTTGTAGATGATGATCAAATCTCCGCCGCCGGCTTCGATGAACTTGGCGGAGAGGCCAATCCCAGCGCCGGCGCCGACGATGGGCCGGCCTTGGGCGATCTGATCGCGCAGGTTGGCCAGGATCTCTTGTCGGTTGGTCGGGGGCGCCATGATGTTTAGGTATTTACCGACAGTGCATAGAGGACTGGTGTAATTCCTAGTTTGGCTAACGAGTTGGTCAAAATGCCTCGTGTCTTGAGTGAATGCAAGTTAAAGACAGGTCGTGAGTGACTGACGACTTGGTGAAGTAAAGAGCTCCACCCACCACTTCATCAAGAAGTGGAGTTGAAGCCTCTTCCGCAGGCAACCACGGCGGCGACTAGTGAGAATATATGGAGTTATTAGGCCGTGATTTGTTGTCTCTTGTACTACATCTCGTGTCCAGGGTTCATCTTCCTGAGTTGAGTGTTAGTTAGGCGGCAGGTGAGGGGCCGCTGCAGTTGCTTCGCTGACCTCACTCGAATCATCATCAACGTCAATTGCACCGACATGCTTGCAGCGTTTCCTGCATGCATAAGCAACTTGCATTCTAAAAATCCAACACGTTGAGGTTGCCGACAGCGCAGCACATCCGCGATGCCGACCGTAGCCGTCATTGGAACTTGCGACACCAAGTTTGACGAGTTGCGTTTCTTGCGCGACCGGGTGCGGGATCATGAATCCGTCGATACCATCATGATTGACGTTGGCTGGCGGGCGACCGAGCATAGCGACATCGCCATGTCGCAACAGCAGCTCATCGCCAAGTACGGCGAGGGCAAGGACGTATCGTCGCTCCCCCGCGGCGAGTTCATCACCTTCATCTCCGCATGCGCGGCCAAGGCCGTCAAAGACCTCTACGAGAACCGGTCCATCGACGGCATCGTTTCCGCCGGCGGCTCCGGCGGCACCTCGCTCGTCTCGTCCGTCATGCGGGACGTGCTGCCCATCGGCTTCCCGAAGCTGATCGTCTCCACCATCGCGAGCGGCGACACGGAGCCCATCGTCGGCGAGACGGACATTGCGCTCATGTATTCGGTCGTCGACGTCGCCGGCCTGAACCACGTCCTGCGGGGGATCCTGAGCAACGCCGGCGCGGCCATCGGCGCGGCAGCGGTGTCCTTTTCCAAGACAAGGGCCGCCGACGCCGAACACGACTCCGCAGCGTCGTCGGAGAAGAAGAAACGCGTCGGCATCACCATGTTTGGCGTGACCACGCCCGGCGTGGACGCGATCCGCGCGCACCTCGAGGGCAACTACCCAATCGAGACGTACGTCTTTCACGCCACCGGCCGCGGCGGGAAGGCGATGGAGCGACTGGTGCGGGAGGGCACTCTCGACGCCGTCGTCGACCTCACCACGACGGAGATTGCCGACTTCGTCGTCGGCGGCGTCATGCCGGCCGGCGAGGACCGCCTCGACGCCGCCGTGCAGCGGGGCATCCCCAACATCGTCTCGCTCGGCGCGACCGACATGGTCAACTTTGGCGCGCGGCGCACGGTGCCGCCTGTGCTGGCGGAGGGCCGCGCCGTCGTCGAGCACAACCCGCTGGTGACGCTGGTGCGCACGTCGCCGGAGGAATGCACCCGGATCGGCGAGTTCATCGCCGGCAAGCTGGCGCGGACGGAGCGCCCGGACGCGACGCAGGTCTGGATCCCGAGGGGCGGCGTGAGCAGTCTGGCCGGGAAGGGCAAGCCGTTCGCGGACGCGGCGGCTGACGAGGCGCTGTTTGAGGCGCTGCGGAAGGGGCTCAAGGACACGGGGATCGAGATCATCGAGGACGATAGGGACGTCAACGATGTAGAGATGGCCAAGGAAATCGCGGTTTCGTTGGCGCGGAAGCTTGGTCTTGAGTCTTGAGGCAACTCGTGGAGATCACGGCCTTGTCAGAGCGATACATTTTGTGAATGATCATAAAAACCATGAACTGAATAATTCCAGAGTTTGATTTCATCAACGTAAGATATGTAAATATATTATTACAAGACGGCGTAGAAAAAAAGAAGAAAGGGCTTGTTAGCAACTAGCGGGCGAAGTTTCATTGTCATATAGTAGCTAATAAGTTAGCGTATTTCAACAATCAGAGAACAAGCGTCGTTGGTCTAGGGGTTAGGATTCAACTCTTCCAAAGTTGAGGCACGGATTCGAGTTCCGTACGACGCACACTCTAAAATTTCTTTTTTGCCTCTCCGTCATACTTGAAGTGCACTGCTCTACTGTGACATGCCATTTTACACGCGATTTGTTTCTTTTTGATATTTTCTTTTTCTTGTTCCTTTCCTCTTCATTTTTCTTCTTATTGCCTCTATTGAGTCATGAGCCCCTGTGTGGCTTGCCCTGCGTCATTTGGCGCCCGCAATGTCCTTACGAGATGGATGGTCCCCGAGGCCACCACCTGCTTGCTCGCGAGTAATTCGAGCCCATCCGTCCGTCCCCCTGGTGGATGCCGAGAACTCAACACGGAGCGCCACTCCAAGCTCCCTTCCCCCTGCTGCTTATTATTCAAGTCACAGAGAGAGAGGTTTGCATAGCCACCACGCGACAAGACGAGCAGCCGGAGAAGCGACGGGACGCCGCTTACACCATGCCTACTAGTTAGTTCGTAGGAGGGCGCTGTTGCCCGTTTTGGCATCTTCGCCGGCTAGGGGAGAGGCGCAAGTAAATGCTCGACGTGATCTTGCGGCCAGCCGAGTTCCCCGACCAAGGCGTACGGTATGGTTACAGGGGTTGTTGCCTGCGACAAGATGGCTTTTCCCGAGGGGAGGGGGGTGCGCGGTGTTGGTCCTGACTCTTCTTGCAAACCCTGTGAACCTTGTGAACGCGTCCAGTTGAACCGCAGAGCGAGGGCAGGTAGAAGGCGGCTCACTCGTCGGTGTGGCCGATGTATAGTTAGCCCACCACTCCGTCGCAACCGGCATCCACCATCCATCCACCCAGCCAAGGAACAGGGTCGCCCGGGTCGCTGATTAACTTTAAAATTTTGGGCCCGGCCGCCGCTAAAATGGTAGTTAGCCCCCTCGGATCGGGGCGGGCATCTTCCATGATCGTTCCAACCGGTAGCTGTTCCTGGCTATCTCGGGGGGGCCATCGCGGTTCTCTCACCCAAGTCTGTAAAATTTCGATCTTTGGGAAATCCGGTAGAAAAAAGAGGGTGTATTCGTAATTGCTTGACTTGCAACGTTGCTGCTTACCCGGGGAGGAAGGGCTGTTGGTCTGCGGCCTGCCCACCGTAACATTGCTCGCTCCCCTTGACACTGACCGCCTCGCAGCGACGAAAAGAAGCTCGAGTCAGAATAGCAAGCAAGCGTGAGGCGAGGCGAGCGAGGCGAACAGGGCTGACCAGAGGGAGGGGGGGTGTACGAAAAGTATGCAAAGTATGCATCCAGTAACCCTCCAAGTTACTATGTACATAAATGCCTAGTCGTAGCCCTTTGACAGGGTTCATTGGTGTTTCATTTTTCTTGAAAGCCGAAGCCTCACACGACACGACACACGATACCTCGGACCCCGCTGAAAGCGTGCCTCGTATTGACGGATACATGTGGCTCGCCGGGGATTATAGATTCAGTGTCAGCCGGACCATCGACACCGGGGGATCTGGTGTTTGGCCATGTAACACGTATCACACCGAGGCAGCTCCTTGCATGGCACACCGCCTGCATTGTCACGCCGGGCTGCTCGCCGCCCTTCTCGTTAAAAAAGAATTGCAAAGGCCCACTGCCAACCCATGCAACGTTTGCAGAGGAAGAAGCCATTCCTCCGAATGCATGATCCCAGAGTATGCAGCAACGTTCCTCAGCAATGGGCGGGCGGCTCCGCGGCTATCAAGAAAGCTTGTGGATCAGACATGACAAGACGAATGCTGGACCGGGGTCACACGAGAAACTAGTAATAATAAATCTCGGTCTCCTCGATACGCTGTGGATATGGGATATATTCAGGGCTCGGCCTCATGCCAAGAGCCCCGGGAGAAGGAGAGAGAGGGAGGGAGGAATGCAAGGGTGTTGCGAGCTTTTCTCACAACGAACATGACTGGGGGCCATGAGTTTGAAAATAGGACGAACATGTGCTTCCCTATTTAACTAGTCGGCAACGACGAAACAGCACCAGGGAGAGTTGACCGCTTTGGTCGAGAAGAAACCTCGCGGCTATCAAAGATGGATGCTCGGCCATCTTTTCCTGGAGAAAAAGATGTCACCGCCAGACGTGTATCATGTTGCCGATGCGGGAAAATAAAAAGAGCAAGCACAAGATTGAGTTTGTGTGTCAGCTCTCCCCGGCTATTGCCCATCCACGTTTCAAGTCAAGGAAACCTCCGTCCGTCCGTTGGTGAAACGGCATGCAACGGTCGGTCGGCAATGAAAGCGGGAAGTGAAGATGACATGAAGCAAGTATGTATGACGGGAAGTATTCGTACCTTAGAATTAGCGGCCGCATTGCATCGTGTTGTTTTTGTTTTTGTTTTTATTTTTATTTTCGTCTCCATGAATGTGACAGGTAATATTCCGCAGCTTCTAGAAAGATGGCGGCATTATTTTGCCAATAAGCAAGGAGGCGGCAAATAAGAAGTACCTTGTTCATTATGATCAAGGTTATGAAATTTACTTCAACTATCTCTTCCATTATAGAAGCCTTCATCTCCCTAAATCTGTATGGCTGTGGCCGCCACTAATAGGCGCCACATATTGGTGCCCAGCAAACTTAGACTTAATCAGACGCAAGGTTACGAGGGAAAAAAAGGTGTCGTAGCTGCAATCCTTTTCAGTATATTATTATTATCGCTTCAACAGCTCAGCTGACATGTCGATTTGCCTCGTGTTTTTTCTTGTAGTCTTCATGCCGCCACTTGCACCTTTGACTCTACCAAAAGAGCAAATAACCTGAAACAAGTCATGCATGCATAGTCTGAGCAGGACAAGACAGACCACTGCGTTGCATCCTGCATATTCCTCTAACCCTCAGTTTCAGTCAACTTGTTCCCTCGCAGCCTCGCTCCACCAGTGGCGATCGTAGCTCAACTCAACCGAGGCCTGTCTGAATCTAGTATAGCAGTCGGTGTGGTTGCTTATACCTACCCATACACCAATACGACAAACCGTGAGATTGCCAACTACTCGTGACCATGACACCCACGGGCCACGCCGCAACCACGCCTGCTAACTAGTCAGGCATCGTTGTGCTTACTACTAGCAGTACCAGTAAGAGCTGGGGGCGTGAGAGGAGAAAAGAACGCATTGCTGCCCTTTTTTCGCCTCTTCCGTGACCCAGTCTGTGGCACGAACACCGTAGTATATACGCCGGGGGCATTGTAGTATCTTGCCACCCCAGCGACCGGGAATGAGCCCGCTTATGCCCTGTGAGTTACGTGTGGCATTATCAGGGCCTTCAACAAACAGTCTGGCCCAAGATCATGCGGACCTCACTAACCAATGCATTGTTCCATCCATTGTTCTCACCCAGCTGCACCGACGTCGGGCATCACGGCGACTTCTTTACCCGGGCAACGTCCCCGGACTGCTGTGTCCGGGCCGTCGTGCAAAGTGTCATGTAATTTAAAACGCACAAGGGAACCACTCCCCCACGCCGGTCCGCCAGCTGATCAAGGAAAGTATGTAGCGGCCCGAAGTGCGCGTGATGACGCTCAGCAAGGCAGACAAAGCGAGGCTCGTGTGCTAGAACCGGTTCCCAATCAGAGCATCCATAATTGCCTATGAAAAGCTATAAAGAAAGATAAAGACGCGTAAAATATATCGTCAACGGTTACTAGTGGCGTCTGGCTGAAACGCGGGTGACTTGTTCCTTTGTTCGTTCTCCTAGCCCGCCTAGGCTCGATAGACTCGGAGGCCGCAAAGTTACCAGTCTCCTTGGCAACCCTGAAGATCACGCCCTTGGCGATTGTACAAGTAGCGACTCCGTACGGATAGGGAATTCTCCATCCTACCAAGCACAGGACAATTAGTTAGCAACGGGGGGTATAGCTAGCTGGAGAAGCGCTCAATGAAGTATAGCTTGCTTGTATTAGCCATGACGCGCCGCCGATGCTGTTACTAGGCTCCAGTTATAACTCTTGGGTATTGATCAATCAGAGATTAGATTTGATCCAGTATGCTGTCTTGCCATGCAAATCTCAATAGCCGGGCCTGTGGTCCCCGATGCATTACAACGCCAGGTAAACTAGGAGCTGAGTCGGCGACTCGAGAGAGAAAAGAGGCAATGACACAGTGATCAGTCGCCACCAAGAACAGTCCTGGATACATGCGTGCACCGCATTAGATGCCGCAGATTTTTCCTTGCGTGCAAGTCATCGCTTCTCGCGAGCCAAACACGACAACGAAGCCGGAGGCTGATACATCTCCGGCTCCGCTTTCGTCGCGTTTGATAGCAAAGACACTCATATTACAGTTCGAGCAGGCTAGGACTTGATGCTCCTTTTTGGTTCCAAGTGGCGGTAATGAAAGCCCCATAGTGAGCGGTGTTGGTTTGCATAGGCAGGCTGTATCATACGAGGCTACTACACGAAAGTTGCAGGGAAACTGGCAAGTTGAGTTGCGCGGTGCATCTAGATCGGTTGCGCCTCATATCTCGCCTTAATAATGCGGCTGTAATAACGACCAGGTGGTATAGACTAACTGGCAGCGGTGAGCATCGCAGCAAGGCCAGAACAGAGGCGGTGCATCAGCGTCACATTATAAGGATCAAACATCAAATCGCATGCATGCTGCCGGGTTGTATTCAGACGGTAAATGCGTTACCAAGGCGCGCATGATGTCGAGTCTGGACCAAATTGGGTAATCCTCCGATGGCATGGAACGGGTTGTTGTACTGGGCGGGCTGCAAGGGAGGTAGGTCACATGGATAAG